TTTAAATTTATTTAGTAATTATTATATTAAAAAATTAAATATATAGTTTCTTTAAAAAATAATATTTCTTAAGATATATAATAATTAGCTTTTATTAATTAATAAGGTATAGTTATTATAGTAAATATATCTTACTATCTTTAGCTATTTTTTATTAAAGTTATTAATCTTTAAATATAATTTTAAGAAGGTATTTTATAATAAGTTTTAATAATTTATATTAAAATACCTTTTAAGCTGGCTTTTTAAATAAAAGTTATTAATATAATAATAATAGGCCTTTATTATTAATATAATACCTATTATAATTATAATTAATATTTAATATAATTTATAAAGTTAAAATATATTATAATATTTATTAAGTTTAAGGTATTAATATTAAATTAAAAGGTAATAAGAATAAAAGGTTTAATAAAAGTAAAGAAATTTAAGATAAAAAGCTAGATTATTAATTATACTTAATTTAATTTAATCTTCTTTTAATTATAAAATAAAGTAATAAATAATTAAATTATTAAATATAATAGTATAATATAGTAATATAGTAATTTAATATAGTAAATAAATTAATATATATATATATTATCCTTTTTTACTTTAATATTTAACTTTATTAAGCCTAGGCTTTTTAAAACTCTTAATAATATTAATAATAAAAATAACCTTTTTGAAGGTTAAAACTTAATAATTAAGATAATAAATATTTTATATAGTAACTAAACTCTAATTAAATAAATACTTATATTATATAGCTATATTTATAAAAGCTAGCTTTCTCTTTATACCTTTTAAACTAATCTATATTATAAACTAGTTAATTAACCCTTATAGTTATAATTAGTTAAGTTACCCCTTATCCCCTTTTAGTTTATATTACTAACCTTTTTTATAGTTACTATAATAAATATCTAAATAATAAATACCTACTATAATATAAATCTTAGCCTAATCTATAATAAGATCTATAAAGTAATTAATAATTATAGTAAGGAAAAATATAAATAACTTATTTATATAATTAAAGACCTTAAGATTAAAATAAGGTAAGATTCTTAAGGCTAATTAATACCTCCCTATAGTAAATAAAATAATTATAACTTAATTAAATTAATTACCTTTAACTATAAACTTTTAATACTTTTTTATATATAATTAAGTTAGAAATCTTATTAAATAAAAATACTAAGTTTAAAGGATATAAGAAATTAGCTTAAAAACCTAAAAAGCCTAAAAAAAAGGCTTTTAAAAAGGTTAATCTTTAAGATTAAAACCTTCTTTATTAAGGTATTTAAGTTAAAGCTTAACTATAGAGTTTAGTATAACTACTTAGAAAAGTACATTAAATAGGTAATTAAGGTTAGTAAAGGTATAAAATAAAGTATCCTAGTCTTAGCCTAAGACTAAGAGTACGTAACTATTAGGGATAGTAATAGAAGTTATATATAAGGTGCTAAGGGGCTAGGGTAGAAATAGAGGTAGAAGGTTAAAATATATTACTTAGAGGAATATATATTTAGAATTAAAGTTAAAGTTAAAGTAGTTTAAAGTTAAAGGTAGTTTCGGGCTAAGGAATTAAATTAGATTATATAACCTTCATTAAAATCCTATTATACTTACTTCTGTAATATAATACGTAATATTATTAATAATCTTAGTTATATTACTATTAAATTACTATTAGTTACCTTTTATCTTATCTAGTTACTATAAGGAGGGGTTATTAAGTTATATAATCTTAGTTAATTAATTATAGTAATTTCTTTCCTTAGACTAAAGGACTTTTTAACCTTTAGTAAAAAACTCTATCTTATATATATAAATTTTCCTTTTATATCTCTTTATAGTCCTTAATTAAAGTCCTTAATTAAATTTACTATTATAATTAAGTCTATTAACTATTTTTTATACCTATCCTTTTTTAGATTTATATTATCTTTATTTAATATATTAAAAAAGGTAGTCTTTTTTATTATTAAAGGCCTAATTATATTATATAATTTAAGTTTCTTTTTAAAATAGTTAAGAAATAATATCTCTATTTTAAGCTATATCTTTTTATATACATATTTTTTGCTAATAGTAAATAGATTATATAATTAAAAAACCTTATAATTAAAGATAGTAAGTATAACCTTAGCCTTTTAATTTATAGGCTTTATACCTACCTTAATAATATTTCTCTTTTTTACTTTAACCTTTAACCTTATTAAGCCTAGGCTTTTTAAATCTCTTAATAATATTAATAATAAAAATAACCTCTTTTAAGGTTAAAAACTTAATATAATTAGTATAATAAAAGTTATATACAGCGACTAAACTTTAATTAGATAAACATATATATAACTTACACAGCCGTATATATAAAAGCTAGCTTCCCTTACATCCTTAACTTGATCTACATTACAAGCTAGTTAATCGACCCTTATAGCTATAGTCAGTTAATTAACCCCTGGTCCCCCTTCGGTCTATATCGCTAATCTCTTTCGTAGTTACTACTACGATAAGTATTACTGTCTAAGTAATAGATATCTACCGTGACGTAAGCCTCGATCTGACCTATAAGATTATTTAAAAAGCTATTAGTAATTACTATAACAGGCAGGAACTTAACCTACTTAAAATTAAGGCTAGAAATCTTTAGTTTAATCTAAAGTGGGATTTTAATAGCCGCTTTATATTACCTCCCTATAATAAGTAAGATAATTATAACTTAGTTAAATTAGTTACCTTTAGCTATAAGCTTTTAATACTTTATACTTTAAGGCTTAGTAAAAGAAACCGTAACCGAAAGTATATATTAGGTTAAATACAGGAGGTAAAGAAGTAGCTTAAGCGCTTAAAAAGAGAAGGGCTAGTCTTCGAGACCGACAGCTCCTTTATCAAGGCATTTAAGTCAAAGTATATAGCTTAGCGTAATAGCTTAGAGAGGCAGGTCGTAAAGGTACTTAAGGTCTTTAAGAATAATCCGTAAAGCATCCTAGTCTTGGCCTAAGACCAAGAGTACGCGACTGTCAAGGACAGAGAAGTTATGCGCAAGGCGCCGAGGGGGGGCAGAAATAGAGGTGGAAGGTTAAAATATGTTACTCGAAGGAATACGTATTTAGAGTTAAAGTCAAAGTCAAGGCAGCCTTCAGGCCGAGGAATTAAATCAGATCACATAACCCTCATTAAAATCCTACTATGCCTACTTCCGTAATGCAACGCGTAATATTATCAACAATATTATCAACTAGGGACCTTAATAATATATTACTATTTAATCTTATTAAATAGGTTTTATAGCTTATTATAAACCTTAAAATTATTATTTATTACTTTAATAAATACCTTTTAGTTATATTAAAATTCCTTTTTATATACCTTAATTATATTATTTTTATTAACTAACTAAAGGTTTTTATAAAAGGTAAATATAAAGATTAGGGTATTAATTAATCTTTTAATTATAATTAAGGTTAGCTTTATTAATTTAATTTAATTTAGTTAATTTATAGGCTTAGTAAATTACTTAGTAATTACGATTTTTATTTTATTTTAGGTAGGTTAATTAAAGTAAAGTATAGAAAGGGATAAATAGCCTTAATAAATAATCCCTATAGGGGTTTTTATATTATTAAAAAATAAAGTTATAATTAATATGACAAGTAACCTTATTAAATTTAAAATATTATTACTTTTTAGTTTATATAAGGACTTTTATTATTAATATTTTTATAGATTTAATTAGGATAGCTAGATCTTTCTTTTAAAGGTATTACTAAACTTAATATAAATATTTACTTATAATTTTATAATAAATATTACTTACCTAAAAGTTCTTTTTAAAAATAATTATAAATAAATATACCTATTTAAGATTATTTAAATAATTAAAAACTTAATTTATAAACTTTAATTACTTAATAGTATATAAATTTATTTAATTATTTTAATTTAATAGTTTCTATCTATATATATTAATAACTATAAAAGAAAACCAGGTTTTATAAAGAGAGGTTTTAAAAATAGTAAAAAGTATATTATTAAATATATTTTATAATAAGAAATTAAATAATTTAAAAATAATATAATATTAATTAAAAACTTCTTTCTATAGTAAGAAAAATAAAAACCTTAATATAATTAATAAATATAAATTATTAATATTATTAAGGATTTAATTATAAACTTTTATTATAATTATTTAAAATAATTTAAAAAAAATAACCTTTATTAAAATAAAAAGTCTAAAAATCTAAAAGATAATAATTAATAAATATTAAGTATAGAATAATTAAAACCTTATAATTTAGAAAATCCTATAATATTTATATTAAAGATAGTAATATCTTTTTTATATAATTAGTATTTAATATATAAAGGTATTATTACCTCAAATAAGGTCCTAAACCTATAGATATTTTATTTTATAGAGGTCTAAGCTTAGTATATTTATAAAAGTAATATTAAGCTTAGGTCTTTTAAATAGAAATATACTTCCTAGAATACCCTTTACTTACCCTTATGCCTAGTAACCGGTATTAACTTCCTGGCGTGACGTGGCGTTTTCCGTGGCGAGATGGTCGCATGCCTTACGTATAGGCCAGCCCCCTCAGTTGATTGCAACATGGCGGTCCGCCCTCTCCGGGTCTTAGCGACAGCGACCCTAGCCAGTAACATCACAGTTTCACCTTATGATCGGTGATGGGCAGAAATGCTCCTTGCAGTGGCTGGGACGCGGGACAATGTACGTTTAGCGAATATGTAGCCTCTGTTCAATGGAGGCGATAAGTAATGATGGTTAGTTAAATATTAAGCCAAGTCGCCTTCACTATTGTAAGGTAAGCAACAGGGCATTTCGGGATACTTTACTGTCTGTTGATTCTACCGTTCTACGTACCCATAGAACAAATCACTCGGGGCGATGGAAGCTTCTTCAACTTGGAATAACTGATACTATCTTTTTAATTGAGTTGGTTTTCTCTACTGTATCGATAACTAAAGTGGCTCTAACCCGACTATCTAATCCTTCCACTGGTGTCCGCTGGCTCCATTAGCCCGTCCTTCATATTGATACTCTCCTCGATCTCGAAGTACTTATTGAATCCGACACCCTCACAAACCTCGTCATACGACAGAACAACAGGAGGCTTCCCAACCGTCATAGAACCCTTGATGTTCTCCAGTGTCTCTATTATACTCTTCAGCTTAGCAGCAACAAGAGTCCAAGGATAGCAGACAACGCTATAGCCAAGTTCGGCGAGGTCCTTGCCGGAGAGGTTCTGTGTCTTGCCACCCTCAATGATGTTGGCAACCACTGGGAAGTTGAGGTCCTTACGAAGACGTTCCATGGACTCGCGATCAGGGAGTGCTTCCACAAATACGGCACCAACACCAATCTCGATGGCCTTGCGTGCCTTGGTAAGTGCCTCGTCGTATCCATGAATCAGACTGTCCGTACGGGCGAGGATCCAGATGTCCAAACCTTTGTTTCTCGCGTCGACAGCGGCTTGCCAGCGGGCATAGGCTTCACTTCGGGACACCACACTTTTTCCAGCAGTGTGGACACAGCCTGTCCGCTTGAGGTTAGTACAATGCTCTTGCTGCGAGGGTGTCTTGACGTACGCTTTGGCCACGATTGGTCCTCGAGCATGATCCCAGCAGCTCCAGCTTGTGCGAATCTGTTCATACGAGTCAGTTGCCACCTCATTTCAATCCTTCAATCGAAGCACAACATACCCCTGGACGGTTCGGCGAACATTCATCGGGCTTCCATAACCAGTTCGCCATCTACCAGAATAGGAACATTTACCTCCCTGGCTACCTCCTGGATCTTGTTGACAACCTCTCCAAAAGCAATATAGCATGTATCAGGGAGTCCAAACGCAGACGCCATAGGATACCCAGCCAGAAAGACAAGAGGAAACCCAGCCTCCTCGCATAAACGAGAACTCAAGGCATCATAGCTGCAGACAGTGGCGAGAATTTTGGAGGGGTCCCCGTGCGCCTCTTGCACCATGGCTCTGATCTTGGAAGCTTGCAGTGAGGGTCTTGCCCCCCGACAGTTGGTGTATTCAATCGTCACTCCCGTTCCATTGGGCTTAATGGCGGGATACTCGATTGCATCGAAGTGGAAAGGGTAGGGTTTGGTGTTGACGATGGACTTGGACATGTTGGTGACTTTAGTGAGTTGTGAATAGTGGATTGTGAGATGTGACTTGCAAAGTCGAATATGCTGGAATGGACTGGTGGATCCTTTGTTACTCTTTTGTTTGTTGTTCTGTTTGCCCAGTCGATCAGACTATCATTCATGTTTTATACACGATTTCCCCTCTCCCCTCAACGATAGCTTCTGTCCAGATTGCCGATGATCGGAGCAGACTCGGCAGTCCGAGCCATTACTGTATGCAACTGTAACATGTATTTAGGTCTGACCGGTCCTCCTTAGCTATCCTATCGGGGTTACAATCACAGGCCTGCGAGCAGTCATTGCATTGTTGCCGGCCCTTTGAGCCACCGGAGTCCCGGACTAGGCCGGATAAGAGCGGACCGACACGGATACTACCGGCCCCGGAAATGATGATCCCCTCGTCAGCCAAGCCACTCACTTCCTACCGCCAGACCATCAACAACCATCCTCGTCTCTCCGCTGATCACTTTCACTCTCTCTCACAGCCTACAGAATGAAGAACCCGGATCATTCCAGTAGTATCCGTACCCGACCGTTCAAACGCAGCTACGTCGCATGCGTCTCGTGCCGAGCACGCAAATCAAGATGCATCATCAAAGACAACCCTCCCTGCGCTAAATGTGCCAGGGAACATCGTGAGTGTCGGTTTGATCGCCGGCCCAGGGCTCCCAAGCACCGTGATGCCCCGGAATGGACTCGCGGGAATGTTATCGACGTCGCGCCCGCCACTCAAACCCTTCAGGCAGCGAATCCCTCCCCCTCGGAACATCTTGGCTTTAATTCGTCGCCGAACAATACTAACAATCCACTGTACAATCGGGTGCAGTCGACAATAGTCACTGGGACTAATGATGCACTGGACTTTCTGTCAACCGCTGCAGGACAGCATAGCATTGCTGGTTCAGCACCATCCCAAGGCCATCCTTCAGCCAGCCACGTTCAGTCTGACGGTCCCAAAGTCGTATCTGGTGGATCTAATGGAGTCGGCTTCACCATCACAGCCCTTTCAGAACCGGACGATGCTTGTCTAGATATGTGGGACAAGTGTCGCTTCGTCCGTCAGGGCTGGTTTACGGCCCAAGAAGCTGTCACCTACATCGACTTGTGAGTTCACTGCTCTCTTAGCTCTGGACGCTCGATTCGATTCGTTTCATGCACTAACCACAATCCTGTACCTTCTTCGAAAAGCTTGCTCCACTATCCCCTATCGTCCTTGACCAATTCCGCAGCCATGCATCTCGTGAACAACTCGTTTACAGGGAGGCCATGCTATGCTGCACCCTGCTCATGATCTCATCCCGATTCTTGACACTTTCCGGTGCAGGCGGTACATCCAGAAGTCACTACGTTCACCAGCGTCTTTGGAGTCACTGTGAAGTCCTTATTCGACGCATCGTGCTAGGCCAGGAGAAAATATCTACCTCCCAAACAAGAACGATTGGAACCATAGACAGCCTGATTCTGATATCCTATTGGCACCCTCGAGCTTTACACCTCCCTCCTGAAACAGACGGCTGGGATGGTCTACTTGTCACGCCTGGATATGATCGAGTCAATCGCAAGCATATCAACAACGAAGTTCCACTTATTCGGTGGCGAGAAGATGTCTTTGAACCAGCAAAGAGGGCCAGCAGAATGTCATGGATGCTCTTGGGTATGGCCAACAACTTGGCTTATGAACTCGCAATATTCTCAGGTCAGTCAGGCGATGCAAACCAGGCTGCAGGTGGTGAGGTGCTTCGTGGCCGTCGAGCTCAAAAGCTCCTCTACAATTATCTGACTCAGACTGCCACTAGACTTGGCTACCCTTCTGTGTCTCGTCTGTCCACGCAAGAAACAGGTGAACCGATTGACCAGTCCTGGATTTCTTATATGGATCTCAGTCTAGAACTTACCCAACTATCGCGCACAGCATCTTCGATGTTCTTTCATTCAGCAATCCATCTTCAAACACAAGTGCTCGGAGATCACTACGTAGATCTCCTTGAACACTTTTCTCTGTCTCTTTCAAAATGGCAGGAAAGGTTTGACAACATGAACCGAGGTATTCCCTCTCTAGCTTCAGGCCCGTTAACCCTAACCCTAACCCTAACCCTAACCCTTCTGATAAAATTATGCTTAGTCTTACTAAGTTAGCTCCTGAGAATAAGAAGGGACCACTGGATATCTCTAGGGTATGCGCGAAGGTGAGAGGAGAATGCGCGGGACGTAGTAGACAAAGTAGGAACATAGAAGCTCTTCTAGCCTGATAAGATTTATATTACTAACTGAAGACTAGCAGTACGGAACTAATCTTGGCTTTATATCACCCATGCCTCAGTATTGCGCCTAGTAAAAAGACCCGAACCGCAACAGGTCGTTACGCCCATATTGTCTTGACTTCTGGCATAAAGCTTTACAAATCAAACATCAGTATCTTTTATAATACGACCCTCGGAGTCATCTGCATACGCGTCAACCTTTGTATCAGCGAAGTGCCTGGCTGAAGTCTTGTTTGCGAAAAGAATATCGATTTCTTCAAAGGTGCGGCCCTGCAATTTGTCAGTAACTAGCACTGTCTTCACGGAATGGAGCGACATACCTTGGTCTCGGGAAGGCGAAAGTATGCCCAAATAAAGGTCAACAGAGAAAGTCCAGCCTGTGGATTATTAGAAAAGAAGCAGAAGTGTGATGCTTAGACACTTACCCAGAAATAGCCAACCTTGCCCTTCCAGTCACCCTCAGTCGGGTTGATCATGTACGGTCCATACGTACCATTCAGTATCTGAGAGATATAATACGCGATTCGAGCAATGCAGATACTCTTACTGCGAACACCAACCGCCGGAATCTCGCCAATAATGGCATAGCACACAGGTCCGATAGTAGCGTAGAAGACAACTTCCCAGACAAGGACAATAGCAGCTTGACCAAAGCTCACAGCCTGAGTCTGTGGGAGGCTGGCAAGAATACCGATGAGCAGCATGAGTAACGTGCAAGCTGCGCAGGACCAAACATAGAGTGCTCGTCTGCCGATGCGGTAGATAAGGAACCAGGAGAGAATGACTCCAACGGAAGCGAGACCAAGGGCACCTGTTGCGAACTTGAATGAGTTGCGTGGATCTACGCCTGCTTGGACAAAGAAGTATGTGGGTGTTCCGCCAATGCCAACGCCTGTGGTGTTCTGAGCGACAAACACAAAAGAAACAATCTCAGTTCGACGAAGATTGATGCCCTTGAAGCAGTCGAGATAACTGGACCCTTGAGTGTGCTCGCTTTCGATCTTGTTGGTGTGAACAATCATTGCAAGTTGCTTGTCGAGGTCCTCGTCAGTCTTGCTGCTCTTGGCTGAGATTCGCCGTAGGACATTCTTCGCTTCGTCGAGACGATTATGCTTTGCAAGCCAATAGGGAGATTCTGGAGTGAACCAGAGAATAAGGATGAGAGGAATGGGCCAGATCCACTGAATCGCGAAGGGGATACGGTAAGACCATTGGGTGGTTCCTCCAGAGAAGCTGAACAAGACTCCAGCTGCAAGAAGCTGTCCGAGGGCCCAGCAGAGACAAACGTAGTTGGCGAGATAACCCCTGAGAGCCATTGGACAGATCTCTGAGGCGTAGGCAGGAGCCATAGTTGCGAAAACACCCCATGGGAGACCACAGAGAAGAGATCCAGCGAGGAGCATGGGGAGATTGTGGGCGAAGAAGGTGATGAAGATAAAGCCAGTGACAGCAATAAGAGAGGCGACAAGAGTGCGACGGTATCCAAATCGCTGGGTGAGCCATCCGTTCGCAAAAGCTCCAATAATAGTTCCCACAGCGGTAGCGTTTCCAAGGCCAGATTGCCACGGTCCAGAAATCTGGTAGCCGAGTTTGTCGCCGTACCAATCACCATAAGCTTTCTGGAAAGCAGGCTGGGCCATGAGGTTGCCAATGAGGACAATGTCATAGCCTTCCATGATGATAGAGGACGACAGGAAGAAAGACCATGCTATGGCTCCGGGGTAAGCTTTGATGGCTTCCCGCAAAGACATATTGCGGTCAATGTCGGCACCCTCCTTGCCTTGGGTGTGACTCCATTCTTTCTCATTCTGTTCAACGTGATCAATGGACTGAGATTTCTCGTGAAGAGACATTTTGGTAAAGAGTGAGTCGAATGACTCTGAAGGACGATGGTGAAGATGTTGATGGATATTGAAGCTTTCATGGGTGGATCGACGGCTGTTTAAGTATTAGTTGTCTTGCATTGGGATTAAATGCCAGGATCGTCACCCCATGGGGATAAGGTTCAAGGGTTGTGAAGACTTTGCGGGGAAGGGTGACAGGTGAGCCTGGGCCAATGAGAATAGGGCTCCCACCGGAGTTGAAAGTGGATGAGAAAGAGGTTGTGATGACAAGACTTGGAAGTCCGGGGAAGAATTGACCTTCAGTGAATATTGGAGCAATTGTCTATTACCCTTTTCTTTGATCTTTCCTGTAGAATTAGTAATTCCTATGAGGTGAAATCACCACGCCATTGTTACCATGGCTTAGAATGGTTTGCTGAGTTGGCCCTGATGCTCGTATCCCACCGGACGACCCAATGGAGTTTTCCCCATCCACTAACGTCTTGGTCTCACGCGCTATATATGAACAACCCCTAGCTAACTACAGCTCCTCAACTCTCACAGTTAATCTGCATCGCCGCAAATCATCAAAATGCCGGAAGATTACATGTCCATACTGAGAAGCCTTCCCTCGGAAGTTGAGAAGGTGAAGCAAACTGCGGTCGGGACAGCCAGAGTAGACTTGGATGTGCAAACGGGGCCTCCTCGCCATCTTGCCTCTGGAATTCTGTACGGAATACCAGATAAGGAGAATCAGATTCCTGATCACTTTTACAAAGATATCGGGTTCAATTACGGCCGTGGAGGAGGATCTCAGCTACCTGGTACAAAAGGTTATGCTGTCAGCCTCAAGGATTATGAGGTAGGTCATTCCCCCACAGAATTGTCAAACCTAACCATGAGATAAACAGGCACGTTTCGCTTCAGCGTTGAGCAATTACAGAACCACTCGCAAACATGGAGGCCAGTTTATTTACCTCCTCCCAGCAGTTTGGGGTGCAGATGGTGGACAGTCAGAAGACTTTACTTACCCAGGAGATAACGACGACTGGACATCATGGAATGCATTTCTTGACAGGACGCTTGACGATGTTATCAAGTCTGAAATGACCGAAGGACTTGTTATGGATATTTGGAATGAACCGGACTTGAGTTTCTTCTGGGGTCGTTCCATGGAACAATGGTTGGAGTTGTGGACTCGGTCGTTCCAAAAGATCCGGTAGGGCACCCGACATTCTTCGTCAATTGGAATTTTACTAACCTTGAACTAGAAAAGCTCTACCCTCTGTAACAATAACAGGTCCATGCATGTCTGCTATACCTTCAACATCCCACAAGTGGTGGACTAGCTTTCTCTCGCATTGCAAATCTGATAGTCTTCCTGATCAATGGGCATGGCACATGGAGAACGACGATGAAGCTTTCACCATGGCAAACTCAATGGCCTCATTCCATGCCCTGCTGAAAGAATTTGATATCTCCACTGAGTCACTGGACGTGAACATCAACGAGTACGCTGTTTATGGAGAACAAGTTCCCTCTGGCGGTGCTTGGTGGATCGCTGGTCTTGAACGGGAGAATGCTCAGGGTCTGAGAGGAAATTGGGCCATTGCTGGAGCACTGCATGACTTCCTTGCAGGTAAGTTGCCCACTCTGATTATCTTTACAGAGATACTGACCAATGCAAGGGCTTCTAAGTAAACCAGACGCCGGTACCGATAGCTATGCGGTCGAGGGCGAAGGATACTGGCCATCTGCAGAGTATCAAGTCTACAAGTACTACGCTTCAAGCATGACGGGCCAACGTCTCCAGACCAAGCCAAGCGCAGATACTCTCCTCGATGTATATGCGACAGTCGATGGCGATGTTGTACGGATACTGGCCGGTACTCGTTCAAGACCAGGTGATTGGGCTATCGAGATCAACACATCTCTTGGAGATACAAGTGTCAAGGTCAGAACATTAGCGTTCAAGACTATAGGTAAGGATAAGTTTAAGCAGGTTGATGGGCCAGAGGATCTGGGCGAGAGGGAAGAGGTGATCAAGGATGGGAAGTTGAGGCTCTCAATGAAGCATGAAGATTCATCAACAGCCTTTACGTTTGAGATAACCCTTCCCAAGGCAGAGTAGAGATAAAGATTCAACTTCAATCATTAAGATTACTATACTCGACCCTCACTACGAACAGTCTTTTGCGATTCATCGGTTCCGTTACGCCAAGCTTTGACTCGGCTAAGCCAGAGCGTCTAGCAAACTCAGATACTCTACACTCCTCCCCCACGCCAAAGACACACTCTCAAGAACTCTCTTCCCCTCCTTGAGTATCTTCCTCGGCGCCGTCTCAGCATAAATATCACCAACACCGCTTATATACGCCTTAGATACCCCCGTTCTTACGAATAATTGCACCATCTCGTCATCGTTAGGTCGATCTAGTCTTATGAACGTTGGGTTCCCGTCATCTGATTGATCAGAGGATACTTGCCGCGGGACATCTCCTGACGGTCTTTGGGATTTAGAACAGTATACGCTGTAGGCCCAGAGAGTTAGGGTGGCCCAGAATACGCAAGGCGGTTCGTAGAAGGCCAACTTTGCGTAGCGTCGGACGTGCCAGAGGAAACACCCGCAGTGTAACGCCGCAAGTCTAGCTTTTGACTAGAAACTATCAGTATGTATTGGCTTCTGGTCAGAAGAACTTACTCCGTCCTGCTGGGCCCATTCTGATATCTCACGTTCAGCCTGAAGTGCTCCCTGTTGACTTGCAGCCTTCCTCAAATGCTCCGGCTCCTGTAGATACTTTGCAAGGGTAATAATCGCCGTCCTCGGAACAAGCAACACCACCCGAGAGAAGTGAAGATGCAGCACAGTAGGATGCTCAGCCCCAAGCAATGAAGCTATGGTGGCATTCGCCGCCCAATGAAGTGTATCCACAGAATCCAGAGCAGAGTTCCTCCAGTTGGAGTGGGAAAGGTGGAGGAGATGCGTTTCGTCGCTGTGGCGCTCGGGGTTATTTTGTGGTATCCATGATGCAAGAGGGCGTTTACAATAGGTGCTAACGGTGCTGTATTCTTGGCAGACTGCGTGGAGGAGGAGGATGCGGGAAAATTCGCCTAGGTCGGTCTTGGCGGTTCGTTCGCGGAACAGTTCGCCAAGGGCGGTCTCGAGAGTGGGGTTGCCTGGGGATTGTTAGCCGTAGATTAGGATGTTTGGAATGCTGAGCTTACTGTCGACACGGCGATATGCCTGGATCCAGTCGGAAGAGCTTGAATGAGCCCAAAGAATATCGTGTGGGAGAGGGATGTGGGACACTTTAAAGGCGGTCGGCTGGTGGTCGTTGAAAAAGTACTCCCCCATACGATCCAATAGCTATTAACACGATTAGCTACTTACTCGGTCCGACAATGGCGAGGAAGAGATATTGGAAACCAACCCAGATAGAATAGCAAAGTCTCCGCAAGGTCTCATCTTCAATCCATATCAACCACCTCTCTTCATCGGTCTGCCCCATCTGGCTTGTAACAAAGTCGTCAGCCTGCGTGGCAGATCTCGTCTGGAACATATCAATAACCCTCTGCAAATTTCCCACTCGAGTACAGGTGGTCTGTCGAAGTCCACATCCGCCATAGTACATCATCCCGACCTGGCTCAACACAAGGGCCTGTGCAAGAGGTATGGTCATCTCGGAGTTCTCAAACTGAACAACCAAAACCCTCCTCAGAAACTCGTGAAATGGTCCGACACTGGCGTCGAGCTCCGTAGTAGCTGAGTATTGGGCCCCAATGGCACACACAGCTAGCGATAAAGTCCAGCTCCCATTCAGGTCTGTTGTCTGAGGGTGGATGAGTGTAAAGATGGGATTGAAGTGCTCAAAGAACAGCCGGATGCAATAGTCCAGAATGTTGCGTGAGGGGAAGTGACCAGAAGTGTAGCGTTGGAAAATGGAAGACTCAAGGCAGGTTTGTATAAAACCATCATATATCTGGGTGTAGTTGAAATCTGTCAGTATCGGCTCGTGACAGGCACCTTCCTCGACGATGATATGGCCTGTGTCTGGAAAACCTTTGCTCTTTCTGTTTTGAACTCTCAGCGATGTGTCCTGAGAAATCGAGGGTAATTGTTCGTATCCGTCAAGTCCAGGTGGTGGAAACAGTTGCTTCGACTTGGCAGTACACGGTCTTCGTGCTCCATTCAAACTTGTCGCATATAGATCTCCAGGAACAGTTCGATCAGAGCCTACGCTCAGCTGTGTGGTGACCCCCAAGCCACTCCCTGGAGAGACCGACGTGACTGTTGACAAACGCCTTGGCTGGGGATTGATGACGGGAAAGTTGGCAACGGCGTTGTTCATCATAGGGTCGCCACCAGATGCCTGGGCTGATGGATCGACGCCAGCTCCCAAAATGGAGAAATAATTCGTCTCGATCTCATTGTCATATGGTAGCCAATTGATGGGGAAATCCCAGTCAATGTCGCATGCGGACAGGTCATACTCGAAGTTTGGCGGCTGCTGATTGGGAGCTTCACCACTCCCATGATTGAACGGACTTTCTTGTGAATACGGACTTTGATTGGTTGTGAGTTCGAGGTTCAGATTTGATGGCAGGGGTTGAGCCTCAAGATGCATGGTTATCCTATCGTTGGAGTTGATAGGTGTTGCGCTTGGTGTGTGCGAGATACTGTATGCTTGAGAAGTAGGTGATTCAACCAATACTCCCGCTTTGCCTCTTGTTGTAGGATATGTGCAAGTCAAGGATCTGGCGGCGCAGCGTTCGCAGGGGCTACTTCTTGAGCATTTCTCCCTTGCTTTGGCACACTCCAAACACGCTCTACGTCGACCAGCATCGCGTTTCACCACAGCTGTAGAGTGGTCGTGTATAGCAGAGTGCTTGGATAAGATGTCACTCCACAAATCAGCATATCTCAGTGAGTGATGCTCCTGTTTCTTACCTTCGCGTGAAGCTCTTGTGGCAAACGTCACACTCAAAGGCCCTCGAGCTCTCATGGCATTTCTGGTGCCTCTTAAGATGCTCCTGTCTCTTGAAGTTTCGTGGGCATTGCGGGCATTGATATTTCTCCATGGATGTCGAGATGAGGGCAGCCAATGATGAATGTCTTGTGATGATGATCAGATAAAGCAAGAAGTTGATCTAGACTATACCCCACTCGTCAGAGGCGAAGTTCATTTGCTGAGTCATGGTCACTTGGACGCAACAGGTTTGAGCAGCACAATCTAGACTAGGCAAGCGATAGTGTGATCATCTGCCCAAGTACTAGACAGGTATCTATGAAAACTACTCTAATTGAAATATGAATTCAAGGTTGCACAGGAAATATCTGGAGCGAGTCGCGGTACGGGGACAACAAGGCAGAAGACAACAGGGATTGTGGTAACATCGATCAAGTCTTCCAATTCGTCAAATTGTCCCGTCCTTGGCCTTTCCTTGTAGCTCTTGACCCAGAATAAGCGTCAAATAATGGGAACGCCTCCAGATTTTAATAAAATAATTGTCAGGCCATTGGCCCCAAAAGATATTATCTCCGCACGAAAGGCCACGCCACAGTCATCACGAGCACTTTCTTCCCCTCTTTGTGAGAGTCATCCTTCTCCGGTGGGCGCTCCGGTGGGATTCCCTGCATCCCACCGCGCGCTAAGCCAAGTCCACCAATTAATTCATCATCAGTCCCAGTTCATGTGATAGAGTCCACCTTGAGAAGTCGTGAGCATTGATTAAAAACATTTACGAGGTCATCATTGGAAAGACTATCTCGTTCTATACCGACAATATGTCTCACCCTCAGTCCATCTTCCACCACACAAGCTTCACGCCAGGCTCAATCCTCCACCAGCGCAGAAGCACAGTCTCAAAAACAACCCTTCGTACTCAACTCACAAGACTTCGCGAGACTGGTCGATATGATTGCTTCAAGCTCCAATGGCATGAGATTTATGCGGACAAATCCATGTGGCCTGTCCCATTTCACCTCTTTTGGGATAGTGACATAGCGAAATGGATCGAGGGCGCTTGTTACTTTCTCCATGATGAGTATGATTCTGAGATTGATAGTGCAGTGCAGGAGCTGGTGGAAATGATCCGCTCGGCTCAGCAAGATGATGGATATCTGAATGTTCATTATACTGTTGTTGAACCTGGGAAACGGTGGACTAATTTGCAGGATATGCATGAGCTGTAAGTACTGCTGCTCCTGTATCACTTACCTTCTCACTCATATCTTAGGTATAATGCTGGTCATCTCATTGAAGCTGCCATAGCGCACCATCAGTACTACAAGAACAACCTTCTCCTAGAGCCCATTGAGAAATACGTCGCTCTGATCCATCGCACCTTTGGAAAGGCAGACGACCAGCTTCATGGGTACCCAGGACATCCCGAGATTGAACTAGCATTGTTCCGCCTTTACCAAGCCACCGGCAATGAAGACGCTTACGAGCTGTCCAAGTACTTCCTCGAAGAACGAGGCAACCCAAAGGGACAGGATGACCAGCGTTACTTTGAGTGGGAATCGAAACAACGCGGGCAGAGTCTCTACCATCGACCGGACTCGTATCCTGAACATGCCTCTCACTGGTATTGTCAAGCCCACCAACCTATCCTGGAGCAGCAAACCGTCGAAGGTCATTCAGTACGAGCCATGTACTTGTTAACTGCCGTCGCCGACATGGTCTGCATCGATATCTCGGGCACACAGTCACTGTCAACTTCATCACAGTGGAAAGACACGCTCTACCGCCTCTGGAACAACATGGTCGATAAGAAGATGTACCTCACTGGGGGAATCGGCGCTATTAAACAATGGGAAGGTTTTGGTCGTGATTATTTCCTCCCTCAAAGCACTGATGAAGGGGGGTGCTACGCAGAGACATGTGCATCCATCGCAGTTATGATGCTGGCAGAACGACTTCTCCACATCGACCTCGATGGAAAGTACGGTGATGTCATGGAACTTTGCCTCTACAACAACGTCATGACTTCGATGAGTCTTGATGGAAAGGCTTTTACTTATGTGAACCAGCTTGGTAGTTCGGAGAGTGACAAGAGTGTTAGAGAGGAGTGGTTTTGGTGTGCCTGCTGTCCTCCGAATGTCACGCGTCTTTACGGCTCACTGGGTGGTTATCTCTGGGATTTTAGAGAGACTTCGAAGAACGAGGCATTCATCAATGTGCATTTGTTCACTAAAGCTGAGTTGAAATTCAAGGCCAAGGCAGGAGAGGTCGTGCTGCAGCAAGACTCAGACTGGCCTTGGGATGGGCTTGTCAAGTTCCGCCTCAAGGCCCCTGACTCAGTTAAAACAACCATCAGACTCAGAATTCCAGGCTGGTCTAACAACCAATACACCGTGGAACCAAAGCCGGTTGATGGCAGTATGCACCTCAGCAAAGGGTACCTCACCCTAAGCTCGTCCTTCACAGCAAACCACCCTGAGTTCTCTCTTAGGATAGGAAACTTTACCCCGCGCTACATTACTCCGCATCCATATACCAACCAGCACACCTTGACACTGGCTCGAGGTCCCTTGGTGTACTGTATTGAAGATGCAGACAACAAGTGGGAAGAGAATCACTTCAAGGATGTCGGAATAGAAGCGAGTTGTCCCATTACGGAGGAAAGGCGATGTCTTGGTGGGAAGGAGGAGTATGTTGCTTTGAAAACATCATGCTGGAAACGAGCTTTGGACTCTGGGGAGAAGGGCTCGACACCTGGTTATGTGGTCAGTGGGTTAGATTCTGGCTTCAATGATGAGAAAGATGGTATCTTCATACCATATTATCTCAGGGCTAATCAAGGTGGGAACGGGCATATGAGAGTTGGGCTCCATCACATTACAGGCTAGGTCTCAAGTTGTACAATGAAACATTTAAAGACATTGGCCAGATAAATCATTCGCTTAGTTGGTTTGTTCGTTGAACTTGTGGACTATTTATCAACGCCAGGGTCTTTACATAACACCCTCTACCAAGCATCATCCACAAACCAGCTTGACTCCATAGCTGGGGCCATAATTGGTGCCTTCGGGGTAAACACCTTGATCTCCTCCACCTCCACCAATGCCGTCAATGATTCATATCGTTCTGAGATATCCTTACATCTGCTCATCCTCTGATCCCAAAGGTAGCGATCTCGCGAAGACATTGTCACTTCGGCAGCGCTTGCTCCCATCATCATTGGTATTGTGAGAGGAGCAGCTAGTCCTCCTGTCAATAAGGTCAAGACAGCAGCACCGGCTCCAAAGCGTGAGCGATTCAAGTCATAATTTCGCTGCGCCTCTTCCATCCGAAGGCTGGCGAATTGGTCGAATATCTTTTTGCAAATCTCTGTGGAGGAAATGCCGACAAAGAGGAAGGCTAGGATAATGGCGAAGTCAATGTTGTTCCAGTATTTATTCGTATCGTTCCACTCTAGTCGGAGAGAATCGAATTCTTCATTTGCTAAGTTAGCGATGTATCCAAGAAATCTCAGACTATTTGTAGAAACAATCACTTACCTTCATTGACTTGATCAATCTTGTTGTGATCCTTGATATGTCCAATGACTTGAGCCCTTGAGATGTTTCGAATTCTCGTTTCGTCCCACTGATCCCCTCGAGAAGCTACATTCCCTGGCTGATGATGCCAATAAAGCCCAGTCATAAACTTCTCCAGCACAGTCTTGGATGAATGCCAGATACTTTTCGGAATGAGACAAAGTGTCAATTCGACCTGGAGATTCGTTGATGGGCAAATCGGGGGGATCGTTGAGACCTCTGTACTTTCCCAAAGGATTTCGTCGCAGATTTCTCTGATGGTGTCTGGGCCGAAGCTGAAGCTGATGTCGTTGAAGATCAGTGGTGTCGCAACTAGGATTGCCACCCAGCCATCTGGTTTTGGTTTTGGTGCAGGTTTGTCTTGTTGAGATCCTGGTGAGTCACTAGTAAAAGTATCTGGACGCTGATGTCAGAAATCCATTCTGTCGAAGAGAAATCAACAGCACTTACCACGAGGCATTTGACATAAGATCCAGTTGACCAGAGCGAGTAGTATCCGCCTCATTTCGGAAGCGAAACGACGCAGCTTGATGGTTGTGATTTCCATCCTCCTCTTTGTAAGACCTCGAATCTGTTCATAGGGAGGTGTGATTGTCGGAAAGTCGACAGGCACAAAGTATTTCACCATGGCTGGTGCACTGTCCCATGCCTTGTCTAACTTGATGACAAAGTCGAAACCCCTTGATGTGAGCCAGGCCAACAAAGGGATAGCGCAGAGGTTTCTGTAGAACTGTAACCATTCTGGGCATAGAACGATCACAGTCGTAACTACAGAGACGAGAACAACGAGCTGTTGTTTCACCACGTCTAGGTCATGGCGCTGCAGTGGCGCCTGGGGCGAGCTGCGAGGCATGTTCTTGGTGGCCTCTGACTCTAACAAGGGCGACTTGTGAGCTTGAGATGAAGGAAGATAAGATGTGTAAAGACAAAGAAGAGAGAGACAGAGATGGTTGATAGCAGGTGAGTTGGGTCGTGATATTCGTGCCCACTCCCCAAGTATAAACCCACTATCTTAGCCGACCACCACATGGCGCACCTGGTCTCCAATCGATAACAGCCCCACATCCACTTTTCTGCGAGGTTACGTGTCTGAGAACAACAGACCGCATTTTGATTACACATTGTTTCAGACTCTTCTTTTACGACAGATTATGTTAGCAAAGAGTGCGATAGAGAAAGGTGTGTCATCGTAGTGATTTTGGAGAGGTCTGCCACGATGTAAGATGTCAGCAGTGGCTCAACTGCCGAGTCACAGCGCTCACCGCCACCATTGCCTCTCCCAACCTAGACGCCAGGTTGATGATAATTACACAACTGGCGAAAGATACTTTGGTCTAAAAGTGACAAGTGTGTGTTGTCAAGAAACCTAAGTAACTAGCGAGAAAAAAAGATACAATCTACATTCCGTACATCGAAACTCGGCCCTCAGAGTCTGATCCGCCGCTCCATATCCATTCAACAGATCACAGCCACTGCTTGTTTCCAAAGTGAGACACAAACGAACCACCACTCCCAGCTTCGATACTAGCCTTGTTGATAACAGACAGTACCGCCGTAGCAGATTCCTCAGGGGAAATAGGACCTGTAAAGTGAGGCGCATAGACCTGGAAAGCAGCAACCATCTGACGGTATCCTTCAATTTGCTCTTCGGTGGCTGTAACAATATTAGCATGCGGCTTTATCACCCCGAACTAAGAGACAAGAAAGATGTTTTGGACTTACCGTTGGACGTATCCTGGGTAGCAACAAGACCCGGTGAAATAGCCATGAACAACACCCCCTGCTTCCTGTACTCTGCATCGAACTTGGCAATAGCAATGTTCAGAGCACCCTTGCTCATCGAGTAACCTGGCCCGTCGATGATGGAAAATCGGGTGATAAGGTCAGCGTCCGCCATGCCACTCGAGATGGCAATGATCTTTTTAGCTTCGCCTTTGAGGATGAGTGGAAGGGCCAAGTTGAAAAGATGGACGTTTCCAACTGTGTTGATCATGTACGATTCGATCATGTCCTCTTCCAACCTCTGAGGCTCCTTTCCTCTGTACGATAGTGAGTGGGTGGTTGAAGCTTTGCTATGGCGGCGGTGACTTACAGTACGCCAAAGGGGTTGTGGGCCGACCACTCAGATTGCACTGCGGCATTTGCGATAATATAGTCGAGACTACCACCCGTGATCTTGGCTGTCTCCTCAATCAAGTTCTATCCAAATATGTTAGTCAATGTATACAGGATTCGAGAAAAGACGCACCTTGACATCTTCATACTTCTGGATCTCTCCCTGGATGGTATGAATGTTGGTTCTGCCAGGCAGTTCCTTTTGAATCTTGTCCTCGGTCGCTTTCTTATTGCGAACAAAACCAATGACGGTATTGTTTGAGTCAGCAGAAAGCTGGCGAACAAACTCAAACTTGTGAAAAAAGTAAGTAAGTTGTTAATTAAGTCTGGAGGTTTTTGAACCTACGCCGAGTCCTCGGGATGTTCCGGTAACCAAGTAAGAAGGCATTTTGAGGTGGTAGTGGAGTGGTACTTGTTCAAAAGTGGTTAAGTTTGTAAAAGTGTTGACGTTGAAGTTGTGTATTAATTGACTGTGAATGTATCCAAGCAAACAAGGACGCAGAAACCAAGGGCAATATATATATACCTTTTGAAAGAGAGCCCGTATTAATAATATCCTATAAAACTACGCTTCGTTATTTCTCGCAATAGAACAAGTCGCGACATATTATCGGCTTTGTAACTCGGTGATCTTATTTAATCCGTATTGGGTTAGATTGTGGAGCCTAAATAGTGGAGTGCTCGCAAAAAGATGCCCTGCGCCAGATCGCCGACCTTGCTTATGTGCATGAAGTCTAGCGGGACAAGAGATGTTCACACCATGAGATGATTCTTGTGTCACTTCTCTGCTTGGTAAGGACATCTTGTAATAGTTATTAATTTATTTGTCAGGCTATTTTCCTGATGTCCCGGCATCTTACCCGCTTTTTGCGACCTTTTGGCTAATATGTGGGTGTGTAGTATCCAATCCGATTCCCTGTGGTACCTGAACTGTCTGTATTGGGGGCAACTACAAATCTAGTACAAGGTTCCATAATGCAAGATCCTATAGCCCTTCTCTTTTATTGTAATTAAGATATGAATCGAAATGAATAGCAATAATACTCTAGGGAAGTAAGGTATACCAGGATGGAAATGTTATTCAAAACCTCTATATAAATGCCGGCACAGATCTTTGAGTAGAGCTAAGAATAATCCCCAGCTTGTGGACGTAGTCCAAGTCCCCCGAGACTAAATCGCTCTGGCTCCAGACTGTTTTAATAACTTGTTCCGTCGTAGTAATATTCCTATGCTGCCCATTCTGTATTGTTCTTTGCATAATGTCGAGGATGGTTATTCTCTGTTCTTCAGTCTGTGCCTCACAGCCAAATATCAGCAGAGGAAAGGGCCATTGACAGGCTGGAAGCTGGCTAAGCAATGCGAAAGCTTGGTCCACCCAACCTGGGAACCTCTGATCAGTCGTCAGGACACCTGACGAGGCGCGACGGAGGTAGATCAGAGTGGCTAATCTGTATAACTCGACCACCAGGTCGAATATGGGATTTGCTTTGCCCGTCGCATTATGTTCATGGTTAGCCCTTTCGGCAAGGCTCTGAAGTTGAAAGTCAAGGGCGTGAAGTTGCTTCCTGTAAGTCTCTGTGTTGTGAAGTGGATCAGAGGATGCTACCACAGTATTAAAGACCTCTGATAATAGATAGAGTATCTCGTGAGGTTTCCCACTTAGACTTTCAGGCTTGTATCGAGTAAGTCACTGTAAAGTGGATGAGAGATTGACATACCTGGCCTTGGCCGCACACAGCAGGATGGAATGTCTCAAAGCCAATATCAGACCCCTTGATCTGGTCAAGAGTAACATTCGGTTGCCAGTGCCGCAGACTAAACCTGGAAATAGTACCGCAGTAGTGCACCCAACCTACGAGAGCAGTAATGTCCGCATCTTGCTCCATCTCATCTAAACCCCCATTTTTAACAATTTTTGTGGCGCCGCAAGCATACCACAGCCAGTGGCTTGACTTCATTGAGTTTTGATGAACCTGTAGCATGTCAGTATATGAGGCCTGTTACTGTTAGCTTCCAAGGATCCTACCTCAAGTGTACAGAGAACGATCCCGGCTGCAACATGGCAAGCTGATTCGGTGATGCCAATGGGACCTTGCGTGGACTCAGCCAACTTTTGTAACGCAGCGACTTTATATCGAGATGTGCTTTGTAGCGCATCATGGCGATGAAAAGATGCTAGAGCAAGGGCTGACTTGAGAACTGCTGTTGATGAGGGAGATGTGTCGGCGAGTGATATGCGGATGAGTATTTCACGGACTCGCAATGCATCGTGCCCAAAGGCTGTAATAGAATATGAAGCTTTGTGAATAACTTGGGGATGTAAGTAACAGTCATTAAGTCATTCAAGATGGTGGGGTCTTACAATATTGGAATAAAACTTTATCCAATGAGCTCAACTGTATGTTGGTGCCCAGAGTGGGACCCCTTGGTAATGATAGGGACTTTCCTAGTCTGTTTAGGGGTTCACCACCGACAGCATCTGGAACAGACTTGACAACACCCTGCATTGAGATGCCATAAGTTTTAGTGGAGGATGAGACCAGATCATGCAGCTCAATGTCCGAGCAAGACGTGTTCACTGATTGATACTCTGCTCGAATGCGGTTGCGACGTGACTGTTTCGGAGTAGGCCCTACCTGAGCCCTGCGGGTGTCATTTTTCCGTGGCCAGGACAATTGCAGTCCATAGCCCTTGCATTCACGGCCAGCTTTGATGCAGCGGTTGCAATTCGGAAAGGCTTGGTCGCAGCGTACTTTACGAGCTAGCGATGATCTTAGTGGCGTAGACAGTAGACAGGGATACTCTCAGGACAGTCAAACCTCTACACGTTCCACACCCCAGAGATGGCATACTGCAGTTTGCAAGGGTTGGTGTTCTACTATTGCTCGCAAGAACTTTCCTCTGCCAGAATTCGTGACTCCAGGTGCGGGGTTGATGCTTTGAGAGCTGTAATATGAAGCGTTTCGCATACCTTCGCTGCTTACTTACCTGCGGACAAATGAGTAAGCAGCCACTTTTGTCTGTCCGGGGGTATGCCGGTAATTGCCGGTTCTTTCGTGCAACTTTTTGCGAGCAAAGATTACCGATCAAGGTTCGGAAACGGCTAAACTTCATCCGGACCAGCGCCTTTCTTGCCTGAGATATACAGGTAATATGCTATTTAAATTTACACTCATAATATGAAGGAAACGAAGAATAAAATCGCCTTTGGTATCTTCTAGCATTCTTTTTTCGGACCGCAACCAGAAGATAGCTCATCCATTGATAGCACCTCCATTTTCTATCTTTTAAGCAGGTCGTCATGGGCAATATCTTCCCCCCTGCCATTACGAAGAAGAAGACAAAGGCCTATACAGGCGACACATCTAGCAGTTCATATAGACAGCTGGTCTCATATTAGTACTTATTTTGGTGTGCTCAAAAAAAGTAAAGATCGGTCAGTTGACTCACCATTGGCATATAACGAATATTGATCAGCATTATAGAGACAAGAAAGAGCGTCCAAAGCGGTCGCGTTCTCATAACCATACGCATAATCCTGCGTCGAAACCTCCTGCTCATACACAGCTCTTGCATGCGTCATCTCATGGATCGTCGTAGTGGCCTGATCCTGCTTATGACACTGTTCAGGTAGTGGGGGCCGCGTCTCGTAGAACATCGGACACATGGTGATATAGCCATTGACCCAGGTCGTGTAAGCAATCAAGGGCCCATCGCTCTCACAATATCCAAACTGGTCTGAGCAGAGAACTCTTGTGTTGCCGCTGTCAGAGGTAGCACACTCTTCAGCGACGGCCAGAAGCCGGCCTGTGACGTGCTCGCGAGCTTGGGTCTCGTTGGACTTGAAGTACTCTACAAATCTGGCCGAGTGCACGTTTGAAGAATCGGCGGCCGCAGCTCGAGCCAGCTTCTCGCAGTTTCGTACAGCGTCTGAAGTGGCTTTGAGCTTTTCAGCATCGCATGAGTCTTCCTGGATAATAGTTCGCTTCGATGCCTTCTGCTTAACCTCCGCTGATGATGCTTTGTCAATGGTGATTGAGAGCGGTTGGGACTTGAAAGAGATCAAAGTGGGCTCTTTTGTCTTTCCCAGAACTGAAGGGATTGTGCCCTCGGCTTGGACAGAGTAAGTACCAGGTTTGAGGTCATATATCGTTGACAGGTCCACAGTTCGAAGGATAGAAGAGCCAACCGATAAGACTTCATAGTCTTGAGCACGAACTCCTTCATAGTCTAGGCTCAGCTTGATACCCATGAAAGGAACAGTATCTCCTGAGAGAGGTCAGTTATATGGCTTTGTCGCTCACCATGCCACGTACCATTCTCGTCCATCAGTTTCACTTTCTCGACTGGCCTTTCATCAAGGAATGTACCAATCTTCAACAAACTCAAATCTACCGCCCCATCATTTGTGATTGTCGCCTTGACCTCGGTCGGCTTCCCCGGAACAGGGGCCAGGGTGATGATCAAGTTGTCGGATTGTCGAGCATATTTGTAGGGTGAATGCGACTGAACGCCGATAGCAAGGTAGGCCACCGAAGCCAACGCTTGAAGTAAATGCATCTTGTTTCTTTGCGAATGTGAGAATTACAGTCTTGGAGCTTCGGCGGCTAGAGAAGAACTTTAAGTGCATAGTGAATGGTGTACACGGACTGCCAAGACTTGAGATAGGGGATTGGCATAACTGAAACAGCGGAGTTGAATACCAATAAGAGGTAACATTCCGCCTGCCAAGACTACAATACGAGATATTTCCCTGGCCATTCTCTTCAATACAACGCTGAAAGCAACTTGAATACTATAATAGGTTTATATTTTAGAATGAGTCTATGACTTGGGTTAGCTGTGGAGGTTACATATGCATAACAAAAATAAATTGTAGGGCACGAGGCACAAGCTATAAATAGTAACAGTAGAATTAACTTTACTTATCCTCTTTCTAGTGGGAGGTATTGTTAAGGTAGGTTTTCTCACACAAATCTAGTCAGGTAATAGACTTCACTGTTGAGCCTCATATTGACGCAATAAACAATAAGTACATTTAAGCTATGTAAGATCTATAGACCACTGTAGTCGCTGCTATTCCGCGGCTATGTCCACTGTATAAAGAATGTATTGAAGAAGATGTTTGTTTGGTCGCTCAAAGCACTGAGCAACCACTGTTCATTCCACTAGCTCAACCCCGTGGCGGGAATAACGCGTATATAGTGATATGAAGAAAAAGAGACATTAGAAAATTAGAAGGAGTGTCATATCGTGTCGTAAGCCCTGCTAACAGGTAGGGACATTAAAATTCTTTGGCATGGAAGCCGGCCCAAAGACTCAAGCAGTATAATACGAGATATACACCTCTTAAGCCTTGTACTCCTTGTGGGGGGGCTTCTCGTAGCCGGGCTTGTGGTATGTGGGGTGAGGCTGCTTGGTGACGGTCTTGGTCTCGGTGACAGTCTTGTACTTGGTGACGGCGGGCTTGTGGATGTACTTGGTGGAGGTCTCTGTCTTGGTCTTGTACTTGGTCTCGTACTTGGTGACGGGAGGCTTCCACTTGGTGACAGTGTCGGTCTCGGTGACGGTCTTGTACTTGGTCTCGTACTTGGTGACAGGAGGCTTCCACTTTGTGACGTACTCGGTCTTGGTGACGGGAGGCTTCCACTTGTACTTTGTGACAGTCTCGGTCTCGGTGACGGGGTACTTCTTGGTGACCGTCTCAGTCTTTGTCTTTGTGATCGGGGGCTTGTAGATGGGCTTGGTGACGGTGTGAGTGACGGTTGCGGTCACGGTCTTGGTCTTGCCATATCCGTAGTCTCCGTTGGGGCTGGCAAAGACCAGAGGGATGGAAAGCAGGGGAGCAATCACAGCTGAGAACTTCATGTTGTCGGCTGAAGCGAAGGTGTTGAGTGAAGGAGTATGAAGTTGTAGCTGTTGCTATGAAAAAAAGATGAGGATGATTGAGCCAGTGGTTGAAGCCTGGTGTGATATTTCTCAGATTGAGGAGGGAACTGGCAGTCTTTATACAATTTCCTTCACTAATGCCTCTTCAGCCTGTTCAATTATTGTGTGATCTTATCAGACTATGACATGAACATGTCTGGTCAGATCATTATTCGAGTTAGACTCATCTTCAAGCAGATAATCCAATATCGGGCGCCTTGCCTGGCCGCACATCCAAGGTGGTTGACATTGGGTAGCCCTCTAGACTCAATATTTACACGTCGGACACACAAGGCTACCAGTAACAATGTCGAGATTCAGCCATAAGCTCGTATCTGCTGGTGAGCTCGTGTTGATGCAGGTCGGCAGCCATTATTGATGCAGGACGGGAATAATGTTCAGCCATGAGCAACAAGACTGAGCAAGTAAGCTTACCGGTCAAAAGACGCTTTGCGATAATGGTCGCTTTGCATATCAGACTACTAGAATTATTTCTTCGGGATTGGGCAATCACCGAGCCTGGCCCTATACTCCCCCTGCAACCGTGGGTACGGTGGCCGACGATATCACCAACACTAGCTGACAACAGCATACTGCATAGGCAATTGCGTGATCGTTGTTATTGGCCTGAATGCTTATCTTTATCAGAACATTTACAGCCGACAGCACATCATGAATCATGCCATCCGTATCCCAGGAAAACCAGCTCCAGGTGGTTAGCATGCATGGTACCCAGTAGCTCCAGGAAACCGGCTGTGCCGGTACCATTTTGCGGGGGATTACCAGGTACGCGAGCTTGACACGAGAGGGGGGTTACACGCGCTCGTACGCCAAGCTTTCCAAGCAATATTAATGCCCGGACACTCAATTGACCAGCCATTGGGTGATGGATCATCAATCATCCAGTCTCACTTTATCCGTGGAATAATTGTCTTATGCTCGGAGACTTTTCAGCAATGCCTGTTGCCCAGAACCTGCTTTGGTTGCTTTTGAGGATGATCCTTCTGGTGGTAGCCTTACGGTAAGCGTGAGAATCAGCAAAAGTCCTTGACCAACAGCAGTCTCACGCAAATCCATACGACACGTTGACCGGTCCCAATGGGCTTACTGTGCATCGCATCTGCAGGCCAAGACCCCCGCATTATTTGAAGTCTCGCCACCAATAGGCAGTCTGGGCTGACAGCCGGTTTTATGGAGATTTTAACAAGCTACCGTCAATAGTTGGTCCTGGAGAGATCGCGCAATCGGGGATTCATGCTGTGATTCGCTGCTAATGTTTTCTCAGGTCCGATCACCGCGATCAAGGAGAAGACCATGACGCTAATAAAGTTGCAACACCACTGGCGAGTGCAGTGTGGTTAGGGCTGACGCTGGGCTGATTTAGACCAGGTACGGACAAACGGTAGCGTCAGCCGGTTCCTCTGAGCTATTTCGTCGTGAATTATCCCCAAAAGCAGATTTTGCAATTCAAGTTGAGTAATCTCTGACGATCCTTCGCTGGCCAGACTGGGCTTCAATAGTTGTTCTTCAATGGTGTATATTTGGTGTTCCTTGTCAATTAACACGTAGAGTTGCATCAATAGTTTATTAAGCCTGGTGGCCAAAGCTGTGAAAAGGACGCCACTCAGTTAGGTGCAGCTAAATCACAAATCCATTGGCAGGTAAGACTGGACGACCGACGGCGAGGCGTTCGAGGCTGCATAATAATTCAGGTTTTAACAGAATTCAGAGTGATGAGGCAACGCTCAGACCAAATAAAGTTACCGCTTATGTTTGTTGAGAGCGTTGTCGCATCTGCTGAATTAATATTGACTAGCTATGACTTGATATCACCGTCATGTATAGTTAGCCCTATACAAGGTCTTCTGCAAGACGACAATCACCCCACTTGGTGGTATTATTATTACCAACAGCTATGACCATGACAATTGAAATCCGCCCAGACGATGTTGCATTGCATGGAACCTGGACGGCCAGAACCATCAGATTTGGTGCATTGCAGGATTACATAACTCGGGCGTTGGATTTGCTGACAGCTCTTAAAGTACGGTTATAATAAGCTGTGAGATGATCTCGGGTCGTGGCGTCACTAGAGCGACAGCCAGTGCCACTTCCGTTGGGTGAGACCGTTGCCGAAGTTTGTTCGTATCTTGGTGAGATGGTGGTACCACGTTGGTCTACCTGCAACGGCCAATCAACATCACCGCTAATCAATTGATGGAAACTCTCGTATTTGTGGACTCCCCTCCCGCTCAATAGCTTCAATTTCTCCTCGAGTCCCTCCCAGCCATCTCATAGTTAGTAACTAAAGACATCCAGACTCCCCGAACTCCCCGTTTGCCATTGTCTGTGCCTGTCCACTAGACACTCAATTTTGAGTTTCTGTAAAGCTTGTGCTACTCCACAGATGTGGTTAAAATTAGGGCGATATTGCGTGCTGCATACGAAGGTACAACTCTAAAAATAACTGCAGCACAACGGGTGGTGACAACACATGAGGCCACCATTGGACGTGTATGACGGGAAAATGCCACAGACCAAGTGACAAGGGTTGCATCATGAATCAAGCACATTATAGCACGGGACATTATTGGAAAATCTTGCTCACTCTTGTCAAACTTGGATCGGGCCAAAGACAAAGAGACTGTGACAAACTCGATGCTTTGAATTGCAGAAACTGGGATTTTTAACCTCAAGACTCGTATGACAAGATCTGAGAATAATGCACATTGCCACATCTGTAAGATGAAAGCAAGACTGCCAAGTGACGAATTGGAGCAATAGGTTGATGTTAGAAGTCTACCACTAGTCTTGGATGACGTTGGAGGATCCTTCGTCTATCAAATCTTATCGCACAAGCGCTATCTTATCTAGATAATCCATAGCCCTCTATTTCTGGTGTTTTCTTACGATTATCGAGTGGCGATCACAACAGGAGTCAACCTAGCTCGCTCAGAAAATCAAATCCGATTGAATTAAGTAAAACAAGTCATATTAAGTAAAGATTTTAACCATTCGAATCATTCTAGTTTTAACCCTATATTTACTTACAGTAAGTCAATTTAATTGTAGGATTCTTTGGATAATAAAATAGCTTTTATTCTTACCAGCGTATAGGGTAGGTAGGGCCTATCTACCACTTATCTTATCTTCTCCATCCTATCTTATCTTATCCGGTATTTATCTACCCAGCACCCCACAACCAATTTCATCCAATTCGTTCAGATCTAATTTTAGCCTTTCTAAATTAAATCCACCGGAAAGAAAAATGTGAGATATGATTTGTTAGAAGCCCTGGTTATAACAGCATTCGCAAGGCCTGTCTTGCGTTTCTTACTCAGCACCGACATAATCTCCCCTTCTCAAATCACAGTCTCGGCAATGTTTTTAGTTGCCTCTTTTCCCTAGTAATATCTACTTTGTCTCCCTCAGTCCCTCGCGAGAGCTATTCAAAACGGGAAGCTCGGTGTATGAACTATCAGCATCTTGGACTTGTTAGTGAAGATCACGCTTGAGTGAATTGAGAATAACCCACCAAGCTTAAGTCTCGGTTCAGCAAAAGTTGGAAATAGAGGTCCAGGGTGGAGAATTGTTTGTGCCGACGTTGCGATAACAATCATCCTATAGTTCAGAAAGTTAGAAGCCAATCGAGGCTGAGAAAGGGACTTGGGGTAACTAACAGGCCTTCAAGAATAATAAATGGAACTTCCTCCTTCATCATCTTACTGCCCCAACCTCCTTGCATCTCAGCAATGCGGTAAACACAACGGATGTAGATCGTGATGAAGGCAGCAGAGACTCCACCGATGAAGCATCGAAACTTGGAACTCTGCCAGATTTGAAGCGCATCGCCAGCCAAAGGGACGGACATCGCTGCCTGAAGGCGCCTCACGGTGAAGAGCAATGTTAAGAGAGCAAATATAGAGAGAGTTACCACCTGGAAGGCGATACCTGCCATCATAATGCTGTTTCCCATGTTGACAGCGTCTTTGTCGCCTATACGAGCTGTCGCCGCGATACCACCACCTGCAGCTTGGAGGACCAAGGATATGATGTCCGCGCCGATGAAGAGAATGGTGTACTGCTTCGGTTTCAGAAGGGACCACTGGGGACCAAAAACGGTGACAATATGCTTGAGCATGAGATATATGGCTGCGCTGTTGAAAGCTGGGCCAATTATCAGGCAGCAGACTTGAATCTGAAATGGCATGGCGTTGAAAGGAAGAAAGTGCATGCCAATGCGTCCTCCGTAGCCCACCACCTGGGCCAAGCAGCCCAAGGACAAGACAACGGCATAAGCGCGGATGCGGTAGCGAAGGCCGAGAAAAATATTCGCAAAAAATGCGATTACGAATATTGCAGCAAAAAGGCAATTGACCCAGAGATTAACACGGTATCCGTACGTGGTGTTTTCGATGGGACACTCTTTAGAGATGTGAACGCATAATAGTGGATCTGTTGCCATTTTCAAGGACTGGTGGTTAGAAAGGCTGTAGCTGTGGTGTTGAGAAAAGCGAATTGATTTTGAGTGTCGATAGTACAGACATTATCATGGAATCCTCCACCTCTTCTTATATAAAGAGCCCCTCGAGATATCTTCCCCTTTAGAAAATTATTTTCGCATCTCGGTCTTTAACCAACTACCTGTGATTGGCCGAAAGACCGAAAATGGGAGGCATTGTCTTAGGCTCTTAGCGCACTGGACTGGTGAAAGGAAGAATATTGGGGCTGTGTATCATAGCACGCGTAATAGAGATGCGTGTACAGATATAGAATAGGATCTTTAAGCTTGCAATCCGACGGTAAAAAATCAGCTTTTGATTCTATGGCTGAAACATTCCAGGCACCAAATTACATCGCAATCCTTCCACTCGGTCTTTACCCCAGCCACTCTCACGGCCGTAAGACGGAACAACTTTCAACACCGTCTCATTGGTCAGGTGTCACTTTGGTCCCGTTATTTTGCTCGGTCTTTGACTTTACACTAGGACGGTTCTGGCAATCGTTACTCTCCTTCAGCTTTGTTGCGTCAGAGGTTAAATTGTGCATATCTTAAAACCTTCGGTCTTTGCAGCTGTCGGTCTTCGCTCTTTGGTTTTCATCCACTCAGACCAAGCACAACATGGAGACTCTGCCTATCAAAGAGGCCAAAGCCAAGCGGACAAGGACTAACGTGAAGCAATCTAAGAATGGCTGTTTGACGTGCAAGTACGGTTACAGTTGATCCGAAGCCGATGACATTAACTGACCAATTACCTAGAGCTCGACGAATCAAGTGCGACGAAGCCAAGCCGACTTGTCAACGTTGTATAAGTTCTAAGCGGGAGTGTGGAGGCTACCCGCGTGATATTGTCCAGAACTCGTCGCTTAAAGCTTTGTCAAGCTCTTCCTCCTCACCTTCATCCTCAGACTCGCTGTCAGGTTTATCAATAATATCATCTGCTTCCACGCCTATGATTACACTTGCATTCACTCCTCAGCAATTATCAAGCCCCTTCGTCGCTCTAGCATGCAACGTCCTTGTATCTAGCCCCCGACGAGCCAGGACCGATATTGAACAAAACCTCTGGTCTCATATTGTACCCCAACTGGCTCATTCAATACCCTCTGTGCGAGCCGCAGTCGAAGCTTTTGGCTCCTCCTACAACGAATATGTCCTCAAGGTAGACACTCCCTGTCCAGGCCTGGAGACCACCAAACGATACGCACAGGCTTTGAGGTTGGTTCAGTATGATCTTGCTACGCTGCAGTACGGTCCTCTTCCTGCTATCGTTGCTTGCTTGTTCCTCGCATGTGCAGAGGCTCTTCAGCAGCGCTTGAACAAAAGTCACCTGCATCTTCTTGGCGCGTTTTCCCTATTGTTGTCTGGCGCAGGCAGCAAAGCACTAGCCACCATCGATATCGAGAGTGTGTCTTTCCTCTTCCAAAAGCTTGATCTTCACGTTGCAACCTATGGAGTGTGCAATCCGCCGCACTTCCCTCCTTTATCTCCGATTATGACAGACAGCATTATATCTCTCCCGCCTGATCGATCTCTCTACAAGATTTTACATTCGTGCTACCACTTCACCGCCCGAGCACATCAGTACAAGTACACCAATCGTCGAATAATGCCACCTGAACTTCTTATTGAGCAAGGCCGCCAGATTGGAACCATGAAGCAATGGCTGTCGTGCAATACTGTGTCATTACCTTATGACGTTGAATCGGATGAGTCGCTTTTGGTTCTCCGTACTCAATGTCTCGCTGCGCTGATCCATGCATCCACCATCCTCGATCCTCGGGAGACAAGCTATGACTTCTACGGCCCGGACTTTGAAGAAATTGTCACTACAATAGAAGTTCTACTGATGAGGAAACACTCTCAACAGGATTCGCAACATGACAGTTTACCATCCTTTATCCCGGAAATGGGCATTCTCCATCCTTTGTACCTTACAGCAAAGAAATATCGGAACTCTTACTGGCGCCGAAAAGCCCTGCAACTGATTCGCAAATGTGGTAGAGAAGGTCCGTGGTGTGCTGAAACTGAAAGTTCAATAGTCGAAGCTGTGATCAAGACAGAGGAGGGATTGCCCGACAAGGCGTCACTGGATCTTTCACAGAATGAAGATGCCACTACTCATAATCCCTCTAACATCCCCGAGAAAGATAGAATTAATTGCAGCTGGACAATCGATCCAGGCAAGGAGGATGGAGATTGTACTGTGGTGACTCGTAAGAGATATACCAGCGCTGTAATGTTTCAATGCATGGATATTGATGGAATGCTACATGATTCAGAGGGACAGCAACCTCGAGAATTTCCTTGGGTGGATTCTAAGTGGTGGAAAACATGGATTGTGTCACTTGAGTGATGGGCTTGGGTAGAACTAGACAGCTGAGTATTAATTGCTCTTATTTATTAAATATGTATGCTGTTGTTGTTTTACTAGAATTTAAATTACCAGATTAACCATATAATTAATCTTAGTAATTAAGTTTGAATGATCCCCACAAGCTAGCACATGTACTATATCTTATCTCATTACCCCTCACTGAGTACTGACGGTACCTTACTCCCTTGCTCATCCCTTTACGCGCCTCTCCTCATTCTGACGTGATCGATTAGAAAGCGCGTTATTGAACCGACACTATGCCTCCTCGTCTAGGGTTTAGAAAATCGCGGAGGGGATGCTACAGATGCAAGCAAAGACGCGTCAAGGTATGCTTCGCTGAGCAACGCGCAGAGGGGAAGAAATACTGACCATTGAGCCAGTGTGACGAAAAGCAGCCGTGTGCTGCTTGTACGCGACACGGCGTGTTGTGTGTCTTTTCGGGACCTTCGGATGCCGAAGCATCTTCAACCAATGAGGTTAGTCTGCTGTGTCTGCTTGCATGATGTTTCTGACCCACGGTTACATAGCCTGATACCCAGAAGGATCCACAGAAACGATCAAATGCCGACTCGTGGATATCTCCGGCTCTCAGCTCAGATCCACTGCCATACCTGGCTAAGTTTGTTACGGGACCAGAGACGATAGAGCAGAGTACATGGCTTACAGATCTTGAGCTGATGCATCAGTACTCAACGTCTACTTATCTTACTCTCCCGCGAGCAGATGAACTTCAGCAAGTATGGCAGGTTGAGATGCCCAAATTAGCCCTGAGCCACGTTTATCTTCTCCATCAAGTTCTTTCTGTTTCCGCATTTCACCTCGCATCCCTCAACCCGGACCGACCAGACTACTCAATATGTGCGTCACAGCATCAAAACAAAGCTGTCAAAGGCCTTCGGTCAGCCGTCGCTTCCATCACAGAAGAGAGTTGCCTGGAAATCTTTTTGGCGTCTTCGTTGCTATCTATCGGCGCATTTGCTGGCTTTAGCATACCGAATGCAGGTCAACAGCCTGGCATAGACGATCTTCTGGATGTGTTTGCGCTGACTCGTGGCATGAATAATATCTTGAACAGATACGAACCCTTTCTCAAACGCAGCAGTATCGCGACCTTCTTTCTTCGAGGAAACCATGATGAGTCAACACCTGTCCTTGCGTGTACTCTGAAACAGCTTCAACAAATAGTCATACCTGACGTATTTGATGCTGCAGTTGTCGCGATATGCCAAAGCTCAATCACGTCGGCTGTTTCCTTGATTGAAAGCATCATCGGTACAACATCTCGACCCGACTGGCGTATCGCTATGATTTGGTGCTTGTCTGCGAGCCCAGAATATCTTGATCTTATCCGACAGCGCCAACCTGTTGCTCTAAGTATCCTTGCGCATTATTGTGTTGTGTTGGATCACGTAGGAAAGTCTAGTTGGTTCATGAGGAATTGGGGCAAACCTGTCCTTGAGAACATTTCACAAACTATCGACCCGCAATGGAGGACAATGATTCAATGGTGTATTGACGCCGTTGAGTGTGAAAGAAATATCCAAGTCTATTGATTCCCACAAGTAAAAAACGAGATACAAAGGAAATAATAAGAAGTACTAAACTAATACATGTCCATGTGCATGGTTTCGTCACCTTCAAGACCTTGCAAGGAAGCCCCAGCATCACCTCTCACTTCAATGTTCGTAGGTCGTTACCAGACTCCTGTGATAATTGCTGAGACACCTCTGTATCCTTTCGCATGGCCACACCACGGGGGAACCCGTTCTTCTTGAAGAATCGCCAGTCCAGGTAGCTAACGACTGCGAGATATTTGTACATGGGACTGATTAATTAGTCTAGCCCTTTGATAAGTAAGCAGTAGAGAGACATACCTGAGAATACCAGCCAGCACGACAACAACCCAGCCAACGGCACAGCTTGCCCCCACGCACAAGTTGGTATTACCACGGAGCATCATGAAAGCGACAGCTGCCCAGAAGACAATCTCCATGGTGTTGAGAATGAAGTAAGCCTTGAGGCTGCCCCAGCGATGGAAACGACTGAAGTGTTCTGTGAGGATCTCGTAGGAAAGAATGATGAGGGACTTGGCACCCTGAGATTATTAGACACTGTATTTCAAACGTGGAAAGATAAACTTACCATGCCAAGACCCATTGTAGCGGAGCGACCGGGAGGTCGGTTAGGCAGAAGAAGCCGTGCACCAGACAGGGCAATAACAGTAATGATCAAAATGACCTGAACAACCTGGATTGGGATCTTATTTCGAAGGGTGAAGAAGGGTTCCATCTTCTTGAGAAATGTGGGCGTCATGTTGAAAGGTGGTTGTAGATGTCTGGAATAAGAGTGTAGATTGTGTTTGTGCGTTGAGATAAGATTGCTGAAGCTTGAGATGATACTGATGCCCAGAAGTGATGTTGGTAGCAAGACTTTATAATTATTGGAATTCAACTTAAAACTTGAGGATTAACCTGCCGGTACTTCTAAAACTATTATGACGCGGCAGTTACCGTTTAGTGCGTCTAGACTACCACACATATGCTGAAGCTGTTGAAACAGAAACCGAGCTCTGGGGCTTAGAGACGAGGCATTGCTCAGATTCCAGCCTTACCGTCACCAACATTACCAACCTTACTGTAAACTAACCAGCTAAGCCATACAAAGTTATTAAGCTTCGAGGAATATCATCGAAGCTAAACACAGCTCAAAGCTCAGTCTGTCTGTGCTGTTAAAATTATCCTTATCTTCCCTGAGGCCAGTGCTTTGATTGGTCCATGTCATCGGTTCCGCTCTCGGTTTCGGTTTCGGTCCCGGTTTTAGGGTTTAGATCGACCTCTCTGGCGGGGATTTGCATGAAAGACAAAGCCGCTGTTCCGTGCGCTACGCGTATAGGTGATGTTTTTCAGGCATTGGTAGGTTAAATTTGGCTCTGTTTTGCCTGAAACGTGTTCTAGTTTAATTATTAGAAAGGGATCGACGTACGGGGTTCTCCTTTAGCGACCTTACGTGCTACAAATCGAGCAGGAGGAATAAATATACGTCTCCCCGCTCTTCCGGCTTGAATACGGCGTGTTTACTTCTATTATCTGCATTTTTAACATGGACTCTAAGAACCAACAAGTGTTTCTAGGCGCTTCAGGGTGAGACTCGTTATTCAACCTAGCCGACTTGCACTAACATGGAAAGCCCTTTACCGCCCCCAAGCTACTCGGAAGCCACTACAACAGATCCGCTTACGACAGATGGCTTCGGTGTCTCCCCAATGACAACCACATCTAGCCCAGTGACTTTCAATGTCTCTGTATCCCCAATGGCTACACCGATAACATCTCGATCTATGGAGACGTTAACACAATCACACCTCACCGACTCTGAAACGTATCCTTCTCACCCAAGCACGACAGGAAACGATGTAGCCCGACGAGTCGACTCCGATTGCCTTCCACAGGCTGTTATACCAGATGGACTGGAACTTGCTCTCGTGGAATACTCGAATAACCGTGACAACCTACCTATTGTCCACACACCACAATCAGATAACACCGAATACTTCTCTGGCCTCGAAGTCGTACCTGTTCAGCGCTCAGTCAATAGTGTGACACCTCTACACCTTCTTGGAGACCAGCCAGAATCGATTGATTGCCCTTTCTGTCTACGCCGGAGCGAGACGCGAGTGAAGAAGAAGCCATCAAGCACAACGCAGTATGTTATCACCTCTAGTGCTCGGAGCCAAGCTAACTCGGACAAGTTTACAAGCTGTTGCGCTGTTGATGACAACAGTCTGTGGAGCAGCTGCTCCTTATATAGCGCAGTGGTCTTTCAACATTGAACAGTTCTGTCAAAACTGTGATAACAGAGTGATGTATAGGGCAAGAGGAAAGGATGTGACAGTTTGCAAAGCTCCACCTTCTTGGAAGGAAGAGTCGAGATACCCTGATGCAAACTTGGATAAAATCTAGGGAGGCAGGCTATAAATGGGAAAAGATTCGCAGGATACCATTTTTAGCTTCTGGCACGAACAACTTAATTAATAATATACTCCCTAGCCTCTCTGAAGTGCTAGGTACTAAACACCACCTAACTCAGCCTTCTGCCACGACTTATACCAATAACTCCCATATGGGTCCCTTGTTGTTTTGTGCTTCATTCAAATCATCCGACTGCCTGAGTTCCTTGTTGCTATTTTACAGGTACCTAGCGCTAGTTGCTTAGGATAAAGGCCTAGATAAGCCTAACTTGCACACACAAAACCGATTTCGCGCACGGACATAGCTATCATTATTTACTATACGCGTAGTGTCTAAAACTAGACAGGGTGCTAATGATCGGCATTCTTGATACGCGTAGCACGGAATAATGTGCCGGTGCATTACACATTCCTTTATGCATAATTTCGGTCTCGGTCTCGGTTTGGTTTTTAATAGCCTAAGGCTTAGACTCACTCAAAGTCAGTATTACCTTGGACTTCAACAGTGAACTGACGTATATATTTATATTAATTTGGATCAAGGAGGCTCAGCGGATCGCACTGATACTTATATAAGGACATAACCACATAGCCTGCGAAGTAAATTAATTACAAAGCATTCAATTACTTCCAATCGTTCATTCTCAATCATACACTCCCTTCGATAAACATTATTTTTCTCTTTCCAACAATGCGACTCCTTACGTCGGTCATCTCAGTCTCGCTTGCTGGAGGGTTAGCACAAGCCAATCATGTTGAGCCTCGAGATCTTGTTGTCTACGACACGGTCAAAGTAGCTTGTTCGGAGCTTCAAGACAGTTATCCTAAATTGACGCTGTTTCCGAACACCACGGACTACGACGATGAGGTCATCAACACCTGGGATAAGCGCGCCAACTTAATCCCCGGGTGTATCTTCCGCCCAACAAAGGACACCCAAGTTGCTAAGGCACTTTCCATCTTCCACCGAAACAAGGCCGAATTTGCGGTCCGCGGAGGCGGTCATTTGCCTGTAAGTTATCAAATCAATTCCTTGTTTGTAAATCGCTGACCAGCCATAGTATCCCGGCTCGAACAGCATCAATGATGGTATCCTCGTCGTGCTCGCCGGCCTGAAGGAGACCAAGGTGAATCTTAGCAAAGGCACTGTCGAAGTCGGTGGCGGTTGTGTCTGGAACGATGTATATAAAGCACTCGGACCTTATGGGCTGTATACGAACGGCGGTCGACTCAAGACAATCGGTGTTCCCGGTCTGACCTTGCTCGGCGGAGTCCACTATTTCCTCAACAAATATGGCTTCACGATGGACAGCGTAGTTAACTACGACGTTGTCCTCGGAAACGGTACAAAAGTCCAAGCGAACCGGAAACAACGCCCCGACCTCTTCTGGGCCTTGAAAGGCGGCGCTTTGAACTATGGAATCGTCACCAAGTTTGAGTTCAAGACCTTCAAGGCCCGTCATGTTACCAGCACTTTCCAGATTTTCCCTGAGTCGGCAGCAAAGGATTATATCAAGGCCGCATGCGACATGGTTCTCTCAGACGACGGGTCTGTCGGAGCGGGTGCGGTTATCAACATCAACTACAACACAACGACCAAGAAAGCTACACCGCAGATCTTTGGCCTTCAAGAAGGCACAAAGTCACCTCCATCCCGGTTTGCCAACTTTACTGCTATCCCGAACGCTGTGACACGAGTCCATAATGTTACTACTCCGGTCGAATGGCACTCTAAGTTTGATACCCCGAACCAAATGTTCCGGTCAGTCTGATTTATCTTATGGAGGTTCAAGAAACCCCCGCTAATGTTGTCTCCCTTCTAGAGTCTCCTTTGGTCACCACACGATAAAGCCCGATGCCGAGAGATTAACCGAGATTTACAAGGCGTGGATAGAGGCGATTGCTGATATCGTGGATGTTCCTGGCCTTTTCCCAACCTTCATTCTTAACCTGGCTCCGCGAACTGCAGCAACCGTGGCCAAGAAGAACGGAATCGGCAATACTTTTGGTCTGGACGACAAGGAGCCTCATATCTGTAAGTTGACCCAAGTACTGGAAATGCGACTAAAATGCTAACAAACTCACCAGGGTGGCAGTTAACCACTTCATGGGCGCGCTCTGAAGATGATGTCAAGGTGACAACCTGGGTTCGAACATTCCTGGAGGGCTTCCATGCCGAGAATAAGGATTTGGGACTTTCTACCGAGTTTCTTTATGGTGGAGATGTGGCTGAGTACCAGAACCCATTGCTTCAGTACCCGCAGAAGAACGTGGACAAGATGAGGAGCATTCGGGCTAAATATGACCCTGACCTCGTGTTCAGCAAGCTGAACTGGGGGGGCTTTAAGCTTGGTCTGTAGGCTGGAGACGACTTGGAAGCCTAATGTGTAGTTTAGTTAGATTCTGTTCTGGTGCTTGTTTAGATCTTAGATTGTATTTTAATCTTAGCTTATAGAATCCTCGAGAGCTCTTCTTTGACTCCGGGCAAACCCTACATCCCCACTTACCTCTGGAACTGATTCCTCTAATGAAATGACTGTCCAATGCACAGTAGTATTTTCGAGTACTCAGTCGTAAATGCCAAGACTTTTACGTTCCCAGGGTCTGTTGATTCGAGATATTTTCTATTAGCCACCTGGCTGTGACAATAGGTAGTTTCTATATCTGATTCTTAACCCTCTTCCTCTGGCCCCTGTCCGATCCTTCCGCCTCATCCATATCCTCCAGCTCTCCCATCCTTTTCATCCTCCGGTTATCATTCCAGTAGTAAAATATCATACCAGCAATAAGTACAATACTACCTGCATAAAGACATAATATCTTCAGAAAGCCCTTAGGGTAGTATGGAGCGTCACTCTCTTGAAAGATGTTTTGCCCAGCGAGTCCTCCAACGTTGGAGCCCGTAACAGCCAAGGCAATACCAATACATCGAATCTGAGGATCGTGAGTGTTTATGCTGAACCATGCATCATTGAGCGCCTGAGCTATTGCCACACCGGAGTTCAGAAGCGTCAGTATAGCGTATTTCATCCAGACATCACTACTTCCGACAACAGCATATTGAACACCTGCGAAGACCAGCGAATACACGCCGCATAGTAGACAAACCGGGCCTCGTAACAGTGTCTTGTCGCTGATCCAAGACACAAGGATCGACAAGATGCATACTCCAAAGTTATGAACAGCTGATAGAAAACTGGCAGTAGATGCAGTAAAACCGAGGTTCTTGATAATGGTAGGCGTGTAGAAAACCAACCCCCCTTTCGGAGTAATGTTGACTGCGTTGATGCTGAAATGACCCCACATAGGAAAGTTGGTCAAGCAAATGCGTAGCGCAGTCATGGGGCTAATTCCAGAGAGCTTCACTGCCTTGCGTGGATCATCGAGAATGACGCGCTTGGCAAGGATATCTCTCTCTTTGTCGGTGAACACGTTGAACTTTTTGATACCAGCCAGTGGGAGCGTATCGGTCGTCGAGCGGGGCATGATGAAGATGAAGATAAAGCCAACGAGTATGGTAAAGAGACCATCAATGAGAAAAAGCCATTGCCATCGCTTCAAACCGCTTGTCTCTGGGATTCTGAAGATCAGACCGGCAAGCAGTCCACTCACGCCAGCAGAGCCGTAATTCCCAACATAAACGAGCGTAGCCCGCAGTGCCATTTCTTTCCGCGTGTAAAATGACGCAATTATCGTTAACGCAGCAGCTAGGTATCCAGCCTCCCACATTCCCAGCAGAAAGCGCGTGGCGTAGAATCCTGATTTGTTGTGTATAGCTGCCTGGGCTGCTGCGATTGTTCCCCACGCAAATACCTGTATGATGAGCCAAAGGGCGGGCCCAATTCTGGACAAAACCATGTTGAAGGGAATCTCGAAGATGACAACAGCGGCTAGCATGAGCTGGTTGCCGTTGTTGACGATGTCTTTGGTTATACCAAGATCATCGGTGAAGCTTGTTGTCATAGCATAGCCAACGTTTCCTCTGTCGAGCTGCAAGGCGAAAAGACCGAGCATGAGAATCGGTAAGACTGTGAAGTCAATTCTGACGTCGTATGTTAGTAGGTAGCAGACAATATAAGGGTTAAGAGTTACTGACTTTCTCCTCAGCTTTGTTTCGGCTTTCTCTGTCCAGTCACAAATAGAGACTTGACTTTCAGACTCCTGTATTACTGCCTCCCCCGCCGGGTTGCTACCCTGAGGCTTGGATTGGGAAGCCATGGTAGTCAGCCTAAAAGACTGTAGACAATAAACAAGGATATTGCCTGTGCCTAGACTAAGAGGACTAGGTTTTTAAATGAAATCTCTGATGGAAGACTTAGGGAAAAACTTACCAAGTAAAATACCCCGCTTTTCGCGACATGATCGATGGGTTCCCAGGTTTCTCAGCTTGCCTTGGATACAGGTTGCAGGCAAATTGCTAATGATCTGCAAGATTGTAGTACTGGAATGGGTATGTGGCTTAGTGTGACTATCTGATCACCCGCTTATGGCCACACTAAGACTGTAAGTCAATCTGTCTCGGGTATAGTGAGTTAAGTCAGCCAATTAAAGTGCTTTTCTTCTACCCAAAACCCAATTTGTTCGCGATAAGGCCGGAAAGATCTCTGTGGGAACCCGCAGATAATTATCGAGACTGGTTAATTATTTACCATTCTCTGGCATCAATTTTCGGACGTCGTAATTATTTCTGGTAGGAAAGCACGTAGGGTGGTAAATATTTACAACGCTGAAATAAAAGCTCGTTAATTAATCAACAAACTATTAGCTGTTACTTGCTGTGCGTCTTTGACTTTGAATTTAGAGAATGGTTGCAATTGGGTATTGAACGCGTGATTTTTAGAGAGACGCTCCTAATAAGTTGAATCTTTACTAACCTTTTTCAATTGATTTGAATTGTTTTAAATAAGATATTTTACTAACTTGATTGAATTAAACTTTTACCATTATTTATCCAAGTTAATGTAATGGAAAGGTCCATTCTATTTTTATACAGGGTAGTAACATTCCTTAAGGAAGAGAAAAAGAAGGTGTCCTCTTCTATCTTATCTTATCTTATCTCATTTTATCCAGACATAGTATCTAACACTCTGGGATTGTAACAGGGCTTTAAGTATTAATCGTGCCTTTTCGAAATTGTTTTTATTAAGAGAAGGTTTACTAAGCTCATTCTCACCCTAAAGAGGTCAGATAACTTTAATTCTGTTTGGGAGCGCGAAGGAAGGCTTTAGCTCATCAGTAAAGAATCTCAAACCGTTAGTAATTTAATTCTACAATATGTTATTCCTTACAGAGCTTTCTTCAGTGCAGTTTCGGTCTTGTCCAGGTTGGATTTATGATTATATTAAACCTCAGCATGAAGCAGAATCTGCGGATGGGGCAAGCCATACTTTTACATGTCTGGAAAGTCATAATGGTCATTTCCACAAAGCAATTGCTCGAGAATTCGAATGTATGGTTATGTAATTCTTGGTGCTGAGAGAGAGCTGGTAACAAGCAATCGACCTAAAAGTAATTAAATCTGGATGCCCTTATCGTCCAGTGGACTGTGCTTTAGCTTCTTAAAAGCCCGTCGAGTTATGCGCTTAGCTTCATCACTGTATTCTAGCTCGCAGTGAGTCTCGACTAATTAAATCAATGCCTCACGGTAGAATTTCCTACTGCCGCCTTATTGCTGTATTTAGTATACTAATGGCCTTGAGTAAAAGATCTACCTCACTATTTGTCCTCTTGATGTAGAACCTTAGCTAATAATAGTTAGTATTTAACTGTGGATTAGCTGTATGGTCTATAACCGCTAATCATGTGCGTTAGGTTTCTTAAAGGGACTTTACATCTGAGGAATTTTCTAAGCGTTATGAGTTCACAAGGCCAATGTTAATATTAAGAGTAGTCTTTAAATGCTTATAAAAACTTCATATTGTGAGGTCGATAATCTTGCAGTACTATTGCTCACTAGGACAGGATATTATCCCCCCTTCTCTGCGATTCTAGAAAATAGTACCACGTCCACCGAAGCTTCCTGGCTGGCACGGCCGAAAGCCTCTTCATGCATTCTCAGGAGCTCGAGCATATGATCTCCAGGTTCAGCTAATTGCCTATAATCACCTAAATTACACAGGAGGCTAACCAACCCTTCGATGTGGTCTTGCCTATCTTGAACTAGTGCTTGAGCTTACGCCAATTGTTCCATCGTATTTCTCAGATTGGTTTCTCGGGTATGAGTGGGAAACCCGGTCGGTTTTTCGTACTGAATACGGGTAAAACAACCATGTGCCGTAAGGTACGGCAAGTCTTGAAGAGGAGATGTTATTAGTGACCGGTGACTGGATTTGCCAGGCCTTCGGCATGTGAATCCGCGGCGCTTTGCTTTTAATTTAACTAGAGTAGCCGCTTTCTGGACCTATTGAGCTAGACGAACAATGTAGAAGGTGATCCATGGCGAAACCAAGCGTGAAGGGTATTGTGGTCTACTGGCTAAGTGACTGAGACTTCGTTGTTGCAAATGACTTCCAATGTCGGCCCCGGACGAATCTGGCGCCCATATCTTGACCAATCCAGGCCTCGGGAGCACTCCGAACTGACCCTTGAATAAAAAACAAAAGGTCCTTGTAGTTACCTAATTACCGAATCAAGGGTGACTAAAATTGAGTGACATTAAGGTTTAACCCATTCCTAAAAGTAACTAGTTGACTATGACATGAATAATGACTACGCGCCGCCAAGCAAAAAGAACCATACCCCGTAGTAATTAGACTTTGATCAACCATCAGGGGTTTTATACCTAACTGCGCTAGTATTACTCGTTGTCTTCAGCCTGATGGTCATGGGCGCACTAACCAGCCCTTTGACGGCCCTGCCACTGTCTGACCGCCATTGCGGCATGAGGGATTCTTATTATTTTACTTTTAGGATGGGTTTTTATTTCCATTTTGCCGTCGGTAGATAAGCATACATTAATAAGGCAGTCTAAATATGGATCGATACAGGACATGGTAGAGTCTGAATGTTGCCAAGCCCACGTTGGTCTACCGTTAATCCTCCACTGCCAAGCTTCTTCAGCAAGTGGAACCTCAACTCCCGACAGCATAGCGCGGGAATTGTCACAACATCAGGGGTCTACAGGTTGCACTAACCCAGGTAGTGTTTGATTATTCCAGGTTCCCCAGAGGCCAGCTCGAAGATCTACATTGGAGATCTGCATCCTAGATGCTACGCCGCTTGTCTTGGTCTGTTTTACCATTGCTGGCCTTGATTCACTGCCGATCATTATTCGACACGAGAACACGAACAAGCTTGTCCCTGTTCTCTTTTGCTGTTACTCACTCACCTTGTAACCTATTACTGACTCGAATTATGTTTTATCTAATGAGTATGACCTCCGCCCCTTTTTCTTCCTCTTTATGATTTTATAAATCTTGTTGAATTCGCCCCCTGATCACGGAGACTGCGCCTCATCCGTCTTCTTAGCCGTATGTCTGCGTACATGATTCCGTGTAAGACCTTTCTCACTCATTGTATTGTTGTTCTTAACCAGCCGGCACTCAAGAGCTAAGGCTGAGACACTGATAGTGATCTTATGTCATTTTGCCGGCACTGCCTCAAACCTCTGACGCCTGTCAGTTAGTTATTGTCACAACTCCTTCCCCACCTTTTATGGTATTCAACCACTTCAACTCCGATAAAAATCGCCGACAAGACACTACGAAATGAGTTACACGCCGGACGCTAGTGTGTTGAGCTCTTTGCTCATCACGTTTTCCCTCGCCACAATTCTTCTGGTCTGCCGTCTTGTGTCTCGAAAGATCACACATGTGTCATTGTGGTGGGATGATTATTTTGCTATGGCTTCTTGGGTAAGTTGTTCGGTGTACAGCTCCCTCTTCTCCTTCTTTTCACCTTATTGACTGTTCTTGTATTAAGTTTGCGGCTTCTCTCTATTTCAGCTTTGCAATGTACTGTAAGTGTTGGACCACTCGCGACTCTAGAATCCTCCTGCAGGGGGAAAAGAAAGGTGAACTAATTTGATCTTCTATAGGGACCTTTAAAATGGGTCTGGGTCATGCAAAAGAGGACTTGTCTCTTCCAGCCGAAAGTGTTGAACAATATGCTCGGTTTGGCCTTTTCATGGCCGAGCTGTTATACGCCACGTCGCTGGGATTTTCCAAACTGGCTATCCTCGGCTTCTATTGGCGTCTATTCAGTGTCTCTAATATCCGACTCGGTATCTACATCCTTCAGGGAAGCACAGTCATTTGGCTTACCATCCGAACCTTCATGACCATCTTCCACTGCGTCCCGGTCGAGGCGTACTGGAACCACAACATCAAGAACGCTGTTTGCAACGTCGATCCCGCAAAGTTTATGTTTGGAACAACTCTGGTTCATCTCTTTCTTGAGATTGCTGTTTTATCGCTGCCTGTATTCCAGGTCAAAAGTCTTAAGCTCCGGATGGGCCAAAAGATTGCTGTTGTTGCCATGTTTATGTTTGGTATCTTGTATGTCTTTATCTGATACTGCCTCTCTTCTATTTCTCATTCAGCCTCGTATCCGCGATTAACTAACCTGAATCCTCCTTACAGTGTTTGCGGTGCTTCGATTACAGTACTTGTCGAGGCAATCACACTGGACCCAAAGACGAGAGAAATGGCAAGGGACATCAAAGGGGTTATTATTTGGGCGGGCGTGGAAGCTAACCTGGCAATCATATCTTGTGAGTTACTTCCCAGTCTAACCTGAACAGCATTATGGTGTCCGAATACTGACTTATTTTTTAAAAGCCTGTTTGCCTATAATAAGACCTATCTTCCGATCCAGTATATTCAGCTCAATCCTCAGCTCTAAATCGAACTCGACTGGTCCAAACGCCATCAGCGGCTTGACCAGCAGCAAGGGTATCAGACTCAACAATATTACTCGGACGAAAGAAACCGACGATAATAGCTCGCAGCGACAGCTAGCCGATCTTGAGGATGGATCATCTGGCGACGTGGACCTCGATGTCTATGCAGAGCGCAGCGGCTATAACCGCACCATCATTACTACCTGCGCCGATGAGGGGGGACACGATGATGATAATGATACCTCAAGGGCATATGGCATTCAAGTCAAGAATGAAACTAAAGTGTATTATGAGTCTACATAAAAGAATAGGTAGATGAGTAGTTCATGAGTTTAAGAATCTGTAATAGCTATGGGTGGAACTCTTTCAAGAGAAGGTACTTCAAGTAATTCTACTGGCTATGGCGACGGATGTAGTGCTACCACATAATTATAATAATACAGACATAGACAATGTCGATCAGATTCCCTATTCAGACTGTTTGTGTCAGACTGTGTTCAGCCGCATTGCGCAACCCTCCTGCCTTTCACCCCAGCTCGATTACAATACTTCATCACTTGAATTTAAGGAGCGAATCAATGGTGAGCTATTCTATCTTTTATTTAGTTAGTACACAATTTAGTAATACCCCTTGCTGTCCCCTATTACTCTTCCATTGTCGTCTCCAAGCTTATCTTGACTCTTAACCCCTCGTGTAAATGTCCTTGACATCTCTGGACTGTGCCACGAAGCAAAGTGTCTCAGAGTTTAGGGCAGGCTTTCCCATCAGTCCTCCCACAATCATTAGTATGAGTACATTTGGAACCACACCCGTAACTAATATTATCGGAAGGAGTCGTTTGTTCCCAATTACCCATGCACTGGGTCTCATCGCCCTTTCCCCAGTCGCAACGCTTACGGCGATATCCCTTTTGCCTGAGGATCTGCTGCTGAGTCCACACTGTGTGGCAGCCCTGATCATTCCACTGGCAAGCAGTAGAGTTATCTGCCGTCACACAGCGGGATTCAGACTGGGTAAGACTGATCTCGGCGCCGAGCTTGAACTTTTCAATCTCGAAGCCAACATTGACACTGAGGCTTTCAGGCTTTGTTTTACAAACTTGAGCTCCCGTGAGCTTCGTTGCGACGCAGCGCTCTGTGCCAGTGCAGTAGACGTTGCCGGATGATTTCTTCCACGGGGTGGGCTCAACGGAGGTTTCAACAACATAGTAGTCCCACCAACATTTGCGAATCAATGGGAATCTGTATGGGTGAGACACCTGGTCTGAGGTGACGTAGGTACCTGAATTGTCTTTGTATGAACCCTCATAAGCTTTGGACTTATCGTCACAGCGTGGGAGAGGTTTATCCTGACGTAGGGCAAGCGCATGAACTGCTGGCCCAGCCCAGGTGACTGTTGGGAAAAGGCATGTCAGAAGGATGGTAAAGAGGAGGAGCATTGTGATACTGAAGGTTCTTTAACAGTGATAGGGATAGCGGATGCTCAATGCGATGATTCTTTGAGTTAAAGTCGAACATGAGCGGCCTGCCTGGCAGCTTTTATAGATAGACCCGCTAGCGAAGGCTCTTCTCCCTCTTTTCAGCTATTCTCCAGTCCTAGAAGACTCCAGGGCGTCAAGTCCTGCCCAGATAGGCAACCTTGGCGATGAACTAGTTATAAAATTTCTATTTTTGCAGGTTCAACTCGCAAAAACCTTCGTCGCTCACTTTTCTAAACTTTTTGCGGAAATATTGCGTAAAGTAGACATAACGGTTACGTATCTCTCCAGGGCTTTTGACGTAGATAACCGGACAAAAGGAGTTTTCATAGGTCATATCCCTAGTGAGGTTTGCTTCTGAGACATAAATCAAGCTCTGGTGGCTTGTCATAGATGCAACACTGAATGAGTGAGCAGCGGGGTAGAGTTGAGGCCTGCTATGGCATATTTCATCTTTGATAGCATAGCCACCACACCCTACAGCCTGATGCAAAAAGATTAATGATGTTACAGTCAATATCATCGACAGTAAAAGCAATGGCTTATCACGACGGTCAAGCACTATACTCTTACTATGAGTCCGATACTACTTCTAACATCCAGAAAGAGAGGATCTCAAGATCAATTCATAACTCCAAACATCGTCACTTCAAGTAAAGGCTTAAAAGCCTTTCCTTCCACATGGTAGTATCTCACACCTCAACAGGTGTAGTAGCTTAGTTTTAGCCCCGGCACAGCCATCCGTGTGGGTTGCTCAGATATGAGGCGAAGTTAAGGCTCTGGTTATATTTTAAGGAGTTGGGGGCAATAAAGGGCGGGGTTTCACAAACTGGAGCAAGCCAAAATGTCCAAATGAGAGTCATACAACTTATATAAGCGGTTTAAAGCCTTAGTTGTTAATAACTAGCTACTGTGTCAGGGGCTTTACTGCTTCCATATCCCTTCCCCATCACAACAATAGCATGCGGAATCAAGTCAGGAATAGCCATGGTAAACAGACTTATAACGGTACCTAGAGAACAAAATCATAGTAATGCCTAGTCCCAAGCACACCTTGGCGAAGCAAATACATGACCATGGTGCTGGCAACGTCACGTACTGTTCTGTACATACTTTATTTATTGTACTGTGAGTAGTCATCTTGTGGGGCGGCATGGAAACTGAAGTGGAGGCCAGCCGGCAAAAGAATACCCCGTCCCCAAATGTCAGAGGTAGACATCATATATACAGGTAATTTTATAAAGCCCTCACAATCATTGTCCATTCAACCAATCTCTATTGCCCCGATAAGTCGAAATCAGTACTAATTTCTCCAAATGACTTATCAGGATCAACCAACTCGAACCCTGCACCTCGTGGGTATTGGGGTTGGCCACTCAATTGCCCCGCCCATGCACAATCACATTGCCCAGTCTCTAGGCTTACCATGGACTTTCTACGCTACGGAATGCACCTCTCTTGATGATCTTGTCAAGCTTGCCAGAGAGGACACCACAGCTGGCCTGGTCGTTACCATGCCTTACAAAAACGCGATTCTCCCTCGCCTTGATGCACTGGACGAGCTTACTCAGACTATTGGCGCATGCAACAATGTCTATCGCGATTGGGAGAACCCAGAGAAACTCCGTGGGACTAATACCGATTGGATCGGCATCAAGGGCTGTCTACTTGAGAAGGGCGACCAGGCTGGCCAGCCCGTTCTGAACAAACCAGCCTTGATTGTGGGCGCAGGAGGGGCCAGTCGAGCTGCCGTCTACGCGCTGAGTTCTCACTTCAAGTCATCGGTCATTTATATACTGAACCGCGACGAGCAAGAAGTAACCGATCTTGTGCGAGACTCACAGAAGCTTTCCCCAGTCCCCAAAATTGTTCATGTCAAGGAGGGTGAAGCCCAGAACCTCGAGACGCCGCACTACATTGTTGGCACTGTGCCCGACTTTGAACCCCAAACTCCAGAAGAACTCGCTGTGAGAGCATCGCTGGAAGAGTTCCTTTCTCGATCCGATAAGGGCGTAGTGCTTGACATGTGTTTCAAGCCGCGACGGACTAGGATGATCAAGCTTGCTGAGCAGAAGGGGTGGCCCACGGTTGAAGGAACGCACATTATCGGGTATCAAATTGAGCAGCAGTGGAAGCTCTGGGCTGGGCCTGAAAGAGTGAAGAGGCTTGACAAAGAGGGTGCTTGGAGGGTTCTGATGGATTCAGCAGAGAAGAGCACTGGTATTAACTTCTAGACTGCGGATGACAGTAATTGATACCATTGATTTAATATGTCTATTTTTGGCCATTCGAAAATCATCTGTGTATTGACTGACGATACTGTGATTTTACTTAAATTATCAATTGTTCATACAAGCAATTTGACCGCAACACTCCCATTCGTACTCCCCATTTATAGATTAATTCAATTTGAATCTCTCGGCAAACTTGTTCCAGGCCGCAATACCCCTCTCGGCATGCTGTCGCGGCACATCTTTCCCTTCTTCACTCATCGTCCTTGAGAAGAGCTCCATCGACACATATCCCTTGTACCCCAAATCCTCAATCAGGACCCTTGCAATCTCTTCGACAGGCAGGTAAGCCCCTCGATCTGTTTCATACATGAATGCTCTGGCATTCCTCGACCAGTTCATCCTCGCAGGGTTTCCATCCACATGGAAGGGGTGGCCCTTAACCAATGGTGATTCCATCCTCTCAGCATCAACGACCTGGATGTAGAACACTTTATCCAATGAGACATCTTGGACAAGTCGTTGGAGAGATTCCTTCAGATCCTCATCTGCGTTGGGTGTCTTGCCCGTAGGAGATGCTGGGTCACCCCACACGCGTCCAGCGATATTGAACGTGTCGAGGCAAAGACCGAAGTTGGGTCTGTCGACTTTCTTTGCCACCTCCCACGACTTCTCCCAGGTGTCGATATGAGTGCTCCAGCATAGTGCCTCATATGCGAAGCGAATGGGTGGGTTCTCTTTAATCCCCAAATCGGCCAGCTCGACCAAGTCTTCCACAATGACATCCATGTCTCCAGTCAATTGATCAGCTGGAAGGAAGTTTGCTGGAATCTGGATAGTATCTGTCCCCAGGGACTTGGCAAGCTTGAACCACAGCTTTATCTTGTCAATGAGCCGGTTGTGCTGGTCTCGATCCTTCAGACCCTCGTAGAATAAGAAGGGTTGAAGACCAATGACTGTTAAGTTGAGATCATCTAGCACCTGGCGAACATGAGACGCCGTCGACAAGATTTGGTCGTTGCTAGGAGTTTCCACATCATTCAGCTTCTTTGCTTCATACTCTAGATCTTCGTAAAAGACCTCAATGCCTTGAAAGCCTTGGGCTGAAGCTTGCTGGGCCTTGTCTGCAAAGTTGTGCAACCATGCTCGGCCAAGAGAGGCGGAAAGTATTGCGGGGCGAAATACAGACATTTTCTTCAAACATGAACTGAATAAAACGGATGGAATCATTCTGATAGTCTCCAGTGCCGATTGTTATGTGTTGGGGAAATATTGATCAAACATGCTTTGTTAATAAGCTAGCGGTTAAGTCTTATTCCGGAGGAATTGCCGAGGCAATAATTACCCCAGCGCGGAAGATTTATAGCACGATATAAAAGGTTTCAAATGAGACATTGCTCAATAGCCTGAATTTCAGTAGCCAGACTTTCTTTCAATTATTCTAACATTATTTTATACTTTATGTCATTGATGAAACCGAGGTTTTTAAGCAAGGGTCTCTATAATCTATGAGGAATAACAGTATCTAAAACCATTCATTTGCCTACAGGTAAGATGGACTGTTGAAATGGCCATCCCTCGCTTTTAGAACCCAATTTCGAAGATGCTTTCAAAGTCATCTGGTGGCTTCTCGAGAAATCCAAGGTGTTGCATAAATTCTGGCGGATTTGCCAACCTGTGCAGAAATTAGGATGGAATGGACACCCATTGTTACGAGATCACTTACCACTCCGTGGAGTCAAGCGAAGCGAGGCTATCAAAAAGCCCATCGTCTCCCATGTCGTCTCCCAAAGATGCGCCCAGTGTTTCAGAAGCCACACCTTTTGTTGATCCGGGAGACTGTGAGGTTTGACTTGGATGGTTCGGAGACATTGTCGAGTCCATCGCCCCCAACAGTGTATCTAGGTTGAGGTTTGCCGATGATGTATCAGATGGTATACTTATTATTGGCGGTATGAGTGTATCGGCTGCTATAGGCTGTGATGATCGTAGCGAATTGCGTCCCGTATTAACTAGGTTTGGTTGGGGATTGTATGTGGCATCCAGTTGCATTTCTCCGTTTAATGGTTCATGGAGAAAGGCGAAATATCTGGCAATTGCTTTCTTGAGAAGGTTGAAGTCAGGTTCGACATCGTTTCCGACATAAAGTAGCGGTTGGTGGTCCAAAGTCTGCCGCAATAGCATCAAACAAGCCTCGGCTACTGGTGGAATGGAATGACGGCCTATCGACTGGACTCTTTTTTCAACAAGACCGACCAACATTGTAAGGCCAACCAAGTAACTCCCTGGACGCTCACGACTTGTGCCATTTGACACCAAAAGTGCAGCCGCTGCAGTTTCGAGTGTGGCAATGGAAGCCATCCAAAGAGAAAGGGTTTGAGGGGAAGGGTCCGCAGTAGTTGTGTCGCTCAGGCCCTCGAGGTTTTGTTCACATCCTTGTATAATTTCCAGCAACGCTTCTTCAGGGGGAGGATTGCGCATTTGGCAGATCAACTCATTCAGTGACGCTATAACCAGGAGTAGTCTGTTGAAAGTGCTTATGACATGTCCAGGCATATGTGAGTTGAGGCCTAGAACCTGTGCGGTTCCTGTCGAGATAACAATCTTGGGCTGCCAAGGTTCCCACTCTTCCATTCCATCTATTGTTAGAAGACCTGCGGACAGTATGTCTGACGATTGGAAAAAGGGAAGAGTGTTGACATGTGCCGAGATAATAGTCTCCAGAACCATACAGCCTAAGAGTGTCCGCTTGACATTGTCTTCGTAATTTGAGCTTGCTGCTATTGAATTCTTATCAACAAGGCCAATGGATGTTGCTGTATAGATAGCACGGCCGATATTAACCCAGGCTGCAGACCAGAGCTTTTGGTCCATGTTAAATAACGCTAGCACAAGAAAAGCCCGAACGTGGCCCAGCTCATACATAGATGGGTCGGCAAATAAAGACGTTTGACCCAAATCTTGTGATGATCTGATGTTAAAAGTTCCGTCGTGGGTCCCGTTATGAGCAGACTTGAACGAGTCTGATATGAAGGCCGATTGGTGTGAAGCAAATAATAGAACAGCTTGAAGGAAGGCTATGTCGTCCGTAGAGGGTAGATCGACAGAAGTTATCGACGTACTATTGGCCAGTTTGTAGGCTGTACGTAGAAGCTCGTGCTTCTGTGATATGGGGAACCAACTATGTGTGGTTTCAAAGTAGACTTCCAGGAGGAATGGCCAATTCTTAGGCAGTTCGGAGATACTGTGTGACGTGGTTGGTTCTGGTGGGTGGCTGATGGAGATTTCAGGTAAGGCTTCGGTAAAGCTAGAGGTCGGAGGGGCAGTGACAGGCGAGTTGAGTGTATCAAAAGCCATGACATCCTGTGGTGTATCGGTGTTCATCGGTGTAAGTGGTGCTCCTGCCTCACCACCTCTTGTACTGAGAAACAGTGCAAGAGCCTCAGAGACCTTTGTATCAAAGTGTTGTGTTGAATCAGTTCCATCGTCCTCATCTTCAACTCCTTCTGGGGACAGAAGCTTGCCAACCTCCTTAGCCACAGATCCTTTTCGCCAAGCCTCCAGTAAGAATTCGGCAGAGATATCAGACTCCTTTACCCCAGACCCTTGAGGTTGCACAGGTGTCTGTTGAATCTGCCCTTGGAGGAGGCCGTACACATAAGACTCACTGCCCTCTACCGTGGTAAACACAAGCCCCAGCAGAACTTCAATGGCTCTCACGTAGCCAGGACGTAGTCCGCGTTTCTTAGACGGCCCATAGCTACAAACCCGACTGTTCTCGATACAAGACTTGCATGATGGACGTTGGCCACCACAGCGGTCTTTTCGCCTCCGACACTCATTGCAGGCTCGGGTAATACGATGTCGATTTCTCCTCGAGGCTCCATCTGATTCATCTGCCTCTGTTCTTGCTCGTTTTGGACCTCTTAGAGTTAGCCTGCCTTGCCTCTTTTTGGCTGGGTTATAGCGAGAGCTCGTCGACATTTTGCGTCATATAAACCAAACTCTTTGTGTTGTATTTGGTCAGGCTGATTCTTCTCCGACATTTTCTCCCTGTTTGACTGTTCATGCTGGCCAAATCCTCAACGTTCCACAAACAAGAGAATGTGCATTATTGAGCTCAGCGCTAGACCCCTGTCTTTACCGCTTCAGGTAAATAAACGCGAGGTGCATGCCCACAAGTCCCGTTTTGACGGCAAAGACTTTTGCCGCCTCATGCCCATTGGTGGGAACTAGCGTTACCTAGTTCTACCCTGGGCAGATATTGCGACGCTAAAGATTATTCTCGGATTACAATTTGATTGCTAAATGCCATCGGTCTAGGTGATACCAACACCTTGGTTTCTCTTTCTTATATTACTAGTATCTACTAGAAAACACCGCCTTTTCTCATAATATGTCCACAGATCATAGTCAGGGGTTGCCTCTAAATCCTCAGAACAAGACTCGTTCCCCTACACCGCCCACTCCAAGTAGCACACCAAAGATCATTTCAAGGTTCTCAAACACAACTTCTACCAGAACACACAGTCCAGATTCACCACAACGCACAAGCAACTATGCGCGAGATGCGTCCATCGTCCTCATTGGCATGCGCGGAAGTGGCATGTCGACATTGGCAGTCCTAGCCTCAAGTACCCTGAGCTTCCGGGTACTCGATGCAGATCAACACTTTTACAAAGTCACAGGACTCTCACGAGCTGCCTATAAGACTGCTCATGGAATCACAAAATATCGTCAAGAGGAGCTACGGCTGATGAAATCTATGCTTTTCGACAATCCAAAGGGTGCAGTGATTGTATGTGGCCCTGGAGCTGTCGAAGGCAAGGGAAAGGAGTGGCTCGTCGAGTATGCAAAAGACCATCTGATTATCTACATCTTGCGAGAGCCTGAAGAAATCCAAAAGCATCTAGGCGTGTTCGACGTCGATACTATTAGAAACCTTACTCGTCGAGCAGCCCCGGCATATAGAAGCTTGTCTAGTTTCGAATTCTATAATGTTTCCGACACATTATTACGCAAGCCAGAGTTTACTTCATTGCGCGGTGATTTGTCACCCTGGGCACTTACACTCAAGAATGTCGAGGAAGACTTCCTCCAATTCATACACGGCAAAACGGGACGAGACGACTGCTACGACAAATACAAAGTCCAGCACAGTCTTTCGTCAGTATTCTTGGAGTCGAGAACCTTCACATATGCCTTATCCGTACCACTTTCGACACTATTCACCCTCGTCTCTGAGTTCCAAGGGGTGGACATGGAAGCCGATGCCGTTGAATTGACCATACCTATGTCAAGTCCAAGTAGTGACGAGCAAGGGATTGAGGATACTAAAGCCGATCAAATCAGCAGACAAGTGTTTATTATCCGAAGAAACATCCGCCTCCCAATATTATACAGTATCGATACTTCCGAGGAGGACCAAGGGGCGATCGACCAGGTCGAGTACTTCGGGCTTCTGCACCATGGACTAAGGCTTGCACCAGATTACCTCTGTGTTGATCTCAGGTCTGATACCGCCAAAATCCAAAGCCTTGTTGCATCTAAAGGGAGAACAAAGATCATAGCACATTATGTTGTTTACAACCCTGCGGAGGACGGTTGGGACAAACCAAAGCTATGGTCCATGGTCCAGCTAGCCCAGAATTTAGGCTGCGATATCCTCCGTATCAACCAGGAAGCACTGTGCTTAGAAGACAACTTTGCCGCGCAATACTTTGTCCATCGGGTCAAGTCTTCACAGAACCTCTCTATACCTCTCATAGCGTTTAACACCGGTAAACACGCTCGCATTTCCTGTTATTTGAACTCGATCCTCACCCCGGTCACTCATCCACTGGTTCGAAAGTTGGTACCAGAGTGCCCATCAAGATCCTTACTCACGGTTCAAGAGGCCCAGAAGGCGGTCTTTGCTTCTTTTCTACTCGATGACCAGTACTTTGGCATCTACGGAAACAACACATCGCAAAGTCTGTCCCCAGCTATGCATAACGCTGCATTTGAGCTCTTGGGTATGCCGCACCGATACAACATCTTCCTCCAGGAGTCATTGGATGAGCTCAACAACATGATCAAGGACCCCAATTTTGGAGGGGCCAGTATTACTGCTCCGTTCAAGACAGCTATAATCCCCAAGTTGGATTTCTTGAGTGACGAGGCCAAAGCTATTGGGGCTGTCAACACATTGCTATGTCTCAAAACACCAAGCATAGAGTCTTTACTCCACAGAAACACAGCGGGACCAACAGTGGCTCTGTTTGGTGATAACACTGACTGGATCGGCATCCATACTTGTGTTCAACGCAACTTATCTCCTATTAACGCTGTCAGGCGACGGACAACAGGTCTTATAGTTGGAGCAGGAGGAATGGCTCGAGCGGCCGCTTATGCACTCATTCGTCTGGGCGTTAAGACCATTCTCATACAGAATCGTACTAGGTCAAGAGCAGAAGAGCTCATTAAGCAATTTGAAGGTCATAAGGGTGATGCAAACAGTCAACATGAGATGTTATCTCGAGGCATGCTAAAGGACAGTGAAACCCCAGATCTTATATTAGATCCGGTCTTCAGGATTATCGACTCCAAAGACAGTCCGTTGCCAGACGATGTCAATCCTCCAACAATTATTGTTTCATGTATCCCCACCAAGGATATGGATGGAACATGCTCCGTGGATACAAGTATTCCCGTCAGCTGGCTATCAAGTCCGACCGGTGGCGTCGTTATCGAGGCAAGTTCCCAGACCAGATCCAAATTATTCTCATGCTTATTTATGCCTACAGCTCTCATACACACCACTCGAGACGCCGCTCTTGAAGCAAATTAACGGTTTAGCTGAAAAGGGGTGGATTCCTGTAGACGGCCTCCAGGTTCTCCCGGAACAGGGAATGATGCAATTCGAGTTATTTACAAATCGCCGCGCACCAGCCAATGTCATGAGGGAGGAGGTATTTCGAGCATATAATCGGCGTAATGGGAAGTCACTTTAAGTCCATTCCAAGCACGTCATATACCAGAGCTACAGTATCAACTTCAAAGTAGCATGAATATAATAATAAACGAATCAACTATAACGTCTCTACGATCTTTACTTGTTAAGACCTAGAAATACTTGAGTATCTTCCAGCACAAGTAGCATTTTTGTAAGATATGAGGATGAACTTAGTACGATAGGCAGCCTTTGTGAAAAGTGCCGGTTGCCGATCCGAGCCGGTAAAGTTCTTTACCACATCGATTCTTCATTTCTTGATTGCACGGCAACAAATCTTCTTCCACTCAGCTTAAAGTTTGGGAATATTTCTAGCTACTGAAACCACCTTTCCCTTCATGGCGCCCCCGATAAGTCAAAAAATCATCACAAGATGGTTGCCGATAATAAATTCGCCTCGAACGACGGGGTCAGTACCTCCAAAAGCACTACAACAATAACCCCAACTTTCGCACCAGATATCTTGCCAAGGCAAGCTAGACCAACTCCAAAGAAGCAGTTTTTTATTTTTGGCTACAATATTGCACACTCATTATCTCCAGCCCTTCACAACGCGGGATTCGAGGCACTCAATCTACAACACCACTACCAAATCCACGAGAGCGAAAACGTTGACGAGACGGTCGAGCAAATCATCCAACGTCCAGACTTTGGCGGGGCTTCAGTCACCTTTCCACACAAACTACAAATTGGCAGACTCTTGGATTCAATCTCGCCGCGAGGAGAGAGCATTGGGGCAATAAATACAGTCGTTGTCCATGAGTCAAATGGACGCAGGACACTCCACGGGGATAACACTGATTGGATTGGCATCAAAAGGTGTATCATGAAGTCTGGACGTCGCGATTTTACCAGATCCTCGGCCGTGGTTCTTGGGGCCGGAGGCGCAGCTAGAGCAGCCTGTTATGCTATCCAGGCTCTTGGCTTCCAGGATTTAATCGTTGTCAATAGAACCTTGTCCAAAGCTCAAGAGCTAGCCTCAAGATTTACCGACTTGAAATCTCGTGCGCTCTCAACACTGGAGGAGGCGGATGCTCTAAAGGATGCCGATATTCGACTCGTTGTTGCCTGTGTGCCGGCTGACGATTTGGGAGAGGATAAAATCCCTAGTGGTCTATTCTCCAAGGCGGGAGACGGGGTTTTGGTCGAAATGGCGTATAGGCCTCAGGTGACAGGTATGATGAAGGTTGCTGCTAGGTGCCCAGAGTGGAAAGTGTATAGGGGAGTAGACGTTTTGGAGGAACAGGCATATGCACAGTTCGAGTTGTGGACAGGACAGCAGGCACCAGTAGAGGTAATGCGGGATGCGATGCAGCTGAAGATTAAGGGAAATATTTAACTTTCATTTGTTAGTAGTTTAAGCTTTCTTAGAATGATAGAGAATAGAAAGGGCATCAGGTAACTTGTCCTGTTTCTTTGTATCAGACCATTTTATAAAAGTAGAAAAGAACTTTCCTTCGACCTTTAACTTATAAATAATCACTAATACCAAGTGTCAGAGGATAATCTCTTTTCTTCCTACTCCCCGTCAATCTTCAAGTCAATTGGTTTTACTAGAACAAGCGTCGGACTTCTCGCAACCGATATCATCGGCATTGTAAAGGCTTGCGCTGCAGGGCTTTACATGGTCTGGGGTATAAATGCACTTGGCCGTCGCCAATCGCTGATGATCGGCTTAACTGGAGCAGCGATTGTCGTATTTTATCTCGGAATCTACTCTAAGCTATCTTACTCTTTTGCTGCTGGGCTTGAATAATTATGCAAGCGTTGTGCGCAGTCTAGAAATGTGGACCACTGGTGAGTGTTGCGAAACGTGTCAGCCTATAAGACCAGGCTATCACGCATACGTGTCTGTCAGAGATTAATTAGCTTCAATGTAAGCAAATCCTTCGGCAGCTATTATATATAAAAATGCAAGCCATTAGGATCTTGGACGTCACGAATTATCTACTACTTATTTTCAGCTCCATTCGCCTCATAACAATCCCCCAACATGGCAATTCTTGGGAATATCACAGGGTCCAATTCTGCAGCCTTTGTCATTGACAAAGACACCCAATCGCTCAACGGCAAAACCATTCTCATCACTGGAGGCGACGGTGATATTGGAAAGCAAGTCTTGTCTTACTTGGTCTTATTATCTCCAGCCGAAATATGGCTGGCTGTTAAGGACCTGGATGCCGCCAAAAACAGCATAGCCGAGCTCGAACAACAAGCGCCTGATGTTCGCATTCAGATGGTGCAGCTGGACCTTGCATCACTCCTTTCAGTTAGAAAGGCTGCCGCGACTCTAGTCTCCCAGGTTGGGCACATCGACCTTCTTTTCCTCCATGCAGGAGTAATGGGATTGCCAGCCCAGTTAACAAATGATGGTTACGAGTTCCAGTTCGGCATCAATCACCTGGGGCATGCTCTCCTCACCAAGCTTCTACTACCCACCCTCATCCGAACAGTAGAGCTAAAAAGAGACGTTCGAGTCATTGTGACTAGCTCGTGCAGCCATCACAACTGCCCAGCCGGAGGAATAGACTTTGACACACTCAAGACAGATGGAAGCAGTATAGAAACACTTAAGCGCTATGCGCAAAGCAAACTAGCCAACATCCTGTTTACACGAGGATTGGCAGAGCGATATCCTCAGTTGACAGCAGTCGCAATACATCCAGGAGCATGTCGAACCAATCTGACCCTCAACTCGACAGGGGGCAATGTCTTTGACTGGGCCCTTGGCTACTTACTATCTCGTCCAGTTGAGGTTGTTGCCAAGCACCATGTCTGGGCAGCAGTGGCAAAACAGATAGAATCGGGGGAGTATTACGAGCCTTTGGGGCTTGGTGGGCGATGTATACCAGAGGGCAAAGACAAAGGCCTCACTTCAAAGCTTTGGGAATGGACGGAAAAAGAGCTAGAGCCTTATACTGAGTTAAATATCTAACTCGGCCGCATTTAGGACCCTCCGTATCAAACAGGTAGGTGGACAAATATGGTATTGTTGAAAGATTAGCACAGAGTTAATCTGCTTGGCTGTAAGTGGACTTGTTGAAAGTATTAGTTCATAAAATAATGCCTCGGCTAAATGTTTTAATTCCCATCGGAAGTCACTCCCACCTATCACCTCAATTACCAGCAACCATTACTATGTCCCACCTTCCACTAAAGTCAAGCATAGTACGTGGCTTATCTGTCAAGAGGGTGGCTTATGCTTATCGTTAATAGGCTAACCCCGCAGCCAAGCTTAAGTGAATTAGGATCTTTTGTTTGTGTACTACGTATGATCCCTGTCATAAACGCATCATCACCTTCCCAATTCGAGAAACTCCGAGGATAGTCAAAGGCTTAAAGGTTATTTAACAAGCTTATATACCACGTCTTGTTTCTACACGTTTCTGAGTAAAACTTTATCGATACTGATGCATTTGTCAACATATCACGTTGTGCCAATCACTCTTGCTGCTTGTGCTGCGCTTTTGAACGCCCCAGCAGTTTTAGCAGCTATGGCGGACCGAAAGGTAAACAATAGATAATTGCTAAACGAAAAGCATTTGCTTATCGAAAATATCACAGGCCATTATTTACGACTTTGAGAAGTTGGAAGACTATCAGCAGAAGAATGAAACCGTCCTTGAGTAAGCGATACAATATTAATAATAGATCCTCAAGCTTACTAACTATTTTAGTATTGTCAAAAAGGACACCGGTGTTGACTTCTGGAGGCAGACACGGACAATTCCTCCCACTTCTTATCCTCCGTAAGCACGAAATGACTATTTACCAAAGCCAGAGCTGACATGCCTCCGATAGACCTATGACTTTGGAGGCAATTGAGAAGCTGAAGGAAGTCAAGGGGGTTATTGTTAAGGATGTTCCTTCTGAGGAATTGTAAATGTGTACCTGAACGTTCCTTATCAAGTATTATTTATTAGGGAAATTGGTTGTTATAGTTACAATTATAGGCTATTTCTTTCTATTGTTGATATCATTGAGAGATTTTGAAAGCCTGAGGCTGATAAAGTTGAAGGTTGAAGGAAAAAGAAAACAATTAGTTACACTTATATGTACAGAAACTTATGCTCTGTTTGTTTTTGGTTTGCGTATGCCACTGAAGGGGTCGACCCAAACTCTTTGCTATATGTCTAGTGATCTTTCTCATCTCTACTTCTACCGGTGTTGGTAATCTTTTATCTTCAAATGTTTAATACTAATATACTATGCTAGCTCGAATAGTCTTCCACACGTTGAAGGTTTATATCAATCCGTTATTCTAGACAACTCTACATGGCTCGTGAAATGGCATAAAAGGCAGTAGATCAGCGAGTATCAGGCAGTCTTGATCTGCTGTATATACTGTTAGAAATGTCCCAGAGGCGAAATACTATCTTTATCGAAAAATGGTTCCCTTCAAATTTTATGTTTCATTTAGGCTATCTAGATTCCTGTCTGTCGAGCAACCAGGACTAACATCCAATTGAAACTAACCCATATCTTCTTAACTCATGGACCCCATTCCTGAAACAGCTTTCGCATACAAAGCTCAAGCCAGAGAATGCCAGAGAATATCGAGGCGTATCTCAGCGCTGTCAACGGCAGACTTAAGCGTTGCTGTCAATGAAAGAGCGGAGAGCACCAACGCGGGCGTAGACACCGGACTGGTTGGGACGGGCACATCCGTTACCCCAAGAGACAGCACCAATGACAGTGTTAGAGCTGTCGACGATGGGACCACCGCTGTCACCCTGGCAAGAGTCCTTGCCACCGGAAGCAACACCAGCACAGAACATCTGCTCGGTGATGGCAGAGGTACCGTACTGCGATCGGCAGGTAGCACGAGACACAATAGGGACAGAAACCTTCAGAAGGTTGACGGGAGTAGAGGTTCCGCCCTCGGAGGTAGCACCCCTTGATGAGAGTTAGTACATGATGCATTAAATGTCAGAGAAACACTTACCAGCCAGCAACTGTGGCAGTAGATCCAGCGGCAGGGTCGGATCCGGAAGCAGCCAGAGTGGCATAGCCGATGGCTCCACCGGATGGGATGGAAGTGGTAAGCTTCAGGATAGCGAGATCGTTGTTGTTTCCGCTGTAGCTAGGGTGGACTCTGACGGAAGAAAGGGTAGAGGTACGACCACCAGTAGTGCGAGACTATGAAAGAAGTTAGTAAGAGTGTTTCCTATCCCGCAAAAGAGTTGATGACCTACCAGACTACCAGCACGGATCTGGAAACCGCTCTGAGCGTATCCGGAAACGCAGTGGGCAGCAGTCAAGACGGTGTTGGCATTGAGGAGAGTACCTCCACACCATGGGCCGCCGTTGCGGCTGATGCTCACGATGAAGGGAAAGTCGCCAGAGCCGGCAGTAGTTCCGCCAACAATGTTGGGGGTGTTCTGAGGAGCGGCAGCGGCCAGGGGAGCAACAAGTGCAACGACGGAAGCGAACTTGACCATGGTGAAGATATAGATGTCCAAGAGGAGAGAGTTGAAGAGTGAAGAGTGGTTGATGATAGATTATTTGGACAGTCTATTGTCATCCTTTTATATTCGAAACTCAATATAGTTATCAATACTATTGTGCTTTCTCACCTACCTCTCTGGTTACTATCCCGCGATAAGCTTGCTTGGCTGTATCTTCGGAGTTCTGCGAATAGGCTGACCTGCCTTTCTGGTACTAAGCATTCTTGCTCCGTAGTCTATTTCGGCATTTAGAAGAAGCGCCAACCTTATCATCCTCCCGTGAGAGTGATCGGCATACAAGACCCTGGCAGCACGGGTTAGTATCCCGATGAGGAAAGTCGATAACTCTATCGTTAATAGAACTGTGGGTACGACGGATAAATAACACGCGAGGTAAACAATGGATGAAAAAGAGGTTCAAGATGAATGCAATTATCAAGCGAGTTAATGTCATTAAAGAGCTGGTCTATAGCGTGTCTCTGATCGGCTTATTTTCTACAAGATCTAAGACTAATACCGAAGGATCATCATGTCAGTATTGTATGGACTAATCGGAGTTATTTAGCCCGAGAAACTGCCAAGCATTTAAACGCATCTGCACTACTACTCTGGGCGGGGTTCGCTGTTATTACTCGGTCATGCGCCATTAATCACAATGGCCCAATATTCTGAAACTGGAAATAATATAGAACTTTTGTAGCCCTCACGCCATAGGAGCCCTGCGATAACGCACCTATCAACCTGGACAGCATGCACCTCTCTAGACACTCTGTCACCAAGTTTCGTGAATGCACCTCTCAAGTCGCTTATGCCCATACCTGTTGCATTTAATCGGCATGCTTGACCTTTCAAATATAGTATTCATCTCCGTCTTATCTTTTCTGCGAGGCTTAATGCTAGCACCTTCCCGAATGATGCCATATATTCTTCCGCTAAGCTTACTTGTTCAGCTTGTAGATCTTTGCGAATAGACGCCCTAGACTACCCAGAGCTGAGGTAGAACACTTTTGGAAGGTACTTTTGATTGGAGACCGCGGAAATCAGGTTTCAAGAGGTGCTAGACGGACTTTGCATAGTTTGAAAGAGGAAGGACGTGAATATGGGTGAAGTTCGTGGCCGGATGCTCACCGTAGCTTTGAGGCATCAATATGCCGTGTTTGAAGTCTCCGCTGATAAAGGTTTGCAAACGCTCGGGTCTCTGGTTAAAGTTCACCCGAATGGGCTTGTCGAGTGGCCTGCATATAGAGTTTCTAGAATTGGCGAAGATGAAGGCCAGAAAATGCATGCTATTGAGGCTTCCATGAGAATCGGAAGGTTTGCACTGCTTGCTGGGAATCTATCGCAAGACGGCAAAGGGTAAAGGAGGGAGAACATTAAAGTATGTAATATTAGTAGGAGAAAGCTATAACAGCGAAAGCTAAGGCTGAGCGGTGTGCTCGTTTCCGAGACCTAGGCTGGGAGGGTTGACAAATTGAATGTGAATTGTCGAAAAGAATGATGTCAGAAAGTGATATCTAAACTCCGTATCCTCATCAAATTGGCTGAGTACCTACGTAAATATAAGCTAAAACTCTACTTTCGTAGATTCTATTTTCCTCCTAAAATCTTAGAACATGAATTATCTAAAGTGCTTGACTACTATTATTATTCTTCACTTAGCCCAAATACATCACTACTATTACATACCCTATAGCTATTCTCGTTGCAAGCCACACTAACCTTTTACATGGGAAGACAATGCTTGTTGGGACTCGAGAACAAGAGGAGTACCTTCAGGCTTATGAAACCAATGATTGTAAAGTGCTTCGATACAGGATCGAGATAGACTCGAACGGGTTTGCGAATGGCCTGACGTCTCGCTGAATAATGGACAAAACGGGGTAAAGGAATTATTATCGTTGTGGAAGGATTAAGATAACAATCACTGAAATCCCTGTCTGATTGCATATTGTGGCATCAATACATAACTCTACTTATGACTTCTACAAATTCGACCTTTTTAGGATTTAAGCGCCACCGCCGCGGCGCAACCTAACGAATTGTAAACTTAATATCTCGGTTGTATTACTGCTAGATCACTGTTGGTTACCTTGCTTATCTTATCATCTTGCCTTTAAGAAATAGAGTTGTGGCTGGCAACCTTTTTGAATTTAAGATACTATTGCTTTTCGGTCTGTGTAGAGACCTCTAATATTAATATTTCTAGAAATTTAATTGGGATAGCTAGATCTCTTGTTTAAGGTGCTACCAGATTTTACATAAAAGTAAGCTTAATGTATTATTGGTATAAAAATGAAAAGATTATTCAATTTGCTTAATGGCCAGTACTTATCCATAGTCCAAGCCCTTCAGAGATTTAGATTTTCAATAACTACAGCTCCTTAGATCTTATAGCGATAATCCTAGGCTTTGTCAGGATCACCTCCCATGTCGATGGGTACGCCTTCTTCAGGTCTAGCGAAACGTCTATCGCGTCGGCGGTTCTCCCTGTAAAGCATCGCACTCATGCTGAAAGCACTCAAACCTGTCAGGAAAACGAATGAACTTGATATTGCGTTACCCCTCAGATAATATGGCGCGTCGGGTTTGGGATAGATGTTAAATGCGGCAATGTGGACGGCGTGAGTAACAGTAATGAAAATACTAAGGCCTACACCTGCCTTAGTATTGCCAGCAAAAGCAGGAGTGATCCAAGTAAGGACGATGATGTGCGTTCCCTGGGATAGGACGGGCTGATTAGCGACTTGAATCAAACCTCGACTGGTAAATGAATAGACTTACCATGACTGCGAGAAAACATATCACATATTGTGCTATGCCATCTTTTAAAAGACCGAGACAGATATAACAAGTGCTAGCTATTGTCGCCAATGCAGATTGGGATACCTCTAACCCGAAACTTGTCATACAGGGCGGCTGTCCCAAGTAATGTGACATAGCCGACGGCGTATATGGGAGCTACCATGAGATTCTTCGGTGCAGAGTGATAGCCCAAGACCCTGAAAATTGTAGGTACGTACACAGCGACGACAGCCTGGGACATAGAAGGACCCGAATACATAGCACAGAAACGATAAACGCAGCAATCGAGAAAAGCGCTGCCAGAAGCCTTGTTAGTAGCTGGATTGCCAATAACTATATTAGAAGAGGAATAAAGAGAGGTCTAAGCTTTAACTTGGGCTTTGTTAATTCCTTCGTTTACGCTCTTCGTGAATCTACTAGGAAGTAACAGCTATGTTTTTAGCGAGACCCATACCGTAGGCTACGACACCAGAGATTACACCGCTTGGGGCGTTAATCCGATGTTTAAATTTTATGGCGAGCCCAACAGCTTGGCTTGGCATGAGCAACGACGACAACTCCTCATCGCCGACTTAAAGCAGGGTATCCTTGCGCTAGACCTACAAACCAAGACCCTGACCACTGTTATGGATCGATGCAACGGCGAGCGGCTCAAGGGCCCGAACGTCCTTACTGTCGCCCGCGATGGCAGTATTATCTTTACAGATCAGGGCATGAGCGGTTTACAAGACCCGGCGGGGTGCGTATACCGTATTAGCTCTGCCATCGACATGAATAGTGGAGGCAACCGTGTCGAGGTACTGCTCCGCAACTGCCCTTCACGCTATCGCCTAGTTCTGATAAGGATGAAAACAACCTTTTTGTTGCCATGACAAGATATAGTAGCGCTTGGCTCACACTACTGTACCTAGACAGCGGGGTGTAGCGAACAGGCCGGTTTTGGAGTTACCAGGGCGTCGGCGGACTAGGAATATCTGCTGATGAAAGGGGAGGGTGACCTTTTTGTTGCATATTCTACACTGGGTACACACAACAAGGACGGCACACCACGAGCAGCCATTACGATAAAGGCTTTCGGGTTAGGCACGACGAACTTGACTGCGGAGGGAAGGATGAGAAGACTCTTTGCATCGTCGAGGGTAAATCTGGGACAATTCTAACGTTAGACTGGTATAGCATAGCGGCTATATAATAAGCATTTATAGGATTATACCGTACATGTAGAAGCTCTAAGAAATCAGGCTCTGGGCCACACATACGAGTAGAAGATGGAGGCCCTTCTTCTACTTAGAGAATTTCAATCACAACTCTATCGGTTTTAAGGGCCCCACCCGTTACCAGCAAGATTTTATTTGTAGGTGGAGATCTATCGCTTGATTACGCTAACTCCTGGTGATTGGTTTTCTTAACTCCGGCCGTGGTATCTATATATTGCATTCATTCTCCTTTTAACTAATTAGACCATTGATGGAACACTCATCCTCTCATTTCAATTTCGTTCTACTAGGTCAAACTGTTAAGGATGCATCCGCTCAAAGCGGTTCTTGTCTTCGCGACAATATCAGTCTCGGCCCGACCCAATACCAAATGCCCCCAATCGACTCTGTCTCCCGTATCGTTGGTTGATATCGTCCCTGAGGTCCCAGACTTCGAAAACCTCGCTTTGCGCCACAATGGCGATATTCTTGTCACATCCGTGGCGAGCCCAAAGCTACATCTCATCTCGTCGGATCACAAATATGCCCCCGTCGTCGTCGCCGAGGTTCCTCACTACAGCGGATTACTTGGCATCGTCGAGATGCAAAAGGACCTCTTCTACGTCGTTGCTTCTAACCTGAGCGATGCCGCATCCTCCAATGCCATCTGGCAGGTTGACCTACGCAAGTTCGTCCTATCGACAAATGGCTCTATTGTCCAACCGGCCCGCACGACAATCATCGCCGAATTGCCACTGGCGAGACAGGCCAACGGCCTCAGTCGCATCACGTCTCACGACGACTCTCACTTTCTCTTCTCCGATTCCATGGATGGAACCGTTTCGAGATTCAGTATCCACACTGGCAAATCTCAAATTGTCATCGATAATCCCATTATGAAACCAACTACTTCAGGCATCGGTGTTGGTGTTAATGGAGTCCATACTTTTGGTGAATATCTCTACTTTAGCAGTTTCGATCAGGGCGTCTTCGCCAGGGTTCCCATATCCCCTACAGGCTCAGCTACCGGACGTGTGGAAATTCTCGCCCGGAACATCACCGCGGGGGATGACTTTGCCTTGTCGCCTTCTGGCGCATATGCCTATCTTGCCACAAATGGTCCCGAGGAGGTCCTTGAGATTGATATCCATAGAAAAACGAAGCGCGTAATGGCCTCTTCTCCCTTCTTAGGTGGCGGATCCGCTGTTGCCTACGATTCAAGAAACACATCAGCATCTCGCTTGTTTGTAACTGGCGGCTTAGCCGCGGGAAACTCTTCTCTAGGCCAGGTGGTCGTTATTGATATCGCTGCATAAGGCATAAGGGGCATCTTAGATGCCAAGCAAGAATATTAAAGTCAATAAAAACTAGTAGATTTATCATAATATCTCATTCCTTTGTATAACTTAGGTTCTTATAACATTAAAACTGCCCTTTAACACGTCTTCTAAGCTAGCTTCGTATGCATTCTGGAACCTTTCGTCCAACTTCAGAAATTCAATGGCATTTCCAGCTAGCATCATTGCACGTTGTTCCGTTGACAGAAATTTAGAGATTGATGCATTGGATGTCAACATCTTACCCGCTTCAGGGACTTCGCCGAGAGGAAAAGGATAGTCGCTTCCCATGAGGATGCGATCCGGTCTTATCTTCTTGCACAGGTATGCGAGGAGGTCCGGGTCATGGACCAGGCTATCTATCCAGAGATTGTCGCCTGAGCTAAGGTGATCCGAGGGACTTCGTCCACCGGCTCTTGCAGCGACCAAGTCTGGCCTGCAGTTGTAACCGTGCTCTATTCTTCCCATCAATGTTGGAAATGCCCCTCCCGCGTGGGCAAAGCAAAAGCGTAGTAGTGGGTATCGGAGCAAGAGCCCGCAAGATGTCAAGGCAAGCATCGATAGGGCTGTTTCACAGGGCCTGGTGATAAATCAGCGATTGTGTTGATTGTAAAGCGGGCACGTGAGGAGAGCCCATTACATACATTCCAATCAACCATGAAGACCAATACTGACCCCATCGCCGCTCATTCTCTTTCAGCAGGGAGTAGCCAAGCGGATGGACAAAGACTGGCATATCCAATTCCTGACAGGCAGCCCAAAACGGGTCCAATCTAGAGTCGTCGAGATTCATGTCACCGATCGTAGTTCCGATCTCGACACCTTTTAGTCCGAGGGTATATTTTGCCCTCCGAAGCTCTTCGACAGATGCTTGCACATCTTGCAGCGGGACTGTTGCCAGACCGACAAATCTGGTCGGGTACTGTGTGCACATCTGTGAGAGGTGATCGTTGAGTGCGCGAGCTAACTGGGTGACTATTCTTCCCGGCTTGTCGTAAAAGAACAGGACCGGAACAGTACTCAGTACCTGGACGTGGACGCCAGACTGGTTCATGTCCCTTAAGCGTACTTCTGGATCGAAGCAGTTGTCTTGGACGGTTCGGAAATGTTTGGAATCGACATAAATATCAACTGATTCTCCTGTCACGCCTGATGGCTTTAGCTCAATCCAGGAGGCCGACTGTGTTCCATTCTGTCCAGAGTCAGACAGTCGTGGCAATGTCCGTGGCATGACGTGTGTATGTAGATCGATTCGATAGAAGCTATTGGTAGTCATCCCAGCGGAGTGCTCGCCTCTACCATCGATGCCCTCGAGGCACCCATTGCACTGCTTCGTCGGTGTCAACGAGTTATTTCCCATGGTATAAATACGTGAAAATGTTCTTGCAGTGGCAGGCAAGTTAGTGTGTTCTGCCCGCTATCTCTTCCATTTGCGAAGAGACCGCCATATGTAGCATATTATATTATTCCGGAATACTTTTGCTGCTGTCCTTGTGACTATGTCACGCGTTGACATGTCAACATCCGACAGGCGGCCCGCGGATGCAAAAGTGGAGGTTGAACCGCTATCTACCTGTCAGCCCGTCTACACCCAATATGTTTAGGGCTGTCGTCACGAAGTGTCGAGGCATGACCAATTATCCTCACGAATTTCGATCGGCAAAAGGGCACCGGCGGAAGATTCGGACATGCTCTGGTAGTTATAGAGGCCTCATAGGGAGGCTCGTCATGGCCATATTATTAGAGTTTGTCCATATCCGATCACCCTAGCTAAGCGGGCTAATTGCCGAAGTCACACAAACATCCATTGTTCGATATCATAGGAAGTTTTAATGTGCACCAGTTACCAGCTAGGGGCATGATTAAAACGTATTCTCTACAGAGTGATGATTTTGTAAGAGAAACATCTCAATTCCATTCTCATAGCCCATAGCCATAGCCAACAAACAGGCGCCCTTGTACATGTGGCCAAAAGCTTCGCCGTAGGTGCGGATATCCCTCGGCAATACATCACTCTGGCACACACTGGTCGTTCGGCGTAAAATGCATGGCGGCGCATTGGCCACCCAAGCTCTATCAATTGGCAGATCTTAGGCAAAGAGTGATCTAATTTCTGTTCATGGTGACATGCATTAGAGTTTTCAAGCCCTAGTGATCATGCTTAGGAGCCAAGTCTTGTCCAGTCGTATATATTGCTCCCATCATCAGTCACCATCTGCTTATTTTGCGCTCTCTCGACAATCTATCATTTGAAACGATGCTACATAGGTAGATGAAGAGTCCTCACGACAGTAAAGACATCGCGACTGTAGTTTCCTCCTTCTCGCCCCGTGCCCGAATTCTTCATCCCACCAAAAGGCGTGCTGAGTTCCCTGACCAACCAACAGTTAACCCAAACAAGCCCCGAGTCAAGTTGCTCACCGACGCGTCTCATCCGTGCGCCATCCTTAGTCAAGAGAATAGCGGCAAGTCCGTACGCACTGTCATTGGCCAACTGGATGCATTCTTCTTCAGTTTCAAACCTCGCGATTGTGACGACAGGACCAAATATTTCATCTTGCATGATTCGCGAGGATGGACTGACGTCTGTCAAGACTACTGGCTCGATCCAATAGCCATGGCTGGGCTTGAGTGGTGGCACGGATCCCGTGATGAAAGTGGCATTCTCCTTTTTCGCCAGTGCAAGATATGATACTATCTTCTTATAATGTTGTAACGAGGCTACAGCGCCAGTACCATCGCCGCATCTATAATTTGCCTCAACATATGCTTTAAATGTGGTCACAAATGCATCGTAGATACGGGATTGGACGTAGATGCGAGAACCACATAAGCAAATCTAAAACAGATTAGTAACGTTAATACCATGTTATTATATACTCGCAGGCTTACCTCTCCTTGATTTTCAAATGCAGCTGTAGCAGCGGTTTGCACCGCCTTGTTCATGTCCACATCATCGAAGACCAAAGTTGGATTCTTGCCACCTAACTCGAGGGAAATATGTTTATAGATCTGATCTGCAGTATCTCTGCGGATCTTAATCCCTGTTGCTGTACTACCAGTGAAAGAGACGCCCTTGACGAGCGGACTCTGTACAAGTCGAGAGCCTGTGGTTGCCCCGTCACCGAAAACTATGTTAATAACACCAGGTGGAATCTCTGCCTGTCGAAATATCTCGCAGAGCAGAAATGCAGACATGGAAGTGAACTCGGATGGTTTCGCGACCGCTGTACATCCAAAAGCAAGGCACGGCGCGATCTTCCAGGTTAGCAGGTATAAAGGCATGTTCCATGGAGAGATGAGCGCAAATACGCCAGTAGGTGAGCGATGTTCGTAGGTAAGTGCCACTCCATCTATCATCCTTACGGCATTCTCTTGGTGCAGAATAAAGGTTGCGAAATATCTAAAACAAGCCTGAGTCAGTAAGACTTTTTCTTCAAGGCTTCTTCGGTATTCACCTGAAGTTTGTCGCAGCCCGATCTACCTCGACTCTCGCTCTGGCCAGAGTTTTGCCCTGATCTATACTTTCCCAAACCGCGAGCAATTCTTTATTCTCCTCTATGAGGCGCGCAACACGCTCAAGTAGGCTAGACCTGTAGGCTGCCGTCGTCTTGGACCATGTTTTGAAAGCATCTGTAGCAGCCCGAAGCGCGTGGTCAACTTGGGCAGCGCTACTGATGGGGACTCTGGCGAACGGTTTGCCTGTCTTGGGATTTGTGGAGTCGAAGAAACTTGCTGGCGATGAGGTATCGAATTCGTTGGAGACATAGTTCTGTAGAGACAGTTGCGATGACACGTAGTCCGAAGAGATAAAGCGCTCAACGGACTCTAAAGTCTGGTGTTGCCAGGCAGTTTCAATAGTAGCGTTTCGCATTTGTGCTGGGGCGCTGGTGTTAGTGCTATCACTGCTATGCTTGCTCTGCTACGTACGGGCGAAAAAGACGTCGCAGTGTATTTAAACTCCAACAATCGATTGTCTCTTTGGACATGGTATACCCAGATGGAGACCCTGCAGTTTAAGTTACCGAAAACCGCACCAACCCGAAGCCACTGGTCGCGGCCCGAACCCCGGCTTATTCAAGATAGTGTCGGCAAGCGGGTAGCCCCGTGCTAAGGATTGCCTGAGTAGACCCATTATTTCTTCTCTAATAAAGCGAAACTGACGCCCGATTACCTATCTTCTCTAATTGTGAACTAATAATTGACCATTTGACATATTCGTTCTTGTTGTCGACCAACAAAGATATCCAAAATGGCGTCCCATAACGGTGAAGCGTACTTTCTGCCAGCTGAAAAAGCTCAATCCCTCGCCAACTATCCCCACGCCCGGATAACAAATCAATCGGCCAAAACCATCTTCGTTTCTGGTACCTCGTCACGTCGTGGCGATAATTCAGTCGTGGGCTGCACTACAGATGTCGATGGAACGCACCACCTCGATATTTCACTGCAGACAGAAGCGGTGCTGCAAAACATCGGAGCCATCATTGACGGGGCGACAAACGGCGCATGTGGACTGCAGAATGTAGTTAACGCCACTGTTTTCTTGACTGACATGAAAGATTATGCTGGGATGAACGAGGAGTGGAATAAAGTATGGCCTGACAAGACCAAGGCGCCTGCGAGAACATGTATACAGGTTGCTGCATTGCCGAATGAAAGGTTGAACGTGGAAATACAATGTACTGTTTTGTGGGCAGAATAGTGCCCTTATTTCAGTTATAGGCTTGGGCACTATGATCTCGGTCTCTGTTTGGGCATGGCAGCAAATTGTTATGCGATAACAAAGAGCGATCTGCGACCACCGGCAATTATCCCTGCTGTATTTGTGCCGATTAGCCGGCCAATACCTGTAGAGCTTGTAGATAGCTATTATGAGATAAGACAAAGACTTATCTCATTGCTCTGAAACTACTATAAATTAAGGATGAATTATGCTTCTTTAGGCAGGTAAGAAATATCGCTCAACTTGTGATCTTTTAATTGAGTAACCTACCTAAGTAGGTGTATGAGACCTAGTAGTATTTTACCATTCAATAGGCTATCTGCGAAACGTGCCGGCAACTATATGCCGAGCACTAGCGGTTTGTAGCATCTATTGAAGGACCCTTTGTTTGACAACCAAAACTGACACGGCTGTAAGACCATATCGAGACAATTAAACCCGTATGTCGGTGGCTCAACCAAGCAACATTGCCGAGCTATACAATCGAGCGACATGTATATAATTCTCGGGTTCAAGTTTTTCAAACATACACCAACTGCCATTCCTCAAGTCTCTTCCTATCTGAACATGATGCTGAAATCTGTTCTTGTGGCCTTTGGCGCCATCCGTGCTGTTCATGGTTGGGGTGTTTTAGGCCATGCCACTGTTGCCTACATTGCCCAACACTTTCTCGACGATGATGTTGCCTCTTGGTAAGCTCCAGCTACTCTGCTATCTTCTTAATATGTACTAACTTGAGAATAGGGCGCAGGGTGTTCTAGGTGACACTTCAGACTCATACCTTGCCAACGTTGCTTCGTGGGCCGACACCTATCGCGCAACTGCAGCTGGAAAATGGTCAGCCCCTCTGCACTTCATTGATGCAGAGGATAGCCCGCCAACAAACTGCAATGTGGATTATGACCGTGATTGCGGCAGTTCTGGATGCTCCATCTCCGCCGTCGCCAACTACACTCGACGTGTTGGAGATAGTCGTCTGACTAAAGCCAACAAAGCTGAGGCTCTCAAGTTCCTGGTCCACTTTCTGGGCGACATCACTCAGCCACTTCATGATGAGGCCTACGAGGTCGGCGGAAACAGTATCAAGGTTACCTTCAACGGGTTTACTGGCGATAATCTCCATTCGGACTGGGACACTTATATGCCTGAGAAATTGATTGGTGGCCACGCCTTGACTGACGCGCAATCTTGGGCAAACACACTCATCACTGATATTGTTTCGGGCTCATACAAGTCCAAAGCCGCTTCTTGGATCGCAGATAGCGACGTGACCGATCCTGTTACATCGGCCACGGCCTGGGCCTCGGACGCCAATGCTTATGTCTGTACTGTTGTCATGCCTAATGGTGCTGCAGCGTTGCAGAAGGGTGATCTCTACCCGACCTACTACAACTCTGCGATCCCAACCATCGAACTGCAAATTGCCAAGGGTGGTTACCGCCTGGCTCATTGGCTGAACAGCATCTACTCTGCCAAGATTGCAACTCGTTCTGTGCACAAACTGAATGCACGGAAACCACTACCAGACTTGATGGGACGAGACCTGCTTCCAAGTGCACGACCTTTGAGCCGCGCTAAACTCGCGAGAGAGGCAATGAGCGGGGACTGCTGTGCTTCAGGACATTCTCATTAGAATTCATACTTAGCAGACCTTTCAAGACATCAGAGAAGAATGGGTTATTTATTTAGAATTACCTATGCTATTACTATGTATAGCTAGCTATCACCTCAATTTCAACATCAGTGTCTAAAGGTAGCTATTAGATAGCGACGTCGGTTCGTCACAGTGAATGTGAATGTTCGTTTAGGACTAGACCCAGCAGACATTTTTTAGATCCGCAAGATATCATCAAATATCATGTTGAATATTTGTCTACTTTCGCTTTCGCCTCTTAGAGATAGCCAAGTATGTACCATTGCATCGCATTACGTTATACGAATCGATGTCGAACTGTTACCAGTCACATCTGTTATCATTGCCCGCTACCCTGTAGTGGGGGGCTCTTGTAGACAAGGCAGGAAACTCCGAGTTTAACATCCTAAGTGGGCCTCGACAGACGCCGCTAACTAACTTAAAACGGCTAATAACTAACTAATTGACAGGCATCAAACGATTGGGCTCCACTCAACCTTGACATGCATCACATCAAGGGCGTAAGCCGCTTTTGCCCATGTAATTGGTAGTCTAACGATTCACTCTCGTCACGTTTGGATATTTAAACATCCCTTCTAGAGCCTTCATGAACACCAAACCAAAAGCTGCACACCAATCCATACACACGTACAGTCCTATCAGCAAGCAATCATAATGGTTCGCATCACCCCTTTTGCCGTGGAGCAATGGATGGACGAGTATGAAACGACTCCAGGCGTCCTTAATGTTGCCGAAACATGTGCCGCCTCTGTGTCCATCGATGACTTGGTCGCCATGTCTACTGGTCCCGCCAAGAGCCCCATCGACACAAGCATCAAGCTCACATACGGCGCCATCCCAGGATCCCAGACTCTTCGACAGCGCATTGCTGCCCACTGCAGCACTGAAGGCTCGCAGCTGACAGCCGAGGATGTCATCGTCACTCAAGGCGCTATTGGCGCCAACTTCTTGGCCCTGTATACACTGACAGGGCCTGGTGACCATGTCATCTGCGTTTACCCGACGTATCAGCAGCTTTACGACACTCCCCGTAGTCTGGGGGCTGAAGTAACTCTATGGAAATTGAAGAAGGAAAATGGGTTCGTCCCTGACGTCGATGAACTGGTTGGTCTAATCAAGCCAAACACCAAGGTATTAATCATTGCCCTCCATTATTCTGTACAACACGAGATATTAACATAGCTAGATAATAATCATTAATAATCCTAATAACCCAACTGGAGCACCGATCCCAAACAGTGTTATTGACCGTATTTCCAAGGTTGCAGAGGATCATGGCATTATTCTCTTCTCTGATGAGGTGTACCGTCCGCTCTTCCATGGTGGTGCGTCCGGCAGCGATGCAACTGAAATACCCAAGCCAGTAACAACACTAGCATATGGCAAAACCATTGCAACGGGATCAATGTCAAAAGGCTATGCGCTGGCAGGTATCCGTGTCGGCTGGATAGCCAGCCGGGATCAGTCTATCATCTCTGCCATTATGCGAGCACGCGACTACACCACCATCAGCGTCTCCCAGATAGACGATCAGGTTGCCAGATTCGCCCTCTCACCTGAGGTCAAGCCTGCATTGGTCCAGCGGAACATCACACTCGCTAGGACAAACGCAGCCATCGTCAAAGAATTCATGGACCGCTATAAGTCGGTTTGTTCATGGGTTGAGCCCAAGGCCGGCACAACAGCCTTTATCCGCTTCAACGACCGGAATGGGGATCCCGTAGACGATGTCAAGCTTTGTCTTGATTTACTGGACAAAGCTAAGCTTCTGCTTGTTGCAGGATCTCGCTGCTTTGGAGGTGATCAAGACTTCAAGGGTTATGTTCGCATGGGCTATGTCTGTGAGACGGATGTGTTGGTTGCTGGGTTGAAGGAGCTCGGTGCTTACATTGATAGAGTCTTGGTGTAGAGTTACTCTCGATTTATTTTAGTAGAGGCTTTCTAAATAAAGTATGAATCTATTTATCATTTTGGACTGCAACACGGCGAGCAAAGGTAATGTTTTCTTCGGTGTTTAACTAGGACAATTGTAACAAAATGACGAAAGAGTAAACAGTCTTTTACTGCGTATTTGCCACATATTTGTAAAGCTCAAGATTTCAAGACACGAGTGTGATGAATTAGCACCGCCGCCAGATTTTAATGAATGCAGCTATTTGGTAAAACTATTACGTAACTAAACCTGAATCTGAGGAAGTTAACTCCGAACAATAATTCTATATGTAAATAGCTATTTAACGGACCTAAGCAGTGATGCGTATTGACAGAGCTTCATTAGAACCATTGCAGATTTTAAACCTTATTCCCAATGACATCTCTTCGGCAGAGCCACCACATGGAGGAGCTGGGCATTTCCAAAGCCATGTCAAAAATGCGAAACTGGCGAAAGTCGTGCAAGCTCGAGATAGAACTCGCCGACCATTATTACGCCAAGATCTATTCATCTGGTTCAGTTGTGCAAGGTCACTTAGTTATCTCGCCAGCCAGCGATATATTTGCTTCCTCCATTACCATCTCCCTTGATGGTACTACAACGATCCGGACGGTCGGTCAAATGTTAACTACCACGACTACACACCGCTTTTTGAAGATGGACTTGATCTCTTCTGACGTCTTTGACTTGATCTCAAAGACACTCAAAAAGAACCAAACCTACAGAATACCTTTCCAATTCACTTTACCTGATGAATTGGATCCTACGGCTTGCACGCACAATGCCGTATCGGCGACTGTCACAGACCAGCACTTATTCCTTCCTCCAACGATGGGAGGGATGTGGGATCGAGATGACATGAGTCCGGGAGTGGTTGAGGTTAAATATGGAATCAATGCCTGCATTGTAGCAACTACCTCTCTGTCCACAGATCAGAGTCAAGATCTGATGGCCAATAGGGCCATACGATTCATTCCCAGATTGACAGAAAGCCCGCCTGTACATGTGTCGTTGCCGAGTCCACGATACAAGTTGAAAGGGACGAAGTATCTTGGGAGTAACTCGTTCAAACAACGGTTGGGCATCATCAGCGCCACAGCAATGCAGCCTGAACCACTTCATCTCCAAGCTTATGGGACTGTCATCACTCCATCATTCGTCGATGCCACCTTGACATTTAATCCTGAAAACTTTGCGACACCGCCCCCGAAGCTGGAACGCGTCTCTCTCTCAGTCCGGTCCTGCACTTGGCATCAGGCCGACCCAAATCAGGCGTTCCCAGACCAAATCGAAACACCCAGCCTCACACAACCATTCTCTTCTACTATTCCATTAACCGCCGAGTGTCCGCAAATCACGTGGGCCCGACATGTTGATTCTAGGCTCGATGATAAGGATCAGGGGAAGTCGTCTGTAGCTTTCTACAGTTCTACACTGCGGCTTCCACTATCTGTCCCGTTAATTCGCAAAATGTTCCTGCCAACATTTCATTCCTGTCTTGTTTCTAGGACTTATGAAGTCTGCATGCGTCTCACGTTCAAGAAGGGGGGCTTGACACTTATAGCACCTCTCCAAATTATAGTTGAACCTTGAAATCACATGATTTATCCGTATAAAGAAAGACCTTGTTCATTCAATCTCGCAGTGAAGTGACGCCCTTTTGATTCTTGCTATTATAGGCGGGTCGGAATAGACCCATGATGCCCTTGTATAATAGACAATGAGGGCAAAGACTTGCATCGGAAAGGTAAACTTATGCTCGTAATTCTGTCAACTAAGCGACTCTTGACACAGATGCTGCTTCAAGCTATTTACCAAGTTATTCACGCTAGGCTCAAAAGATCTTCTCTGGGAGGGCAAGTCGAAGCGCCTCCGAGTGTGCTTCTCGGAAAACACTGCGATTCGACCAAGGCACGGCAGTGGAGTAACTTGATGTGTGACGTTCAAAAAGCTCCACAACCTCCGAGCTGCAATAACAAGGTTGTTCCTTTTCTCCCACCATCACAGGCGAAACAGCCATCATGCCACCGTTTCCGAGCGGATGCTGGACTTGCAAACTCAGACATCGGAAATGCGACTCCCATGTCCCCGTGTGTAGGGAATGCACAGACCGACGCATTCCGTGCCACGGCTATGGCTCCAAGCCTGAGTGGATGGACGGATCGATTGCTGAGCATGAAGAGCTTCAGCGAATCAAAAGGGCTGTCAAACGGAATCTTAAGAAGCTTCGAAAACAACCGCGGAATCGAAACCTTAGAAGATGCGTTACAGTGAGGTTTTCACCAGATGGAGGTGCCCAGAGCGAGACGCCGCCAGCTCCAGAAACTGCTGAACTCTCAACTTCGTCACTATTGGAACAAGCGTTAGATCATGGCTTTGATAATCTTGATTCTATAGATGCTGGGAGTAGATCAACACTCACCCCAAGGCCGATACAAGAGGAAGAAGCTACACAGCCATTCTCTCCATCACAAGATCCCACTCCACCTTGCATCTTGCCGCCCAGGCTGGCATCTCTGATCATGTACTATCTCGATCATGTGTTTGTTTGGCAATTCCCTTACTTTAGACCCCAGTCCTGTTTGGGCAACAGAAGCTGGCTTCTTGTATTCCTCACGAACGGCGGTTCGTTGTCATATGCTGCCCTTGCACTCGCCACCTTGCATCGAGAAGCATCCTATAAGAACCGTGTCTATAACCAGGAAGCTTTTGAGCTTCACTCAATGGCGTTGAGAGAGTTGCGTAAGCTCTCGCAGCACACTGAGGCTGAAACACTCCTTGGCGATCTACCTAAGCTTGCCGAGTTCGTAGCGGCGAGTCTGACACTGATAAGTTTCGAGGTAGGTCATGGGGCTTTGGGTGAATTACCTGTACTTTGGTGGACTCTGACCTTTTTTCTCATCATAACAGGTGTTTAATGGAGCTGAATACGACTGGGTTCCGCACCTCGACGCTGCGACGGCTGTTCTCGCCATGCACTCGCCAGAAGCCCTGCTACGGACTCCATCATCACCTGGAAACAATTCGCCTTTTCCAGCTAGTGATGGCCTTGATGATGAACCCCATCAATCGCAACTTGGTTTCAATTTTCTTGTAGCTGAAGCATTGTGGCATGACATCCTGGCATGTGCCACAACAGGTCGAGTCCCGCGAATACCTTATCGGCAATGGCTGGAAGGGACAGGTCTCGAGATGGCTAATTTGATGGGCTGTTACAACTGGGTGATGGTGGCTATTGGAGATCTTGCACATCTCCAAGCCTGGAAAAAGGAGATGAGGCAACAAGAGAGGTTGAGCGTGCCCGAGTTGGTGAGAAGAGGTCAAAGAATAGACAAGAGATTACAGGACGGCATCAATGAACTAAAGCAAATTGCCAAAGTGAGTACTAATAGTATCCCAAGGTTGCCACATGGCTAATAACTCATATTTCCATAGGTGAGAGGCGATATTCGAGGTAATATGCAGCCGGCCCCATGGGTCTCGCACATTTTTGCAATTGCGTCATTAGTCTTATCAAGTTCGATAGTCTCCGGTCCTTGGGCATCTCTCCCTGAAGTCAGAGATGCGATTTCAGAGTCTGTAATTGTACTAAAGAATTGGCCCCAAGCCATTCCTCTCCGGGGTCTTGTCTGGCCCCTCTATATCATTGGTTGCATGGCCGAGGCCAATCTGCAGGGTTACTTTGAGTCACTTTTATCGAGTGTGTTGGAAGAGAGTGGAGGGTTTGGAAACAGCGGCACTGTGATTAAGCTCTTGAAAAACTGTTGGGCTACACTGCCAAATTACAACGGTGATAGGCTAGAATCAGTGTTCCAGACAGGAGGCAATGTATTGCTAACATAGACTTCTTCCATTGATAACAAGGATTATTTAATAATTAACTTAATTTGGAACCTTGTTGATAAGAGCACCATTTATCCTCCCACATGACATACCGGTACATCACAGTGAAGAGTGAGCTATGTAGCTAAGAGAGGCCATCCCCCATCTCAAGTAGAAGCATGGGCAAGACTGTGTCTGCTCGCTACATTTGAGCCGTCTTGGGAAGCATATAGGGACTTCAATAAGCTCCACAGTAACTATTGTCTGGGACTCAGGAGACATCTCATCAAGCGGATATACTCGGCTTGACAGCAGCCGTCCTGGGAGGGCAGGTCGAAGCGCCGGTACTTGGAGAATGCTTGGACAGACTTACTGACCAGCTTTAGTCATAATATCTCAATGTTATTCGACTTTATCTGTAATCAGCGGGTATAAATTCTTATATGTCTGACAGTTAACACCCTTTCGCAATAGCCTGCCATCTTCTTTTAACGTCAGGTATCTCACACAGCTTATAACTCGACCTATCAACACATATGAACTACATTACATTAACACACGAATAATCCAACAATGAAGTTTAAGCGCATGCCCATTGAGATTGAGTCGCCTGAGGAGTATGGCTACGACAAGATCAAGTACAATCTCTCAGAAAGCTCTGTCACCGATCAGACACTTGAGTCACTGGACCTTAAGATACCGAACCTCACCCTCCTATACAATGAACACCGTGGCGAGACCAAGTTGCGAAAGCTTATCGCCGATGACGCTGGAGTGAGTGCTGACGATGTTCTCATCACCTCGGGGGCTGCTGGGGCGCTGTTCATCATCACGACCTCTCAACTGGGTAGCACACCTAACTCAGAGCGTAACCATCTTGTCGTGGTGCGTCCAAATTACGCAACTAATTTGGAAACCCCCAAGGCTGTTGGCTGCGACATCTCATACATCGATGTTACGTTTGAGAGTGGCTTCCAGCCCAACGTGGACGAGATTGAGGCTGCTATCAAGCCCAACACTCGCCTCGTCTCGGTAACATGCCCGCATAACCCAACTGGTTCTACTCTCTCCAGAGAGGCACTCGACAGGCTTGTTGCAATCACAAAGAAGAAGGGGGTTTTGTTGCTTGTCGACGAAACGTATCGGGATATCGCATTTGCAGAGAAACTCCCCGTCGCTGCCTCGTTGGGTGGTCATGTTCTGAGCGTTTGCTCACTCTCAAAGTCCTTCGGTATGCCTGGAGTGCGCATCGGCTGGCTCATCTCCACCAACAAGACACTCCAGGAGACCTTTCTTGCTGCAAAGGAACAGATAAGCATTAGTGGCAGCGTCATCAACGAGTGGATCGCAATCGATGTCTTGACCCGTCGTGAGAAGATTCTGAGCGACACAACGGATGAGATGAGGGTCCGACTTCAGATGGTTGAGTCTTGGATTGAAAGTGAGGAGTTGCTGGAATGGGTCAAGTCGACTGGCGGAGTTGTCTGCTTTCCTCGTATCAAGGAGGAGCCCAAGGGAGGGTTTCCGGCCTTCTACAACAGGCTTCTCAACAAGCATGCAACATATGTTGGGCCTGGTCATTGGTTTGAATTGTCTGATAGCTTCTTTCGGCTCGGCTATGGATGGCCCACTCGGGAGGAGCTTGAAGGGGGCATGAAGGCAATCTCGGCTGCGCTGCGAGATGAGTAGACTGAGATAAATAGGGACAAGAACTCAGATGCGTCAGTTAATAAATAAGGAAAAGATAGACGACTTCCGGTCTTTTTACTGCAGTACCTCTCTACTTTCACACTAGGTGGAGTTGGACAAGGAACACGTGATGCACTTGTTTCCGCTTTGCTGCTCTAATGAAAAACTAGAACGCAGCCAAATCCCCGCTCACATGCTGCGATCAATTAGACAAATGCATGACAATTAGTAATGCCACCACAAAAGACCCGACGTGCTGTGACTTACACAGGGTATTTATCCCACTCAATCACCAATGGCCTTGCTAATCTTTTACCTTCATTCCAGTTGCTGGACTTGTAAAACTCGCAAGGTCCGGTGTGACGAACGCCCAATTGCGTGTAAAAACTGCGAAAACAGAGGAGTAACATGTAGTGGTTATGGTATTAGACTGCGTTGGTTATCAGAATCGGTAACAGATGCCGATTCAAGCCCAGTACTCCAGGGGCGCAGGCGTATAAAGCTAGGTACGTATGGGTGGTTTCTTGTGATAACATTGATGTTGACCATACAATAGACCGGGACTTTGGAGTCTATGATGCTGAAACTATCGATAAGTTTCTTTCAGAAATCGACCAAAACGTCGATTATGTGTTACCATCTTGTTACGGGCCATTCTCCGCCTTCATGACCACACGAGACAAGCCAGATGAAGTTGTTACACCGACCACATCACACGGGCTTACGTCGCAGGGGATAGTATCTGCGGAAGCTCACATATCAAGTGTAATAGATTCCTCTCAGCCTAGAGATCCAGTGCTCCACGAAGAAGGACTTCAAAAGGATGACAGTCAATTGGCGCCAGATTCGACCATATGGTTCCCGTCAAACGTAGAGACTCCCACATACCTTTCGTGCCCCGCGGATATCGACGATTTGCTTGATACCAATGCTATTGAAGATCCATCGCCAAACGAGTATGGAACAGAAGTCAGCCCGGTATCGGGGAACAATGCTGCTGAAATTGGCGAAGAAGATGCCCCATCGTCAGAAACATCGCTTTTCTCGCATGGAGGTAACAGCACTATGGTACGGCAACTTGACAACGTCCTATCTGGTAGCCGACAACAGGATTACTTAATTAAGCATTATTATAATCACGTGGCAGCAGTTCTGCTTCCTCTGAACTACTCAGACAACCCGTTTCGAAGCATCTATTTGTCCACGGCGGTGGAGGGGTTATTCCGATACGACTCACACGCTTCCACACCGAGAGAAGTAGCTTGTACTGCACTCTATCAGTCTTTGTTGGCATCCGCATCGTACCATCGCTGGCAATGTAACAAGCAAGATATGGTTTATCATGAGCTTGGGGCCAAGCATCGGATCAATTCCATCCAGTTATTACAAGCTGCACTCACACAAGCGCCACCTACGGCGAATTACCAGGCTCTAATGCTTGTCGTACTATCCCTTGTTACTATAGGTGTCAGTCAAGCACGTTCTCATCACTCATAGAGCCTACTAATATGAGATCTTCAGGTTGTATCTGGTGAATGTGACGATTTTCGAATGCATATTCAAGCTGCTGCACAGCTCCGTAGCGTACGGAGTCAATGGAGGGTTTCAAGTCGTTCTTCTCGACGACTAAATGAGTTCGGCGCCTTTCTAGCCCTGCTGTCGGAAACCGTATCATCCGAGCCCTCCATCTATCCTTGGGGCAATAAAGATGACAGAGCCATCTCTGAATGCTCGACTCTGCACTCCAGTGAATGCTACACATTTACTTACGGTATCACACCCACCATCACACTGGCTATCAATGAAGTCTGCCACCTTTCCAAGCATCTTACTCGCTTTCAATTAGAGAGTAAGAGCTTGCCTGACGAGTTTCTAGAAGCATGTGAAGAACTGGGTAACATTCTTGAGGCTTGGAGATTGGAGGACGAAGATATCACAGCTGTCTTTACTGGCGATGAGATGAGTTCGTCGGTTTTCTCTCATTATGCCAAGGGATGGCATGGAGCTGCGCTGATCTACTACTACACTAGCATACAAGGGATCAAGCGTGGGGAGCTCACAAGGGTGGTTGACGACGTGGGCGAGTATGTGAACAAGGCTGAAGATTTAAAATCATTGATGGATAATGCTGGGGATGGAATATCTATGGCGCCAATTACGTGGCCAGCGTTTGTTGCAAGCTGCAATGCCCTAAGAGAGCGACGTGGTGTATGGGAACAATGGTGGAAGCGTGTACAAAGGTACAAATTGGGCAATATGAGCAAACAGTGGGATTTGGTTCAGAGAATATGGGCTATACTTGACAAGGCCGAGAACCAAGCGATATGCTTGAGTTGGGTTAATGCCTATAATATGGCAGATTTTGATGTCCTACTTGTGTAACACTAGAGTAGCTTTGTTGTCAATAATGTGTAGCTAAAAGTTACTAAAAAGTTAAATGAACTCAGTTTAAGTACATTTGGCACGAGCATCGTACACCCATTTTCCCTACTACGTAGTAGTTTCGGTTAACGAGCCGGAGAATAATTGTAGGCGGTGATTTCAAAAATGAGGTTCTGCCCGGGCTCGAACCGGGGACCTTCTCGGTGTTAACGAGATGTCATAACCAACTAGACCACAGTACCAAGCTGTTTTGATATGCCGGTGAGCATTTCCGTTGCTCTAAGGAATGGCAGCAGAACATTAAACAGAAAAACCTGTGCGAGTTGTATGGGGTCTTTAGACCTCTGCAGACCATATCCGTCGCGGTCTTGGAAACTGCTCAGAAATATGACGAACTTTGCAATCTACGTAGCGTTCATAGTTACCTCTGAGTTTGCAGGAGTGAGCAGCACAGCTATCAAGAGAATAAGAGCGCAGGTGGGGTAGCATGTGATTTTCCTTGCTCATTAGTATAAATGAGATAAAGGCAGGTACTTTCCTTACCATAGAGAGGCTAATAGCTGTGGGGAGAGACTTTTAAGGAACAAGATTATGGCTCGGGCGTGTTGAGTAGCAGGTGGGTATAACACTATGTGTGGCCGCCTGCCGCTTTAGGTGACCGACCAATTGCGCTGCTCTACCAATGAAATGATACTAAAGAACCACGAGGTTTTCTATACTAGTAAACCAGAACTTCTGCTATAGATCTTTTGTGCAACCGTTTCGGGACTTTTTCCTAATAGGATGGCTGGCCGGCTATGCGGCAAAACATGTGAGAGCAGAACGAAACAGGAGAATAATATAAAGTCAAACGTCAGAAGGATTAGTTGCGAAAAGTGCAAGACCGACTTGTAATAGGATAAGCTTGCTTGCAAATATGGTTTACACGCAAAACGTAGTTACCAGTCTCTTCTTGCTGGTAGTTGGCACCACAGCCAAAGTCAGCTTTCCACCTATACCTTCGGATCTATCAACGCCTGTGCAGCAGCGAATTTCTCTTGACGGGCCAAACAGTCAGTTCTTATCCCACAGGCTACACAGGCCGATCAATTGACTTGTCTTAGGTGTCACTATTGGCTGGAATACATACGCCAAGCAACAAAAGCCCTGCGTGAACTATGGCACCTCAAAGGATGCACTCAACCAGCAAGCATGCTCGGATATATCCTTGACTTATCCCACTTCCCGCACTTGGGCCAATACTGTTACTCTTGGCAATCTCTCCCCTGCAACGACGTACTATTACAAGATTTCTTCCAAGAGCGCAATTGTCGATCAATTTCTAAGCCCTCGACCGGCTGGTGACAAGACACCATTCGCCGTCAATGCCATCATCGATCTAGGAGTGTACGGAGAAGACGGCTTTACCATCAACATGGATCAATCCAAGCGCGATATCATCCCAAGCGTTCAACCATCCTTGAACCACACGACTATTGGCCGTCTTGCCACAACAGCCGATGACTATGAATTCATCATCCATCCAGGCGATCTGGCATATGCTGATGACTGGTTTCTCAAGCCAAAGAACTTGCTTCACGGACAAGAGGCATACCAAGCCATTTTGGAAACATTCTATGACCAGCTGGCCCCCATCTCTGGTCGAAAGCCTTACATGGTCAGCCCAGGAAACCACGAGGCCGCTTGTCAAGAGGTCCCAATCCTTAACAACCTCTGTCCTGTAGGTCAGAAGAATTTTACCGATTTCATGTATCGATTTGGGCAGTCGATGCCCCTTGCCTTCACATCAACATCGTCGGACGACACCGCCAGAGTTAATGCCAACAAAGCCAAGCAGCTCGCGAACCCGCCCTTCTGGTTCTCATTTGAGTATGGCATGGCTCACGTGGTTATGATCGACACCGAAACCGATTTTCCTAATGCACCTGACGCGCCGGGTGGCTCTGCAAATCTGAACAGTGGACCTTTCGGAAGACCGAACCAGCAACTCCAGTTCCTTGAAGCTGATCTTGCGTCGATTGACCGCAGCGTCACACCATGGGTTATTGTTGCTGGACACCGCCCGTGGTACACCACCGGAGATGAAGGCTGCAAGCCATGCCAACAAGCCTTCGAGGGGTTGTTCTACAAATACGGCGTTGATCTGGCTGTTTTTGGACACGTGCATAACTCCCAACGGTTTTACCCGCTATATAATGGGACTATTGACCCCGCAGGGTTGAATGATCCCAAATCACCCATGTACATCGTGGCTGGAGGTGCAGGCAACATCGAGGGACTGAGTGCCGTAGGCAAGAAGACATCTACGAATGCATTTGCGTATGCGGATGACTTTAGCTATGCCACCATCCGTTTTCAAGATGCTAACAACCTGCAAGTTGACTTTATCCAGTCCTCAACTGGGAAGGTTTTGGATACTTCTAAGCTTTATAAGTCGCATACGAAGCAGTTCGTTCGGCAGACATAGAGTGGTATATGAAATGGAGAGAAGAGTCAAGACAGGGTAGGGATAGGATCCAATCGGGCGTGAAAGAGACCTGCCCCGTCTCGAGCACAAATCTCTGCCAGTCTGGGTTGCATACACTAGGCTAGCATTAATGTCACCTTCCTCCCCAGCCTTCCTCCATACCTTGCTTATGAAGACTCCACATCTTTCATGAATGCAACGTGAAGTTGCAACCCTAAGCCCTGTAAGACAGTAATTGCACTCAGGGGCCATAAAGTTAAATTCTGTGCCTTAGACTATATCCCCTTTATTCAAACGTGAGAAGGACCCTGTTAATTAATCAGGGTCGAACGCCTATCATTCTTTCCCCAGCTCAGCAACTCGGGGAACCCGTACCCCGTTATATTACTCCGTTTCCTTCATTATTATCCAGGTTCGCGGCCGATCTTTCCTATCTAGTTAACGGAAGACCTAAAGCCTTGACTGCTTGCAGTGCTACATATCCGAAATCTAAAGTGGATTCGATGGTATTTCAGGACGCATCCCCATGGTCCAGAAACAATTCCATCCTTCCAGACCCTTTTCTCTTCCTTGTGGTTACTTAGAACTAGCCAGCTAAGATGAAACTGCCACCTTTTACTATCCTTTTAGCCGCTGTTATTGACTCAACCTTTGCTTTGTGAGTTTGCTCAATCCGCCCCAACGAGCACAATATTAACCCAACAGCTCAATCCCATGGGGTTCTTCCGCACATCAAAAGCGTTCTCATAACCCCTTCATCAACGAACGCGATACGAGTGCAATAAAATATGACTATGTAGTCGTTGGCTCTGGGGCAGGAGGAGGTCCCGTCGCCGCCAATCTCGCCGTCGCAGGGTACAAAGTTCTTCTTATCGACGCTGGTGGTGACTCTGGCGATGACTGGGTCGAGAAAGTCCCTGCCTTGAATCTTCTCTCAACAGAATTTGAAGATACCCGATGGAACTTCTATGTCAATCACTATTCTGACTCGACCCAACAAAAACGCGACTCCAAGATGACTTACAAGAAGCCTGATGGTAGCCTCTATGTAGGTCTTGATCCTCCAAAAGACGCAAAGCCATTAGGTGTGCTGTATCCCCGTGCCGGTACGCTTGGTGGATGCACACGCCATAACGCCCTGATCACAGTAGCTGCTCACGATAGTGACTGGGCCAACATTGCCGCTCTGACAGGCGATGACTCTTGGAACCCGAAGAACATGCAGTCGTACTTCAAAAAGTTGGAGAAGAACATGTACTTGCCAAGCAGCATCATTGGACACGGCTTCAAAGGCTGGCTTGGCACCTCCCTCACTTCCCTCACCTTGGTTGTGGAAGACCTCAAGTTCTTGTCTCTGGTGATTTCTGCAGCTTCAGCAACGGGTAAGAATCTTGTGGGATTGATACTTGGCACTGTGACTGGTCTTGGTCAGATTTTACTTCGTGACATCAACGCCCCAGGTCAAACAAGCAACACTGGGCTTTATCAAGTTCCACTTTCCATGGTCGATTCAGTGCGCGGTGGTCCACGAGACTTCATCCTCGATACAGCTAACGCTGTGAACAAGGATGGAACTCGAAAGTACCATCTCGATATCAAGCTTGATACTCTAGTAAGTCATCCCGTCTATGCCATGTACTAAAACTTACATTGTAGTAGGTCACCAAGATTCGATTCGATACCAGCGGCTCCAAGCCCCGTGCTGTGGGCGTCGATTACCTAGAAGGTCCCAGCCTCTACCGCGCCGATCCTCGCTCTGCATCTACCAAACCAGGCGGATCTGGCATCGTTGAAGCTAAACGCGAAGTCATCGTCTCTGCTGGTACCTTCAACACTCCTCAGCTACTCAAGCTCAGCGGCATTGGGCCCAAGAAGGAACTCGACTCCTTCGACATACCTGTACTAGTCGACCTGCCTGGAGTTGGAACGAACATGCAGGATCGATACGAAGCCACTGTAATTGGAAAGACTGACAGCGACTTTGCCATTACCTCGAAATGTACATTCATGAGGACTCTGCCAGATCCCTGCCTAGAGCAGTACAAGAAAGGCCTCGGTCCAATTACCAAGGGAGTATATGCAACCAACGGAATCGCTCTTGGAGTGGTGCTGAAGTCTTCGGTAGCGGGTGATGAACCTGATCTATTCATCTCTGGCGCTCCAGCCAAGTTTAAAGGATACTTCCCTGGTTACGCTTCCGACTCTCTTGCTGATGCTCGGCACTGGGCCTGGATCATTCTCAAAGCTCATAGCCGCAACAATGCCGGTACCGTCACCCTGAAATCCACCGACGCAAGAGACATGCCAATTATCAACTTCAACTCCTACGATTCGGGCGTTAATGAAGTAGGGGAAGGCGACAAAGATCTCCAGGCCACATACGAAGGATTCCAGTTTGCTCGCAAGGCATTTAAAAGCCTTATTCCTCTCGATGGGGACTTCCCTGAAGTTTGGCCAGGAAATAATGCCACGAATGAGAAACAAGCAAAACAGTTTATAAAGGATGAAGCCTGGGGTCATCATGCTTCGTGTACCTGTCCCATTGGCGCTGATACCGATCCAATGGCTGTTCTGGACTCTCAATTCAGAGTGAGAGGTACTGAAGGGTTGCGAGTTGTGGATGCCAGCGTGTTCCCTACAATTCCAGGTTTCTATATCGCCCTACCACTGTACATGGTTGCAGAGAAGGCTAGCGATGTGATTATTCAGTCAGCACGACAAGTTTGACCAAAGAGAGGAACATGCAACCATTATTTCGAGTGGCAGCCTGCAAGAGGAGTCAAACAAGATATAAAAATAGCTCAAGATCTGCAATAGATAAATGAAGCTCGATAGATGTCGCGCTAGGTCGCGCTCGGGTCAACACATCGTGTCGCGAACTCATATTATTATACCTTGTATTCGTAAGCATCCAGCCAAACCGGGCCGCAATCGGCAGAAAATGCCGACGAGGTTATTCGCAGTCTATTCCCGGCCCTTAGTAGAAACTCTCTTATCTCCGAGCTATGCGAACCACACAGATCAAGGTTTGGCCAAAAGACTCCACAAAGACGATGGACTCGGGCCTGGAAAACGTCAAAAGTTAACGGGCAATGACGTCAATTTGAACGGGCACTGGCCTTGTTGGCCGAATTCCTTGCCACATTACCCGTAGATTGAGCTGGTCGTGAACTTAATTTTCAACACCTCGGCGTTTGTACCAGTCGCCGACAACGGCACCGTTTGTTTTAATTAAAAACAAACCTAATTCCTCCCACGATCAGGTTCTTTAAAAAGTTCTAGCTTTATCTCACAGTGGATCGGAGCATCATGGAGAAAGCTGAAGATTTGCATAACGCGTCTGGGCATGACCCAAGGCGGGAGTCAATCCCATTCTCGCACAATACCAATGATGGCGAATCTTCAATATCCTCATCTCCTTCAACACGAGCGACTGGCCTGAATAGGACAAATACCGATGCGTACTCCCTAGGCGAATGGGAAAGCATCAGAGCACCCGGAACGCGCATGAGCATGACCAGAACCGTCTCCCGACGCGAATCTGCAATGTCCAGGATCCGATCTCGACCTCCGACGCAATTCAGTCACCCTCTAGCTCACGTCAAGACAACTGAGGAGGAGCTCGTTGACTTCGATGGTCCAGACGATCCTTATCGGCCGATAAACTGGCCGACCAAGAAGAAAATCATCACGACAATGCTGTACGGCCTTGTCACCATGTCTGCAACCTGGGCCTCTTCCTCTTATTCTTCAGGAACGCGTCAGGTGGCATCGCATTTCCACGTCGGGACACAGACAGCCACTCTAGGAACTACCCTGTTTCTCGTGGGCTTTGGACTTGGTCCGCTTCTCTGGGCTCCTCTGAGTGAAGTCTATGGACGACGACAAGCGGTTCTGATCCCCATGTTCTTTGCAATCTGCTTCAGTTTCGGGAGCGCGGTAGCAAAAGATTTTCAAACCCTCATGATTACACGTTTTTTCTGTGCTTTTTTTGCATCGGCGCCTGTTACTAACACGGGAGGTGTCCTGGGCGATTTGTTCCTACCAACAGAGAGAGGCATTGCAATGGCGGGATATGCAATGGCTGTTGTTGGTGGGCCTGTTATAGGTAGGTTAACAAATTTGGGCTCCTTTCTTGCAGCAACTAACAATTATCAGGTCCAATTGCGTCAGCTGCTCTCGTGCAGAACCCCAGTCTAGGCTGGAGATGGACAGAGTATGTCACCGGTATAATCCAGATTATCTTTCTGCTGTTAGCGGCTATTTTCATTGACGAGAGTTATCCTCCCAAGCTTCTCATCTATAAGGCTCGGCGTCTCCGTCATGAAACTGGTAATTGGGCGCTTCATGCCAAGTTCGAAGAGTGGGACGTCAGTATTCAAGAGCTTGCACGAAAGTTCCTAGTCCGTCCAGTTCAACTTCTCTTGACGCCTATTTGCTTCCTCGTCGCCTTATATGCCAGCTTCTGCTATGGTATTCTCTACATGCAGCTTGGTGCGATCCCCATCATCTTCAGGGAGATCAAAGGCTGGGGAACTCTCGTGTCTTCGCTGCCTTTTATCTGCATCTTTCTTGGAGCTGTGCTGGGATGTGGAGCGAATGTTTACAACCAGTTGCTTTACAACAAGGCTTACCATGCTGCTGGCAATCGAGCTGTTCCTGAGAAGCGTCTTCCTCCCATGATGGTTGGCTCTGTGATCTTCAGCGGAGGCCAGTTCCTCATTGGATGGACCGCAGAGAAAGACATCCACTGGGTTGTTCCCTGCATTGGTCTGGTCCTACTGGGAACCGGCTTCTTTACCATTTTCCAGGCAGCACTCAACTACCTCGTTGATACTTTCACCGCATATGCAGCGTCTGCCATTGCCGCCAACACGTTTCTCCGTTCTATGTTTGCGGCTGCTTTTCCACTAGTAGTTGGGCCACTATATCACAATATTGGCGTTGGACCAGGCTCGAGTATCACGGGTGGGTTTGCTGCGTTGTTAATTCCTGTTCCATTTGTGTTTTATATCTATGGAAAGAGGATTAGAGCTCGATCAAAGTGGTCAAAGGCCTCGGTGTATGATTGAATGGGTTTGTAAAATCTGCCTTGGAAGGGCCTTTCTAGAGTTTTTAATAGTTATCAATATTGTCATATCTATAATCTGCTTTGTATCTATGGCGAAAGAATGGTGCATCGGATTGATTAATAATCACTAGTAGCTATATTCCTTCCTATCTTTAGGAAAGGCTTCAAAGGGTAGATAGAAGAGTATGCCTATCACACTGTGGGTCAACAGAGCTAGTAAATCCTTCCCGCCACGTGCGCAGGGGACTGCAGGTAGTATATGTAATGCAAGGACACAATTAATCACATTGGGAGATAGTTATAGTAAGGAAAAGCATAGTCAGGACACATATCATTCCACTAGTATTTCGGAAAACTGGCGCGTCATTTAGGCGGTGCGCAGACAGCTAGGCTGCATGTAGAAGGTCTTCTGAAGGATTTTTTAATAGCCCTGGTTCTTTTCCTCTCTGGTGGTGCTAACTGGAGTAGATAGAATCGGGGCGGATACCACGTTACATAATGATCCGCTTGGAATAGACAGGGGAGTGAGCCCAGGCGCAGAATGATCAGACCAGCATCTCGAAGGATCACAGTAGCTTCATAATCATGCAAGTAAAAGGGTCCAGAACAGAGGAATTTTCAGTCATACGAGCAGTAAAGTGGCGGACAATATGGCCCCTGCGGCTTTGTGATAAGTATTTAAATGTAGAAACCGTGGTGTTTTTCTCAGGAATTATAGAAGCAGCCATCCTATCCTTTACCGACAATAAGCAGACTTCATTATGATTCGAAACACAATTGTCGCTCTTCTTGTGACCGCTGAGGCAACTCGGGGCCAGGCATTCTCTTTAAAAAAGACATATGACTCTAGCAATTTCCTGGACTCATTCGACTTTCGAGACGTGAGGTATCCCTACCTAGGACTAATGGCTCAGCAATCAAATACTAACAGGTCACAGCGCGCTTACTATGATGCACTGGATCCCAGCTACGGTGGTGATCCAACCCACGGCTCCGTCAATTACTTGAGCAAGAGCCAGGCATTGAGCTCTGGCATTGTCAACGTCAACAATGGCAAGATCCGTCTAGGCGTGGACTCGACTAACAAGGCAGCTCTACTCGGATCCAGCAAGACTAAGCATGGACGCAATAGTGTCCGTGTCGAGTCTAAGGAATACTATAGTTCAGGTATTCTGATTGCTGATATTGAGCACATGCCTGGAACTGCCTGCGGTGTCTGGCCTTCTTAGTAAGTAGTCGATAATATCGCAGCCAGTGGACCTTCTATTAACCTTTACAGCTGGTCATACAACTTTGAGGAGGATCCTATTGGCGAGATCGACATCATCGAGGGCATCAACGCCAACCAGGAGGCCAATGTCGTGTCTCTCCACACTTGCGGAGCATGTGTCTTCAACCATCCTGGTGGTCTTGACCCTCGACCTCAATGCAACAACGGCGGCGATGAGTCTAACTATTGCGACGGCGGAGAGAATGGGTTCGTATATCTAACTATAGTAGTTAGAACTCAAGGCTAACCTGTCTAGTGATGGATGCGGTAACACCATGCCAGTCGGGTCCTACGGCAAGCCTTTCAACGCGAACCAAGGCGGAGTGTATGCCACTTGGCTCACAACAGGAGCCCTCAAGATCTACTGGTTCCCACGCAGCAAGATTCCCGCCGATATCACGTCCGGAAACCCCAACCCAAGCAACTGGGGATCCCCCGCCACGTCTCAGTTTGTTAATGCGAATGGAAACTGCGACGTTGGAAAGTACTTTAAGAAGCAGACCATTGTAAGTTAGCTACTTGCCTTTTATATTGGGAGGTGCATACTAACAACGACAGATTTTCAACACTGCCTTTTGCGGAGATAATATTACCCCCGACCTTTGGAACGACGAGTGCAGAGGCTCGACTGGGTACAGCACCTGTGATGACTACGTCACAAACAATCCCCAGGCGTTCAAGGACTCCTATTGGTCCATCAACTCGATTAAGCTGTACCAGTAAGCTAGGCTGCAGTACTGGAGGCACGGTAGAGGTTGAGCCAGTTGTATTAAATTGGACAACAAGAGAGATTAATATGGAAAGAATAATAAACGAGAGATCAATAAGATATGCAACACGCTAGTCCACTGTTCCATACGCCGAGAGCACCCAGTACAAAACATATAATATCACGCCTCTATTTGCTCCCAACCTGCTTGTTCCATAATGCCTTATATCGTCCGTCTATTGAGATCAGTTCAGTGTGAGTGCCTGATTCAACCACTTGACCATCATGAACCACTAGAATCCTGTCTGCATTGACAATGGTAGATAACCGATGGGCGATGACAAAGGTCGATCTCGCACGCTTCAACTCATCCAATGCAGCTTGAATACTTGATTCGGTGTTTGTGTCAATTGCACTCGTGGCCTCATCGAGAATGAGAATTGGAGGGTCCTTCAAGAAGACTCGAGCAATAGCTAGTCTTTGGATTTCTCCACCTGACAACTTGACGCCTTGTTCTCCTACCTCCGTGTTATATCCATCAACAAAGCTAAGAATCTTGTCGTGAATGGCCGCAGCACGACAGGCGTTGTGGATCTCTGCATCAGTGGCAGAAGGACGGGCGTAGCGCATGTTTTCGAGAATCGAGGCGTTGAAGAGGAGCGGATCTTGGGGGACCACTCCGAGGGCATTTCTTAAAGAGCTGAGAGTGATATCACGGATATCGTGTCCATCAATAGTAATGGAGCCCTCGTTGATGTCGTAAAAGCGAAGGAGAAGCTTCATAATGGAGGACTTGCCTGCTCCAGTCTCTCCCACTAATGCCACAGTCTGTCCTGGTTCAACTGATAGCGAAACATCTTGGATGGTTGGCTTGCGAGGATCATAAGAGAAACCAACGTGATTGAAGGCAACACGTCCCTGGACCTTCTCCAGATCTAGAGCCCCTTCTTTATCTGTGATGCTAGGTTTTGTCTGGAGAAGAAACAGCAGCCGTTCAGCATCTACCAGATCCGACATGAGGTATCGATACTGATGAGAAAGGAACTTCAGTGGCCAGATCAAGTACTCCCAGTACTGGATGAAAAATACAAAGTCGCCAGGGGAGGACCCTCCTTGCGAGATATCGTAGATGATAAGCGTTGCCAGCGTGAAGAATGCGCAAGGTACGATACCCTCAAGTGCTGCCTGAATTAAAGCATCACGTCTTTCCCAACTCTTGGCAGCAGAGAGCTGCTTCTCAACAGAACCCCCAAAGTGTTGTTTTTCATAGCTGAACATGTTGAAGTAAGTGACGGTCTGCCAGCCTTGAACCGCTTGGTGCATAACTCGGGTCTCCTCTCGCTTTGACTTGGACGACTCTCGACGGTTATCCAGGTTCCAGCTGGTAGCTTGTACCTCGAACGTGATGAAGATGACGGCTGAGATGGCCATTGCAAGGGCGACATAACTGTTGAATTTCCAGTACAAGAAGCCGGCACCAATAATCAGGTCCACGAATGTTGGTAGAAGCTCGATGACTACGTTGTCCAACACGTTGGTTAAGGCTTCGCCTTGCTCAATAGCCTTCATCACTTCTGCTGAGTCGCGCTCTGAGTGGAACTCCATTGGTAGGGACAGAACGTGATTGAATGCAGCATTCGTGAGTGAGCGGTATGAGAACTGCTTGATTGGGATCTTGGCCAAAGCCTCAATCGCACCAATAACAACGTCATGTGAGACAAGACTCAGTAGAAGCCAGACCACAAGTGCCTTGAAAGGGTTCTGCTTTGCAAGCAGTTGGTCTGCCACTATACCAAGCTGACGAGGTACCAAGACATTGAAGGCTCGGGTAGCGACAATGCAGACCAAGCAGACCAAGATGCAGAGTTGAACCTTGCGGTCCTTCTTTGGAATCAGGAATGGGAGAAAGATGGAAAAGTCGGAGAGATATCCCCACCAACCTCCCTTCTCCTTGAGTCTCTTTGCTCGCTCACGTTTAATATCGACAACGTCATCTTCGGAATCGCTGCCCTGAGAATACCCATCGGCGTCATCGTAGTCTAGGTTTGGAGAAGTATTCTCGGTGCCGTAAGCCGGACAATCGGTATTTTCGTTTGTGTGTAGAAAAGGTTGTGATTCTTCTGTGTCACAGTCGACGTCATAATGTCGACCGCCACTGAAGAGATGGTAAATTGCGAGGAATGAAAGCGGTAGAATTCTGGACGCTTGACAAGCGAGAAGGATAATGGAACTATTGCCTTGTAGATTGCCGCGTGATGAGAAGACCAACAATGGTATCTCAAACGCAAGCGTGATGAGCGATGATCCTGAAATGAGAAAACGAGGCAGGTTTTGTCGGCTCCAGATAAACGACCAGACAGACATCAGCACAACTAGATGAACTGTGTGCGCTTCTTGACTCTGTTCACTCCGCTGAACAATGGTGGCTATACCCTCGCCCAGGTACGCAAGAAGAAGGAGAATAATAGCAAATCTTCCATAGTAGCGAGGGATGGGAGTTTTGCTGGGCCTGGCGCGTATGGCATCCGTGACAGTGATGGTAGAAGCGAAGATTATAGCAGCAAAAGCGCAGCCATAGTGGAGAGTGTGTGAGGCCCGGAGGATTGACGGCATGGTGAAGAGCCGGTGCAGGCAGTCAAATGAAAAGATGGTGATTTGTTTTCCTCCCAAAAGACACGTTCCAGAGCAGGTATAAATACGCACCAGACTTCAGCCCTATGGTTACCTATATTTGAGAAAACTCCCTGATTGCAAGCCTCCCATTGTGTTTGCTACTGTCATGGCGCCACACATATCCGGTACAGCCAATAAATCTCGCTGTGACTCAACACGGACAGCGGGTCAGGCCTCTATCGCCACTGGCAATTACTCCTTGGGGAGTTATCTTTCGACGTGCTTATTGGCTGGGGCGTATTCCCCGTGGCGCTAGGATGACACTGGCCTCGGCACTCGGATGAGTTGTGGCATTACAGTGAGGCGCAAGTGTTTTTCAGACGAATTGGTTACGAATCTAACGATACAATTACTGACAGAGTCATGTGGTGCATATAATACGCTTACATAACTAGTCTTACTTGCTAATGACTGCATATTGACTCATAAAAAATTCTAGGCTTTGCTGCCAGGAAAATAATATCGGTAATTACCTTGACGCCCAATCTTAATCCCTTTGCTTGGCACCACCACCATAGCCACCCACAGCTTCAGTGGTCTTCTCAAAATCAGCCTTTAGAGCATTACACTAAAAGCAGCGCCACCTACAACACACAACATACCTATACCCAAGAAAATATGTGTGTTGGACAGTGATTTCGTGAGTCCGGTGTCTCCGCACTGCACTTTCCATTCAACAGTTTTCTCAAGCCGCTTTGCTCCTGACCATTCCTCACTCTATGGACTTCTTGGTCTCGATTGTTGTCGCTGCCAGCAGTTCTTCTCTCAACAGCCAAATGAGTGGAAATAACGTCCCCGGCCCGACCAAAAGAGCCAAGACGGTAGAAACGCACGCTGCTCGAACCCATGAGATACTACAGGCCCCAACATTTTCGAGATCTCTAAAGTGGTAGGCCAACCATAAGAAACCGGCTGAGTAGCAGCAGATGTAGTCGAACTGGATAACAGTTCGTAAACCCTCGTTTGGGTCATGGGGGAAGTTGACCAAGTACTGTGGCACGAAGACCTCAATAATGGAGTACTCCATTGTTGCAAGTGCATACCACCAGGTTGCTGTGCTGACAATGCTCACAATCCCAATGGTGAGTCGGAGGGCGTTCAGACCCTTTTTGGCTGCCTTTGGAGACTGGTTATCTGACTGAGGAACAACCTTGGAAAGGACGAATACAATTATCGATCCCCAGATTGGGAAGAGTTGCCAGATCCAGTTCCACCAGTTTCTGGCCTCGAGTGAGGTGTGAAAGTAAGAAGGGAAGTGTGAAGCATAATAGCCCAGGATAATTGTAGGTAAAAGAGCCATGCATGGTGCTATAGTAGGGCGGCAAAGGGTCGGTGTGGTAAGCTTGTAAGCAGGCGTAAAGATATAGCACAGGAAGAAGAAGATAGGCGCAGTGCATCCAATAGCAATCATCTGAGATACAAACAAGAATACAACGGGGCTAATGGAAGGTTAGAGAAGCCTATTGGGGATGGATAGTTAAACTTACTACTTGCTTAGAATGAAGTCGTTACCAGGTCTAAATGCCTCAATTAAGATAACAGCATACATACCCGCAAAGTCAGTTAGAAACACCAACGACTGCCAGTATGCCTTCTCATCAATAAAAAACTGCAAATTGGTAAAAGCAACCGTGACAACAGCAAAGATGTCATCCAGCACAGGGACTCCATAGAATTTCGTGATGAGAGGCACCTCAACTCCAGGGGCTGTAAAACTCGACGTCTGAACCATCTTTTCAATGACAGGCCCGATTGGCTGGGCCATAGCAAACGCCCGAGTCATGAGAGCTGTTATGCCCAGAAATGGGAGCGCATAAAGCGCGCGCCAAAGACGACTCTCGATGGGAGGTGCTGACATGGTGAGTGGTGTTGAATGTAGGAAAGGTGATAGTGGGACGAGCGAATTTTAAATGTTGTTAATCTCATCCAGACCCACCAGGACTTAAACGAGAAGGATTCAACCACTGCAACTAGCCCTGTAAGGATGCTGGTAAAGGTTTGATAATAGAAGGATTGTAATGCTTGGGGGGTATATTATTTCTTAAAAGCTCATGTTTACCTGCTGGCACCGCGTGCCGGGTTCTAGAACTACATGTGCAAACAAATAACCATCGCATACAAGGTCAAATAGAATAGAAGACAATTTAGCTCCATCCCTAGTTCACTGTCTTGCCATACCTACCCCTCATGACATTACAGCGCTGACAATAACAGCTGCCGCCACAACATAGCCCAGCATCGACTGGCTTCTTAAGCGCACCGCATCATCCTCTTCGTCACCCTTACTAGACGAATCCGTCGAGTTATCCCCCTCTTCGCCTTTACCTCCAGACTTGTTATCGTCGCCCTTATTGTCCTTGCCGTCTCCATCCCCACGAGTAGTGTTGTGGCCGCTCTCTGTCACATTCCCACTGAGCTTCATCCCAAAGTTAGCGGCGGTGAATGTCACGTTGCCATTTGAGAGCCAAGTCTCGGTGCCAAACTCGACAATCCCCAGCCAAGGGTTCTTTGGTAGGTCTTCTGGTGTGTCGATGTGCTTGTGTGCTTGCTCGAGGATGTATTTAAAGAGTGGATAAAAGTCTTCGTCGAATGATAAAATATCTTGGTTATCACGCGTGACGGCAGTAAAGACATGCGTTCCGCCTGAATTGCGGCCGTAGAATAATGAACTTTCCTAGTTAGAATTTGTTGCCCAGTAAATAGTGAAAGACTTACAATTCTGTCTCGCCCAGGGTCACATTCGAGAGAATGCTGTTGTTCTCTCGACCCAGCCACCACGGATCTCCCACGCGTCCCAGCCATACCATGAACTCAATGGCTGCAACTTGAGGGTAAAGTGTTCTATTCCGATCATCATCGAGGAAAAAGTCCCACGCTGCATTGGCCTGGACACCTTCACTCTCCAACTTGGCCTTGTTTACTGCCCATGACGTACTACTTAAGTCTCGTGGTGGTTTGCTGGGGTTACCTGGGCTGTATATCCAATCTGTGGAAAGGCGGATGGATTTGAGATTGCTGAGGCGTATAGGGAGGTCTTTATGGTTGAAGCGTACGTAGGGAAAGGAATGCACGTCTTGGATGTTTTTATCCCAGTTCCACGTCGCATCAAACGCAGGCGTGCTGTTGTCTACCTTTAAACACACAAAGCCGCTCTTGGGACTTTTCTTGTTCCAAGCGTTTGGATAATCTGCGGTTGTCAGCTGGTGGAATTTATGGTTGATGCAAATAACTAACATGAGAGCGAATCATTGAGTTCGCCAAGTCTCTGGTTGTTGCAGATTGTTTGGACTTTATCTGATTTGGCCAGAGAGACATTTGTCAATGCCGTAATTGCACAGCTTATTAGTGCTGCTAACTTCATAACGAATCTTTACTGGTCGCCTTCAAACGTGCACGAGAAGAACTGGACAAGCATGTCTTGTGGTGCGACAGAAGCAAAGTGGTTTGACTTTAATTAGCGGCTGTTGAGTGGACAACGAACACCCTGGCAGTTCACCAAGCCCCAATTGACGTTTTTGGACAGTTCACGCAGGTACACAAGGCTTTTTACTGGTCTCAGAACGGCTTCACAATGTTGAAATACTACGAGCAAGAGTGATTGACATTGTTTCAGTGGTTCAGCGAAGACGTGATCACCGTATGACTGACGCGGCGTGGCAAATAGAGCCCAAGCCTACTACGTCATCGGGCCTTGATCCACGACGCGTTGTGGAACTTGTATCACGAGTGAGATTCGATTATTCTTGACAGTCGTGAAGAATAGAGCAAGTTGAAGCCGCGATATTAGTGAATTAAAGGACTATGTAAAGTAAAATCGCGTTTTGGTCCAATAGAAACTATAGTAAATAAGGTAGATGGTTAATTACTACAGCAGGCAGTTAGATATATTTACTAAATTAAATACCTCAAGAGGGTACAAAGGATCTAAAAATAAGTACACTAATATTCTATCCTTCTAATGTTATTACAATCAGACCACCATGATAAATATTATATTTTCTTACACCTTTTTCACTCTGATAATCCTTACTCTCACCAATAAGCATTCTTTATATACTGCATAGAGCATATGGCTAATTAAAAAGCCCGCCAGAACACTAGGCCAGACAAGTATATAATAACAATTTTAGATCCCTGCCCACTTTCATACTATTACAATAATCCTTATTGTGTTATGAACTAAGAATATATGACCCTCCTCCATACCGAGGATCCGTTGCAGGCCTTGCCAGAACCAATGAAACATGTAAAGAAGATCGGTTAGACCTGGCTCTTCTTTTCAATGCAACAGTCACGTAAGATCCGCTTCGCAGACGTGACATGGCCCTGTCTGAATCGTCTTCAAGTGGCTTCAAGCTCCAGATATCGTTTGCCAAGTTCTCAAGTGATACTCCTGGCTCAACTTTGAGAACCCTTGTAGTCCAAGGTCCATGAAAGAGGCAGAAGGCTACTGCAAATCGTTGAGATCGGTAAGTAGACGCGTCTCGTTCTACACCGCACACGACGATAAAGACTTCGGGGCAAGAAGCTAAGTCGAGTTCGGTGCTATATGAACCATGTTGTTGATGTTCCAAGTCGCACTCAGGATACATCTCGAGAATTGATAGTTTTTCGTTTGTTGTGGAATTCAAGCAGATCTTGAACGCTAGCGACTGCAATGGAATTTTAGGAATGTCAAGATTGGTGAAACTGGCCATGCACATAGTCTCAGCCTGGAAACTCTTCAAGTCGTCCTCGTTAGCGAGTACCTCGACGTATCCCACCATGGTCCTGTAATATTTTAAATCGTTTTGTCGAGGGCTCAGAACAATACAGACCAAACCGTCGTGGTGTGTAAGGTAGATCCAGGCTTGTCGGCAACCACCCGAAGACAGTTTTGTATGAAGCGTCATCTGAAGACCTTGCGGGGTGACCTCGGGTGGCCGAAACCCTGTTTCAGCTGGTAGTTTAGACGCCACGATGTCTGAGTATTTGCAGAAACCTCCAGACCGCACGGGAACACCCTCAGTTGTAAAATAGTGAGGGGAATCGCAGAGAAGGCCTGTCTCGCTGTGGATGAATGTTGACCGCCAGAGGAAAATACTGTAATCAACTTCACGCCGCATAATCTTCTCTTGGAGCCGAATGAATGCTCTTCTGCCTTCCCCGTACAGCAGAGGCATATTGATATCGAAGATGCCTAGAAGGCAATATGCCATATCTTCTTCCCTTGTGGTATCCCGCTTCGACGCCCACGACATTCTCTCAGCGACACAATACTCCCCGAGTTCCTTCTGTTGAAGAAGGACGGCCGCTGGAATAGATGTTATGTCGGATATGAACTTCTGCAGACTCCATTTTGTACCTAACTCGGTCCAGTTTTCAGCGAAGAATTCCACTTCGCGCGGGGCAAGTAACTCTTGAAGACACCATCCTCTGGTAAACCATCTAGATTTCTGGAATAAATGCTTATCTAGAAAAGGGTCAAGAGGAGGAACATCCGAAAGATAAACGAAACAGACATCAGCTCTCTGATACCACTCGTACATAGAATTGATGGCCTCAGATAGCTCAGCACTTGATGACTTGTCAATGCAGCATGTGTCTACCCATACCCAGTCTAGTTCATCCTGTGCTGCTTGTACACAACATCCTTTGATCTTAGCAAAACCTTTTAGGTGTTGGTACTCCGACTGTCGCATGTCATCGAAGGTCACCTCCTCAGACTCCCAGGTGTGAGATAATATGGCATATGGTGGAATATCATCACCGTCGAACCTGGCGAATTCGAAGGTAGATGAGTTCAGAAGTCGCATTTTAGGATTTGATTATTGGAGCGTAGGGCTGAAGATGATGAAAGACAAGGATTACAGCTCCTCAGGTGCTTGTCTTGATCACGCGGGGTTCGGCTTATGCCACATAATAGATAAGTCAGCAATAACGCCATTCCAGGAATAGTTAGAAAGATTTAGTAGAATTAGCCATAGAACAACTGAGGTAATAAAAGGTAGTGAGATACAACACATTTTATTAATGGCAGTAGCTTAAAGTTAGGCATAGTATGACTAAGACTAAACATATCTTAGGGCGTCTGAACATTGTAAGGCGGCGTTCAATTCATCGAGAGTAGACTCTTTCTAACGTTAGCTCCTAATAAGCCTATATCTCAAATTCACCAGCACGCATAGCAGCAACAACACCACCATCAACTAAAAAGTCGGATCCAGAGATAAATGACCCCCTTTCATCAAGTAAAACAGCAGCAAACTCTCCAAGTTCTGCTGGGGTTCCCATACGCCTAGCTGCTGATGTTTTGATCATGTTCTGATACAAACCCGCATGAGGGCCAGACATCTCATCGCGGGCTAGAGGTGTTGCTATAATACCAGGACTGAGGCAGTTTATACGCGCAAAGCGTTTTGCCCAAGTCACTGCAGCCGCCTGAACACGCAGCGCGTTGGCACGTTTAGCGATTATGTAGGCGGCCATAGAATTCTCAATTGACGCAAGAGCAGGAAGGGCTTGTAGATCTTCGATGGACGCATAAGCCAGATCACGCTCAAGTTCCTGGGATAGTCGGTCTCCCATGTGACCAGCTTGACTGGCAATGACTACCCCGGCGCCACCTTTCCCAATGACTTTGCCAAATGCCTCAAGAACGTAGGCGGTTCCGAGCAAATCGACGTTGACGATCTGCTCCGGTGATGCTTGGTTGGGTGAGACGCCGGCAGCATGGATGAGGCGAGTGACTGAGCCGAGAGACGAGGCACGTTCAGCTAGTTTAGACACAGCTTCCCGGTTGGAGACATCAACCACTTGGGTATGCACCTCGTAACCCTCGTTGAACAGCATCTTGGACGTGGCAGTCAGTTGCGTTTCGTTGTAGTCAGCGAGCAACAGAGTGCGATTGGTAGCGGCGTGGCGACCTATGGCCAGTCCAATGCTTCCGGTGCCAATCAAAACGACAACTTCGGATGACATATTGTGTTGGTGTGCTTCTTTTGTCTGTTGGGAATTGAGGAAATGGTAGAGAAGGATGCTGTGAGCTTGCTCTCGCAAATAGAGGGAGATTCGATGCCATTTTATCTCATTCGCAAGCAGACTGGGCCGGAGTTAAGAACGTATTGGCAACTGAAACCTAACGTATCGGCTGGTCTTTTTTTGACTTTCTAGAAGGTGCCTGAGAAGGATAGCGTTCTAACGCCCTGGATGGTTGAGTGTAGGACCAAATGCAACCGGCTTACGCACTAAGACTTTCTCCACTGCTAACAGCCAATTGGCTAACAGCAGCTAGAGAAGATAATTAAGGTTCATCTTGATGTCAGATGGGCCCAGGTGGGGTAGGGTACTGTCCTATCCAGGGTGGTAAGCCATGTGCATAAAGATCCACTTCTTCCGTTCAGCTCTCACATCAAACTGTTGCCATTTTACATATCCCTCGAATCTATGGAGCCACTTGATGCCATGGAGTCTACTCCCGTTCTAATCAACATTAACTCGCGGCCTAATGTCTGGGAGCCGGGTGATGACTGGGCAGGTGTGACAAATCAGTCCCAGAGAAAGAAGCTCCAAAACCGTCTCAACCAACGAGCTTATCGTCAGTCCATTCTTGCTGATTTTGCCGAACAGCTACTGTTTAAACTAAAATGAGGGGCTAACATGCGTTATCAATGAGTTAATAGGCCACAGAAAAAGACAACAGCCTAGACAGTCGAGCCCGGGCTGCTTAAACAGGCATCATCCAAGAAGAGATGCCGACAGCTCACAGAACGGGGCAACCAAAGTCCAGGTTCAGCAAGCGACATCAATCATACTGTCCGAAAGAATCCAATCTGACACGAGCGGTAATCTTGCAGCTCTTTTTGAGGGCTGTGCCCTCTTGTCGTGCCCTCGTCGAATTCATCAAATTAGTAGCCTCGTCAGACAAGCTTACGAGGATTACTCCTTACACGCACCTCGGCCTGCATATCTCCAAATCCTCATCCGATTAAACGTTCTTAATGCCTTGGCTCGGAACGCTGTCTGCATTGGATTACCACCAGAAGGCCTCTGCCGTGACGAGGCTATCTCGCCATATAGTAATAATGGCCCTCCGCTCCCAAACAAGCCGCCAACAACCACAACGTGCTTTCCAGCGCTGGAGCCAACGGTCCTTCAGAAGACGGTAGTGCATCATCCATGGATTGATTTGCTGCCTTTCCCTCAGCTTCGCGATAATATGCTCATGCACATGGAAGCTGGGCTGGTGGAAGATGACGAATTGTGTGAGGATCTTCTTGTGGTGGATGATCCGCGGGACCTCAACACCAAGCCCTCGTTGATTGTTTGGGGAGAATCATGGGATTCCAGAGCTTGGGAGGCGAATCCAGCCTTCTTACGAAAGTGGGGATTTTTACTACGAGGATGTTCTGAAATCCTCGAGGGAACTAACTACTGGAGAGAGAAACGAGGTGAGAAGGGACTTGTGTTTCAAGTATGAAAGTTCCAGGCTATCTGTGGCCGTATTCGACGATGGATACGCCCTGTGTTCGTATACGTTGCCCGCATCTGAATGAGATGATGTAGATTTAACACGCTACATACCAGCGCTCCTGGGAATCAAGACCGTTTAATTTAAATCAAATGAAAGATCTTACCATTCGAAATGAATTAAATTCAACCCTTTGTTTATTTAATTTAATTTAATTATAGAGTAGAAATATTCCCTAAGAATAAGAACGAAGATATTAGGTGTGTATTAGCTCGAAGCTAGGCTATATTGGTGCGATGGGTGTGATAATGCCTTATGGTGCGGGTCACGTGCTTCACTCCTCTGATACGAGAGATATCTCAAGCCTTTCTATCTTATCTTATCGTACCTAATCTAATCTTATCACATTGTTATCTTATACCTCACCTCTAATTCAAGTCAAATCATTTAAAGCAATTCAGAGGGCCCTAAAATCAGATGCTGAAATATCGATTTTAAGATCTAACTTACTGAGAGCCCTGCTGTTAACTTTTGCTCTTAGGAAGTTATGTTTATCTCTGAGGTCTCTTAGGAGATAGTGCTCCAGAGTAGAAAGTAGACGGACATTCGGAATGTGTCCATACTTGAGTGAGTCACTGGCCTGATTCGATGGAGAACACGTCCGGCGCCGACCAAGCGTAAAATTGATAATTAAAACATTTCTCATCGTAATATAAAAACCTTATAGAAGATCAAAAGCCATACGTGAGGTATTATGCCTATGTTAATAACCTACTTTAGTGCTACAGGGTAAGCCCCGGCAGACGCAGTAACGAAGTGGGGCTGTCAGTTGTCCAGTCAACATGCCCATTCTCATTCAATCCATGAGACAGTGATAGCCTTGGTCTTTGCCAGTACAACATTATCCAACTGCACACAAAATGCCAACGCCGCCAGCAATCGACGCTTCCGCGACTCTCTGAAGCACTAGAACTCATCGAGATGACGGTAGAAATCCTCTCGTGGCTACGCAATATCCATGACGACCCAGATTCCCTCCTCCAACAGACGGATCTAGCGAAGCCACCACGAGCAATCCAACCCAGAACCCGAAAGCGCCATCGCAGTCACAGCTCAACGAACGATGATTGCCTCGAACATAACCAGAACCCCGTGAAAAACCCCGCTGTTTGCTTCTCAACGCACCCGACCCCTCCTCCCGATTCCCTCGTGTCCTCCGAGGTCGAAATGGCACCAGCCAAGAAACGGAAGACGACCACGGGCGCTGTAGCCAGCCCGAGCCCGGACGATATACAAGAAGATAACGATGCGACTGAACAAGAGACTCCAAAGCCTCTGAGGCGTGTCCACCTCCCCAGCGTCGCCTCCTCCACGTCCTCTGCTACAAGTGGACGCTCTGGGGCGTCATCACCACGTAAGCAACTGGCCGCCATGGCCTTGTCCACTCGAGGTGTTGAAACCCGCGCCATGTCAGATCCTTCAGGACTGCCTCCAGCTCTAGCCCAGTTACGTACGAAACTACTACAGTTCGGTCGTGGGAGGGGAATTCTCGGCCTCAACAGCCTGGCGAGTATACGCGACGAAGCAGCTGCGCGGGCATTCCACCCGGATATGGTTGCTATATATGAGGATAAAGACTTCAGCTGCTCTGCTCACCGGGACGCGTTGGGATCAACGCCTAGTCCCGAAGATGTGCTGTACATACTCGAATGCGCAGCTGATTGTCTCCGCATGGGCCGGTCTGAGGCAGCGTGGAACAACGAGGTTCACTTCCCGTTGCTCTGTCTTGCACTTCGGCCTCGAGTCAAGGGCGCGTTCCAGCGTTTGGTCAACGTGACCAACTGGTGCGTTAATGATACCTCAACTTGTCACCATGTCTGCATCCTCTAACATGTACACAGTTCAACGGCTTCTATCGTTCCCGACTACCGCATCCGATTCGTGCCTGACAAGAAGATCGACTTCTGCGTATACCTCGACCCTCGCTACGATACGATCGATACAAATATTGCCAGCCAGGTTGATAGCGTTCGTGCTCGACTGCCGCTGCTGTCAATCAACCCCACTGATGACCTGTCGTTGTTGAGCAATCCTATCGCCATCTCCATCGAGACTAAGCGTCCCGGTGAAGGCTTGGACACTGCCAATCTGCAAGTCGCGACATTTTTAACTGCCCACTTGACTATTCTGCAGCGACTTGTAGATGCTGGTGCGGCGATGCCTGTCGATGAAGGCGAGAAGATGCCTTCAGTGGACGACCTCGGGTTTCTTCCTGGCCTGATCGTCCAGGGAAATACGTGGAACTTTGTCGCAGCAAGTCGGCAAGACTCTCGGATTATTATTTGGTCAGAGACATCACTTGGCTTGACGGGCGACATATCTGGCATCTACCAGATTATTGCGTCTTTACAGCTGTTGCGAGAGTGGATCAATGCCACGTATTGGCCATGGTTACGTCGGGTTATCCAGCGATCGGCACAAGCTCAACTGCAGGGTCTTCCGACTGGATGATTGCGTTTAAGGGTTTATGCATCATCGAACTGAACTCTGAAAGCATTCACACTCAATGAACGCCCCAGATCACCCCGCGCGGACGTAAACGTTGCCAGCCAGGTCACTAGAGACACTTCTAGACTTGGGCTTGACCGCTGTGGCGCCTGGAGCACCAACGCGTCCAGGCTTTGCAGATGGACCTGTAGACCAAGGCTTCTTTGCCAACTCGACTCCAAATGCCTTGCCTGCCACCTCGATTGAGAATCACCACGCGCAATCACCCATTTCTGTGGATTGCCTGGGAGATCGTGACGTCCACTCAATCGTAAATCCACTGTAATACTTGTCCAGCTGAAGCGGGAACCTTCCCAGCCACGTCTGAGACCGGCGGCATTAGTTCGCTATTAGCTCATCACGCAACTTGCTGACAAGTCAATAGTAAACAAGGCCGTACGGCAAACACGGCATCTTGCTATCGAGAGCTGTCGAAGCCACAATAATGAAACTACTATTACATACCTATCCAAGATAGTCCAGTCCAATTGAGTGACTGAGACGCTCTGGTGGAGCTGGAGCTGGAGCACTTACGTATTCTCTGCGCGCCGCTTATCCGATAAACACGGCAGAGAGTGCCGAAAGCGCGAGGAATGAGCCGTGAGATCCGATATGCTTTACGTGATCGACGTCAACTATGCGCAATGCCATAGTTAGTGCTTTTGTCTAGGAACGTGCCGAAACTCTCTCGTCTTGCGGACTTCACCATTGTTCCAAGTATAGAACAGATGTGCCTGGGCTACAGAACCCTTGGTCCCTTGAAAGTATAAAGTGCTAGCTTCCTGCGGCTGTCTCTATCTCAATCACTTTGCATCTCAACCTCCGCGCCTATTTGATCAACCCTGAATATCTTATTTAAACCACATCAAGTAACACATAAGCTCAACCTATATAAATCTTTCAACATGGGCTGGTTCGATGGTTAGTTCTTCCATCATTTGTCTTTACTCTTATTTCCTAACCCAACTAATCCAATATATAGATGACTCCCACCCTGCTCAAGCCTACGAAGAGGTGACCCAGCGTCCCCACGAGGCCAAGTGGTCACATGAGCTCATTGGTGGCGCTGCTGCTTATGAAGCTGCTAAGGCCTACGAGGAGCATTCTGCTCGCAACGGTAAGTCCACATACAGGCTCCCAATCAAGGTCACGAATTACTAACAATCCGTAGGAGAGCCAGACAGCCACGCCAAGGCCAAGGAGTTTCTCGCCGGTGCCATCGGTGCCTTTGTTGACCGAGAGGTTGAGACTCGAGGACTGGACTTTATAGATAAGGAGGAGGCCAAGCGTCACGGCCAGCGTCACGCGGAAGAGCAGCTTAACCAGAACAGCAACTGGTAGACATAGCGCCCTATAAGCACCATTATAATGATAAAAACATTCAAATGATCTTTTCGTTAATCTCTTTCTATAAATATTTTAAACAATATCGTGATCACAAGGCTTTCCCTCCACGCCATTGACCTCATGGAAATGCATCGAAGCTGGATCTCTCACTCTCTTGATAGACCCAACAGTAGTGTTCGCAGGTGTCTTGGGAATAAGCTTGACACCATCAATAGCGAGCTTGCTGAGAACATGAGCCGCCGCGTGAGCGTTGGTGTGCAAGGTCTCGGGAACGGGGTTGGTGATGTTGTCGCAAGCCTGATGATAGCACGCATCCTGCTCCAGGCCAGTTCCTGTAAAGAGACCACCAACAGGCTTCTTGATGACCTGAAGGAAAGGAACATAGTCAGAGCCGCCGGTCAGACCAACTGGGGTGACTTCAATCTTCTTGGACTTGAAGTAATCTCTGAAGAGATCCTCAATGACTTCAGACCCAGGAGGTCCACCAGGAGCCTTCTTCTCGCCAGTACCGTCAAAGACACCAAAGAATCCACGCGAGACCATGTCGAAGTTGAGGTAAGTCAAAAGGTTATCAACTTCAGCAGTCTTGAGGTTGTTGACGTAGTAGCGGGATCCCACCAGACCATTCTCCTCAGCACCCCACCATCCAAAGCGAACCTTGAGCTTGGTAGAAAAGTGCTGCAGAGCCTTTGCAGTCTCGAGGATGAGAGTTGTTCCCGATCCATCGTCGTTGATACCGGGTCCGGCCTGGACAGAGTCAAGATGAGCCCCGAGCATGACCACGTTTTCACCGTCGCCGCCCTTGGTCTCGGCAAAGACGTTCTGGGTAATGCGCGTCTCGATTGTTTGGATGATCTTGGCAAACACCTCAATCTTCTCTCCTGCGTCAAGTCTGGCCTTGAGAGCTTTTCCAGGTCCTTGGTCGATAAGGCCCGTGGGCACATACTCCTTCGGGTTTGGGGCCGACAGAGTACCGGCTGTGAGTTTGGCCTCATCTGAGTTGTAGAGGACCACGACCTGGGCACCAGCAGCTGCTGCGGGCTTGACCTTGCCCGCGAAGGTGGTTTGGTCGGGGCAAAGACCGCGCTCGACAAGGACGACCTTGCCCTTCACATCGAGGCCTGCGTAGTTTGCAACATCACAAGCATCCGTTCCTTCAGGTCCATGGACGAGCTCAGCTGTAACACCCTCCTCAGAGGTACTGGGAGTGTATGTCAAAGCAATTGTCCTGAATGTCTCGTCATCAACCGTCACTTCAGCTGCCAGGGTCTGCGTGAAATTGGCAGGGAAGTCCTGTTTCCAGGTCTTAAAGCCCTTGAGCTTAGAGATCTCCTTGTAGATAAAATCGACCGAGGCTGCGTATCCTGGAAGACCAAATGCGCGATTGCCACCATTATCGTATGCGATCTCGTTGAGCTTGTCCAAATTGCGCATCAAGCTGTTGTGGTCAGTATGAGGATGTTTGCATGGCGTTCCATGACGTACCCTTTCTCAGTGATGAGCTTCTGAAGCTTCTTGGAGCTGACAGGCGGTCTGCGATCCTTGGTTGCCTCGGCCAAAGGCGAAAGGGCCAGAAGAGCTGCTGCTGTTGTTAACTTCATAATGGAATATGATAGTCCAGGCAAGTGAGCATGTCCGAAGAAGGAGAAACAATGTCAATCTGCATCCGAGCCCCAACAGCTTTATATACTAAATCTTTACAACATAAGTTCCTGCGGCTCCCGCTTCTGTGATCTCAAGACTACTTGCGCAATTGGCCCCGCAGACTTGGCCATCGCGGAGTTGTCAGGCTTTGGGAACTAGTCCGGGCTTTTTGCAATTTGACTGAAGATCACACTCGAATCGGGAAGGTCAGTGTTCGTTGCTACGCTGACTTTGACTGTGATGGTACGTGCCAAGCCGACACTAAGAATATGCATAATAATTGAGCTGCCCGATGTGTAGGTTTTTTTCTTTATCTTGACCCCGCTGCTGGAAATTCCGAGCTTATCAAGTGATGATTTTCTTGGCTGGGCTGTGGTCAAGTTTTGAGGGGGTTAAAATTGCAGTGAACAACTCCACCTTATGGTCGTTCCTACGTTTATTCGTCAATCAATCATAGTCGCTTTCTTTGGGGAAAGCACTGAGTGTCGCAGTTTATTAGCGCCGTAGCCATGGTTGGTTCTGTTTCAGTATTGAATAATACTGCACGCAAAGAGACAAATACCAAGGCTTGGATTTATCCTTGTGGCTTAGGCCTCTCTCGCGGCGATCCAGTGGCGGGTTACTCCGTGCACAAGGGACCTTTGTTTCTCTTGGCTTAGAAGTGGAGTCTTTTGTGTTGCGATTACAGTGGGTGATGTCAGTGAAATCGGAGGCGTAAATAAGCAGGTAATATTACTACAAGCAAAGGTTTATCGAGATCAGGCTATCTGGCTGAGTAAACTACTAAACTCCTCATCTGTATGTTCGTGGGAGTCTCTGAACTTCCCATCCAAGACACTCCCGCCATTCCGGAATCGTTGCACAGTTAAATTCTTCCCAGATAAGCGCTTCGCCTCAAAGACATCCTCCATATCCATCAGCTCTGGCACAACCGTCGTGCGAAACTCATATGGCACTCCACTACTCTTGATGAGATCAATGCTGGCTTCCAAAAGCTTCGGCTTGACCTTTCGGCCAGTGACTCTCTTGTAGTTCTCCAGAGCACACTTGATGTCCATTGCTACAAAGTCAACGAGGTTCTCAGTGAAGACTTGTTTGAGAACCTCGGGTGATGTTCCGTTTGAGTCCAACTTGACGCTGATGCCGGCCCTCTTGAGGAGTCTTAGAAATGGAAGCAATCCCCTGTGAATGGTTGGTTCACCACCCGAGACGACTAAAGATCTGTGCGATGTAGAAGTGATGTGACGGAAGATGTCAACGAGGGTCACGTCGTCACATTCGCCTTGAACGAGAGGGCCGTTGTGGCACCAGGGACAAGCCAAATTGCAACGAGACGTAAACATGATCGAGGCCTGCATCTTGCCAGGATAGTCGCTGAGTGTGCTCTTGATATAACCCGCCACAGGCAGGTCTTCGATTACAGCGACCTGTTTCTCCAGCTGCTTCAGGTTGTCATCACTACCGGGCTCAAGTCCACTCTCGTACTTATACACCTTTCGTTGAATAAACTCCTTCGACTTGCCTCTGTTCCAATCTCGTGTGGGGCGGAAGTAGCCGACAATGCGGGAGTAGACTAGAGTTAACTCTCCACAGGCTGTGCATTCTGGTTGCTCGCCCGCACGATAGCCATGCTTGGGACAAATGCTGAAAGTTGGCGTGAGGGTGATGTAAGGAATGCGGAAACGTGCCGTAAGGGTCTTGATCAGGTCTCGAGCTAACTTCCAACTTGGCAATTGCTCGCCGAGAAAGGCGTGGAAGACAGTCCCACCAGTATACGAGCACTGGAGATCTTCCTGGTGACGCATTGCCTCGAAGAGATCTTCTGTAGTGTCAACTGGAAGCATGGTCGAATTAGTGTAAAATGTTGGTATCTCTCGATTTGGGAAGAGTTCCTTGTCTCGTTTGGCGAACTTGTAGCAGGTGCTCTCTGCTGGACTCGCCTCAAGATTGTAAAGATTACCCGTCTCTTTCTGGAACTCTTGCAGTTGATCTTTAATGAGCTCTAAAACCTCAAGAGCAAAATCTTTGTTTGCGTCAATTCCTTTTCCAAGGAGATCAACCAATGCCTCATTCATACCATTCACTCCAATAGTGCTGAAGTGATTAGTCCAGTGTGATCCTGTGCGATGCTTTGTGGCTGACAAGTAGTGAGCAGCGTAAGGATACAGACTTGAGTTGGCATCGACAAGTTTCCTCTTGATTTCCAATGAGTCTTTGGCCACCCTCAACGTGTTTGTCAATTCGACCATGAAAGTCTCTTTAGACCTGTTTGATCGATAGGCAAGATTGGGGAGGTTAATGGTGACAACTCCAATTGAACCAGTCAAAGGACTGGCGCCGTATTGGCCACCCACTCTGCAGTGTAGTTTGCTGAGATCGAGTCTCAACCGACAACACATGGACCTAAAATCCTCGGGATCAAGATCGCTGTTGATAAAGTTGGCAAAATAAGGGACACCGTACTTGGCTGTCATCTCCCAAATTGACTGCCAACGAGGTGACTCCCAGTCAATTCCATCAGAAACATTATAGGTGGGAATTGGGAATGAGAAAATATTGCCATTGCCATCACCTTGCATCATGACCTCGGCAAATGCCTTGTTGAGAACATCCATCTCTTCTTGGAAGTCATTGTAAGTCCACTCTGTGCACAATTCACCGCCAATAATAACACACTGTTCCCCCAATCGCTTTGGGCAGATAAGATCCAGAGAGAGATTGGTGAAAGGAGCCTGAAAGCCGCTCCTGGTGGGAACGTTAAGAGAGTAGACAAAGCTTTGCACACACTTGAAGACCTCGGTGTATGACAAATTGTCTCTGCGGATGAAAGGCGCAAGGTACGTGTCAAAGCTGGACAAAGCCTGTGCTCCAGCCAGTTCACCCTGCAGAGTAAAGAGGAAGTTCACAATCTGGTTGAGAGCAGTATTGAGGTGCTTCGCAGGTCGGCATTGGATCTTGTTCTCCACGCCGCCAAAGCCTTGGAGGAGAATATCCTCTATACTCCAACCAGAACAGTACGCGCTTAAGAAGCCAAGATCGTGGATGTGGAAGCGGTTTTCACTGTCATACTGGCGGATCTCATCCGTGTAGATCTTCTCAAGCCAGTACTGCGAGATGACCTGGTTTGATATGTATTGCATGAGGCCCTGGTGGGAGTAGGTTGAGTTGGCATTTTCGGCGGTTTTCCATGTCCCTTTGGCAAGATACTCATCGACGAGGGTGATATTAGATGACATTGCAGGTAACGCGTTCCAGTATCGGATTGAACAGAGGAAGATAAAAGATAGTCAGGAAAAGATTTACTTTAGTACACGCTGTGGAACTAATATATTGACATTTTCACCCTTGCTGTTGAACCGAGCTCTGTTAACAACAGCTGGTATCGATGCTTAATGCGTTACAGCATTGCCTGATCTTCCAATCCCGCTTATTAGCCCGATACCCAGTGTAATATCGATAAACAGTCCTAAATTCACAGCACCACTACCAGTAAGAGCATCAAAAACGTTATTTAGATACTCCAGAAGCACGGATAGAATGGAATCGCCGGGAGTTTTACTCGTCTGATTTGCCATGGCTGGACCACAAGTGGAATGCGGTAACTTGTGATTAGGCGTAATATGGGTCGACTGCGCATGGACAAACAGCTGACGAGAGGGACCAAATGGTGTAGTTCAAACTTGACAAAGATCGAAGCATTTGTCGCATGATGTAAATGATGAATGTACTCATAATTGCACCGTCGATGTGTAGTCTATCTATGGTACTACTGGTGGCCCCTTGCATTATAGCTATTACTTATTGACTCGGGTCTTAAGGAGCACGAGCCCTGTACCACCAGACTTGTAAGACTACAATCCCTGTAGTAGATCTCCGCCTCAACATCGCCTTGGATAAAACTCTATATGGCTTTACGGTTCAAGTACTTATAAGATGCATAGTAAAAGGTATAGTTTGTGCCATGCTAATAAGCTGGCTTCAAACCAAATATGGTTAGCGAAACTCCAAGGTCACTTGCGCGAAGAACAGAGAGCAAGAGAATCACGGAATAAATATAAGGAAGAAATGGTTCTTAGTACAAGCTAGTTTTCTCCATTTACAACGCTCAAGTAAGAACTAGTTACCTCATTGTGAATAGAGTTAAATATTCCTTTAAAGGAAAGTAAGTAAACAGCTGGAGTACCAGAGTTAAAAGCCATTTATTCCCAAGAACAGCACAAGAAACCAACAGCCCAGTAAGTATCCTGTTACAAGCTTCTCCGCTGTATTGCTTTCCGTTGGTGCAGCTGTAGTACTTTCTGTTAATGAAGTAGTTGTTGGGGCTGCAATACTCTCTGAAGATGCAGTGGTCTTGATTCCGCCGCTGACTGTCTGGGGAACTTTCGAAGTCGCTTGTTCAGATTCTGTTAATTCTGATGCCGTTCCTTTGAGATCTGTCGCAGGGACTTCTTTCTTGGCGATTTTGGGACATCCCTGTAGGACTCGGCCGCGTTGATTCAAGAAATGGCCTTGAACAGGACTGTACCCCGAAAGATCAAACATCCAGAGACATCTGACATAACAAGGGTCGCAGACATACTCGAGGGGCCATTCCTCGTCTTCATCCGTTTCGGGGAAGGTGTCGATAACCTCTAGATAATACAGTCAGTATCAAGCATCATTCAAAAGTACCACATACTTACCGTTACAGTACCTCCCCGCAATATCCTTATCGCAAAGCTGTTCCCAACCTCCAGGCATTCTTTCAGCTAGTACAATTCTCTCTCCCTTGCAGTCCTTCTCAACACCCGCGACCCATCGCTGGAGCGATTGATGGCAGGTCTTGCTGCAGATACTATCGGTGATGGTGTTGTCCTCGTCATCCTCGAGTGAACCTTGCCAACCAGTCTCGTTCAAGTCAACAATGGCCTCGTTGCACTTGAGATCGACCGTCAAGGCTTTAAAGCAGGCTTCATTGTCACTGTAGTATTATTTCGTAACATCCTTGTGGGAAACACTGAAAGCACGTGCGCTCCTAGAGAGGCTCAGGGCAAAAACGAGTGTGGAGAAATGCATGACGAACGAAGGAAGTTGAGGGACTTTGCGAAAATGAAAGAATGACTGCTGTCCTGTCTTAAAATTTCCCCTTCTTGTGAAAGGTCCTCTTTGATTATAAAGAAAAATGCCGTGATCTTTACAGCAGCGGAAATATGTGTCACTCATGTTATTTTACTGGGCCGCCTCAAATAAAATTACAATGGCAGAGTGTCGGACCGTTTCCACGCGCCAAGAGCATGCCAAGTCGGCTCCAAAAAGGCAGCGACCGAGATCAATCCATGTCTGGCGTTATTCTCGGCTCTAGGACCCTTATTGAATACAACGTTTTGTTGGTTGTTGGTTGCTGAGAAAAAGCACTTGTTACATAACTAACATTGTCAGAAATCATGTGAAGTGGAGCTTTTTGCAATTGCCACGAGCAATGCCATGTAGGGTCTCATTTCCCTTGCATAGCACAACTAACCATAACTTCATTACTCCACGCAGGCTTGACATAATACAAGGACAATACGTGTGCAATCCACAACCAGTAACTACTGGATTATTTGATATTCGTTAAAAGTTTTATTAAACAAAGTAACTCGTAGAATACATATATAGTCTTCATACTAACTTGTTAGGGTTATGCTACCCTTGTGGATAACATTGATCGGGTCGAAGCTATTGTGTTTGATATCATTACTTGTCAGACCTGCCCGACCAATAAGAATCCAACCCAGGCCAGGCATTTGCTTGGCACCTTCGAGATAATAAAACTGACTCCAGGTCAATCCTAGATCAACCTGGCTAGCAGATGTCTGATCGTATCCCATGCCGGGGAGGGTCACAAGTAAGATATGCATGTTGGCCGGTCGGGATACATCGGCAAGCAGATATACCAGCAACAATGCCAACAGTATTATGATAAATGCAAAGAGACTTTTCGCCAATGAGAAGATACTGTGTATCTTGATCGTATCTCAGGGCAGCTTCTGGGTATGTGGCAGGGTATTGGTAGGGGTATTCTGATGTTTGGAGTTGGAGATATTGACGATTATAATGAAGAACAACTCCATCGGGATGTCCCCCTTGCAGAATTGGGTTGAAGGTGGTGGAAACGAGTGCGGCAGCGGTAGTAGTTGTTCCAGGCGAAGTAGTGGCTACTTCTGACGTAGATGCTGACAGTCGCAGTCTTGAACGCTGTGCTTGTTGTCTCCTCGGTTCTGGGGTTGGCTACCCCGGTCGTAGTCTCTGTTGTGGTCTTTGCAATCGAAGAAGCTTCCGTGCTACCCTGAGAGCCCTCAGTTATGATGTCTACTATTGTACCAAGAGTAGTATTGATCACTGTGTCCTAAGACTTTGTTGAGTCAATGGGGGCAGTGGCAGTAGACTCGAAAGACAAGAAGATACTTGTAGGCAAACTAATTGCAACAGCATTAGTGGTAGGCTCGGTGCACGGGTGGCTGGCAGTTAATGTGTCGGTGGGTGAGTCAGCAGAGCCACTGGATTCAGGGATGGCAAGTGTTAAGTATAGAGATATTCCAAATGTAAATAATGAAATGATGCTGATGGGAACTGGTCGACATAGTCCTGTATTGACCCACTCAATGGTGAGCGCTAACAAAGCTGTAGTAATGTGCGTCAAAGCAATCATCGTAAAAACATGTAAGAAAGTTTGAATTGAGTAAAGTATTCTTTTTTGCTTTAACCTTAAATTATTAAGCCCAGGCTTTCTAGTTTCCCTATAATATTATTAATAAAAACAACTTCTTCTAAGGTTAAGAAACCAAGTAAAGTATAATAGAGGCTCACCAGGTGTTGTTTAGTACTCCCAACGTGCTACTAAAGAGTAAAGTGGTTCCTCGGAAGAACTATTAAAAGTCTCAAAAGGCTTGTAAGTTTCTTTGAATCGTTCCTCAGTTTCGTTTGGGACACAAAGCCTCGATTCCCAAAACGGACGTAGTTAACCTGCGGTCACTGTTTAGTGTGTTTTCTCTAATAAGTGCAAGAATAAATGGCTGGTTGACTGGGCTTCTGTGACATATTTGGTGTCAAGCAAACAATACTCGAACCAAGTGTCCTCCCGGTTAATAAAGTCAGCGTGGTCGTTAGTTCGGTAAGCAAAGCGCAGGTCTGTTTTCCAAATCGCCGGTATAGACCTCTCGTTATAACTTCCGATGTCTATATCTACTAAAGTACGGCCGACTGGACGAACTTCGGAAAATGAAGTACCAAAAAAGAGCCTCCACCGCTTTGTGTTTCCGCTTACTTCGATGGTTAAGATAGAAGATCGTATACTTGCAGCTGTCTCTGGGCAGAGTTGAGGACCAGTCCATCTGAAATCCCTCGAGTCGTAGTGGTGTAGGGTTGAGAAATGCATGTGTAGCTCTGGTGAACATTTGGAAAGGAGTTGGATGGTAGGGATGAGGTGTTTCGCTATGGTGAGAACATCCAGATCATTAGTCGACGAAGACGATTAAGGATCCGATCTGTCGTCACCAAGTTCTACCAGAATGAATAAAGACGTCATCTCCATACTTATAAACTTTTCTCAAGAATAGCAGTGTTTGTACGGGATTGTTAGGGCCACTATTGTCATGATCTACGGCATACTAAGGAAGAGAGGGGTTGTTTTAATGGTGTAAAATAAGGACCAGGTGCTTGATCTGGCTAGAAGGATTTTATCCATTCGAAATGGTAAAATAGTTAACTCTCGTCAACATATTGGTCGTCAGAATCCACATCATCCCTTATATGCATCGTGCGACAATCCATGCTTGCCTAGAAACCTGTGTAGACTTGACTAAATGGCTTTATTTACAACCCCGTGACGCTAGCATGACACGGGGAACACAGGAAAACCGGAACAAACACCCGAACCCAACAATCAAGGATCGCCATCATGGTCTGGCGCTCAGCCAGAGCAGCAATTGGTCAACAATACGAAAGGGTACACGGCATCGATGTCCCCGAATGATACCCACTTGATAAAGTTCACCGGAGAGTGTACTAGTTCCATCGTGACGATTAGCGGCCTGCAGGCAAAATAAGCACGAGGTCAAAGCGGGGCCAGGGAGAATTTAAGCTATGTAAAGGGAGAGGCTTTTCTATACCAAAGAAATCTTTCCTTCCCGGTCTCTTTTTCTTCCTGCCTCCCCCTGGAGCTCGATCTTTGCCTGTTACTGTTGGAAGACATATGATGGCAATTGATGCGACAGTAACATCGGTAACGCCCACCGGCCTTGGGCGCACGCTCCTTGCTCTTACGATACTTTTCCTCATTCCAACCACGATTGTTATTTTCCTAAGATGCTGGATTCGACTCCGGCATAAGATCTTCGGCGTGGACGATGGTCTTATGCTTGTCGGCTGGGTTAGTAACACATCCCTCAAATACTTACGCAACGCAAGGCAACACAAGGTGATACTGACAGACCTTCACGGTAGATGCTATACGTGAGCGTGAGCGGTATTGTTATACGCAGCACGTATGCTGGCCTCGGCACCAGTGATTCTGATTTAAATGCTTATCTTCAGAATGATGGTCGAAAGGTATATTTTAAATTGTCGTACCGGAAGCAGATCAAGTCACTGATATCTACTTAGTTTCTATGGTGCTTCCAAGTTACCTATTGCGTCTCACTCCTGTTCCTCAAAAGCTCTATCTGCGCTACGCTTCTTCGAATTGCTGTTGTCAGACTCCACCTCATTATAATCTGGTGCACCCTTGTATTCGCAATACTTTCTACAACTACTGTCATCATTGGGCTTCTCGTCATTTGCCGCCCAATATCCACCGCTTGGGGCCATGAGGGAACATGCGCCCCGACAGTTGTTATCGCAAGCCTTGGATATCTTGTGTCCACCGGTGCAGTTGTAACAGACTGGATCTGTGCCGTCTTACCTATATTCATGCTATACAAGTCTAACATGAAGCGGGCAACTAAGTTCTCAGTCGCTATCATCCTAGGACTTGCGGCTTTGTAGGTCTACTTGATATGTCCTGTTGAAGCTCGGACTAATTCTTAAAACAGGGCATCGCTCTGCACGATTATTCGGCTTCCCTACGTAAAATATTATACCATCATCCCTAACTATCTCTGTCAGTATCATACCAAACCCCAACCCCAACCCTATCCCCCTCAGCAGTATCTGTCTGTCTAACATGAAACGCAGACAACGTTGCAAACATTGTCATCTGGTCTATCGTCGAGTCAGGAATCGGAATAGTCGCCGGCTCACTACCCTCACTCCGCAAGTTGGTTAGCCAACGCTACCACTTTGATTCTACGACAGGCAACTCGCCTGTTCAGGTGACTCCTTTCTCAGGCACCAACCAGGCTATCATCACATCCCACACATCATCCGCCCTACGTAGTAGGCCCAACAGGGGCGCTGGAGCAACAGGGTTGGGTGGAGGAGAAGGCGACTGGGAGCAGCTTGACGGTAGTGAATCCAGCAAAAGGATCTATGTCAAGGTAGACTTGGAGATGCAATCGTTAGACCGGCCAACAACATCTCGGGCATCACATAGATCTAGTGAAGACCTAGTGCGATAAGGAAGTAATTTGTTTATTAAGTGTTCTATCCAATAACACCCTAGTAGAGATAATAGTATACAAACTTAAGATACATAACTATTTTAAAGTTATTAGAGGAGTAATATATTCTCTTTACTATTAAAGAAGGATAGATTTACTATACATTATTTAAAACAAGTTTAAGAACAAGACTTAGTATGTAGCTAAGAGAATAAGAAAGCTTATTAATAAGATAATTAACTTAATAGTCCTATTAAATATGGTTAAAGATAAACTGCTACCAGAGATTTAAACCCAAGGATGCCAAGAGCGCACTTTTACCTCAATCTAGTAGGTCATGGGAAAACAAGAAGATTTTTAATTTAGGTAGGTGTCTCTAAAAATTCATAGTGGGTCATGCGACAATAAGCTTGAAGTTAAACTAGAGATGATCGGCAAGATAGCTTGGTATAGCCTTGGCTTTAATTCACCAGGACGAAGTAGGGAGAGCTATGAAGTATTACTGGTGGCCTTATTCCTTGCCAATTGCAGCTAGCTAGGGCTTACTATCTATATGCCTGTATATCAAAGCCTTGGCTATACACGAAGGTTACAGTTGTTCTGGAGAACCCTGCCCAATCACTAACTCTAATTAGATAGATGGAACATTGTTCAATGCATTGTCTGGCATCTCAATGGTCAGACCTTGGGTAAGGCTAAGAACAGACCTTATCGTATTCTTGGTGTTGCATAAGATGCCAAGGACAAAAGGTCCAGCTTCCAATCCAGGGAAGGATTTGCGTTGATTCTTGTTGCAATGGATCAATCGACATCACTTGATCTGGAATACTGACTATAAAGGGTCTCCTTAATCGTCCAGGGCCCAACAATGTTTGTTCTGTAGTGTCTTACTCACAACATTTTTAGAACCTCTTCGCACACTCATTCTGTCAAAATGAAGGCCAGTATCACCTCCATCCTCCTTGCCACCTTGGCGAGCTCCGCAATCGCCCAGAACCAAAGGATCGACACGTCCAAGTACGATGAGAGTTACCTGCGTGCGGCCAGTGCGCCCAATGCCGTTGGAATGAAAGAGCTCCGCCAGCGAAAGATGGCCCTCCGCGAGAGCGAGGCGGCTGCCGGTGTCTTTGACAAGGATCGCTACAAGAAAGTGAGCTCTGCCACGTCTTGTACTAACGGAAAAGCGGGAGGTTACTCTTGCAACAACGTCGACCTCTTGGGCTTCTTGCGCCACCAGGATATGGGCAGCCGTACGCGCGAGGGCAATGACATCTGGGGTACGTTCCACAGCTCCCATAGACTTGCGAAGTTTATACGGACTTATCTCCCTACCCAGGCTGGACACATGCGTCTAGCGGTCGCAAGTTTGCTCTTCAAGGACAGACAGACGGCACAGCCTTTGTGGAAGTCCACCCCGATGGTAGCCTGACCTACGTCGGCCGCCTGCCAACACAGACTGTCGCTTCTTCATGGCGTGACATCAAGGTCATTGGCAACTACGCCTACATTGGTGCTGAAGCAGCTGGTCACGGTCTACAGATCTTTGACCTTACTAAGCTTCTCAACACTGATGTCAAGAACCCTCCCACTTTCAGCATCAGGAGTGACTTGGCCGCACACTTTAGTGCTTTTGGCAACAGCCACAACCTTGTGGCTAACGAGGAGACAGCCCTCATTGCCGCCGTCGGTACAGCCTACGATCTCAAGTGTCGTGCTGGCCTCTGGATGATTGATGTCTCGAACCCAAAGAGGCCTCAGGATGCTGGCTGTGTCGCCTCAGATGGCTACGTGTACGACGCCCAGTGCGTGATCTACCGTGGTCCCCAGAAGGCTTTCCAGGGTCGTGAAATCTGCTTCAACTACAACGAAGATGCCCTCACTATTGTTGACATCTCTCGCCGTACCATGCCGCGCCAGCTGTCACGCACCACATACAACGGCGCTACCTACACCCACCAGGGTTGGGTGACTGAGGATCACAAGTACCTCCTGCTGGACGATGAGCTAGATGAGCAGCAAAAGACCGGCCCTGCTGCGGACCAGCATACCACCACATACATTGTTGACATCCAAGACCTGGAGTACCCCGTCTTCCGAGGCGTCTACAAGAGCCCTGTCCGCTCAATCGACCACAACCAGTACATCATTGGCGGCGTGTCTTACCAGACCAACTATGGATCCGGTCTGCGTATGGTGAATGTTACCTCACTTGCTCAAGATGACACTGGTGCTCAGATGAAGGAAATTGGCTTCTTTGACGTCCATCCTGAGGATGACGAGGTTGGTGGCGAGGCAGAGTTTTATGGTGCTTGGTCTGTCTACCCTTACTTCCAGAGTGGGAATATCGTGGTTAGCTCCATTGAACGGGGCATATTTTCCCTTCGATACACCGGCTAGTTTAATGGTATCTAGCTTTAGAATAGTTATTTATATATTTATATAATCTATACAATCGAGATGTAGAATTCTTGTTTCTCCCCTCGAGTACTCTCCACTCTCGCACAGTACTCTTCTCTTGGTAGGAATGGCTCGCTTGGAAAATGTAGGTCCGAATTCCCTGACCTTTGTACCGACGCACTTCCAATACGCCTGTACTCTCCTTTTCTTACACCAGTCGGCTGCAATACAATACCGCTATGTCTACCTGGTTCTGGAAGATACGCAATGGGTAACCAGAAGGCACGGAAGGTCTCAACTCCTGCATACTCCTCCCAATGGTCAAACCCCATGCTTTCGATAATGGTTCTTCCACGTAATGTGCGCTTTTCGTCAATAATAATTCCACTGTTTTCCTCCTTTGCGTATACAGTGCATTCTTTGAGATATTCGCAGCGTATTTCAAGGGTACCACTAACAATCTCTCCAAATGGGTTGGAAGGAGTGCTGTATTCAATATTGATACTGCAGATCTCGATGTAATGTTTTGTCACGGGGAATGTGTAAGGTGCACTGTTGAAGTAGCTGATGGGTGCCGAGTTGGAGGCCCAAGACCAGCTTGGAGCTGTTGAAGGCATATACCTTCGTCCACGAGATGTACTCCAGCAAAGTTCGGCTGCCAAGTCGCTCTGCCACATGCCTGCCACATAACCATCAGGTGTCTTCTTCTGGACGAGCTGCGCGATAGCTGAGATCGCCACAAGTTTGTCGCGTCCAAAGGTGAGGTTACACGACGAGTATTGTTCAACAATAGTCGGCCAACCTTCGCGAGAAAGCCAGTTGGAGCCTTTTGGAAGGTCCAAAGAGCATTCAAGGTAGTGCTGGACCCTGGGAATACCTTCCAGCCAGACTTCGCAAGCGGTAACAGATTGACATACCCAGAATGCCTGATCCTTGGTGAAGTGAAGTGTTCGTGGCGACAGGAAGCGCTCCTGCACAACCCAAGCACGAGTCATCAGAGGGATTTGTTCATTGCCAGGCTCGAGCATTTCTGGGGGAAAGCACTCATATAGTCTGGGCGCAGATCCATCGTTTCCGAGCAGAACTTGGCATCTCCAGTCCGTATCACGCGGCAGCCAACATCCAACCTGTCCATCAGATGCAGCCGTCGCAGCGATATTCAATCCTGAACGGCCGTAAACACTGCCCATACGCACTGATTCGTGTTTCCAGTCTTCAGCATCGTCTTGGACAATACATAGGGAGTCAATCCATATATACTTGAACCCAAGAGACCTTGCGATAAAGATGGCTTCCTGAAATGTCTTTGGCAAGGTTTTTAAAGGAATGCACTCTGTAAAATTGGACAAGTTGGATTTGACGAGCGTTAGAAACGTCCTGAGACCCCAGCAGTGACTGAGAGAAGCATATTGTGTGGATGTGTCAATGTTAGACGTGTCCGCGCAAAGCCGAGGTTCGTCTTCATCTATGTCGATAAGACGGGTAGGTAATGTGTCGGGTGTGGTGGCAGAGGTGCCTAGACAGGTGTGTGAAGAATTGCAATGTTGAAGCCATCTCTTACATAGTTCCAAGGTGTGGTTGATACTACTGGGTTCTCTAATGGAGTTATAGAGCACAGCTGAAAAAGAGGTCAGCGCTGAATCATTACATACAACGTATCGTCCTACCTTGCTGGACACCAGGGATTAAAAATGCCTTAGCTGACCAAACGTGCTTTGTCATCTGATCTTCCCTCACTGGGTCTTCGAACCAATACATGCTGATCAGTACGAGCAGCCCCTCTTCTGGTCTAACGCCATCCCCGAGGGAATAGATAGCAAATTTCCCCACGTTGCTCACGTTTTCCTCTGCTGTATGGTGGGGATGTTCATACCGCCCGTTCTTAACAAGCTGGATACACAGCCCGCAGCCACTAGCAGCAGAGCTACGTGCTTCAGCAACCGTGTCATACCATCTGAAGTTTAGGTCTGCTGACTCTGGCTGAGGCCAAGGATTGAAAGAATGCTGACATTTCGCGCATAAATTTGTTGGTGGTTGAAGAACATGCTTTGAGACGATTTCGGATGAGTCTCTTCCTTCAGGCATTCTTATGGTAAAGCGGAGATAGAGAGGGTTAGAGAAAATAGTAAAAGATAAGTTCTAATTAAGACAGCCTAGTCTGTAACCATGGGATCTTAGAAGAGGAAGGCTATGTTGAGCTTTTAAATTACCCCGCAGCTAAGACTGTATTTTCCTACTATCACGTGTAAGAATTTCCTTACCAGATTCAAATTGTGAAATATAATACTTCAGTTTTAATACCTATTTAAAATTATACTTAAACTATGCCACTACACTATAGATTAGTATACACTGGCTCTTATATATTATTACAATATTAAATATGCCACTTTTCCTTCCTGAATCTATAAAGCTAGAATTAATTAGTGTAACTAACTTGCTGGAAGTGTCAGGACAAAAAGTAGGTTTTGCCGGCCTTCTAACTTATAAACCGAGCGGGATGTATGCTATGAAGACCAGTTTTAGTATTGTTAATTGCAGTACTGTTTATTTACGTCACCATCTATTTGTGAAACACTAGGTAAATTGAAGCAAAGACCTTCTTGGCAAAACAAAGAGAAAATGTGGATTGATTTCTCTATTCGTATTGGTTAATGTCGGGGTTTGGTTTATCTTCAGGCGGAAAACCCCTTCTTTGGGTCCTGGCTATCTCAGTTCTTCCTACGTGGATGCGCAATCTAGTGAGGTTTAGAAGCGGAAATGAAAAGACCCTACGTTCATATATTCGGTACGTTCCGAGTTTCAGGGAAATGATGTCACCCCACTGTATAATATTAGCTCCGGTCTCATGTGTCAGGATTCATGGAGTACAAATAGACTGGCATACGCTCGTCACGGAATATAGTTCTACTATACTTCAACCAGCCTGAAAAATTCCATCACTCGTTAATTTGTCAACATGCGTGCTTCTCCCCAATTATTTCTCATTTTTTCGGCTATTACCGCCGTAGAAGCAGCACGAGGTTCGAAGTACCGCTACGGGCGCCCAACGACTGGCACTGTCGCCCCTGTCATCTCTTCCGTCTCGCCGGAGGAAAATATTGTTTCAACCGTCTCCATTATTCCAACCGAAGCAGTCAAAGTACCTGAGCTTGTCAATGACATCAAAAATGTCAAGATTGAACAGACAGGGACAGCGACCGCATCGCTAATCCCACAGTCTCAGGTAGCTACAAAGAGCAAGGCCACTAGAGCAGCACAAAACGAGCCCACTAAGAAGTTCTGCGGCAAACCTAATGAATCAGAGGTTCTCTTTGGAACACCTTGGATTGTCTTCTCCATGAACTACAACTACCAGTCTATCAAAGGCTCTTCTTGCGTCGGCTACTATGACTACACAGGCTCTGGTGACGATCAGACCATTCACTGGAGCGTCCTCTGGGATATTGATCCAGACGTAGGCACCAACCTAGTCAAGGGCTACAACTTCATAGGTCTTACCCAGGGGCTGGAGACAAGACTCAGTGATATTAAGAGTATCCCTTCTAAATACGAATGGACTACTAGCAAGACTACTGAGTACAAAGGTAGCTAAAACGTCTCCTTGAATATGCTATATGGATATGAAAGCTGACTCTCGACACTTACTAGGCAACGTTGTGTACGATTTCATGACCTGCGACACAAAAGGGGACTCAACCTCAAGCAGTGCACAGGAGCTCATGCTCTGGATCAACTGGGAAGGTGGTCAGGTTCCCATCGGTTGGGGTGAGGGGCCCATTGCCACCATCAACGGGCTCTTTGGAAAAGACGGCTGGAAGCTGTACCAGGGTGTCAATGCCGACACAGGCATAACCGTGACCTCGCTCCTATGCCCCGAGGAAAGTCAATTCGGCAACGAAGAGGGTGGGAGCTTTGCAGGTGATATCAAGGATTGGCTCGTAGCGCTGTCTGAGAATGGCGTGTTCAAGGCAAACACATATGTAAACGTTGGAAATGCGGGTATGGAACCATACTATGGCACTGTCGACTTTGACAACCAGTTGAGCCTCAGGGTTAACGTCTAGAGAGAATAAGAGTCATACCGCTGGGTGTGTTTACCCAGCCAGGCCTAGCTTGCGGAATTATTTCATCCTACTCGGCCTTTGGCGAAATGGCCATCCGTTGCTACTAGACGATCTTGCTCAAGTTTTGGCAGCGGCTGTTAATCAGGGGTCCAATGGTGAAGGGGAGTGCCTAATGGCAGCTACCCGACCTGTATTATGCCCTTACGTTAAAGTTAAAGATCTGGAATATAACAGGCTTTAGAGAGCATGGACGATAGTAGTATAAGATTGCGTATAATACTAAAAAGCCTCGCTAAGAGATTAATAAGTCATTTACTGCATTAGGCTTATATCATTATGTTATTATAGACCTTTGGTATAGTCAATAAAGAAGACTTGGTATTTTATTTAAGAATATACAGAAGGTATAATTCTGTACAGGTTAAGTTTTAAATAATGCTATTAATTCAGTTTTTATAGAAAGAGCTGTCGAAGTAGAAATACTTATAGTTTATAGTCTAATATAAAGTGTTCTAGAACCTTGTTCAAATAGGTTTATACAGAGTATAACCATTAAGAGAACTAGAATACAAACTATACTTAAAAGATTTAACAATTTACGTTGAGCGACCAATCTTTAGCACAATTGGGTGGTCTATTATCCTGAAGAATCATAACTTTCTTTACATAGTGTTACTGCACTCCCAGAAATCACAGATAGGGGAAGGGATTTAGTATCAACTCCAGCCATAGTGGCTCATAGCCTTCTCTGAAACAACCAGCCACTTCCAGTCTTTTTCATACCTGTTGTCTATAAAAGTTCAAAGAGAAATCTATTGAAAAACCATTGGATCTAGGATATTGTACCTAAGAGACTTCAGGTGTTTCTCCCCTACAGTTATAGATCTAGATACGTGCCCGAACAATGCAGCTATCTTAGGTCTACTGTTAGGTTAAAAGACATGTTGAAACCTATCAGCCACTAGTTATCGGACGACTGGAGAGCGAGTCTTTCATTTAGCGCTGGTATACATTGATACCTCACTTGAAGCTAGTACTAACAATCCCCTTTCACAGTCCTCATCAGTGGTAGGTTCCTTTGTGGCTGGGTTGCTAGACTTCGGCGTCTCCGAGGCAATAGAGACTTATTAGTAGCACTTTATAGTTAGAAAATATTATTCCATAAGATTATCGAACTATTATATGCCCCCACGCCAGATCAGGAAAGGTAACAGCCGTTCTCATTTTTCAATAAATGAGACCATGGAACTATTTATCAGGCCCCATGCTATTGATACCAGTAAAGAACATACCCTAGAAAGCCGTTGTGGGCCCGGTAACGCTCCCACAACCGCGGTGGCTTCGGTTGTGCGAAGCTATGCCCGATCGAGCATTCTCCACCAAGGTTTTATAGATTCGCTATCTGGACTTGTGATGTCGTTATCACAATTCTTCGGTAACCCACTCTATTCTTTCATTTAAGTTATGAGACAATCACATCCTGGATATTGCGAGATGTGAATAAGAAATTTCTTATTGGTTAGTGTAGGGCATATTTCCCAAACTCGATGGCCAAGGGGCTATCTCGTAGGGTGGGATGCGCGACATATTCTTTAGATGTTTCTGGTCAATCCGTTCTTGAGGTTTTGATACTTGTATGCTGGAACAAGCGTGGGCTCAGTTGGGTCTCTTGTTCATGTTGAAGATCAAGTTTGACCTGAAATGCTCGCGACATGAGCCACTACCTTCTTCCCAACCAAATGCTAGGTCAGAACACTAATTGTTTAAATGAAACTGCCCTGACTGCCGGGACCTCCCTCAATCTGGATGTAGACAGCTGACAGTCTGGAACCCTTCCCATCCACCACCGTTTCCCTGACCAACACCCACACCACCCACTCAGGTCGGACATGTTGCGACATCCTGTGGGTCAAAGTAACCTTATACCTAGAATAGGTAGAATTTAGGTTATCTGGGAGACGGGCCGAGACTCAAGGGTAGTGGCGACCCCGGGGCTTGGGCCAGTAATGTCAAAGTGCCACCGAATTGTGTCATATGTAGCAATGCGCGTGAAACAAGAATATACATCCTTATCTGTCGCGCACATTGACAGCCCATGTACCTGCTTCTTCACAGCTCCAGTCTACTACATCTTTGTCGCGAGACATCAGGTCCTGGCCGCATCATCTCGTCCACCACGCCCCGGCAACCATGGGTTTCTCGAGCATCTTCGAAGGCTCCAAGCCCACCGCGACCGTCTCGACCGATATTGAGGCGAGCGACTCCGAGCCTTCTGTCATTCACGATGGAGGCCTTGCCTATACACGTGTCAAAGGTGGCAACGGCTCCAAGCCCTCGTACCAAGAAGCAGTTGGTGCCCCTGTCGAATCGAAGTCGCCTCTTGGATACAATGTTGGATGGGTCACCGTCATCTTTCTCAATGTGAATATGATGATTGGAACGGGTATCTTTTCCACACGTACGTCTACCCGTTGTCTCTGTTAGTGAGAAGAGATACTGACCATGCTTCAGCTGCAAGTATCCTTAACCGAGCTGGCTCAATTGGCCTGGCACTCATCATCTGGTTCATCGGCTTCATCATGGCTGCTTCTGGGTTCAGTGTCTACCTGGAGCTTGCGAGTTATTTCCCTAACCGCAGTGGTTCTGAGGTCGTCTATCTCGAGCAAGCCTATCCCCGACCCAAGCACTTCTTCCCTGTCACCTTTGCTGTCCAGTCTGTCATTCTATCTTTCAGCAGTAGCAATGCTGTTGGTAAGTTGCATCGTTCATTTCATCCATTACTTATTCTAACACTTGTCAGTTCTATCCAAGTACCTCTGGCGAATGACAGGTGACACCCCCACAGAGTGGCAGATGCGTGGTGTCGCCATTGCGGCTTACACTCTAGCCGTCATCTTTGTCATTGCTCACAACAAGTACTCTCTTTGGCTTGTTAACTTCATCGGTGCTCTCAAAATCCTCACTTTGGTCTTGTAAGTCCCTCCATTCTCTTGAATTACCTTCCTATCTGACAAATACACAGCATCAGCATCGCCGGTCTCGTCGTTCTTGGTGGCAATGTCGACCGTATCCCCGACCCCGGACTTAACTTCCGAAACGCATTCGAAGGTGCTTCTCCCAACGGAAACGATCTGGCTAGTGCTCTCGTCAGTATCGTATTTTCATATGCTGGTTACTACAATGCCTTCAACGTCGTCAATGAGATCCAGAACCCCATTCCCACCCTCAAGCGAAACGGTACTGTGTCTCTGACTGTTGTCGCCGTCTTGTACATGCTCTGCAACATTGCCTACTTCGCCGTCGTTCCAAAAGAGGAGTTTGCCGAGGCCAGTGAGATTGCGGCCTCCATCTTCTTCTCCAAGCTCTTTGGTGGTAGCGAGTCAGCTGCCAATGTCCTCAACTTTCTCGTTTTGCTTAGTGCTTTCGGTAACCTTCTTGCGGTCCTGATCGGCTCTGGACGCATGATCCGTGAGATTGGACGACAAGGTGTTCTGCCTTTTACCAACTTTTGGGTTTCTACCAAGCCCTTTGGTACTCCACTTGGCCCGTATGTTGTCAAGTGGATTTTGACATTTATTATGATTGTCGCCCCTTCGGCTGGTGATGCCTTCACTTTCGGTCAGTCTCATTACTACCTTTATATATAGCATTATACTAACAAGAGCTATAGTTGTGAGCCTGGGCACTTACCCTGATGCTATGTTCAGGTTCGCTATGGCTGTTGGTGTTTATGTTATTCGTCGTCGACGCGCAAAGGCTGGCATTGGCCGCTCTGACTTCAAGGCATGGCATCCTGCTGTTATCTTCTATACCCTCATACAAGTCTTCGTCCTCGTCATGCCATGGTACCCTCCCAAGGGTGGCCCATATGCTGGCGATGTTAGCTTCTGGTATGCCACGTACTGTGTTGTCGGTATTGCTATGTAAGTGCCACTGTTCGAACCACACTTAAGCACCTTCTAACTTCGACACTAGTGTTCTTGTTTGCGCTCTTTACTATGTGGTTTGGATGTATCTGTTGCCCAAGTGGAAGGGATATGCCATCCGTACTGAGATTACCAACGTTGATGACAATGGAGCCAACACTCACAGATTGGTTAGAATTCCCTATGCTGATGTTCCTCGGTGGGACGAGGAACACGACGAAGCTGGTAATATTCGACAGAGGTCCGTTACTGTAGTCCCTAGCTCGGAGGGTTCCTTCAAGGCATAGACTGTTGTTGTCAAGAATGCTATTGATGAACAGGAGTTGGAAACAGGGTTCGGTACAAGGAAAGTTGTCGCCTTCTATCAGTATCTAGTATCTGTTCCCAATATTTATATTCCGTGCTAGGTCTAGAGCATCTACCAAATACTAGTCCTTCTGAAGAATTGCCAAGAAAAAGTTCAGTACATCTTCGACCCATTCTTTAGGCTGTGATACTGCTGGAAAATGCCCCCCAGAGCTATGTCGTTTGAAGTAGACAAGATTTGTGCTCCTCTCAATCCAGCTTCGAGGCTACGCAGTCATATTAGCTCTGCTGTTGTTAACAATTCAAAGGGCAAACTTACTGTGAACTGAAACGGACCCAGCTCAGGGAATGGCCCATTTGAATTATTCCATTCTGTAACACCCGTGGGAATGTCACTCTTAGGAAAGTCTAACAAGCCGGGCTGTACAATATCATCAGTTAAGCAGTCATTGAGTAAATGGGAGTGTAATCACCTTGTACGCTTCAAGGTAAGCCCGAATGTTACTGTATGGTCCAGGAATAAACAGCATCATTGCATCGGTGATCAGCTCTTCGTAACTGTAGCTGTAACCATCAGATACCGCGTGCACAAGATCCCACATCCAGCCAAGAAAGCCGACGGGGCTGTCTGTAAAGGAAAAAGACAAGGCCAAAGGCTTTTGGCTTTGGACGGTAGAATATGCTGAGTGAGCTGAGTACCATATGCTGTTAGATGCTATGTAAGCTTCTTCATCTTTGGTTGTCTGGTTCTGAGCCAGGCGATTGAGGTCATCGGGTGTTGCCTGCACAGCAAAGAAGTCCGTTATATGGCTGATAACGCTTGATGGCGAATCTCTGACCAACCACATAGCGACCTGCCAGCCCAAGTCGGTACTGACAATGCCATATCGAGAGTATCCAAGCTGCTTCATGAGACCATCCATGACTTGCGCATTTTCATGAGGTCCAAGGCCAGCCTGTGTCGGGGCTGGACTAAAGCCAAATCCTGGAAGATCAGGAGCAACAACATGGAAAGGTGTGTCGGCATGGTTGACCAATGGGGCGATGACCTTGGACCACTCTAGGTGACTTGAAGGCCAGCCATGGAGAAGAAGGAGGGGAATGGCATCAGGGTCGTCGGACTGTTGGTGGACGAAATGGAGTGGAACTGAGTCCTCGTAGCTTCCATTGATTGTGATGGAAGTTGCATAGTGGTTGTTCTCGCGATTCAGCCGAGCTTCAATAGATGACCAATCATATTCGCTACCCCAGTATTGGGCCACGTCTTGGAGGATATCTGGAGAGACTCCTTCATTCGTCCAGTTCGTACTGAATCCGACAGGCGAGCGCCAGCTCTTGACCTTGACCTGAGTTTGTTGGATGAAGGCTGGGTCAACAGCAATTTTGAATGGTTGGGGTGAGGTAAGTCCCTGAGGGAAAGAGAATGGGAAGGGTATGGCTGCCATTGCAGAGGATGCGATCGTGATGTTGTGTAGATCATATTGAGGATGGCAGTAGCTCGCTCTTTATAGTCTGAAGTGATAAAACGACATTAACCCGAACGACTTTTACCTAAGCTAGTAAATGTGAACAGTCTTTGAACTTGATGACGAATTGCAGCCTTCGTCCGATGATACGGACGAAGCTAACCCTTGAAGTGGAGCTACACTGAAGCATTTCGGCCGAAGTCAGGGTGAATGTGAACAGTGGTACAACCAACCCCATCTTCCATCTGACATTCAGAGCAAAGGGTTCTTTCTAACCCGTGGTCCCGGCCAGAAAGTAAGCGCTAACTTCCTTGCAGCGAAATAAAGGATTTGTAAGCTATAAGATATATCTTATCCTGCGGCAAGTACTGCCCACGGAGGTTCAACGTTAATGTAATCATCATATTTCGGGTAGTTTATCTTTTAATCTATATCTAAAGTAAACATTGGAACAATACAGAACGCAGAGCTGAATAGTTACAAGACAGACAGCGGGGTAAACTGCATTAAACCAATTCCAAAGCTTGCGCCGGGACCAGTCATATCCGAGATAGCTTTACACCAATCGAGCTCGCGATGGAGCCCACGATGTGAGAAATATGTCCGTAACGTGGCTTGAGCATAACAGGTGATCTGCGGACCAAATGTGCCATTCTCAGTTCTATAGCAGTATTCAATAGCCTGGCATAGCAAGCGGGCTATTTTATCAGCATCTGATTGAACAGTATCCGGCACACTGAGTATAATACTATCGTCGAGACTCCCATCCAGACGGGGCAGCGTAGCATTAGGACGGAGAAGCAGGATTGTGTTAAGGATATCAAGCATCATAGTAGAGCCAAATATCCAAGAACTGGCGCTTTCGATAGACTCAAAGATAAGTGCAAATGGAAACAGCTTGTCTGCATAATAGCTATCGGTCGGATTGCTAGCCTTGGCAGGAACCGACCAGTAGAGAGGAGTTCGGCTTTGTTCCCAAGTAGTCTTATTGTGAAGGACACGCCAACTGTCAATAGTGTAAAACTTCTCCATAAGGAGATTTATGTATGGAAGTGATTCCTCAAAGCTGTACTCGGTGTGTGACAAGTCATAAGTTTCCGCCATGATTGAGGGTATGTCGATAGCCAGGTCGAGTAAGCCGCCGAAGGATGCCGTAGCCGTAGGAGTGATGTGTTGCCGCCAGATATGAGGCTTAAGGATAAGCGGGCGCTTTTGAAGCATTGCTTGAATAACCTAGATTCATGTCAGTACATGTCCAAATGAGTTCATCTAGATTGGTATTTACACACGCAAATCACGCACAAACGTCGGCAGAGGTCGCTCCAGTTCTGGGTGTTTGTGTCAGACACAGCTCGATGGCGAAGTATTTCGGATATTCCCTGTGCATGTGCTTTCCAGCTGGTGCTTGCATGAAAAAGAAACAACTGGCATAAATAAGCTTTCAGCATGAGGTCGGGACATATACTAAACTCACCTCGCAGGTTGAAAGGATAACAATGGCAGCAAGAATCTCGTCGCTGTTTCCTTCTGATGGACTCCCCAGGACAGCAATGATCTTAGATAAAGCATGGTTGTACAGCTGGACCGTCTCGTCGTGCGAGATGTCTGCGCCAGATAAGCGAATCTGGACAGCGCAGAAGGCTATGAGGGAATGATCCAACGGGTCGCTAGGTCTCTGCATCTGGCATACAGCCTTAAGCCATGACGAAGGAGTTGAAGTCGAGTCTTGGTTGTTTCTTCTTAATCGTGCCTCGGGAAAGTAAATCCTTTCAGTAATGGACAGCGCTTGGAGTCGAAACGTCGCTATGTCATATGATGATTCCCTCGCTTCGACTTGAACACGCATTCGATGCAGTGAACTAAGTGAGTCTTCTTCCTCTAAGGCATTCTTTCTTTGTTCTTCCAACTTTGCGCCTTTCACGACAGAAAGCGCCGAGACATTGGGACGGGTTTGAGTCCTGTGAACCCAGACTGTTGACTGCTGGTATCCACGGCATACGATTCCCACTTTGGAGCACCGTAAGCATGTTGGATATGTGACATCACACTACAAGACGCTGATTAATTGAAAAAGAGAAAAGACAGCACGATGAAAGTAATATACCTTGACTCGGCGCCTTTTACAGTCATAGCATGCCTTGGACTTGCCAGCAATGCCGACCATGGTAGGGGAGAAATGGGGGACAGGGCGTGAGACAGAGACACTATGCTTTATTTGGTATCAGAGCTCGAGGGTTTCTGCAGGGATATTAAAAAGAGAGATTATGTTGAATCCTACTGCGTAGTAAGTCACGGTGAAAAGAGAAAATGTTAAAATACCGAAGTAGGGGTTTCGACTCACGACATTAACGGCTAGGATAAGCCTAGAGATGATCGGGCTAAACCAAATACAGCACCATCTTTCGAGGTTTTCGATAGGGAAGTGAGCTCAGAGCTCCACTGTTTTGACCAAAAGACGACTTGGCCGAATTCGGAACCATCTCGCGAGCATGTGCCCAAGGGTTGAATTTGTCAGTTTCATTCATTCAAAGCTTTGCAAACTGATATATAAGATGGATTCGAGCGCCTTGAATAATAACTATATCGTTTCATTTTAGTCACTATTCTCCGATCTCAGACGATTCATTCCCACGTTGGCTATTCAGTAACAACGAGATGGCTTCCCCCGGTCCAACGCGTCATCAATTGTCTCCACTCCCGGCATCTGACGATGAACCGCAAACACAACCGGATTCGTCCACGGAAAAGGAGTCTATCCAAGAGGCAGGTCCAGTAACCGACTTTGGACCTCCACCCGATGGAGGACTTGAGGCTTGGGCTGTAGTTGCTGGTGGCTTTTGTGCTGTGTTTGCTAGTTTCGGGTGGATCAACTGTGAGTTTGACTTGTTTATTTAAGTCTGATCAAGAGTAGTAGGCTCACTAACGATTTTAGGTATCGGCATTTTTCAAGACTACTACGAACAGAACCAGCTCAAGTCATATTCCTCTAGTACTATCGCATGGATTCCATCTGTGGAGTCATTCATGATGTTTTTCTGGGTATGCCAATCCCCTGCCATTCTTATTGTTTTTTATTCTGATCAGTGGATTAGGGTCCTGTGGTTGGTAAAATGACAGACGAGTTCGGTCCGCGCATACCTATCTTAATCGGCTCGTTCCTCCACGTCTTTGGTCTGATGATGACATCAATATCCAAGGAGTATTATCAGATTCTCCTGTCGCAGAGCTTCTGTAGTGCGACAGGATGTTCGTTCCTCTTCTACGCCCGTAAGTCTTTCAGACACTTAGCCAGCTCAACGGCTTTTTCTTTTATTCGTTGTAACTGACAACATCTTCCATAGCCCTCGCTGCTGTTGGCACTTGGTTTCTTCGACACCGTGCCATTGCGTTTGGCATCGTCACTGCAGGATCCAGTCTCGGTGGTGTTGCTCTCCCGATCATGGTAAATCGCCTCGTTGTGCGCATTGGCTTTGGTTGGGCAATGCGATCTGTGGCTTTCCTTTTTCTCGGACTGCTAGCTATTGCGAATCTGACTATCAAGTCGAGGCTTCCACCCCCACGAAGAAAGTTCAACCCCATGGATTTTGTTGCACCATTTAAGGAAATACCTTTCATTCTGCTCACAATTTCGGCATTCATGCTATACTTGGGTTCCTTCCTGCCCTTCAACTTCATCATTGTGCAGGCCAAAGCACTGGGTGTATCACCAAATCTGGCTCAATACATGGTTTCTATTGTAAATGCTTCATCGTAAGTCTCAGTCCTGCTCCCTTGCCCTCTCACAACTAACAATCCCTGTCAGCACCTTTGGTCGACTACTTCCGGCATACCTTGGTGACCGTATTGGTGTTTTCAACGTCATGATTCCTCTGACCGTGCTCGGTGGTATTTTTACTCTCACTGTATGGCTTACCGCAACCACCACGACATCGGTAATAGTCTACGCTGTGTTATATGGCTTCACCTCTGGCTGCACCCTTTCTATTCTCCCCGCCATGGTCGCGTCTTTCTCCGATGTGCGAAGTATTGGTACACGTAGCGGGTCTTTATATGGTGTTGCTGCTTTCGGTGCACTTGTTGGCAGCCCTATCGCTGGAGCTATCGTTGGTGATCAAGGGGGGAAGTTCTCCGGATTGATCATATTTTGCGGTGTTTCCATTCTGGTTGGGGCAGCTTTTGCTGCATTGTCCAGATACTCACTGGCAGGGCCTTCTTTAAGGAAGAAAGTATAGAAGAGCTAAACCTATGTAATGGATGTGGAGCCTGGGGCTATTACTTAGGATATTACTCATAGGCCCTTACTTATTACTAACACACACAAGACGTGATTTAGTAAAAGTTCTTAAGTTAGTGAGAATTTAGCATTCTGTTTTAATTGACTAAAGCGTTTCCTTAAACTGCATGCTTTTTATTATTTATTATTTAGTTAAGTCTAGTATTTGAGATAGCCATTATTAATATGTAAATAATTAATACGTACTATAAATTATTATTATAGACTTTTTATGAAACTTTTTAATATAATCTGTGTACAGGTTACTCTCATTCACTGAATATTATTAATTTTACGGCCTATATTTAAATCCAACATGAAATTCCTTGTAGTGTTTAGTTAGAAGGAAAACTAAAGCTTATTAATTACTGTAGACTTAGTTTATTATTTACTTTACAAAATACTAATGCCTTTTTATTACCTGCTTAAGATAATACATAAGCTACGAATTAAAATAGGGTAAAATCATTAGGGCTCTCTTTAGCATATAGTTAAAGCCAATTGGGTCTTGTGTTTTCTAGTTCATGCTTTTTTGCTTAACTCTTAACAATCCGTTCGTCTCTAGAACCTCAACCCATTTTAAAGTCTGTATACCTGCCTAACTCTGTTAACTCTTTCGCTTTGGTTGACATCCTCCCTGAATCTACACCTGCATAGAACTGTGCAGATGGCAGCCCTTTTGTCTTCAGAGCAAGTGAGTGTTCCAATAAGAACCTCACCATCCATCCGTCTAGCTTGTGGGACTCTTTTGACAAGAGGCAGATGTTCTGAAAAGTTATCAACCTATTAATCTGAGACTAGTCAGCGACACGGTGTCTGTTAATACTGGGGGAGATTAGTGGTCACCATAGCTTCGGTTACTGGCCATCGTTTCAGAAGCTCCATGAGGGCCTCGAAATTGGTGTTGAGCTCTCGGCGTGCTTTTTGAAGTTCTTGCGATTCGCCGAATAGAAGAGTATGTACTAAGACAGACGAAGAAACGGCCGTCATGTGGCCGATGCAAGAGTAGTCGACTCCACAGCCCTTCACTTGGTGGGAAAGGTGAAGAAGGCTGCTAAAGGACGAAGCATGGTGTTTGCAGCGTGTTATGTATTGTGTGGAAGAAGGTGCATTTTGGCTTTCCAGGAATCGGAAATACAATAATGTTGAGTAATAGTGATAAGTAAGGTGCAGGGTAACAAATGGCCCCCCCAAACCATTCTGTTGTTGGTAGTAGAGGTTTTGAACTGTCATCTGAGCGGTGCATGGAAGCATTTCGCTCCATGCATCCAGCTGTTGGCTCAGGCTCTCGACCGCCTTGTCGAGTTTGAGAATGTCGGTGTCACCTTTAGCAATACGGCGGTTTAGATCCTGGATGGGACCGAAAAACCGGACGAGTCTTACCATGTGGGCCCAGAGACCTGGCTTCCATTGTGCTAGCGGTGTTTCATGGTTGGGTAACAGAGAGTGAAAGGTTATCTCGTCCATAGGTAAGTCATACGAACCGTCAAGGCCTTCCGTAGGGCGGGGCATGCCTAGCGCCGAGAAACACCAATGGTCTGCCATACAGAGCGACCACCAGATTCTCCGTTTAATCTCGCGCATAATAATGGATTCATCGGTATCAGTAGACGCAATGTGCATGATTTCGGCCATGCTTATAGCTATGCCTACTTGCCATTAGCAGATGATCTCGGCAGATACTCTTCAGGCCGCGTCGTTAGAGCTGCGTCATCGGCAAATGGGTATCTTACGAACGAATAGGGCTTCAGAAGAGGTTTGACTGTTACCAGCACATATGGTTGCCACAAGAATGCACGTTTGGATGTTTTCAACGCAGATGTTCTCAATGTCGGCTTGTAGTAGGCTCTTTGCCTGTTCGGTGAGGCGTGCTTCGAGAGCTTTTCTGTCCGGATCTGGAGAAAATTTGGAGCCGATGGCGCAAATAGCACACAGCAACGCCCCGGGCACAGTACCCTCATGAAGCTGGGTCCGCAACGTGGGCGGATGGAAGATGCTATGGGGTCGGTGATGAACCATATCCAGGTAGAGATCAACGAGCTCCTGTGTGGTGTTCCATGGCAGGCCAGCTGCATTGTTGTATGCTGTGTGACTCGGGCTGGATTGTGCGGCCTGCTTATCTTTGCCGACCGGCGACAAGGCCGCAGACTCGGGGTCAACGATGTAGCTCTGCAACTCGGCACTGCACTTTCGGCCTCTTTCCATACACGAGTTGCAGGGCTGGCCAGGGCCGGGACGGACGCATTTGCGCTTAGACCCGCGGCATTGATAGCATGCTCTTGGGGCTTTCATTGTCCCAGAGCCAAGGGATCCGCACGAGTTGGAACAAGTTTCACTCAGCTGTATTGGTATTGTAATTGTAAGCGAAAAGGAAGTGCCGCACCATTACACTTTAAGAGCGGAATCACCATGCGGATTACCTTTGATCTGTGGCGGCATCTGCTGCGGGAATCGAAGGTTCTTATTGGCTTGGGGGGTTGAGGGGCCTTCGTAACTCCGGGATGAAGCTCCGCTATGATCGGAATAGCTAGCATATCATTGGACAGCTGGATTTAGGTGCCCATTATGTCACGGTTTTCAGAACCAGCTCTGCCTGTTCTGGGTTCATGTTTGTAAGATGTGTGGGCGTATGGATACCTGAAAAGGATTAAGCAAGCATCCGGCTTGTCGGATTGACCACGGCCTCACTGCCATGTCCCGGGTACATAAGAATGCTTCTAACCCTACTTTCATCCTTGAGGGGCTACTACCCCTTTATTGCTCATTTACCGTTACTGGGAATCGTCTAAAGAAAAGCTGCTCTTACCCATCAACCTTTTTCATACGCCAGAAAACAGAAAAAGCCCTGACATGTCGAGCCTTCTCGAGCCCATCACCATCGGCGGCAAGCTCGCGCTGAGAAATCGCATCGTCATGGGTTCTATGACACGCAACCGCTGTTTGGACGCGTACAAGCCTGGCCCAGCCCAGGTAAAGCACTACGCTGATAGAGCTCGGGACGGAACTGGTTTGATTGTGACTGAGGGCACTTTTGTTGATTGGACCGGCTGCGACTGGAGTTACTCGCCATTCATGATCAACGACCACCATTCTAGGGCTTGGCGAAAAGTTACAGATGCTGTGCATGAAGTGGGAGGCAAGATATTCTTCCAGGCCTGGCATGCAGGTATGTTCAAGCCAACCATATGCCAAGAGCTGCCAGTCCTACTAACCTCTCCCACCAGGTCGCTGTCAGCATGATCAGATGCCTATCATGAAGGAACATGGTGGCCGAGTCTTGGCGCCTTCGAGCATCAAAGCCGATGCAGGTAAATATCGTGCTTTGCAAGGTGCTACAGTACGCCTCACCGAATTCTGCAATGCATGGCAAGGGAGTTAATGGCTTCATTCAGGGATACACCGAAAACGTCGAGGAAATTAAGGATCCGCGGGAGGTCGTTGAAACCTATAGACGTTCCATGCAACTCGCTAAAAAGGCGGGCTTTGACGGCGTTGAGCTGTTGGCTCAAGGGTAAGACCAACCCTGATTACCCGTCCGGCAATAGAGATTGGTGCTTACAGAACCATTTTAGCGGGTACTTGCCACAGCAGTTCCTCAATACGTAAGTCAATCATTGTCTACGGCTCATCTTCTGGCCTTTGAGCTAAGTGTAAAAACAGGCGTGCGAACAAGCGGATAGATTCTTATGGTGGCTCAGTGGAAAACAGGTCCCGTTTTCTTCTTCAGGTCGTCGAGGCTGCAAGTCAAGTATTTGGCGGATCCGGATTTGTCTGTGTCAAGCTCAACCCTACGGATTTCTACAATGATTCAATTGTAGACTTTGACGAGATGAAAGACACATACAACTACTTGATCAAAGAGCTAGTGTCCCTCAAGGTTGGAATCGTTAACCTCTCTCGGCGTGGTATCGATTCAAATGCGGGAACCGGTGACTTCTTCGGTCGAAGTGACCGCCCTTCTGGATACCCTCTACCCCCAGGCTACGATCCGGTACTTGATTTCGGGAGACTGGTCAAGTTCCCGGGAAGCCCTTCCATGCTCATGGCCAACCATGACTACACAGTAGAGGAGGCCGACAGATTGGTCAAAGAAGGCAAACTTGATATGATTACATTCGGCAGACCCTTCATCTATAATCCCGTAAGTAGGGCCAATATCCTATTTCGACCCTTACTATCGTCTAACTAAAGTTATCAGGATGTCGTCACCCGTATTCAACATGGAATTCCTCTCGCTACCAACGATCGCGGCCCGACTGTCCACTATGGACCGTATAAGACACCTGACGAAAACTACAACGACTGGCCGGCTGCTAAGATCTAGCTCCATAATCTGGTGAAGGAAGCATAGACATGAGAGTACATGAATTCCGTCGTCCTGGTGATTGAAATAATGGTACTATAGCGTGGGTATCTACTTGCGCTAGAATTAGGTGACAATACCAGAGGGTTGAAATCTTCAAGACTAGGAGAAAAGGTCTTGTATTTTTATCTGATTCTCTATAAAGATAGAATAAATACAGATATAGAAGTAGTCAATTCAATCACTATTTGCATTGACCCCCTACTTGTACTGGAGTATATATAAGATTGAGTTTCTAAGATTTGCTGGAGCTCAGACAAGGGATAGGTCATCCTGACCCGTTGCTTGGCTTGACCAAATAGACAGAATTTTCAACAGCAACAGACCCATCTTCCTCCACCAGCCACCGAAGCTCACCCACGAATTCTGACCGTTCCACCCACTTCAAGTCAGGGTGGCTGGTCTCTAGTATGGGGGAGCTCAGCCAATAATTCTCACCAAACTCGAGAGTTCGAGCCTTGGGCCCCTTGGTAAAAACCTCCATCCACTTTTCATCAATCTGCAACACGCCCTTGAAGTAGACATAGAGACCTTGTCCTTCCTTAGAACGAAATTGAACTCTGACATCGAGATGGCCAGTATTTGTGTCTGGATCACGCTGAACACTATTAGTATGGGGCTTTTCTTCTTTTTTCCCTTTACTCAAAAACTTACCAAGATCCAATCGGCACCACCAGGTAGGAGTTCTGCCTCAAAGCCACTGCCCTTGATGTGGCCATGGGTCAAGAATGCGATAATGCGATGGGCATTGCTTTTGGCCTGCGGGATCACAAGAGCTTTCTCAGGGGCGGTATATAGCCGCATTGTGAAAACATGCTCGAGTGATGGTGTCATGGTAAAGTTTGTTTATGAGAGAAGTGTTAATGATCCACGATAACTGTATTATGATGTCTGGACTCTTCGGGCGTTGTAAGATTCGTGACACCGTCACACCCTTATATCCATGATCAGATGGAACTGGTCGTAAGGGCAGTAATGGCGGGATTTTGGCTTACTCATTTTGTGAAACCCAGTCCACAGGGTATTGGTTGTGTAGCTACCCAGTTGTAAGAATTGAAACATGCTGCTGACTAAATTTCGAGGACGTGTAGAGACGAGGCGGCATGGTCACTAATCAACATGGCTGTTCTTCCCACAAGACGCCGCTTATGCAAATACATAATTAATCGGCGACAAGGTATTTAAGGGGCCCACAACGGCATTACTCATTCTACCAGGAATAACGAGGTAGGCATAGACTAAGGAATGCAGTTTCTAACTGAATATTAAATGTTTAAGACATTTCATGTTAGTAATTGAGCACCTTCCTACAATGAATAACACAATAAAATACCGTGCGAATATATAAAGATATTTCAAGACATTACATTACATTGCTTCTAAAATCCTCAAGAAAAGAGTAGCATTTTTAATTACTGTAATACAATTTTGCCTATTAATGAGTCCCATAACACATCTCACGGCTGTCAAGTTCAGGCCGCAAGACGTTATCGCCCATCTCATAAGGGGATACTGCAGGGACAGGGGCACATTCCGTGGTTTGCTCCATCTCAGATGCTACTCCGTTACCGACTTGCCTAGGCGTAGAAATCGCGTTGCGCGGTCTCTTCTTACGCCGCCAGAGGAACAATATGGCTGCGGATAGAAGAATCGCCAAACCTACAATGGGGAGAATAACAGCAAGAACGATCGTGGCGTCTTTTGACAAACCGGAGCTTGAGTCTGTTTCGTCATTCGTCGGGGCTGTTGCTAGTGCGGTATGATCGGAAGTTTGCTCAGCTTGTAGCGGTCCGACGATATATGTTGTCGGGGTTTCACCGCAGCCCCAGGAAGTAAGCTTGGCATTGTCGTCAGAAGCGGTTTGGTAAATGAAGTAGAGGCACCGCAACGAGGCTCCATAGGTGCTAAGAGTGGTTGTCAATCTTGAATATCACACTCAGCAGCAGTCCTACCATTTCATGATTGGAGATTTAGGACAGAGTGAGGCAGCAGTGCCTCCACAATCGGGAGCTGAAGCATCCTCACATGTAGCAGGGATGTAACAGCTTGTCTCATCGCAACAGCCCCATGACTTGCCGCCGCTGGGAGTGCTGCAGGTGGATGGTGAAGCGCAGCCTGCCTTGTAGTCTTTACAATAGTGAATGGCAGCAATTAGCCGGTCTGACTCTGTGTCTCAGCTATAATGGCAGATACCTACCCGGATTGTTAGAAAAGTAGCCACAGATTTGTATATCTGTAGTTGCCTTGCGTGCCTCCACTTGGACGGCGTCGGGTTCGTGTGTGTAAGGCAGGATGTTTTCCCACTGTCGGATTTCGTCCATCTTGCCAGCACCCTCAACGTGAGGCCAGCTGAAACTAATGTGTTTAAACTGTGTGTTATGAAACCGATCTCGGCTCGTAATCTTATAACTGTCAGAGTAATTTATAAAAAGGCGAAGACATCAACCTCCGATATTTGACGGCGGTCTCAAGCATACAATCACATGTCAAAGTTTTAGGATTACCCAGACCTATTAAATCAGCTTTGCTGAAATCAGTGGTCTCCACTAACTAACGTTAGTTAGTACCTTTTTGTCAAAGTAGAAGTCACGCAACCTTCGGTCTTTAGAAAGGAACTTGATCTTCTGTCAACTTTGGGCCCCCAAACAAACAGAATGCCGAATTCCTGCCATCGAGGCTGGTGTCGATGGCGTCGAGCTCCATGGGCCAGACGGATACGTAGGTGTAAAAACTCAATTCTGGCTCTGGAATCGAACAGTACTGACTCTTACTGTGGCCTAGATTATTGACCAATTTGTTCCCTGCGCTCAGCAGGCTATTGTCAATTCTCAGCCTTCCATCGCCTACATCTATGCTGTTGAACCGCGTGCAGATAACGCAATCGACACATCAGAGCGTTTACGAGGACAGGAAGATACACTGGCGTCAATTCGAGATGTTGTAATTCGAGCAGGAGTCAACTTCATTATTGCTGAAGGGTTTACTCCCGAAAAGGCCCCGGAGCATAGCAGCGAGACGTTTGATCTTGTGGCCTTAGGACGACACTCTATCCGTAAGCTATGACCTTGCAGCTATGCTACCCATAACGTGGTTGATATCAGGGCCATAATGGAAGGGTGGAGAAACGTATTCCATGGAGAAAAGGTATAAATCGCACTGCTTAAAGGTAGGATTGCTTATAATACTATACTTTCTCTGTCTACAGTTTATTTAATATAGGTATGTGTTTACGATCTAATAGGTTTGCCACCTTTAGGGTAGTTACTAAGAGAGATTTGGTAATTTGTTAAAATGTGTTTGCTAACAGTTTACATAATAATATATGCTCTTTAGTAGTTATTTCAAAAAAGTTGTCTAAGAAAGTATAAAAGTAAAATACCACTAATTAATATCTTCATGATTTTAAAGTAACAAAATATATGATCGCTTTCGGACTCCTTCCATATATTTGTTAGCGGGAAAATAAAAATAGTTCACTCTCAGCCTTTAGTTAGCACAGCACAGAACTAAATTATATAAGGACATGTGCAATATAGTATTAAATCTCAATCCATTAGTTCTCCCTAGCTTGTTAAGCCTGTGTGTGAACCTGAAGACATCGATGACATAGGCCTCGGCCGGAGGTACTCAGTAAGCCGCAATCAGGTGGTGCAGTCAGTAAGCAACAGTAAAAAAGAGACAAGAATCGTAGGTGAGTAATCACCCCGACAGCCACTGACATCATATAATTATGGCACTGAAATATATATACCATTCTAATATGTATCTCGCCATTGAGATCCTTATTATCAATTGCCATCGAACTCTACACTGAGATCTCATTTAAAATTCACTCTTATTATGTCAACTCAACAGACAGCAAAGACGCGCTATGTCACGTCACCAAATGGTCCCAAGTTCGCTTACCGGCAAATTGGGGCCGCTCTTGGTGTGCCGCTTATCGTTTTGACCCACTTTCGTGGTACCATGGACAAATGGGATCCTCTTATTATAAACACCCTGGCCGCTAAACGCCGGGTTATCACGGTCGATTACCTTGGCGTGGGTTTGAGTACTGGTGAAGTAGCTACCTCGATTCGACAATCAGCAGCCGACATTTCGCTGTCTTTTGAATTAATTAAGGAGGCTGAAGTGGACTTTCTGGGGTTTAGCATTGGAGGATCTGTTGCTCAGATGGTGGCACTTAATTCCGAGCCCAACAAATTCAAGGTGCGCAAGTTGATTCTTGCTGGGACTGGCACCAGTCACTGACCAGAGCTAGCTCTATCTCCTAACGACGATGTCGGCTCTGTTGCTGGAGTGAAAGATGTGAACATCGACGTGTTCAAAACCCTTTTTTTGCCAAGAACGACCAAGGCGACGCTGCAGCAGAGGCTTGGTGGACACGAATCCACGAGCGCAGTTCCTCGAGTTGTGGTGAGGATGTCTCTGAGTGGCTCAGCAGTGGCTACAAAAACCAGGGCAAGAGTATCAAAGGCCAAGCCACGCAGGGTCATAACTTTACTATCAGTGCAGACTCGAGCGAGGGTGTTGAGGGCGCTTATAATCGTTTGGGAGATATTAAAATTCCCGTTTTGGTAGCAAATGGAAGTGTAAGTACTACCTTTCCAGCCTCTACATTCACCCTGCTTACGTGCATGAATAGAATGACTACATGATCCCCACATCAAACAGCTACCTGATTTACCAGAAGGCCCCAAATTGCCAGATCATCCTCTACCCGAACAGTGGTCACGGGTTCCTATTCCAGTATGCCACAACCTTTGTTAAACACGTTGAACTTTTCTTGGAGGCTTGAATAGATCACGGCATAACGTGCCGTCAGGGAGACAAGGTTATTTGCGAGTGGTTTCTCATCCACAGAACTTGGTAGTAAACAATGGAAAGCTCATCCTAACTAGAATACCGCATATCGGCCTTACATTCTTGTCTGAATTGTAATCCTTTCAGTTGCGAATTTCTTCAATTTAACTAGTTGTTGCACTAAGTTACCATGGGTTCTGAGCCAGTTCAACCGTCTTTTCAGTAACTGTAAAGCCTATTCTTATTCATCCTGAACAATTGCCAACTTCAGCGCCTTACGGATATCCAAGGGGCGGACTGCAGGGGTTCTTCCCAAGCAAACTGTCGACGTAACCAGATCTTCCAGTGTCAGTAAGTCTAAAGAGAAGGGTGTTAGAGTGTGCCTTACATGTAATGAGCCGTTCCACGTCAACCTTGACCTTTGTATCTCTCTTGAAAGGAGTCTTCCAGTGCTCCTCTGATGTTGGCTTTGGGGGCGGAGGCATTGCCCCCATAGCCATACCCACCATACCAGCAGGACAATGAAAGGCTACGTCTTCCACTTGTGGTTCTTCGCCTATGATATACTCAATGTCGTCGCTGCTGATCGGTCTGTCTACAGGCTGGTTTGACCCAGAACTTGGCTCGAACATGGCCATGTCGATATGAGCAGTGACAAAGTCTTTGCTGGGTGGAATTGTCACTCCATACCCACGAAGACAAATTTCGATCTCATCCGAGTCAAAGAAGTCTCCGTCATACTCTCTATCAATGATACGTAGCTGAGGGTTTAGGCGTAGATCTCGAACCTCTTCCACAGATGGTCCAAAAGGCCCCATCGAGAAGCCAGACATTTCTGACGGTCTGTAGACCTCGTTTGGTAGAGATAGGTTTCCCACTGGCAGCCCACCAGTACCATAGCCGTGTTCCTGGGGGTAGAAAAGCCCTGATCCGCCAATATTAGTGAAAGGATACTTCCAATTATTCAACGTCGTATCCTGGCATTTACGCACTGACTCTCTCAAGCGCGCAGTGATCTCGTCCCGGGTCTCGAAATGCAGACAGAAGCCAAACACCTTTCGATACCATGTGGGAGGAGAATGTTTCATAGATGCTAGAAGGAAACCAGCTTCTTGTGAGGCCCTATGTAGTCGACGCCCGAAAGTATGCTCCTGTGCGGCATATGACCGAGGACAGGGCAGCGAAGAGTCGATGGTTGATCCTGGGAGCTGGTACATGCTGTAAAACTGTTGATTGGATGGTGCCTGGAAGTAGGAGTGTGCGTTGAAGGAATAAGGCGTTGAGTCGAAATTAGAGTTCGAGCAGGGCTGTGAGTCGACGGTTGTATTAAAAAGATCTCCACCGTGGACCTGGGTAGCAGGATCTAGTATAGGAAGGTCAAAGCCTTCGGTTTGCTCCAGAGGTGGGGAAACGTCATCCAGGACAGTTGTTTGAAGATCTATCACTGGTGTGATTCCCTGTGTATCTTGACCACGAGCCTCATCGATATCATCAGGCTCTCCAGCACTAGAGATCAATGTGATGGTAGAATGCTTGATGTGCTTAATGATGTCGGGGCATTGCTTGATGGCATCTTGCTCTAGTATCACTGAGGTGAAGTTGACAAACTCTCTCCCCATCTCCTCTTTAGACTTCTCCAGTTCTTGGATTTTCCTTTTCAGAATGTCGATTGCCGACTCTTTGCGCTGGCGATAAGCGCGTTGAGCCATCCGATTCTGCATACGTCGGCGCTGAATAATCAGTCAGAGACATTCCAACAATCGCTAAACCCAGGTGTCAAGCTCTGGATTACTGATCAAGTTCTTGTGTCGGACGATTTCCAGTGTATGAGTTACTTACGTTTGTAACTGACCCCCCATCCTCCGCTTCTAGAGGACGTCTTCCCCTTTTGGACCCCATTGCCGAGTCTCCCTCTCGGCTGGGATTGGAATCTGAGCTAGACATGGTAGGACTCATATTCTCGGTAATGCTACTGTGAACAGTCCGATAAAGACGAACAGATCCGACAGCCTTGTCGGGCTAATAACTAAGGTTGCGGGACTCGACTGTGCAAAAGACGTCAGAAGATATGACAACCCAACACGCCGATCGTAGGAACATATATTCATCAATATCGCATAGCCACAGTTAGGTGCGGCATAGAAGGGCGGCCCGCAAGACGACGAGAACGACATTAGAACTATCAGTATGACCTATTAGAAGAGATACCGCCCGTGACTAAGTGATTACAGATCCCGACTACCACTTGTGCGGTGCTCCACCAAGACGCCGGCAGCTAAAGCAGCTGAAAGAATGGAAGCCGAGGGCAAGCATGATGGTCAATACTGCGTTGTCGGATTACAGAGTTAACATGCATGTTATCGTCCAATCGTATGCCTTCTTCCGTAGCAAGCGACATAGCTCATGTAGCATGGTTAGGTTATGATAACACGATGTTGATATGCGAATAGGCTTCAAGACTTTCTGTTGAGTCGAGCTCATCTTACGTCAGATTATGGGCTATTTACATGCAGCGAATCGCACGATGGCGCAATCCGGCGTCTCGTATTCAAGTCACCGGCGTGTTAGTCAAAGGCCGGCGGTGCCACTACCCACGACGCCACGCGGAATATAACTTTATTCTTGGTATTGAAGATAGTAGTTCCGTTGTGCCTTAAATCTGCCCTACAAGGCGATATGCAGTACCGTGCTGTGGCCCACTGAAATTTAGTACTGTAGCGGACTACAACCACTACAAGATAAGATTACACTCCGCCCAAGCAACTATCTGCCAGAGGATAGAAAATAATACAATACATTACTACTATAGCTACTCACACCACGCGAAGTACAAGCACAGGTAGGCAAGTAATTAATATAAATATAATCACATTCAAAGGTGGAAAACTTCCAGAATATATCCTAAACCCTTAAATCCTCACCAGCCTAACTGGGCATTTCTAAGACAGCTCTGTACCTCATTTTATTCTGTTCGACAAGCGTAAATATTTCTTGAATAGTTGAAGCACCTTTATGCTCGAAGACCTGGACCATAGGCTTAATACCATGTCGGCCTGAAAATTCAAGCATCTCGTCGTGAATGTTTCGGGACCCTACTAGGCTTGAGAATACATGATACCCTTGGAAGAACATTGATCCAGCGCTAGAGAAAGTGTCAGCTTTGAAGATGCCACAGGATGAGGAGAATCACACTTACGGGAGGCTGAGGGGACCCTGTACGGGAGCGGCCAGAGGGACGATAATGCCGTCTCTGGCGAGAAAGTCTTTGGTCATGACACTAGATAGTGCGTTGGTTAGTATGGAATATAAGCAATCGGGAGGAATACTGACCGATCCCAGTCTGGATATTTCGTCCCACAAATGACCAGAACGTCGATAGGTGCCTTGATCTCACTAAACATATTTCCAATGAGATGAAACTCCTTTGCACCTAGTTGTCGTGCCTCAGATTCCTTGCTAGCACTCGTGCTGTAGATGACAACTTCAGCGCCCATTTTGTCTGCGTATTGGATGGCAAGATGACCAAGACCACCGATACCCAGGATACCAACTCTTTTGTCTGTGGTGACTGTAGCCTCGAGGGCTGCATAGACGGTTGCACCAGCACATTGGAGGGGCGCTGCATGCTCACTGGCAAGACTGCCGGGAATCTTGTGAAGAAATGTCTCCTTGCCGATGTAGTACTTGCTAAAGGTCCCATTGTCGAAGTCACCCTCGCCAAAGATGACACGTTCGTAGCAGTAAATATCTCGTCCAGACAAGCAATACTTGCAGTGACCACAGGCGTCTCGGTGGAATCCACCTCCGGCTCGATCGCCGATTTTGAACTGTGTAACGAGAGAGCCCACGGCTTCGACAATTCCAACTCCTTCATGGCCAAGAGCTATCGGGGCACCTAATTGGCAGAAGGTGATGTCTGTGTGGCAGACACCGCTGTGGGTGACGCGAATAAGAATGTCATGAGGGCCGAGTTCAGGTACCTTTGCCGATGCTGTGGAGAAGCCGCCACTGCCATCGCCAGAGCGGTAGACAGTGTACTCTAACCCATTTACAGCTTGAGTTGGCATCTTAGTAAAATAGAAGATAGGTAGTAAAATTTGGGAATAATAATTATGCCCAGTAGAGAAAGACAGGATGTGACAGGAACAAAGTATTTATAGACTGCTTTAAAGGTCTTTAGTGGTTTTTTACTTATATTGAAGTTTTAGGTTACTTCTAATAAAAGAGTTAAGTCTAAAACCACACTATACACATGCTCACCAGAAAGCATCTCCAGGTACTCCGTCTTCAGCTTGTTAATTACTAATTGTTGCTTTTTGGTGTGTTACATTCACTTCGGAGGTTTTTAGTAATTACTAGCTGAGCCGGAGCTATTACGCTAGACAAGCAGCGTCTAGGCTTTGGGCTTAGTTCCAAACCTTGCCAGTAATCATGTCCGATGCGTTAATAGCTAAGCCAGTAGGCAAACTTGGTGTGCTGACAATAGGCGAAATACAGTGGGTAACATACGATGATCTCAACCGGAGCAGACACTAAGCCAGCGAACAAGGGTGTAATCACTAAGCTGCAGTATTAATTAATAAAAGTATCACCAGAGTATGTAATAAAATACATATATAGCACAGTGTTCGAGGTTTTGCTAAATCTGATATCGATCATTGTCAATTTATTGTATTTGTCATATTCATCCTATTGCCCTCATTCTTCACTTCAGACATGTCTTCGCCCTTTAAAAGAATTCTTGTGGTTGGTGCCACAGGCTCTATTGGGTCCATTATGCTACAAGCATTGGCCAAAGAGTCTTCTTTTACAGTCTCGGCCTTGCAACGGGCGTCTTCGCAAGGGAAACTACCCTTAAATGTTCGAGTTATTACAATTGAAGATTCATACCCATCAGATGCCCTCCTTGCTGCATTCTCTGGCCAAGATGTCGTTGTTAACTGCATGACATCCCTGGCCGTCACCGACCAGTTTCGATTTGTTGACGCCGCGGTCGACGCCAAAGTCAAGCGATACGTGGCCTCAGAATATGGTCTCAACAACAACAACCCAGAAGCAAGAGCACTCAACTCAGTCTTTCGTGAAAAGGGCGAGATCCAAGACTACCTCCGTTCCAAGGAAGCAACAGGCCTTGAATGGATGTCTATCGCTTGCGGCATGTGGATCAAATGGAGCGCAATCCATGATTTTCTAGGGATGCACATCAACGAGAAGAGGTTTGTGCTATGGGACGATGGCAACGGCTGGTTCAGCACTACCACCGAAGACAACACAGCTCTTGCCATGGTTAACGCCTTGAGCAAGAAGTGGGAGGATACAAAGAACAAAGTTATTTGGCTGAGTGATTTCGCTATCACCCAGAACACGTTGCTTGAGACTATTGAGCGAGTAGGTGGGCAGAAGCTTGTTGTTGAAAACGTCGACAGTCACCAGCTTATCAAGGAGAAGCAAGCCGAGGTGGTGGCTGGAGATCCATATGCGATTTATTCTTTGATTGAGACTGGTTTTGTCACTGGAAGATTTGGAGGACACCTTGAGAAGGAGGGAACAATTATGAATGAGGTTCTAGGTTTGCCGAAGAAGAATCTGGATGACGTTGTGAGGGAGGCTCTAAAGGCTGTAAAGGCTTAATTAGATAGTACGATATATACAAGCTAACAACATTTCAAGATGCTTTTGAAATAGATCTAAAAAAATAACGAGTTTAAATATTGATAAAAACAGAGCCTTTACTGCTATTGAAAATATAAAAACAATACGTTGTCCTAAGATTATTATTTAAAATATGGAATTTACTACTCCTTTATGCACTACTAACTGTTGCTTTTAATCTTAGTGTCTAGCTGTATAGAGGGTTATTAAATGTCGTAACTGTATTCTCTTAGTAAATCCTTATAGTAGGTAAGGCAGCGCGACACGAAGTTAACCTCAGAGATCCTTCAGGACTTACCGTAGAGGTACATTTATACGGGCAATAAGAATTACAGACCCAAGGGTGAAGTATCTTAGCCTATCCGAGTAGTTCAAACATAAGATTTTATTTGTTAAAATAAGTAGTGCATTCTAGTAAATAGTGGCTCTTATTGACTAATTAATGGGGCTGGATAAATATACCAGGCTCGTCCCATGGAACCAGCCCCGCATCGAAGTACCTGGAATTGATAAATCCATTATCCAGCATCAGATTGAATTCTTCGTAGGTTTCTGGAATGAGTGTATCCATTCCATCAGACTGCTCAACCGCTTGAACGTCGAGACCAGCGTACTCGTCCTGCTCAGTGTGCATTCTTGCACCAGAGAAGAACATTGATCTATTAAGCTGATCTTCGATCCATAACATGCTTGAGCTTGATGGATCCTCTTGCATATCTCGTGGGGCTGTAGGGCCATTCTCAAATGGGGCACTGCCATTCTTCAGGCGGCAAACAATTGCCAACAGCAAATGTGCCTGGACGGACACAGAGTTCATACTGGTGTTATAGACGCTTGACTCTGGATTTCCCATTGACTTAGCTGCAATATCGTAGACCGAAGCTACTTGGTTAAGGATACCAAGAGCTTTATGTCTTGGAATAATAGTCCCATCGACGTCTTGTGTTATTAGTTTCGGTATCATCATTGAAGCATACGCAATCATATGATGGGCAATTTCCCAGAGGTAGGAGATGATATCCATTTCGCCCATCTCAATTGCTTGCTGTAGCACGCCCAGTGCACTTGAGTAGCATATACTAGTTGTGCGTGTTATTTCGTCAGCGAGCGATAACCTGCTCTCGGAAATAAGCATCCGATGTAGAAAGACCGAATTGAAATAAAGACGCATGTAGTCTCTATAGAGATAGATAAGAGGCGTTTGGAAGGAGTCTGGTGTAAAAGTCATACATGAGTTCTCTGAGCAGTAAGGAGTGACCAAACTTACACGTTGAGAAAGCAGAGCGCCAATACTCCCCCCAAGTGGCAATCTGGTCATTGAAATCAGACACATCATTCCGAAAACTATTAAAATCGGCGAGAGATAGTATTGTCGACTCAGCTCGAGTCTTTATCATGCTGTTAAACACCTTTCTAACTATCAGTGCCAGCTCATGATCTCCTGTGGCCTTTGCGTCTCCCAAGAGATATGTCCACTTTGTAAAAGACATCCAGTCTCGAGATACCACATGATCGTGGATGGAATTTGGTATTAAACGTCTATCAGTAGTATAGCTCGATCTGTTTTCTGGTTAGCTGTTATTTCCCCCACCCTGAGAGAATCAAATTGAGTATTTACAGTTTGTCGATATTGCGAAGCGCTAACCAAAGTCTTTGTTCGTCCCGTCTCTGTCGAACCTGAAGCACAGTTGACGCATCAAGACCCTCAGCATGGCATGAGACACTTGGAGGTGTGTTATACCAATAAGCAGAAGATGCCATACGAAGAGCAAACCCAATTAAGGTATACCCTCTAGTATCATCAGTGTCGTTCCAGTGATACAAACAGATGATTGCCCAGATATTTTCTACCGCGGAATCACAAGCAACAAGAACTCTACCAAGCAATAATTCAGCGTGGTCGTGAAGTTTTCTATGCGATTCGGGCTGGAATATCCTCGACGAAATGGTCAAAATCATCGTGAAAAGCAGATTGGATCTTGATCTCGTATAAGAGAAGGTATAGAGGCTTGGATCAAGCAGCCCTACTAGGCAATTAAAATGCTTTAGGAACCTGGTCAGAAGGGTTAGTAACGCAGATCACAACATCTTCAAACTGGAATACCCACCCTTCATATAGATTCTGTGAAGATAGCCGACTGATTAGTCCCATGTCCACAGGATCGAGCGTTGTAGGTATTAAAATTGTTTGCGGTTGACTTTGTGAGAAGCCCTCCGCGTGGCTGCTAAGATGACCCTGTAGTGGTGTATCGGAATTAACATTAGTGCCTAGGGAGAGTCCCCGGGTGTCTTGGTGGTTGGTGACAAACGAAGCAGGTGAGAATGGCGAGTTACCAGACCTTGAGGAGGTAGAAATAGATTCGAATGGTCTGCTTTGAAGGGCAGGCATTTGAAAAGTCGAAGACTGTTCAGATGACCCCTCTGCTGAATGACGCGACCCTCTTGGTTGTCCTACTGGTGACAAACCTCTATCTGCTGGGCGAGTTTGTCCCTCCCTATAAGCACAAGAGCACCTCTAGTCACTGACCCAGAACTCGTTATATTCTTTCCATACCTTCTCCCTGTCACATCTCTCCGCCAAAGACCTCGGCGATGGGACTCAAAGACGCAATATCTTTGCAATCTTTGGCAGCGATCGCAAATGTTGGACGCTGGATCTGTAGTTATACACTTCATTTTAGAACGCCGACATGGCGTACAGGCAACTCTATAGGATCTATGATACCACTAAATATCAGCCATGCGTTGTGTTTTCAATTGTTAGAAATATCTTACCGTCTTTCAGCTTGTGGTAGTGTTTGTTCAGACATAGCTAAATTGAATCTGATGAGAAATTATTGTAAGTGCCAGGAATATTCGTGTTAAAGAGTCTTTGGAGCAAACATTAAGTAAGCCACCACGCCAAGCAATCTGGCTGTAACGTACATTCCAGGCAAAATAGCCGCACTGGCCTGATCTACGCTAAGCCCTATTTTCATAACTTGGTGTAAAGTGGGTGATTACTCAACACCCCTCGCCCGGACTTATGCAATTTCGCCGCAATACTAATAGCCAGTTAACTATATATTTTTAATCATTTATCAGAACTCCGACTCTAGAACTGGTCTTGATGTCATTATATGCGTATGCGACGGTCCTCAATTTGGGGCGTTAAACAAGGATCGATACTGGTAGGGAGATCGTGATCAGTTACCAAGGCAGCTATAAGTCGTAGACAAATTTCGTAGCCACACTCGGGGTCATTATGGTATCGCACCGAAACGGCGCAAGCATTAGTAACCTCTGTGGTGGACTTCACATTGGTTAATACAATGAAATGGAAGAATTAACAATTTAATAACATAAGCAGACTTCTGAGATGAAACTCGATTTTCCGCTAACCTATAGGCTCTAGAAGAAGCCATTACGGTTCTCAATCGGTTTGTTGTCACGGTTTGTGGGTTACTTAAAGTCGAAGACCCGAATGCAGTGGGTCGTTTCGACATCCCTGTTATGTAGTGCTGGACTGGCCAATAGACGTATATTCATATACCGGGCTGGTTGAGTCTATAGAAAGGCATTAGTGCCTAAATTTTAGAATGAATGGAGAGCAGGTCAATAACACAGAACTCGTAAGGGCTACCAGGATAGGAACAGTAAGAGATTTCTTAGCGGCTTCCTCAACGTATTAGATAAGATTTGCGCTGCGGGTCAGCGCCTTTAATTCGTCATACTTACCATTCACTAGCCCAGGACATCCTTGTTGCACCTCTCTACTTGGGGTGAGCATTTTCTAAACCTCCCAGCCCAGCATTCGTAAAGACGCAACTCAAGTCAACATTATCAATGCAATCATCACTAGATCCGCCTTCAGCAGAGTGTGTTGTCTATGTTGCACCATTTCAACACGCCCCTCTTGACTCTGCGGCGCGTGAAATCAGGCTCTTGACATTGCTTCCTGGCGAACCAGGGAGTCCCCTCGTTGGAAATCTCAAGACTGTCAGCCTAAATGACAAACCTCAATATGAGGCTCTTAGCTACACGTGGGGATCTTCTGATGTGAAATACGACATGACTATTGATGGCTTGGGACTTTCGGTGGGCCATAACCTCAGAAAGGCTCTGGATGATCTGCGTTCCCTGACTGAATCTTGCGTTATCTGGAACGATGCTATTTGCATAAACCAGAGCGACCATGAGGAGAAAGGCCATCAAATTCATCTTATGAGGGCGATTTATTCCGAGTCAACTGCTGTCTGTGCCTGGATTGACCACGAGATAAATCCATTGGACCCCAGCTTCATGAGTCTTCAAGCGCTCGACAACGGCGTCCAAATTCAGGATTATAGCGCCGAGTACTGGCATCCTGTGGCAAGAATCTTTCGAAATCAATACTGGAGACGGTTGTGGGTACAGCAGGAGCTGATAATGGCACCGACGATTCATGACGTCCTGGCTGCTAAGTGCTACCATGCGAGGGAACGTCACTCGACAAGAGCCGACCGTATTGCGCGTGGAGAAAAGCCACGGAGCCGCTGGAGTGAGCTAATGACGTGGTTTCTGGATGCTATAGAGCTCGAGATGAGTGAGCCCAGGGATAGAGTCTATGGAATTCTCGGCATTACTTTAAGAGATGAGGGTCTGGAAAGCTTCGACATAAATTACAACCTGCCTGTGGCTACTGTTTACTCCCAGGTTTTTGAATTCTACATCAGAGAGACGAACAGTCTGCTGTTCTTGTGTTTTTTCCAGCTTCCCAACCGGCCACCTACGACTGGGCCAAAAGTCGCGGTTCCAACCAGGATGCCAACCGAGTATCTAATGCTGATGACCTCTCTTGCTGCTAGTGATGCATGTGGTCCTACCCTGGCTGTCAACGCTCGCATCTGCCTGGAGACGCTGGTCCTCTCCGTTGAAGGACATTGTTTGGATTCTATCTCTTGCGTTTTAGACATCAACACAGACGAGAAACCCCTCTTATCGGAATGGCTATCTCAGTTGGAAGACTTTTGTCGCAGAATTTGGCCGAATGATACAACTGAGCCGTTGTACGAGAAAGACGAAGTGAACTCTCTCTTCTTCCCCTGGATGCATCCTCAGGGTTATGTGGCGATGTGGGGCCATGAGAGACCGTCTTATGAACTGAGGCTTGCGCTAATTCGTGCCCTTGTTCAAGAAAGGCAGCTACGGATACCAGTAGACAAATCTGTAATGGCGTCTGTCCAGACGTTCAATAGTACTTCTGGCAATCGACAAATCATGTATGATTCGTGGTCTGGGAATGTTGGTAGCAAATCCTTTTTGGGGACTACAGGCGGGAGGATAGGAACAATACGCAGTAGCACCGGGATTAGAGAAGGTGATGAGTTGTGGATTGTCTTTGGGTGCTGGATGCCTTTAGTTCTTCGGCCTGTGGTGGGGAAGTCGAGGCGCTATACTCTCGTTGGGGCTTCTGAGTTTCACGGAATTATGCTGGGAGAGGGGGTTTTGTATGATGGACCAAGTGTGAAGCCAGGTGTTATGGTTGAGTTGGAGTGATGTATATGAGAAAAACACGCGGGAGCAGTTCAATGTGCGAGAGCTCGACGACCGAATCAACCAGGTCGCGCGCAAGGCACCTCCATTCTATCGGAGCTCGAGTTTATTTGAACTCTACCTATTAATGATTCCAGGCTGTCTAGTTCCGGCTCTGACGCTCAGATTTGATGACGCGATGATGAATGGACTCCAGGCGGTGCCTGCTTGGGATGGTTGTTTGTTGTTCTATGTTGTGTGATGTCTATACTGAGGTTGTTAACCATGTCGCTTAGACTTCGGACAACCACGCGGCTCGCTTCTTGGCATTTTAATCGCATTTCTACCCCTCGGGTTCGTTATTACTATACCGTTTGTAAGTTTGGTAGGTGATTCTAGTATCAATCTTAGGAGCTAGATCTTTAGCCTAAACTATTCTACTTTTACAAGACTGGTATTATTATCGCGAATAATCTAATGGAATCGTTTTCTAAAGACATTACTAGATGTTCTTAGCACTATGATTGTATTGTTAACAGAGTCTACCACAGTTTGTGTAAATCTAAGTGGAGCTTGAAAGAGAAGTCTACTCACTGCTCACTATCAGTAATACTACCTTGAAGGAGTGTTTTAATATGGTTTATATCCAACTTTTCAAGGTTGTCCCCCTTGACTGACCATCCATAAGACTCAATAAGAGCTTGAACCCCGCTTTGTAACTCTTCAACAGCATCATACTCGAATCGCCAACATTTATGGAGAATCTTTCCCATAAACTCATCCTCAAGATCAGGCAGCCAGTCTTCGTCTCTCATCAAGCGTGCGGTTTCACCTAGGCCGTGACCCATTCCTTCGCCTGGATCATAAGATGTCATGATACGGTATATCAGGGTACCAAGCATGAATATATCAGTCCCAAGTGTTGGATCCCGTACCATCCGCGACGGTGGGAGTGACTCTGGTGAGAACTCAACGCCGGTGTTGAAATCACCGCGAAATTGCCAGCCTTTTTCTGGATCACGGAAGTCTGAATATATGAAGCCCGCCAGTGATATGTCTAGGGACTCTGCGGATATCCAGCAGCTCTCCTCAAGAAAGACTCCATAAGCTATCTTATGAGAGTGTATCAACACAAGGGCTGATAGCAGCTGCAAGCTCCACTGGTAGACAAGAGGCAGAAACTCAGGCCTGACGCGATCGTTAGGTGATGTGGCCTCAGCTTTGACCGTATAAAGTTTGGACGTGTATTCATCGAAGAAATTCAAAAGTGACCCATATGTTGGTTTTTTAAGTATGGGAAGACCCGTCCAAGCATCTTGATCCAGTCGCCTGCACTTCGAATCAGTAAAGAGATCTATAGATAACTGATTGATTTTAAGAACCCACGGGACTATTCTCGGATGCTCTGTACCGATCAGGTCATAAGCATATGAAGTCTTGAAGCATTGCATAGCTTCGTAATCTTCCCGCCACAGGGCATCCGGTTCGTCAACCTCATCATCAACCCAAAACCGGCAACTAGGATGAAAGATGACAGAGTTTGCGTCCCTGGAGAAAACGTTCACACGCCCAATCGAGATGTCTCTCGGAAGGCGAACACCATTTGGGTTGGTCAATGGGATAGTTCGAGGACCTGTTGCGGTCCGATATTGGGTTTCTAGCCCTGGCTTACGCAACACGGTTCGAGCCATGGCGAAGAGAGAAAAACGGTGCAAAAAGCAATTGACGATGAAGTGTGTCAGATTTTGGTCTTACGTTCTAGTTGGGGCCATTTTAAGTCGTATAATAAAGGCGCCGCGAACATTTATCCGGGCCGCTCTGGCTTACTGTGGAGTACAACGGCAGCCAACCGCCAACAGAAACTATAACTGTTCTCATTCCCTTTCTTAGGTCCTTGGCATTTACGGATATGTTAACCCGAAAATACCCCTGTATTAATTGAAGCTGATAGCCGCCCGCCTCTCTAAACATGCTGCAAGGAGTCACACAAGCGAGTCATGTGGTGAACTGCAACGCCGTAACTGGGAACACGTTGTCCTGCACTTGTCCAAAGCTTTGTTCTTGGCGAAGCGCTTGTAGCTCTGTTTAGCCCGTCCCGTTACGTTGAGAAGATACAGAAGTCAAATTGCGATACTATTTAAGGTTGCTAATCGTTGCTCACCAAAGGAGCAGTCACAATCTTCGCTGAATCATGACAAGTGGTGAAAAGCAGATACACACAATAAACTGGGGCATTCAGAAGGAGATCAAAGCGAATGTGGCCTAGGCTAGCCGTTCAAGTACAGCCTCCGTAGTCCTTCTGGCAACCCTTTCCACAGTGCTCTGTTGACGTTTCGCAGTAGCCATACTGAGAGCAATAACCCCCAAACTGGGATCCCGCGCAAGGATTCCTCTGTCTCCGCCGCAGCTCCCATCCGAGTTGATTTTGACGCTATCCGTATCGCATTTTCCAAACTCGGGCATGCATCTGCCGTCGCAGTACGCCGAATCACTGCCACAATAGCCACTAGAAGAACAGCAATCTCCAAAACCAGAGTTCAAGAAAGTTTTGCCTTCGGTGCCTCCACATGTGCCATTTTTGCTTATGTTGGTTGGTTGTGCTATATCGCTGCTTGCTCTAGTATTAGCTGGAGGCAATAGTGGTAAGAAAGGAAGTATAGTGTGTACCTCGCTTTTGGTATATAGGAAAGGCCAAAACTACAATACTGCTGTAGATACATAGAAATCCTCTGGAAAATTAAGCATTGACGAGAAAGTTCAGCTACTTTTTGACAACGGATTGGTGGCGAACTCCGGTTATTAGACGAGACGATGTTTTCATTCCACATATTAAAGTAAGTACATGATTTGAAGTCTCTAAAAGTCTTCATAGGTCGCTGATAGCGATAGATGTCCGATGGCCCAAACGGCGCCCAAGGCGAGAGCTACGTAAGCGGTATCATGGCTGTTTGCTTTCTATGTTCTACTTGTGTCGGAGCTACCTAGGATAAAGATATGGTATATCGTTTAGGTAAAGAAGTTGCTCAAGAAATTAAGGCCAAGTCGGCTAATGTCCACCTTGCCCCAAGACACTTAATGGCATAATCGCTTCTATCTAACACAGGACTTCTATAGGCGGCCGTAATTATAAGACGTACTCTCAGGACCCTTACATACTCAGCACGATAGGAGCTGTATTTATTAATGGTGAGCTGAAACCACTTTTCAGGCTGTTATTTATTCGAATGCAGCTCTAGGATGCCAGTCTAAGGGAATTGCAGTAATGCCCAAGCATTTCATGGCTGATGATTCCCAAAAGGCTAGGACAAAAATAATATCTAACGTTAACGAGAGAACACTAAGGGAGATATACATACTTCCATTCCAGGTTGTAATATGTCACTCCGATCCGTTGTGTTTAATAACATTGTAAGGTTCTAATATGTATTCCCTAGGAAATAAGTACTAACACACGTAAGTTATAGTTAAGTCAATGGCGAGTATTACGCGAATAGTAAACGTCTTATTAATGATATCTTGCGTAAAGAACGAAGCTTCTCTGGAGCTATTATTTCGGACTGGCTGGGAATATATTTAACATCCAAGGCGGTAATTACAGGACTAGATCTCGAGATGCCCGGTCTAACCCGGTGGAGAGGATAAAAGCTACTTAAAGAGCTCTAAGAGGGCAAGATATACAAAGAATACATCGACCAAAGCGTGCAATATATATTAAAACTTGTAACAAAGACAGGGCGATTTAAAGATCATATAGAACAGCCAGAGAAATCCATCCCAACCGCAAACACCCAGCGATTTATCAATGATCTCGCCGCAGAGGGACTTATACTGCTCAAAAACGAAAACCTAGTGATACCCATTAACCCAAATACCTCAGTTGCACTTATTAGCCATCACGCAACGAATCCTTGCATTGGGGGTGGCGGCAGTGCCAAGGTTCTCACTCATTATATCATTTCGCCCCTCTAAGGACTCGAGGACGCCAGACTTAAGTTTAGATACTCGCCTGGTATTCCAAAGACTAATATTCCCTGATTATAGCTATCACAGCACGCAACACAAGAACTATTGTCGTCAACTTTTCAAGAGCGCCGGTCACCTTGTCACCTTTTCTCAACCAAGTCGCGAGTCTTCTCCAAGTCTGGTTCCCGGGCCAAGAGTGTAGACGCAGTATCGCGCGAGTCCTCCTTGGACAGGTAAACTCAAGTGGAAGACATCCACTGTCATGGCCCAAACGCAACGAGGACAATCCCGCCTTTAGTAGTTTTCCATGCGACAACAATCTTATTCTTCGCTACGAAGAAGGCCTAAATAAATGTTGGATATCGTTATTACGATCTTGGGACTGCCCCAGACCCCGAGTTTCATTTCTGATTTGGTTTGTCATATACGAAGTTTGCTTTGTCAGCTCTTGACATTTGCACAATGGAATTTGATGCTCTGACTGCCATTATTGACCTCCCTTGTCAGGTGGAGAATACCGGTCAAGCGGCAGGCAAGGTCGTAATTCAGATCTATGTGGCTCCTAGAAACAGTCTTGCTGGCTCGAAGCCCCGTCCCGTCAAAGAGCTGAAGGCGTTTAAAAAGGTAGCTTTGAAGATTGGCCAAAAGAAGCGCGTGAGCTTGACACTTGACAAATACGCGTTCAGTCACTATGACATTCATGTCAGAAAGTGGAAACTACAGGAGGGAACTTATACCATATATGGGGGTTTATCATGTAATGAATTGTCGATTCAGGGCGACATCAAAGTGACTTCCTCCCAGCAGCCTCACCCTATTAGTTGACTTCAACCAAGTTGATAGACAAAAGACAACTTCTGTCATGAAACCCTTCTGTTAACGGTACTATCACAGGCTTGTTGTAGATGACATTCCGCATGCATAGTATAGTCCGTTCAGTTCACAGTAGGCCCAACACGGGGTATCCGCAGCCGTCCTCACCTGCCGCGTCTAAAGAATGCATCATGAGGCTGTCCATGTCCCCACCCCACTCACCCAGTAGAGCGGAGAAGTCGAACTCAGTGTCGTGAGAGTGATTGACTGCGGAATATTGCCACTCAGTACCAGTTGCATCTTGGTATAGTTGGCCGATGCGGTGTTCATCCTCTCCATGTAGTCCTTCAGGTATCGTGGTCCCAGTGTCTTCACCGAGTGGCTGACTCAACTGTTGCTCATCCAAAGCTTCTAGAGCGGTATTCCCAACGCCTGCGGACTGTCGCTCGGTACTGCTTCCCCTCGCAATTGGATTGCTCGTCTGAAACGATAACACACTACGTCGATGTAGTAGCTCGAGAGATTGGCGATATCTAGCAGCCAATGGGTGACCCTTACCGAGTATAGCGAGAATTTCGAGGCAGCTTGTCCACGCAGTCTCGAGCGTTCCATCGTCGAGTAGGCATTTTAGTGGGGGAGTGCATTCGGCAATTATCAGGATGATGGCAGATGTCAAGAGATCTACAACCCGAGGTCAGTGAAACCTCGACAGACTCTAAATTTGGGGAAGTGTTACAAAATAGGCTGAACCACCAAGCCCCTGTGGCTCTGGAAAGATGAGCTTTCTCTATCGACCTAACAAGTTCACAAGTTCGTCTGGCACAATAAACGGCACATTGGGCCTTGAGTGGCTCTGTCAAGTCATCTTCTGCATGTGACGCTGGAGTCTGTTTACCTGTCTGGCTTCTCGAGTAGACAGAAGCGCAGTACTCGGTGAAGCCGGGACGGTAAAGCAGGATCTTCATGTGTAGGAACCTAGATGGTTCAGGTGAGCCAGTGATTGATTCTTTTCATGTATCTTTTCCTTACCTGGCATGTAGAACGTTGGACTGGCGCTTGAGAACTGAAGGCACCTTCCCACCGAGGGTATGCACACGTTCCCAGTGGAGAATATCGGGTACTGAAGCTACCAAGGCATTCAGCTCACGATCTATGCCAAGCACAGCCTCAGGGCCCGGGTGCCCAGAATCTCGTTGGGCTGAGAGTCTGGAAGGTACATGATAGATACGTTCTAGTATGGTCCCCAAGAGCATGGCCATTCTGATGTTCTCAACATTGAACGTGTGGGTGGAATAAGTACCTGGTGGTTGACGACCAGAATCTGGAGCTTCAGCCCAGTGTTCGTCGTCAACAGCAAGGGGTAGGGGTACTTCTTCAAACATCCGCAGTGAAGGGGGGCGGCCTAACGTCATGCTTACGGTCCTGACAGGTTTAGCAGGTATCGAGGCAACCTGTCAATGAGAACTTACATGTCCATCTGAACGCAGGCATACCAGACTCGTCGCCTCATCTCGATCTCCAAACCAGACGCACCCTCCAAGTTGCGCGAAGATTGCAGACCAAGTCCAACTGCCATACGGCAAGCCAGACCAACAACATTCCAGCATTTGGTTGGGTAGTGAGTACATAAAAGATACTGGCCAACTAGCAAAAGGGCTTGAACGTGGGCGATGCTCCCGCTATCTAGGATATCGAAACGCAAAAGACGGCTCATCCTGTCAAAAAAGATTGACGAGGTGGACTCTCTCTCCTCTGAAGGCAAGTCGGAGAACTCAAGCCCCATGGCAAACATAGCATTGAGCGCACTGAAGAACACATGGTGTGAGCATTTGCCCCCTCCAAGGCCAATGTCTGGACCATTTATTTGACCGGGTGTCGCACCAGCGATCGCTGTGTCGGCCCAAATCAGTCTGTAGGCCTTCCTGAAACTCGGAGAATGTGTCCAGGGATAGAAGATATGCACGCTCGAGAAGTAGACATTCAATAGCTGATCTGCGACGCTGCGCGGTGGCAGTGAGAACTGGACATGCAGCATCGAACCCAACGGTTGACTAGCAATATCTCCATTTGACGAATTGAATCGATGGCGCGAAAATCCACCGAAGCCATGATCACGCCCTGGTAGTGCAATTGTTTGTACCAGCGAGACCAACGAAGACTCGCCGTAGAACTCGTCGCCCCTCGTCTGCGTCGCTTGTTCGGCTTCGGTTGGTATCGTTGCTCCCATGGCGCTGATGGGGCTAGGCCCTTGATGCTGATCGCTTGACATTGCATGGCCGGGAGTTCCGGCGCGAGTCTGGGAATCAATTCGACATGAAGACAGCGAGGACGGTATGGGGTTCGATGGTGAGGAATTGGCGATGCTCTTAGTTCTGTCTGCTTGTGATCTGGTCACTGATGAATTTGGGCGTCTTCGAGGTCGCTGCGCGTCATCAGAAGGGGTCTCGGGTGCGGTCTGGTTATGTAAAAGGCGTGTTGCTGGGGGCTCGGTCGTGCATCGGTTATTATCGACAGAGTGTGGGCTTCTCGATTTGTCTCGAGGGCAGTTGGCTACCTGTTCAAGTTGCTGCACCTTTTGTTGGAGATTCGCGATATACCTTGGCGTCTAAACGTTAGCCAAATGCGTCTGATGTAGGTTGATCTGCCAATTGGATGAAGCGAGTGCTTGATACTGGTAATGACCTACTCTTGTTCGCTGAGGTGCTTTGCGCTGCTTGATAGCACCAGATACGCGCAGTCCTTCGGGTCCACCTCGCGCTTCTTGCATTGGCTGCAAATAGGTTTCTTTCCATCGCATCGAACCTTGCGCTCCCTGCAGTTGCCACACGCGAGGGCGACGCGCCTTCGTTTACGGGGTCGAGACACATCAGCCGAGGAGGGATCTTGAGCAATTACGCAATCGTCATCCATTGGCCTTCTGCAAGAGGTTGCATAGGGTCAATGGCATATAGAAAGAGGCACGCGTGTCATGGCCAGCCACAGACGAACAGGCCATCTCGTCATCCATTCCATGCCGATCATTGCTCCGCAAAGAGATTAGTCACGTGTGATCCTTGCAGCAAAGATTCGAAAGTCTAAAAATAGCCGTGGGTTACCCTGCAGCCGTACCGAAGAATTTGAACATACATTGGTCATCTGGTATGGTACGTAGCAGCTACATGTACCCTTTTACTGATTGCCTAGTAGGTAGGCTTGAACCTCCCTGGGCTCGAAACAGGCTACCTCTAGGCCAAGTATGAGTAGTGCTCTGGGTAATTGTCCGGGAAGTTCCCGGAGAAGCAGACGCACGACTCGGAACCAACCCGAACACTCGTAACTGTTTCGGGAGTATTGGTGGAGTCGTGATTATCGGTGTCGATTTTGCCGAGCAATCAGAAACTTAGAGTAAACTTATATTAAATTAAACACCATGTAACGAGCCAATTGATCAATCACTACGAATTACCAAACAAACCCTCGCTAAAATGTTACGCCATTTTCAACGACTTGAACCTCAGTTGCGACTGTGGAATAGGCCCTCTCGTGTAATCAGTTGTCAATCTCGTCTGATAACGAGAAAGACTGTTGCTGGACCGCTCCGAAGTCACTCAGCCACCGCGTTCGCCAGTCATGTAAAGCTTGCCGGTATAAGAGCCACTATACCCCAGTACACAAGGGCCAATTACACATGGACGTTGGCTCTGGCAACAGCAGGCATTGCTGGTATAATTCTCGGGCAATCTATGACCTCCAGCAAACAACCAAACGCATATCCTAGATACGCTGCCATTAGTGAGACGGAAAAGGTGAGTCAAATTTAGACGTGGTTTGGTCTACTCAGCCCTACTCCTTCCTACCGTGATCTGACCTGTCACTACTTCGTGGCCAAAGAGCAAATTAGGCTTCGGAATTGCTGGATTGCTTGCTGACACCAGCATTTTATTGTTTGACAGGCAGTACAAGACATACGTAATGCTTTGGGTGAAGACTCTGTCAGTAATGACGATGAGATTCTTAGAGCCCACGGGTATTCCAAGTAGTCAATAACAAATATCGATAGATTACCTGTAGCTGTCGTCTTTCCAAAATCTACGGTCTGTTATGGCGTCAATTACAAACTTAACATCTTTAGAAATCACCTTCCCACCACTGGCTGTCTATTTCGAATTAGTAAGATCTGTAATCAGGAGGCCCTAGTAGGATACTAATGGTCCCATAGGTAGAGCACTTGGGTCGTAGCTGTTGCGTTGGGAATTATATTAGCTCGAGATATTGATGGTTAGTATACTTGGCTGGCTCGGTCCTTTCGTCAGGATAACTATACCTAATTCATGAACCCTCATGGGTTTTTAGGACTTCGAATTAGTATTTTCCAACCACCCTCCTCCTAAAACACATTCAATCGCGGTAAAGCTACCCTCTCTGCCTTCCACGAAGCCATGTGAATGATGTCTTTTTTAGGAGCCGTTGTGGTAGAAAACCTCTACCAAACGCGGACCAATGGAATTGCACTTTTCTAGGCTCAGACCATCTAGATCTGTAAGGACTATTAATTCTGTCCTATTACCTATCATTACATGACTAACTTGAGGTAGAATATCATTCCAGAGCAGACATAGCTTACAATCTCCAAATGCGACGCGTTGAGTCGGGTGCACACACTCTTGGGGATGTAATTAACCTCAGCATTAAGCTCCGGGATAGAATTCGTAGAGGATAGACCCTGTTTTCCAAGATTTATGGCGGCGGATTAACTGGGCAACCGAGCTGGTCCGGAAAGTACCGACTGGTAAGGAAGGCTTAAGATCGCCTTTACGAAGAAGGACAGGCCGTTACCTTCTAAAAGTACGATCTTGATGTTCTCGTATTGCCGACCGAATTTTTAGCCTTGTGTCCTGGTGCGATATATAAATTCCCGTCAGAACCGCTCCATTAGAATATGTTGATATAAATCTTCCCTTCGATGTAGCTTTTATAGGTCGTTGGTATAAAGGGATAATAGTTCTCGTAAAGTCCTATATCTACTGTCTTAATAGACTATAGAAGTCACAGCTAGCAAACCATAACAAATATGCCTAGATAGTATATATACTTCAAGACAATCAGCAATTAGAGCTAGCTGTCTAGTAAGGATAATATGGCTCAATCAAACCTCGAAAGAAAATCAATAATAGCAACCGTAGTAGTTATCCATACATTGCGTGATCAGTGATACCTCCTCCTATAGTTTTTACGTAGCAATGTGGTATGTAGTTTCAATCTAGTTTAAATATGCCTGAGACAAATCTGTTACTTTAACACCTCAAACGGATTCCCTTAAAATAATCTCTGAGTAATATTACTATCCTTACTGGAAGGCGGGGTGAAAACAACAAGTAATTCAAAATCCAATTAAAATACACTCACCCGAGCCTTCCAGCTTCTCTACATATCTTCACAAAAGTACAGGTCAAGGTTGAGCCTAATAAACCTTACACCAGTCCCCAATCGCTCATTAAGGGTACAAGCTCCCGCATATCAGAGGGAGTGTCACGGTCGAAGCTAGCTAGGTAGCTGCAACGTTGTTCGTAGCTGTCTCGGACGCTTCGAATGCAAACTTTCATCAGTGGAGAAATTTAATATCAGAGACCTCGTTTGGAAGACTAGCTATCCGATGTTGATATCATTTTGCTATTGCCATTGTCATGCATGAAATACCGGCACTTATGGCAGTCCGAATGTATGTGAAAACTCGGGATCTTGCCGGATCCCTAGTAAACTTCGGTATATATCCGTGCATACCATATGTATCGCTATCCACCAGCATCCCGAGGCTAGGCCGATACTAGAAACATAACCGTGCCGTAAACTTTGAACAGCTTATCGCAGCGTCAACGCTCATTCATTAGAGGCAAGCTAAACGAATGTCACTGTCACTGTACGTCGTAGATCACCTCCTCATTCCGAGATACTCCGAAGAGCAGTTCAGATAACAAGAAACCAGGCACCTAGCGCGAATTTTTCAGCGAACGGGTCCCATGTTTAGAAGTCATATATAAACGGGGCATTGTCCAAAAGTCTTTATGAATCCGATCCTCCAACTTACCTCCTTTATTTAGAGGTACTCGTCGTCTATTCTAAGAATTATGCTAGTATCTTTCATTCTTGCATTTGCTGGGCTTACATCAGCCCGTGCTATCAATAGCACTTCGGCAGCCAGCTCATTTACCGCTGCACTCGTTCGCGCCCCTCCTGCTAACTGGTCCGAGCCTGTTCTCAGCCGTGTTTATAATGGAGTTAACATTAACGCTACGACGGAACTCGGTGTTAATTACATCGGCCGCGCAGCCAAGGATGGGGCTGACCTGGTCCTCTTTCCTGAGCTCTGGTTTCCTGGGTAAGTAATATTCCTATATAACATAGTCAAGGTTACATTTAGAAGCATGGCTAACCCGGCCTTAGATACCCTCGTGGTAACGATGATATATGGATTGAGAAATGGGTCGATAACTACGTCGATAACTCGATTAATGTTGGAGATGCGAACTGGGATAAGCTCGTGGCCGCAGCTCGACTGAACTCAGTGTATGTTGGGCTTGCATACTCTGAGCGTGTTGAAAGGGTCATCTACATGGCTCAGGCCTTAATTGATCCAGAAGGAGAGATCATTATCCACAGGCATAAGCTCCGACCATCTGGTGGCGAGCGCAATATCTGGAGCGATGGATTGACTGATGGGTTCAAAGTGGTCAATACCACCTATGGGCGAATAGGAATGCTGGAATGCTGGGAGTAAGTCAAATCGCATCGTCTTTTCTAATTGGAAGGCCATATCAGCCCATGCTTACCTTCTGCTTCTAACATAGACATTTTCACCCGGCAATGACTTTCCCAATGCAGGCTCAAGCTGAAGCAATCCATCTGGCTTCGTGGCCTTACACACCGGACTACAATGAACCAGCTGCCCTAGCTTTTGAGAAAGCTGAAATTAACATGGCTGCGGCATCCCTTTACGCAGTCAACAGCGGCGCATACGTACTAGTTGCCACAGTAGGTCGTGCCGCAGCCTTTAGTCCGGATGGATCGGAGTTGGCGTCCATTTCTGCCAGCATCCCCGGGAATGTGGCTCCGTATCTTATGGTTTCGCTCAACACAACGGGTTTTAATGGCCTCCCCGAGTTTAATGCAAATGGCGAACAGTCCTGGGGTATCTTGAAAGAAATTGAGGAGGGCTGGCCTGCGGATGTCCCCAAGGAGAACGGGACGTTCAGGAATACCGTTACTAACCGTTTCTGATTGAGCGGAAGATCAGTCGGCTCTCTTAACATCTCCGAGATGCCAAACCCTTCGAGCAGGGTTGCTCTGGAAGAGTAGTCATTTGCCCCATATTTCTTACTCTAGCATCAAGGTTTATTAACTTGACTGCGAGTAGAGATTACAAGTAATACTATGACTATGATTTACAGGCGGGTTCTGGGCTTGGATTCCAATCTTATAGTTGTTATCAGTACTTCAAGGAGTTCATAATGGAATGTTAAATCATGTGTTTCTGTAACACTATAAATATATTCTTCCAACATGACACCTATCTACTTGACTATAGAATAGTACTTTTCTTTTATCTTTAACCTTTAACTTTATTAAGCCTAGGCTTTCTAAATCTCTTAATAATATTAATAATAAAAATAACCCTTTTTAGGTTAAAACTTAATATAATTAAGGCAGTAAAAGTTATATAAGGTAACTAAACTCTATCTAAGTAAATATATAGATTACATAGCTATATATATAAAAGCTAGCTTCCCCCCCCTATACCCTTAACCTAATCTATACTATAAGCTACCTAGTTAATCGACCCTTATAGCTATAGTTAGTTAATCGACCCCTGGCCCCCTTTTAGTCTGTATTACTAACTTCTTTATAGCTATTATAATAAGTATTACTATCTAAATATTAAGTATTTACTATAAAGTAAGCCTCGGCCTAGACTATAATAATATATATAAAGCTATTAATAACTATTATAATAAATAGAAACTTAACCAGTTTAAAAATAAGGCTAGAGATCTTCTTACTAGTTACCTACCTTTTAATATTAAATAAAATAACTATAGCTTAATTAAATTAATTACCTTTAATTATAAGCTTTTAATACTTTATAGTTTAAGGCTTATTACTAATTATAATAATTAAAAATATATATTAGGTAAGAGGTAAGAGGTAAAAAGGTAACTTAAATCCTTAAAAAGCCTAGAAAATAGGCTTATAAAAAGGCTAGTCCTTAATATTAAGACCTCTTTTATTAAGGTATTAAAAATAAAGTATAAGGCTTAATATAAAAACTTAAAGGAGTAAGTTAACTATATAGTTAAGGTCTTCTAGATTAATAAATAAAGAGAAGTTATATATAAGGCGCTAAGGGGCTAGGGTAGAAATATAAAAGGTTAAAATTAATAAGAGGAATATATATTTAAAGTTGAAGTTAAAGTTAAGGCAGCCCTTTAGGCCAAGGAATTAAATTAGATTATATAACCCTTATTAAAATCCTACTATACCTTCTTCCGTAATGTAATGCATAATAGTATTAATAATATTATCAACTGGGATAGAATAGTACAGCCTTTATGAGAGCTTTCCCTGACTAACTCGAGGAGCCTTACCACAACTCTACTCTGCCGGGCACGTACCATGGGTTCAGCATTTCGCTTGATAACATCAGCCACATTGTTATAAAATCCTTGGCGCCATCCTCGGAACGTTTTGTATCTACCAGTCCATTAGTTCTGCTTCTGGTCATAACTCTGGTCTATGGTCCCAGACTCGAACCTTTCTCGGGTAGTTAGAACGCCCCATTGATCTTCAGTGTCGAATGCAAAGTTATCGTCTGTGGGCTTCATGCCACTCAGAATTTGATTCTCCTGAGCATCAGTATCGTATTTGACGAAAGACCCTTGGGTCCCTCGGACAAAATATTTGAGTTGATGCTGCATAGGCGATATGATCGTGCTCTTGATGGTTACTAAAAGAGGACTTTCATACTGCAATAGTACCGTATATGTGTCTTCAACCTCACTCTTGAAGTCTCGTAACACTCTTAAAAGCCCTGTGACGCACTTTGGAGTGCCGAAGAGCTGAAGGGCTTGATCCAGGGTGTGGCTTCCTAACCCGAAACCCATTCCATCGCCAGGGCTGTACTTTGCTTTGCGGAAGAATGGAACATCAGGCATTGCATTTATGTCGTAATGGATCTCGGCTTCGGTGATTTCGCCCAAAGCCTTCTGTCGAACCAAATGCTGGAGTGTAAGAAAATCGCCGTCCTAGCGTCTATATATACATTCCGAGTCAAAATTCCTGCTAACCATGAAGGGGATATACAAACCTACTTTGGTACGGGAAAATGCGTTTGCCTGAAGTGCGAGATAATTCGAGCAATCGATCTGCCTCGACAGTTGTCGCTGTGAAAGGCTTTTCGACGACCACTATTAACACAATGAGTTAATCAACAGAGCCGCTATAGTACTGGAACGATTTAATGTTGTTCTATACTGTACCATTCTTCCCGGGTAGCAAGGCTCTAAGGCTCTCTCGGCGTACTCCGCATGGCTGCTCACAGGTGTAGATACCACGAGTAAGTCGATCGAGGAACCACTTAAAGATTCGTCGGCAGTTTGATAATGACGAACATTAGGAAAGTCGACGGTAAAGTCTAAGATACGAACCTAAGTCTGATATATATTACTAATGCTATACATACAACTTCATATTATTTATCTTCGACCGAGCTCTTGAATTATAGTATCGTTACAGGTTAAATGGTATTCCAGCATGTGTCAGTGTCTCAAGTCCAATAAATAGTGGAGGTTCACTGATACCTGCTGGACGCTGGCTCAATATTACCTTCTTAGTTGAAGGCATTCTGTTACCTAAATTAAAGGCCAGGGCATTATAAGCTGGCTCTAACACTGCTGAAATTAGCAAGCTAAATAAATTCTCATTGATAGTATAGCTTACTTGGATTCATAGTGTCGGGAATAGTGCCATTACATAGCCATGTAGGAATGGGCTTCTCTTTCGAATCGAGTGCAGTATGTAACTCGAGAGCTGCCTTAACACGCGCACCAACGTCCGTGGATCTCCACACGTCCATGCCTTGGATACGCAGCGTCTCGGCGATGTGAGAGATGGATGAGATGCCAAAGCTGGTGTGGGCAAGGTCTCGGCAGGTCTCTTGCGTGATGCCACTAATTGGAAAGGTTTTTTGATTGTACCAGAATTTGATTATCTCCGCGGTGGTATTGATCCCACCACGGCCTTGCACGGGATACTTCCCATCAGAGGTCAGGTAGATGTATGCGGGAACCCGGCCGGAGAACAACCTCAAGGACCTTTCGTACAGAGCTGCATCTTCAAGGAAGACGGCAGCCCCTATGGTGGACTCAATCATCACTACGAGCGTCAGCAGATCCGCTAGTGATAGTAATACAGAAGAAGTGGACTCACCTAGTTCCCAGTTTCCATTCTTCCGCGGGGCGCCGTCCTCGATTATGGGGATGTAGGCGTTTCGTAGCATGTTGGAGAACGTCGTGATACTCTTCTTGGACCAGTGTTCATAGCTCGAGCGCATGATTTCACCTGCACGTACCCAATTAGCGGACGACCAGGCTGCCTGCAGTGGTGCGTTGCTGTTGTTGTGACTTTGGATTGTGCTAGACCAGGCATCCATATAATGGATGGATTTCTCAGCATAGTGCTTGTCCTTCGTAATCCACCATGCCAATGCGTTCATGTATGCCGCCATTGAATCCTCGCGCTCCTGATAACACCCAATGTTGGGCGTTGATGTCGGTCCGCACTCGACCGTCTCAAATGGCTTGGCCGTCCGCGTAGGCGAGATGTACGACATGTTAAGCATAGAATCCCATGCCTCCGTCCAAGGATTCTCCCTAATCTCGATCTTCTTGGCAATGTGGTCGAGCTGCGGCCCGGAAACAAAAACTCCTGGATGAACCCAAGTCTTGGGCGCATTGGTTGGAATGGGTAAATAAGGAGTCGCGTTACTATCACTTGCCGCATATACAGGCTTAAGGGCAAAGCAAGCTTCCAAACTAAGCATCAGGAATTGGAGTTTCATCCTGTCGTTGAAAATAGCGATGATTTAATTTGGCAGATATACAACGCTACTGTTAATTGCGATAAATATTATAGCCCTAGTAGCTGTTTTATACCTCATCGTTGTATATTGGTCTCGCTCAGGCTATAATAACCCTTGGATTACTAATCCAGAGAAGTTTAATGGTAAACGTCCATGGAGTAATATGCCTCGTTTTATTTTCGGAAGAGGACTTTCCACCAATAAGGGATTCCCTGGTAACCCGCCAGATCCAATAATGTCCCAGACTCACACCGATATTCACTCCCAGATTCAATCTTTAACAACTCCACGACCATGGCAGCAATCGACAAAATACTCGAGTTTCTGAGAACATACTGTACAAGGGTTGAACTAAATCCCGTCGGCTTGTCTAATTTTCGTCCGTGCCGACCCGGACGACGCCGAGATTCATTGACCGTTTCACGAAAAATCACCTCTAGGTTCTACACTTTCTGTCCATCTACATTAGAACGGTAACCTGGTTCAACAAAAACAACCTCTTGTTTATCTTTAAGCTTTATAAAAGACTCAAGCTGTGTTGGAAAGTAGATAGTGAATGTCAGTAATTGGTACTTGATGTCATGATGTGGGTTGTGCGAAGTCCTTTAGGACTTTTAAATATTAAGTCCGAGTTTAAATGCCTCGACCTGCTGTTGTACCGATACTCGCAAAAGTGGAATTCCTGCAGGGGTGTCTACCGAATCACTCAAATCGACAGACCCTATCTTGATTGCATTCGTAGATGCCTGTCGGTTTGTCTGACGAAGTTGCCCAACTAGGTCTTGCATCACCACCGCCGTAATTATGGGATCATCGTCCGGTACATAGTCCCTTCGTGTCGACAACAAGACAAAGAGGCCATAAAGTAACATGAGGCTGAATGTAATCCACGTCAGCGCAAACATCGCATCCTGGTATTTAGATGAGCGCTGGCCTGAGTCCCACCCAGTAAGCAACGCCAGTGGTGGGATAAAGCCAATGCACAAGCGGGTGGCAAGGGTGCTCAACATACCCGTCGTGAAAGCCCTGCCGCCTAGAACTGGTACGTGGCGGAATCTCCAGTACGAGAAGAGGAAGTGTCCCTGGAAGAGGTTCTCAAGCTGGATAAGGTCTATAGGGTTATAGTGGAAGACAGACTAGCGGTATAAACGCATCATCTGCTCAAAAGCAGCGCCTGTGCAGACGCCGTACAAGATGACAAGGATATTCAGAGCGATTCGTGCACCTGGGTAGCCAAAGATCTGGTCCATCGGGAGGCACACGTTGGCGTCGTTCCGACCGCGCACGTTGACGGTCTGCAGCCAGACCAAAATAGGACGAACGAGTCTCTCTGTGTGTGATAATAAAAACGAGCCCTTATACCTGGTGGATAGGACGAGTGCTTGAGTAGCGGCGGCGTCTGGCGGGTGAGGGACGTGAGGCTCGCACGATGCAAAGTCGAGGATGATCTGGCCGTTTACTGCTCCGGACAGCACGGAAACACTGGTCTGGATTAAGTTTCTTTATGATAGTCTTAGCTGAGGCCATTGTCCCGCGCTGCTGCAGGGGCTGGATGACCCTGAATGCAATAGGCCAACGTGGACCGTGGCACGGCGTCGACCTTGCGAGAATGAAGAACCAGTATCAGAAAGCAGAGAAATGGTAGCGCAAGGGCAAGAGCTGCGCCGCCTCCAAGAAGCTCAATCTTGGTGTGCACCCTGAATGACCAGGGATATGTTTCACCTTCTTCGTCGCATTGTACCGTGTATCCGCCAAAAAGGAGTGAGAAGCCAAAGGGAGGGCCGAGCCGCAACGTAAAGTAGAACAGCGCGACAAGCCTCGCCCGCAATGGACCCACGAGTAGACTCTTCAGTGCAGACAGAGCACTGTCACTCCGAAGAATTCGTCTCACATCCTTGATGGAGAGGTCAAAAAGAAGTATATAAAGAAGTAAAATTAGCTTGTATAGTCCTTATATATATCTAGATATTTAAAATTTGAAATTTTATATTCTTATCTAGCACTGCATGTAGTAATACCCCGTAAGCAGTACCCTAAATCTAGTAGAAACCTACTATATCCCTGTGCAGGACGGATGTAATATAGAGCCTAGATCTAATTGCCTAAATAATATCTAGGATGCTTTGTTTTAGGTATATCTAAGGCCTAGACATCACTCTCTCTGATAATGTAGGCTGTAGATAGGTACCTTAACCACTACCATTATGACTCCTCAAAACTGGTGTATATGGCAAATCGATAAGCAGCCAATTAATACTTGGTCAGAGCCTATACAATATACCTATTCTGCCTTCTCGGAACGTATGGGATTATATTGGCCAGTTTGACTCTGTTACTCGTCAACACCCCTGATGTCCTGTGCAGGGTGATCCCGAAACCTTTCGGCTTGCAATACACAAGCCAATCGCTGACGGCACTGGGAGCCTTGACTTGGCACAGCTGCAGGTCTCCGATTAGAGAAGTATGGTCTAATAAAAATGATGAACCAGTAGCTTATTACACAGAAGGAAGGTCGTCGGAGCAGCGCCCCTAATGTCCAACCCAACATGGCGTTATGCATGCATACGAGCGCCTTCTGCTTGTTCACTCAGGCTGACACAGCCACTTACGCTGTAATATCTTGGCGTGAGGGGTCATGTACTATTGTGAGCGTTTCTTGAAAATCAGGCTGTGATGGAAGTGCGGAACCTGCAACAAAACATCTCACCGATCATCACATGGTAAACTCTAGCACAGCTACACGGCTGAACTCTTGAAGTGGATACAGTACGCCCTACTCAATACAACTTTTAACGTCAAATACAACAGTTGAAACGTTCATAACGTAGCAAAAGAGACACCAGTGGCTGTATGCTCGCCGTATCTAATAAAAAGTAACTCGGCATCTAGAAGTGCAAAATGTTGTGCTTACGAGTTTAGTACCCACTTTTCTTAACTCTTCCTCGTGGTGGCTTTATATTTCCTGTCATCGATTGCCCTGAGCCTTCTTGATGAACTCGGTGAGCTGACCTGCCCCAATCATGTCCGTTACGGCCAGCTAAAACGTGCCTACAATTAGAATAGGGCAGTAAAATTACCTGGGCAATCTCTGGCCCGAGCTGAGTGACTTGCACTTCTATTTTAGGATTGCACATAATGGGCTGAGAATTGTCTCAGCCTCAACGCTGACCGCGTCAAGCAGCCGATAAGGGGGCTGGCGAAAGGTTTCCTCGCTGCCTCATGACTATTTAACAAAACATGGGAACAATGGAGTTAAAGAGTCCTGCATCCCCTCCCCACAACCATAGACCTTAACGCAACCTTTCGCCTCTAGTCACATAAGTGTAGACCCAATTCTTATTCATCTTGCCAAAAAAGCCTTCGCCACGATATGTCGACCCATAGCGAAACTCCCGGCTCTCAACGGGAATCTCTTAACCTTCTGCAGACCGGACTCTTCACAGTGTGCGAGGGTATGAGTCCTGTTGATGTCGACATTGTTTTCGTTCATGGCCTTGGCGGCCATATGACAAAGACTTGGACTGAGAAGACTAATCCTGCCCAAGATCAGAAGCACGGCAAGAAACGAGAGGCTTTTGCGAAACTATTTCGTGGACAGCGTCACGCGTCCGGCTCGAACGCTGATAAGGAAGATTGCTTTTGGCCAGAGACTCTTCTGCCCCAGGAATTTCCCAATGCTCGTATCATGACTTATGGATATGAATCAAACATTGCGCACTTCTTCATAGCACTGCCCAACAACAAAGACGTCATGAGCCATGGGAGAGACCTATTGGGTGTCTTGACGTCCAAGAGAAAAGCCTGTGAAAGCCGGCCGCTGATGTTTATTGCACACTCGCTGGGTGGTCTAGTTGTCAAAGCTGTGAGAGCCCTGTCTAGTTGCAAGATGCCTGTTTCTAACCCGGATTAGTGTTTGAATCGCTCACGCAATGCAGTGGGCAATGATGTGGATCTGGGCTTCGTTTGCTCGTCAGCCATCGCCGTGTTGTTCTTTGGAACTCCCCACAGGGGCTCTGACTGGACTAACCTCGCCCGCAAAATGCAAAAGGTTGTCAAGGCACTAGGCCTTCCAGCGCAAAAGGCCAACCTTGACCACCTCACGGCTGGTAACCGGATCCTTGATATTCTCGATGATGAATTCGTCCCAATTCTTTCTTCTGGGCACTTGCACGTCACGTCCTTCCAAGAGCACAAAGCTATCACATGGGTGCCTGGGCTCGTCGATGTAGTGAGTGATAAGCTATGATCTTTGACAGCAGTAGTTCTAATGAGATCATCTAGATCGTTGACGAAGGGCACTCGGTGCTTTATCATAAGAACGAACGTAGAGTTGGTCTTGATCAAGAGCATATAGATATGTGCAAGTTCGGAACCCGGGGCGCAACCTTGCATGTGTATCAGCAGAAGGTCCTTCCGGAGATTCAGAGGCACCTTCGTCGGGCTGAAGTCAACCAAATGATCCGAGAGTCCGCAGAGGGGAGAGAGGAAGAAGAGAAAGAGAAAGAAGAGGAAATGAGGCAAGAGAAAGAACGAGAGAAAAAGAGAGAGGGTATGTAAGTCCCTGAAACGATTTATGCTTTAAATAGCAACTCATTCTGACAACACTGTCGGTAGAGTTCCGCAAATATTTGGTTGACTGCAGTCGAGAGATCTCGCTCCGGGAGAAACATATCAGTCAAGCACATCCCGAGACCCTTTCTTGGTTGTTGGAGCCTAAACCTAAGGGGCCTGGTATTGTTTCTTGGATCACCTCTTCCGACGGCATCTTCTGGATACAAGGCCTCCCTGGATCGGGGAAATCAACGGCCATGAAGGTATTAGCCGAGGGCATGTCTCCTGAGTTCCTAAAGTCCGGTTGGTCTAGTGCGTCCATGTTCCTGACAGATCGCATGGACGAGAAACAAAGATCATGGGATACTGTACTGGCCTCCATGATCCACCACCTCTGCAAGACATATGCACCTTTGGAACAAATTGTCAATGATCTTATTACACCCAGCGAGGTCAACGACTCACTCATGTCAAGACAGACACTGGAAGCCATCCTTATAACGTGCAAACGTCAGGTTGGGATTGAATTCTCAGTATGCTTCTTCATAGATGGCCTTGATGAAATGGACCAAGAAAGAACCCCGAGACATACAATGGTTGAGTTTATGGAGATGCTAGTTTCGAAAGACGACACTCCGAATTGCGGAGGGAATTTCAAGATATGTACGGCCAGCCGACCGGAAAACGAGTTTGAACTAAGCTTGGATGGATATCCGACTTTCAAGATTCAAGACTACACCATCAAGGACATCGAAAGTTATGCCGCCGCAAAGTTGCGACTTGGTGGCTTAGGCTCCAGGATGAATCAAAACGACCGTTCCATACTGGAAACCATTCGTCAATACATAGTCGAGGAAGCCAGGGGTGTCTTTCTCTGGGTCATTCTAGTGGTTCAAGATGTTTCCAATCGTTATGCTAACGGAGAACCTCTGATGCGAATCAAAGACGACATAAACCAACTTTTCAAAGACAGCAGTAGTCAGCTTGGAAAATTCTTCCTGCTCATCTTGCACAGAACTCCTAAAAGCACAAGACATCAAACCTACGCGCTCCTTGACACGCTTCTGAAGACGCGGTAGTCTACAACAGCCTTTACTGTGGGTATCCTTCTCGAGCTCATACGTGATAAGGACAATACACAGTGGCTTGGTTCTGAGAACAATACCATCACCTATTCTCAAGGAGCCTGGCAAGAGGCAAACAACCATTTGCGGGTCGAGAAGAAGATTCGAAGCGTAACGGGAGGGCTCCTACAGGTCGTGAGACCTGCGTCCTCAATGACTCGGAACATCTTTGACAATGCGGACACCGATTTACAGACTGTCAACAGCCGAAGATCGTTAGTAGGAGACGGTGATGATCAGGTTCTGACCCGATATTGCCAAGATTCGAATGCTCTCGAGTGGAGAGTGGAGTTCCTACACCAAGCTGTAAAGGACTTTCTTCAGTTACCAAGCTACAGTGAGAAGCTTCGAAAATGCCTTCTCGGTTGGACCGAACATATCGACATTGTGCCTGACAATGGCAATATCCTTCATCTTCGACTAGTCGATACCTTTCTGGGGGTCCCGCCAGACAAACGACATGAATGGCCGACTGTTCCAGTCTGCATGGATGTCACTATGCAGCACGCATACGGCAGCATGGAGCCGCCTGCGCAAGACTCACAGTGGGTATTCAAGCTTCTGGGTCAGATTGAACGGGTAATATCGAAGGACCCCAAATGTGACTGGGGTTTCCAGGACAAATCCTGGAAAACGACATTCCTTGCATATGCAGTGGCAAACAACATGCATCGATTTGTTTCACGAGCCTTAGGATTAGGCGGTGGATACGAGGTTTACAAGGAAGGACGTCCACTACTCCACTACACCGCCTGGGCACCAGGCCGTTTCCCAAACCGTGCCATGGCCAAGCGCCTCCATGAAGCAAACGCCCAAATAAACAGAACCTTTGACGAGGAGAATGACAAGAAGACGGCAATTGAAAGCCTTCAGTTCAACAACATCGATGGAGATGGTCAATCACACATTGACTTTATTTCTTTCCTTATAAACAACGGTGCCGAGGTATCCAGACGAATGCCTGCGGAGAAAATGGTCGAGTCCACGGAACGGAATTTTGTCACGGACTACCTGTCAACAGCTGGCATATCCAGTCAATCACGTTTCAGACTGGAGAAGGGCTGGAGACGCCTAAAATCCGCCCGCAATCCCCTAGGTTCGAACACACAAACATCAGGCGCACCGTGGAGCACTGTTCTTCACCATGTGGCTATGATGCCAGTGAGCGTAGAAAAACGCGTTGAGCTACTAAAACATGTTCCCGGTCAATTGCTTAACAGGCCAGACTCCCGGGGTGCCACGGCGTTTGATATGTTTCTTTTGTCACATCCGGATGATGCAGTGATGGGGACGCCAGAATACATCACTGATAGACATATACTGGAAGTAGTAAAGCACGGCGCTCGTGTGACGAACCTCTTCGTCGTGGCCAGGATGGCTGACAAGACAGTCAGGAGAATCGCCTCTTCACAACCTCTCAACAACAAGGCCTACTACGAACACAAGGCTTGGTCAGTTATACGGAGGCAAATAAGGGATGATAGGTGAAGAGCGTGAAAGCTCTAACGCAAACTGGACTTATCAATACTTGAAATTGATACATACATGTAGTGTATCTACTGAAAACATATGGATTATTAACAAATACTCTGAGATATTATAATTGAGAGAGTGTGTTTGTTGTAAATTATTTTTTCTAGTATATTAATAAGGAATATTCCCAACATTATACACTAGATATTGCTTCTTATACAATAAAGTTTCCACTAAGTGCCTCCATATTGTGCAGGCATACTCGAGAAAGGTTTCCTTATGACAGATGTAGTGAAACTTGGTATCTCTAAGGTCTATTATAAGAGCACAGAAACGCTTGGAGTGTGACTCAACGTCAAGATGTTTGAGCGGTCCTACTATGTAGCAAGCTGGGTAGTTTAAGTTACTTCAACAAAAGCAATGATTGATTTGATTCTGAACTACAAATTCCCCTTAGCCTGACATTATAACCCTACAAAGGTCTTGCCTGAATCTCGAATAGCTGTGGCAGCAACTCAAATAGCATATCTGGTAGCTTCTGCCATCTAATTCCTAAGGTCTTCTCAGTCTCACTAGCATCAACACTATAATGAGTAGAAGCCTCTCGTAGCCCAGGGTGCCCTCGTGGAATAACAGCTCTGTGTTTCCCTGCTACGTCTCTTGCAACGTCGGCAATCTCTTGATTGCAATATATTCCTGCAGCTAGAAGATATCTTTCGCCACCAGCTTCGGGAACTTGGAGAGCTCTGAGGTGTGCAAGAGCAACGTCTTTGACGCTAACCCAGACTGGGCCTCGGGTGGCAGGTATTATCCCATCCTCTCCAGCTGACACAATGCCGTAGATGATTTGATTGGATGTGTTGAGCTGTTCTGGGTGTTCTGGAGCTGCGCCCTGTAGGAATGATCCAAATACCATTGCCGGATTGAGGCTCACAAGGTCGAAATGTGCTGATGGATTATCACCCATCCACTTCCATGCCACCCGTTCAGCTACAGCCTTACTGGCCCGATATGCCACGGCTGCAGCAGGTGCATTTACCCCGTCGTCGTAGGTCAGAGGTGACCAATCTTTAGCAGTATAGACTTTTCCTGGCTGTGGTCCTTTTGAGGCGTCGTAGATACCAGCAAATGAGTTGGTGTGTACGATGCGTTTTACTCCGCCCAACTCTCTAGCTGCATTTAAAATGGCGGTCGAGCCTCTGACCGTAGGAATCATAAGATCTTTCTCTAAGTCACTAGTATCGTAGTGAAAAGGCGCAGCGAGATGCAAGATTGCGTCTGGCCGAGTTGAAGCGAAGGCTGAGATATATGCTTCGACAGAGGTAATGTCCTCTACCACTCTGACAGAGAGATTGGGATCATTTTCGTGGAGTTCGAGAACTTGATCAACCTTTGACTGAGACCGAACTGTGCCCAGAACTCGGTAACCTTCGGACAACAGACAAGATATACAATGCTGGGCTATGAAGCCATTGGCACCCGTGACAGCGACCAGAGAGGGAGGCAGGATAGGTTTTGGGTGTGCTGAGGGCATTTTTCTCAATGACAGCCGAGTTTCTGAGAGAAAGATGCTTAGTCGGTACTGCCAAACCCGGGTTGAATTATTGAAATTGCAAATCACCGGTGACGAGGCCTGTAATACCTGGAAGAACCATGAATAAAAGGAAAATACAAAGGTACATTGAGGCACCATCTCTATCCCCGCGAACAATCCTTACCCTTTTGGCTATAGCACATCTTGATGACCGTCGGAAGCTATTTTAAGTTTACGACGGCTGCAGCGGGGTCGTTGACCCCCCATCAGCGCCTGTGCCTGGCCGACAATGGCTTCGGTCATTCCATGTTCTCCATTCGGGTATCAGTCTTCCTTATCTTCTGACATTTGATCAATATTTTAATCAAGGTTTCGCTAGTAGAATTGACAATGTTGGGTCTCTCCAATCCGACGGCATATGTGCCTCAACTGACAAGAGAATCAAGCTGGACTTTTAGCGTTCGATGCATCACCGTCGCCAGAGGGAATTTTCACGGTTCTCTTACCTAAGACCATAGTGAAGGCAATGGATGTCTTTGTGACAAAGTAATTACAGATTTGCTATCTTGGACAAATGAAGGAGAAGGATGATGCAATCCCTTGGCTGGGAGTTGGATAGAGGGAATCTTTCTTCAACTTCGTAGATCTCAAATCCAATCTGCAGAAAATAAGGAATGCCAGTAAATACACCCATATTCATAGCACCAGTCACTTAGAATATCCAGAGAACCCATTCAAGTAGCAAATCGAGTTAAAATGATTCTTCCCAAAACTATAAAGTGAAATTCTCGACTACAATTGACTAAACACCGGCTATCGCCCTTTTCTTTAAGACAGCCGAATTTTCATTCAACTCTGCCCAGTCATGTGCGTCCAAACAGGCTTGTCGACTCAATAAGACAGCAACACTGGTTCTCTCCCTAAGCTCTGTCTCATAGTTGTCGACAGTTTCTTTGGGGTTCTTTCCCTGGTGATACATGGCTTCTAGAGCCTTGGCCAAACGATATGCGTCTAGAATCCCATGATTAGCGGCTTCGCCTCGATACATGGTCATTGCGTGAGCAGCGTCTCCAGCAAGAGTTATTCTGCCATTGTGGTTGTCCCAAGAAGGACACGGCCAGTCCTGGAGGACAATCTCAAGGACTTCGGAACCCTCAGGGATGGCGTGTACAACATCTCGTAGCACTGGGTTAAACTCCGTTGCTCGTTGTTTCATGTATGCCAAGCGTTCCTTGTCTGTAGCTTTCACCTCATCATCAGATGTTTTCAAAGGCCACGATATCATGACCTGGACACGATAATGTTCATTATCTGTTCCTGCGGTGCCGTTGACTTGTGGTGTTTCTAGCATGCTGAACCAAAAGAAAGTACCTGTCAAGGGATGGCATCCTTGAAAGAGTAGAGGATCAATGTCTTTCAGTGGCTTTACTTGCTCTGGTGTGAGATTCAGAGCAGCTCCTGTAAATCGTATTGGTAGTTGAATATTCCGGTAAGAGTCTGGTAGCAAGAATTTCCGTGTGCTCGAGTTGCTGCCTTCAACTCCCACTATGAGAGATCCTTCAGCTTTACTCCCATCCTCGAATAATGCTATAACATCGTCGCCATTCTCTTGGATGGAGTCAAGGCGCTTATTCCACAATACTTGATCGCTCACACCTTTGAGTAAGACGTTTCGCAACTTTTCGCGGTTGACTCGTCGTCGATCTCCAGGCGGGATGAGAAACTTCGGCTCAAGTGTTTCAAGGTTGATGAAAACGAACTTGCCAAGTCCTTGGCGGTCGGCTTCTGGGTCAACTTGAACAGATTCGACGTCTTTGAAGGTGTCATTGGACAGGAGTTCTTTCAGGAATGGAAGAACCCAATGAAGGGTTATGGCCCAGCCCTGACCGCGAGAGCTGATGTGGTTGTCGCGCTCGTAGACTTGGAAAGGGATACCAAGCTTGAAAACGTCAGCACGCTTTACAAATACTAATGCTTCAAAAGTGTAAATCAAATTACAAGGAAACTTTACCTTTTTGAGACCATGAGCAAGTACAAGGCCCACAACTCCAGCACCAATTATGAGAACCGGCTTGCGCTCTTTAGACATTATGCTCCTCGGGCGGGGTTTAGGGTAAGGAGTGCTTGTTGTTTGAGTTGATTGATGAAAGGCACAGAAGAGATGAGGCAATGTCCCTACTCTGTACTGAAGCAATGATGGGGATGGAAGTGTTTAAGCCCATCATGATATCGAGGTGATTCTGTATCTTGAGTGTGATGCGGGAACGACAGCGTCATACAGTTTTTGGTTAGCAACATTGTACTGTTATCTCTGCTGCACATGATCTGGACACTAATTGCAAAAAGGATGTCTTGATTGGTTAAGGCATTCCAGGGCCGCGGTTCCGTGAGGGGTATCAAGCCAATTTCCGTCGGAAACTTATTGAGCGTCATGCAACCGTCGGAAAGCGTTAACCGCCCTAGGTTGTAGATAGAGAGGATCCGCGGCTACTTGTGAAAATCGCGACACTGAAAGAAATGCAGACTACCAATATCTAAGCATGAGTGAGGAAGTCAAGCATTCAAGGTTAAGGTCAATTTCATTGAAGAGCGAACTTATTTCTCCATCGCTTACTTCCATCACAGGTGCTAATATCCTCCTTCTTTCTCATCATATCTCATCTCCGCTCTCTCGCTCCGCCTGCTCTCTCGCCAAGAGATCACTTCCTCACCTTCATCTCAATCACCATGACACAAGACCAAAAGCATGAGGCTCTACAGCCTGTTCATCCATTAATGAAGGGCAAGCTTGACCCTGTTTTTGAAAAGCTCTACAACGACAACGTCGCCAACACCCCCCTCAAGCCCATTAACCTCTCTATCCTAAGGTCAAAATATTCGGTACTTTATTCTTACGGCACAGCCCCCGCGCCAGAGGTCGCCCGTGAATATGATGACCAGATCACCACACATGAAGGCATCACTCTGGACGTGAGGGTCTATGAACCTGATACCACTGGCCCATGGCCTGTCCATATCGATTACCATGGAGGAGGCTGGGGCCTTGGTGATCTTAATACCGAGAGCCACATTTGCAAGCATATTTGCAAGCTCGCTGGCGTGGCTGTTATCGACGTCGCATATCGACTGGTTCCGGAGAATGCATTTCCGTGTGGAGTGACTGACAGCTTCGCCGCTCTCAAGTACATCCACGAGAAAGGTGCAGAGAGGTTCAACATCGACCCAGAGAGAATTTCTATCGGTGGCGTCTCAGCTGGAGGTTTTATCAGTCTTGCTTCGGGACACATGGCGCGTGATGCAGGGATCCCCCTCAAGCTCATCGCTGTGGGAACCCCGGTGATTGATGATTTGAGCCAGTATTCATCTGCGTCGGATTCTCCTTTCCCATCCATGCAAGAGAACCAACATGCGCCTACACTCAACTGGGGGCGACTGGCATGGTTTGACAAGCTGAAATGGAGCTCCCTTGGATCGACCTCTGAGCAAATTGCAGAGAAGCGTCGGCAGCTCCCTGACATGTTCTTCAATCTTTTCAAGGCTAACGACTTTAACAACCTTGCAAAGACAGTCATCTACACGGCGGGTGCAGATCCTTTGAGAGATGAAGGCGAGGCGTATGGCATGAAGCTGATTGAGCATGGGAATGAAGTGACCATGAAGAGGTTTCCGGGAGTACCCCATCCGTTTATGCACATGGACAAGGATCTCTGGCAGGCAAGAGAGTTTATTTCACAAACAGCTGCTGCTATTCGCGTTGCGCTCCACGATTCATAGTGGAGTAGGCACTGTATTTGATTATTTTCGTGATAGATGTGTCAGAATAGCGAACATTTTCATAACAACCTTCTAGACTCCACATGAACTGTAGCTTCACAAGATCTGGCCAGGCGATCCAAAAAAAATCGGGACTATGCTAGACTTTAGGTGAGAGACAACAAGATTGATCACTGAGTTGAGAAGGTTTGGGGAGATTATATTCTCGCCACCATCGTCGCATCATCTTCGCAAAATCGAGTGAGAGACAAACTAATAAAGTACCGAAAACTATTCTATCCGAGATTCAGATGGTTAAGGCACAGACTTTCCGTTGAGCATACAAATCCAATAAGTGAAGACAAACGCGATCTAAATTCCGAAAACACAGTGTACAAGACGTAGCTGTGATGGCTGCTTCAGGTTTACCTTGTATAATGCAACAAGATGTTACTGTAATTGATCGTATTATCGTATATACAACGTACAAATTCTTTTTCTCATTAATCTGTCCCAAATCCAGAGGCTGGTGTTCTGCCTTATCTTTTCACAAGTGAATGACGCGCCATGTGTTCCCCGGACCGCGATAGGGGATCGTAGCCGACGGCGGTCTTTTCCCCGCATCCTGATAGCGCCTGATAGTGTGTTGATTGAGATAAACTAGCTACTAATAGTTTAGCCCCAATGCTCTATCAAGATAACGAGGACCCAGTCCGTAGTTCCGGCCAACCCATCCACTTCTGATGCCCCAGCTTTTCCCACTCGTCTTGTGATAGCTAGAGTCTACTCATCGACAACAGACAAGTATGGCGACGTGTAACCGACCAAGTGGTATCTGTCTTCGCTGCGCCGAGATCAAACAACGTTGTAAGGGAGGTATTCCTTGCGACCGATGCGTCCGACTGAGTCTCCCGTGCCGTCCCAAACACTCTATGGGCTCTTTTCCCCAAGAGCCGAGATTGAATGATGTCGACAGCTTCGCATTTGAGCAACCTAAAGCGAAAATACGAAGAGTGCAGACAGGCTGCTTGACATGCAAGAGACGAAAAAAGAAGTGCGATGAAAGGTCAGTTCAATATTTTGATTTCACCACCATGTTAGGATCAGGCTCATCGAGATGGTAGAAAGCCTAATTGCGGCGACTGCAGGAGGCTTTGCTTAGAATGCTCATGGCCTTCGGAGAGGGCAGGCAGGTCAAGACTCGACAGCTGGACCAGTGAGTCATGGCTAAATGCTGATCAAGTATTTGACATGTCATCAAGAAGATCACAAAGTCCACGCAACTCGATCTACTCAACCCAGTCAAATCTGGACCTGAGCATTGCCGATCTTCTGTGTCAAATATCAGCTGCAAATCCTGCAGATGCTTTGCACATCGATATAGCCGCCCCGACCCAAGATCTCTCTTGGAGCTTATCACCTGATTCGAATTGGCTTGACATACCTCCTGAGACACCCTCCGTCGCAACGAACTCGCCCGAGAGTCTCTCCAATACATCACTCACTCTTTATACACCAAGCTTGATCCCAGATATGACATCTCCCCATGACAAGGCCCTCTTCAACCACTACTCGACCATTGTCGCTTCCGTCCTATCAAAGCGTCCAAACACCTCCTCGAATCCTTATCTCAGTTATCTTGTACCAATGGCCACCTCCAATCAACTGATTCTTCATTGTGTTCTAGCCTTGAGTGCCACTCATTGGCAAAAGCTTCAACCACGTATGCAAGACCGGGCTTCATTCCACAAAAGCCAAGCAACACAGTCACTAGCACGTCTACTTCCACATGTGGATGAGAACTTGGTCGATATTGCTCTAGTATCATGTCTGCTACTCTGTATGTCGGAACTTTTCGATGGGACGTCAGCAGGATGGAAACTCCACCTCCAAGGCGCGAAGCGCCTTTTATCAACGCTCAAGCTCCAGCCTGGTGGTAACCTGACAGGTCATCTCAACTTCCTTGTCAGGCTGGCACGTTTCCTAGATAGTGCAGCAACTACAAGCACTTGCAAACCCCCTTTGATTGACGATGCAACTGTCGCTAAGAGACCTGAGATAACCGAGGATGGTAGCAGTCAAGATGCGTCAGTGTATGGAATACCAAAGGAACTATTTCACATGGTTGATCGTGTCAATAACTTGGCTAGCAAACGAGGAACGAGGGTCGACGAGCGTTCGGAGGCTCTATTCCATCAGGAAGCAGACAAAGTACAAGGTCAACTGGATAACTGGGCCTATGACTACGGAGGACTCGCCGGCGCTGTGGCCTCCCTTTCTCCAGAAAACGAAGACGTCCTCCACGCAACAATCGCATTTGAATGGGCACTTCGACTCCGACTTCACCAAATCACAGAAGGCTATTCTCTTGGTGACAAGGTGTCCGAATGCGTTGAACACATTCTTGACGCGGCACAAAAGATCCGCTATGGAAGCCCGCTAGAAAGCTGCTTGTTGTTTCCGCTTGTTATGGCTGGAGGTGCCTGTGATACTCTTGGGCAGAGGATGATCGTCCAAGATAGACTGATGATTATGGAGCGGACTTGCGGCTTTGGGTACATTCACCAAAGCAGAGAGCTTGTTGAAACGGTTTGGAAGAGGAGAGAAACCGAGGGGATGGTTAATTGGGCTCGGATTCGGTATGAAGAGATGAGTGGCTTAGCCCTCTACTGATCATGTGTTGGTCTCCATATGTGTTGGCGGCTGATAAATTTGTCAGATGAAATTCTTGATCAATCGTCAACGAAATTGACAAAACATCTACGCGACGCAATATACATATTGCGATTATGACTGTTGAAATTAATGGCTAGCCATTATAATGAAGTAAAAGGTTTCATTTGAAAATTATCACAAAAGCACTCCAATTAGACCATACGCTACCTTCCATCTCATTCAACCTAAGCTGCAGACACGTCCGACTTATTAACTAATTCGGCTATATGAGCATGCATGTCATAAGCGCATACTTCATCAATAGTCAACATGCCGGGCTTTGTGTTCTTACTCGACCAACCAATTCTCTCATTGAGATTCTCCCTGGCACGCCTACTAGCTTCTTGTAGTCTCGTTGCCCTAGGCTTTCGCTCGGCCTCGTAAAATTTGAGGCGCTCCTCGACGCTCAATCCTGAATACTTTTCAGAGAACAGGATACCCAATGCACCAGCATCTTCAATGGCCATACATGCCCCTTGGCTCTGGTCGGGCATCATTGGATGCGCAGCATCTCCTAGGAGAGTGCACCGGCCTTTGGTCCAGTGGGCATAAGGATCATGGTTGTAAAGTCGCCACATCTTGATATCTTCGGCGTTGAGGAAAAGTTTAATAAGTTTCGGATCCAATCCCGGAAATGTAGACACGAGGTTCTCTCCAGTCGTTGAGATGTTCCATCCATCTTCTATTTGATCATTCTTCTCTGCTGGGTAGAAACAGTAACACGAAACAACATTATTGTCGCTGCATGCTGAAAGAACAATCTTTGTCTTAGAGTCCCCTCCCCAGAACTCGATAGCTTGGTTATTTAAAAACTCTTCCAAGCCCAGCTGGCGGAGTTTATCCGCGTAAATGATACATCGGTAGCAGCAAGACGTGCTCGGCACAAACTGTGCGATGACGCCAAGTTGCTCACGCATCACGCTTCGGATGCCGTCAGCGCAGATTATAGCATCGTGTGTTGCTTCTGCACCATTCTCGAAAGTGATATAGCCAGTGTCAGGTTCCAGTTTGGATGCCTTGTACCAGGTCTTTAAATCGGCTGCTGGACCCTTTCCATGTTTAGATAGGGCCACTTCTTTGAGATGATTGTGTAAGTCGATTCGGTGGAAGTTGTTGTAGTCTGTACCAAAGCGCTCGCGATAGTCACCCAACGGATATGTGCCTTGGACTTCTCCATTCGAGTAGTCGTGGCGGATGAGGTTTCGCAGAATGACAGGCTTAGCCGCAGGAATGTCAATGCCCCATTCCTCTAAGAAGCGCGAGCCATTGGAGGCAACAGACAGAGACGCGCCGACCTCACCACCAAAGTCATAACGCTCGTATAGAGTGACATGGTGGCCGGCTCGACGAAGTGAGATGGCGGCTGAGAGCCCTCCAAGACCGGAGCCAATGACACCTATAGAAAGAGACCTTTCAGTACGCCCAGGCATGTTGGAGAGAGCAAAAATACGATATGAGTAAAAGTGATGAGGGAAGTGTGGGACTTGAATGCTGAAGCATGCAGAAGGATGAGGACTTGAGAATATTAGAGTGTGTATTTGGCTTTATTTTATTATCAATATATCATTGTTGCTCGCGCATCGACTAACAATATGATCGCCTGCCTGTCAAGTCTTACTATCGCGCCACCAAGAATAATCTCCTTCCTCATTGATGATTGAAAATGAGGTGTCATATCTCTTGACCGCGCGGACCGCTATTGTGATACATCTTGGTGACCAATTTCTAAGCGACGGGCGAGAGAGACAATCAGCTGAACACTACTGTACTAGTACTAGCTCCACCGACCTCGATCCGACGGTTGCAGCTTATCATGATCTAGCCCATTTGAGGTAAAGTTTGCCGTCGTATCGCCCAGACTCTTTTTTTGGGCTGGATATCTTGGACTGACATTGATTGAACTCAACTCTCTCGAGACGATGTGTTATCGCTGCCAGTCATTCTGATATCCTGAAGTCACAGATATGCTATTACAGCCTCAACTACTTAACACCACTCGTGGTCTCCTCTAGGGACCATCTTACTGCTTCAGCACAGGCCTGCTACCGTTTCCCGATTGCCTGCCAGATATTTCGCCACCAATTCACTGCCTCATCTATTGACGATTGAGACCCTTGTTCGCTGCCCAATACCTACACCTACATAAGCTCTCATCTGTAGAGGTATGCCCCTGCAATTATTCGTTATGGTTGACTTGTTATATCTAACAATCCCTCGACAGAGCGGATTGACGTTTCCAACAACAATCGAGCCCAATTATAATGGCCCCCAACAATATGGAAAAGACTGAAGCGGCTATGCGTCCCCCTTCCGTCATCAAAGGATCCGTTCAAGACATATCAGACAAAGCATGCTTGAAGACTATCACTCGCAAAGTCGACTACCATCTTGTACCCCTCATGCTGGTCTGTTACTTTCTTCAGTTTCTTGACAAAGCCCTCATCAACTATGCAAATATTATGGGCCTTTCCACGTCGCTCAATTTTCAAGGCAACGACTTCTCGTGGATGGCCACGGCTTTCTTTATCGGTTTCGCCGTGGCCGAATTTCCTCAAGGATTTTTGATTCAGAAATTCCCTGTCAGTAAGGTTCTCGGCATTAATGTTGTGCTTTGGGGTACCGTTATCTGTTGCTCAGCTGCTGCGCAGAACTTCCCTGGCATAACAGCTGCACGCACCTTACTCGGCATGTTCGAAGCTGTCATCTCCCCTTCTCTCATCATGATCACATCTCAATGGTACACCAGAAGACAAGCAACTCCAAGGACTGGCATCTGGTATTGTGGCCTTGGAATCGGTCAAACTATTGGAGGACTCATATCGTACGCCGCTCAGCATGGTAGTCTAACCAGTAGTTTTCAAGGTTGGCGCATCATGTTTGTGTCGGTTGGTGCCTTCAATGTGCTGGTAGGCATTCTCGTCACATTCTGGATGCCCTCTAGTATCAAAGATGCCAAGTTTCTCACAGAGCACGAGCAGGTCGTGCTTCAAGATGCTTTGAATGCCGACCAGGGGGGTAATGGTGCCAAGACTTTCCATGCCGCGGGTATCTGGGAGGCTGTTGAGGATCTGCAAGTTTGGCTCCTCTTCCTCAACACTATACTCATTGTCATTCCATCTGGAATTATCACAACCTTCTCGGCCACTCTCATCCGAGGATTTGGGTATAGTCCCAAACAGGCAGCCTTGTTGAATATGCCCTCCGGTGTAGTGTCAGTGGCTGCCACGTTGCTCAGCACATTTGCCATTCTGTATGGTTTCCCGCGGTGGTTAGGCCTTTGCCTCCTGATGGTCCCAACCCTTATTGGGGCAGGACTAATGTCTTTCTACTCGGATAGTCAAGCTGGCTCTCTCGTGGGAATTTACTTGATTAATTTTGATGTTGCACCTCTCGCACTTATCTACGCCCTCGTTGGGGCCAATGTGCAGGGATACACCAAGAAGGTTACCACCAACGCTATTGTTGCAATCGGCTTCTCTATTGCCAACATTATTGGGCCTCAGACGTTCCAGGTACGGGATGCACCAGACTATATTTCAGCTAAGATTACTGTCTTTTGCGTTTGTGGTGGCTCTGTTGTTGTGAGCATCCTGATAAGAGTTCTCTACGGCGTACGAAACGGAAAGGGAAGAGTAGCGCAGGATAGCCAGCTAGGCCAGGTATTAGGGAGCCAGACACCAGAAACGTTAACTGACAGAAACAACCCGAACTTTTTCTACGTGTATTAATACGGAGGAGTATAGTCATCCCATACCCAAGTCAAACCATAAATATGTTATTATAACATATATCTATTAGTCATTCTAGAATTACTAAACTAGAACCTACATTTGTTTATTTTGCGTGTAATAAAATCCCTATTAGTATATTATAAAGACTACTTGGTAAGGTTACAGAGACAAGGTTCCCGGAAGACCCATTGTAGGACATAGAGTAAAAAGTGGCCTTAAATCTAACCAAATGGGGTGATATCCTGGTAGCTAGCTCATTAAAGGCGTATATCAAAGGGTTTAAGGTAAATGTCAGCGGCATTATTATCTCATGCGGGAGCAAAGTAGAGCGGAGGAGAGACAATAGGAAGTTAGGTATTAAGTAGCATTACTATCCGACGTAATTATGAAAAGGTGGTTAAGTATAGTAATAACAATAGTCGCGGAAGTGGTGCATCCGATAGAGAATGCATAAAGAGTGTAATGCCTGGTTTTTCTTTCCGCGTATACGCTGTTATGGTCGGGGTCTTCATAACACCGAAAGCGAAAGCGAACTGCAAGCCACGGCTTGGCAAGACAAGCGAAGTACGTATCGAACGCTCATAGCTGTAATCAGAACAAGGGACTGTCAATTCAGGAACAGCGAAACAAAACTTTATCTCGTACGAGACAAGCATAATGCGCTTAGAGGCTCGTATCGGTAATTACTAATGTCCCGAAAAGCGACAAACCTAACACTCACCGCTTTGAAAGCTATAAAAACTATCTGTCCCCAAGTCAAGTTAATTATCAAGTCTACAACCAAATCAATCACACACCTTACATACACATCTAGTACCACATTTCACCTCAACCTCAGAAAGAATGCCTATCTTCGTTATCACTGTCCCCTCGATCCCCTCTGAAAGCCAGGAGCGCTTCCTTAGTGCCTGGCCCACTCTGAAGGATGAGCTCAAGTCTCAGGAGGGCGTCGCTGGAGTGTCAGCGGGACCTGTTGTGGCGGAGGATGGCGCTGCCTTCACCGACTTCAAGTTTGTACAGACCCTAGGTAGGTGCAGGAAGAAGGCATAGAAGTTATATCAATGCTGAACTTTAGTAGCTTTCAAGACCACCCAAGACTTCGAAGGCTTCCAGTCTTCTACTTGGGCCCAGGAGCACAAAGCGAGATACGACGAGCGTGTTGGAGGCGAGCCTGTTACTGGCAAGTTTGAGGTTCCTGATTTTCCCACCAATGCGTCGCCCAAAGCCTTCACTCAGTTTACGACTGTTCTTCTTAATGACCCGGAGAAACGCGTCGAGCTACGCAAAGCCTGGACTGACCTTGCATCCGCGCTCCAAAAGGAGACCTGGGGCGGAATAAGTGTTGGAGATGGTCCCTCTGTCGGTCTTGGTATGATCGGATGGGACAGCCTTGAGGTCAGATCTATAAACGTACGAACATACAAGCTACGATTACTAACCAGATATTATAGGAAGCCAAAGCTGCTTATGAGCACCCTAAGGCCGCAGAGGCTTATGTTGCGTATAAAACCCTTGGAAAGATTAAAAGCACTATGGTTAAGCTAGAGTAAAGATAGCTGTTTATTCTCTGTACTGAAGTAAACGGTTTTTACTTATTAGACTTTAAATATTTAATACTATTATTTATTTATAATAAGCGTAGTAATACCTCTAAGAAAGAGATCTAGCTATTTTAATTAAATCTATAGAAATATTAATAATAAAGGTCCCTATATAGACCGAAAAGCTCGGTTATATTACTGTTAAATTACTATTGGTTACCTCTTATCTTATCTAGTTACTGTAGGGAGGGGGCTATTAGGTTATATAATTTCGGTTAAGTAATTACAGTAGCTTCTTCCCTTAGACTAAAATAACTTATTTTATCTTTTTAAGACTTTTTAACCTTTAGTAAAAGACTCTATCTTATATATATAAAATTTCCTCTTATAACTCTAACTTAAATAGTTTCTTTATAGTCCTTAATTAAATTCCCTAACTAAATTTATTATTATAATTAAGTCTATTTATTATTTTTTATATATACCTTTTATTAGGTTTATATTATTTTTATTTAATATATTAAGAAAGGTAGTTTTTTTTATTATTAAAGGCCTAATTATATTATATAATTTAAACTTCCTTTTAAAATAGTTAAGAAATAATATTTCTTTCTTAAGCTATATATTTTTATTATTATAATTATTATTATAAATAAAAAGGTTAAATACCTAAAAGACTATATAGCTAAAGATAGTAAGTATAACCTTAGCCTCTTAATTTATAGGCCTTATACCTACCTTAATAGTATATTACTAGTTAATCTTATTAAGTAAGCCTTTTAGCTTTTTATAAATATTAAGATCTTTAGCTATTACTTTAAGAAATACCTCTTAGCTATATTAGAATTCCCTTTTATATACCTTACCTATATTACTATTATCGGCCGGTTAGAAATCCTTATAGAAGGTAGGTATAAAGGTAGGTATATTAACTAATATATTAGCTATAATTAAGGTTAGCTTTATTAATCTAATTATAGATAAAGCGGTTAGGTTAACTTATAAAGGCTTAGTAGTTATTTAGTAATTATAATCTTCTTTTTATATAGGTATAGGTAGGTTAATTGAAGTAGAGTATAGAGATAGAAAAGTAGCCCTAGTAGGGGTTTTTATATTATTAAGAAATAAAGTTATAGTTAGTATAATAGGTAACCTTATTAAATTTAAGATATTATTACTTTTCGGTCTATATAAAGACCTTTATTATTAATATTTTTATAGGTCTAGTTAGGATAGTTAGATCTCTTCCTTAAAGGTATTACTATACTTATTATAAATAAATAATAGTATTATTATAAATTCTAATTTAAATATATAGACTAGTATAGTAACTTTATTATATAATTAAAAGCTTAATATATAAATTAAGTAAATATTAGTTTTTATATTATTTATTTAGTATTTTAAAGTACTATTTACTTTTAACTATCTTATACAGACTATCTATAAGCTTTACTTAATAGTAATTATAAAAAGAACTTTATATAGATTTATTTAATATTTTAAAATTAAATTATTAATAAAACTACTATTCTTTATGAAAAGGCTAGGATCTTAAGGAATTACTTAAATATTTTAAAAAATAGTTAAAAATATAAACCTAGATTCTAAATATTATATAGTTATATCTTAAATAATATTTAGGATTTTATATTTAATATTTAGCTATTTCATTACTATTTTATATTTTATATTAAAAAACTAACTATTTAGTAGGAAAAGTATACAGGGTCACGGGGTGTATAGAATGGCGGTGAAATACGTTAGGTAAATATTACATTCATCCTGCTAGGGTAGTACATATCACTGAGTGCAAGTAAGGCACTTACTAACAACTAAATTCTGGCGCGTAGCCTAATAAGGAGTGTCGAGTTACCACCTCTATACAGGAAATCTATACCAGGTTCAAGCTTTACCGTGCTTATAGTTACTGCCCGATATAACCTATTATTCTAGATAAGCTTTAACTCTCTCTCTATCATAGTTAGCTTCTTTACTGATGATAATGCTTTCGCCTTGGCTGGACATATAGCGACGGCAGTAGCAATACTGCAAGGGCATGGCAATCGACCTTGTCGTTGTTATTTAGAGGGTTCCATTTAGGCAGAATAAGGATATCTAGGTTTATATACTAGAGTAATAAACCGAAGGTTACATACTCCTGTGAGCCGTCGCTGCTTATGTAAGCGTCTGAAAAAAGCGCAACATTTGCCACAAGTAACACTAGTTAGCCGCGAATAGTGACAACGACATCCGTGATAGAAGTTTTAAACTCCCGCATGATGACGTTAGAGACAAGTTCCAGAGCTACACCCAGCTCTTAGAGCTTAACTGTGGTATCATCATCCATACGACCCACAAGCTACGGGCCACAATTATTACGAATGGAACCCTTATCTCTAGTTAGAAACGTCGATATTCAGTATCTTTCTTCGTTGTCATTCACTACAAACGCGGCCATTACGAATCGTTCATCTTTAGACTTTTCATCGAGATATCCTAATGCAATACCTATACCACTAGGATAGGCCCCTCCTGGTACACCTTAGCGCATTCTTCGGCCATTTCCATCAACGACGTAGATGAAGGTGTTGGATTTCTCTGATGCGATAGACGAGGTTGCCTCATCATCCTCGCCACCGTCCAAGTCGATGGCTTGCATCATACGATAGTAAGATATATACATTAGGCCGTAATATTCGGTGAGAATAGGAGTCTACTGTAACGTCTCGAAAAAAGGTTTTAGTTGTATGGGGATGGCTTCGCTGGAAAAGGTGGCGTTCCGCTATAACACACGGCCGCCTCCATAGCATACAAGTGTCAGGTATTTAGTAAAATTTCTAACATTAAGGTTACTTGTTCATCAGCTATCAGCCTTGCGAAGGCTAGAGTAACACCGCGGCTAGTACCTAGTGCTGTGATCATCATGCAAATATGGGTAAGTGCAATAAAAGCTTGGGCAAGGGACATATTGAGGCCTAAAGCACTTTGCTGAAGAACAGCCTCACGAAATAGGGAAATCTTAGAGCTTTTCGAGCCTAGGCAACTAACGATTCCTCTTGAAGACATTTTGATGCCTTTTAGAATACTTTTAGAGCCGCTGGTGGAAAGAATAAAGGTTGTTCCTTTATCGCTCTCCATATCAGCAAGACTAGAACTCTCAGAGAGGGTGTATGCTTGGGTTATCGATAGGAGTGGAATGTTGTTGAAGCGAAGGGACACATTTAGCTGTGATAGTTTCGCAAAGAATCAGGTCTTGTATGCTGGCCTCAAGAATGGCAGTAAGACGCTCATAGGGCAGCTTTCAGTCAATTGGAATGTAGATACAACCTGTACGGATAATTACCAGCCAGAACAAAATCAAGCACCAATTGGCTCGCAGAGAACTGCGACTGATGATCGGGAATTTACCCAAGAGTGAAGGGCTGCGGCAAGGCCTTTGACCTTCTCGTCAAACTCATGGTATGTCAGAGTGCTATCCGCGTGGCTGATGGCCAAGTGATATACGTGCTTCCTGGCTGCCTTATCCGACTTCTTTGTAAGTTTTGAAGGCCATGCGTAATCTAAAATGCCACCGTTTCCTGGCGGGAGTGCAAATTGTGAAATTGAGATTCTAGCGTTCTAGGCACGTCTCTCGATACATCGATATGCAACGCTAGACATGTCTCTAACAATGTATGAGTAGCCTGCTTTTACAAAGGTCTTCTCTGACGATAAACTATATATGGGTTTTCTCTTTGCTCGATGTGATGCAGAATGTAAGCAGTAGCCTTGACGCAGTAGCCTTGACTGGCGAGGGCCTTATTCGGAATCTTATCTCGTCCTCTCGCATCCACGATACCCCGTCCATGTCTCAACTAAATGATGTTATGGTGCTGAAATAAGCTACCGCATAAACCGTTCTAAATTTAGATTTGTCAAATCACAGACCGACCATAGCTTCGGGATCAACTCTAAGCTCTCGGACGTGACTTATTCGTTTCTCGATTACTTGACTGAACTCTCTGTAAGCGTAGTCGTCATCCCGAACACAGATTGCATTAGAGCTGGGACGATCAATAGTACTCTGAGGGACGATGTCACGAACATACTCTTCCACTGCTTAAGAAAAAGCCCATTCGCCTTATTAACCTGTGATATTATTCGGACTGATAGAATCGATGGTATTAATTCCAGCCTAGGGGTGTTCATATAGCTTCTATTGAAGGTTTGCTCTACAACTTCTAAATATAAAGAAGCCAGCTTTAATAATAGCAAAGAATGTAGTTTTTTTTCCACCTCGGCGGCATTATAACCCAATGCCCATAGAATTACCTTTCAAGCTACAGCGCAGCAAAGTTAGTACCGTGTATGACTTCTTCTTCTGAATATAAAACATATAGCTTCTTCTATGACGAGGTGGTAGTGGATGAGGATACGATGAACCCGCTCGGTCTAGATAACGGCACTATCGTATTGCGCTTCCAACGCGATGCCATCATCATCGTTCAGAATACACTTGATGAGAAGTGCAAAGGCATCAAAGTCTTCGATATCGCTTATAGTGGCCTCCAACCCCTGGGCGTCTTTTCCTGACGAAGAATACTTTAATGCCAACTTGATAACCAATAGGTTAGAAAGACCGTCGATAGCAGAACGGGCTTTATTGGCAACTCTCTTCATGTTTTGTAAACCAGTGTGCTGTAATAGCACCATCGATGAGAGTTGAGATTACGCCATGTCGAGAGACACGCTGATAGCCACCGTTCGTCGCAGGGCTTGCCAATCTTCTTCCAAATATACTGCCAAGTTATCTCCTCCGATCCAGGCAACTTCAATGTGGAAGACACCTTGAATTGGCCACTTGAAAGTACCACCGTTCGCAGTTCACGTCCTTAAGATCGATTCAGTTCTTTCTACAATGTCCCAGGCAATTTGGAACTTGTCTATGTCCCCGTGCGTGACTTTGAACACCCGTTGCGCTTTGTGGATACCCTGTTGATAGGCGCAGACAGCAATGAGACTTTTCTTTTTGGAGTAGTGACAATGTAGCTGAGCAATCGATGGTCTAACAGATTGGAAACGATTTCTCTCAACTTGGATCGTTCTACTTTCCTATTGCTAGTCTTGGGCGTTGATTTGGTATGAGGAAACAAAAACGGCACCATGTACTGTGGAAGACTAGCCCTGAGCTTGAAATCTAGGTCTGTAAGCTTGTGTCCACCAATTGGCAACACGACATTGTCTGGTTCGGTCTACTCTTGGTTCAAGAAGTGAATTCAGGCAGTAAGGATCATATCCTTAGAGAGTTTGTCAATATTAGTAGCGTCGATAGAAACTAGCCTTCTTCCACCAAGATGTGTTTGTGTTTTGTGCGGGATTTCCTCAAGCTCTACCCGTTAACCACAAAGTATGACCTGAGTATCCCTCCAGCTGAGAATACTAAATATACTATTCCTATTTAAACTATGTATGCCCCCATGTGGTAAAATCTTCTGTTATCCTCGGGACTCATCCTTTGTAACTACTCAAGGTTTCGAATGAATGCGGCGGCAGTCGTTTCTGAGTTCTTGATTTATAAACGAGAAAAAAAGTAGCCCTTTCAGGAGAAGCTCTCCAGCTGCATCTGGAGGGACAAGCTTGTCCACAATGGTTGCATCAACAGTCCAAGCTTAGCAACCTGTGGCGAGACTGACCCTGGATGAGCTAAAGTCTTTATCGAGAGCTTCCGTGCGGGCCACAGAAACGGCCACTTCTGATGGACCATAGGTGTTATGCAATTCAACTTGATCAGCCTATATGTGTTTGGCTCCTTTGGACAAATGTTCTCCGACTTAAAGTATACGCTTAAGAGAGGGGACTCGAACAGGCTTGACGAGGCTCATAACAGTACTTATCAAATTGGCATAGGTGGCAGCCAGACGCTCGATAGTAGAGCCGGGGTCGTTGATACGATCGTCTTCGGAAGTCAAGCTAAATAAGAGACCTTTCGGTACCACCACCGAACAGCGTCTCAGGGTTGATGTTTGGAAACCAGGCGAGATGTCTCAGTGACAAAGGAGACATCAGGTCGTCAATATTACATCGAGTACGGCTTTCGGCAACGTATGCGGCGATATGGACTTGTGGATTGAGGTTGTAGATAGTATTGGACGAGAAAATGGAGGAATTACTGTTATTATTTGCTTCTACCATTGGCACCCCAAAGTTAAGCATTACAATTCATCAATCTGATTAATGGGCTACCTACAAAACTATAACTAGATTAATAGTTATGACTCACATCTAGATGACTACTCAGGAAACTTACCAACCGTGGCAGGTAACTATTATCGCGTCGTTGCTGATAGGCTACAACCGCGATCGACATTTTTCGGCTTAGCAAAGTCAACAAATATGCCAGTTTCCATCGCCATCTTCACGAATAGCTGGCGGCTACTAATGAATAACAGAACAATATGCATTGGCCCTAAACCCATTGATCTTGGCTTGTTCCTGGGCATTTGAAGGTCAGTCCAGTCAAATCCGTGTCAGAATAAGGCTTGGAAGTCCTACCAACCAGAGCAGCGTTTCAATCCTCCTCCTAGCCAGGTCAGTCGCCATCGTCTTAGCATCAGTTGGATCTCTACAAATTTATCAACAGCAGTAGCAATTCTACTGGATACCCGGGTATTCAATGCAGCAATACTCATAGCCGCATCATCATGGGATTTCAGCTAGAATTAAATTCTACTGACGGAGACGATATATCTAATTAACAGGGATAAACAATCCAGTTCACCTTTACGGCTTCGTGACACGAACGACGAGACGCGAACAACGAGGAGCGAGACGCGAACAACGAGGAGCGAGACGCGAACAACGAGGAGCGAGACGCGAACCGCGAGACATAGAATATGACCCCACTGTATATGAAAGATGCACTATTCAAGTGCCAAGTGGTCCAGACTGGAGACGGTAGCAGGGATACGATCTTGGTTCGCAGCACGCAGAAATTTCGGCAGCTAAAATAGCCGTAACCCGACGAATGAGATCTCATCATGGTTGACATCCCGAAAGAAGACGGAAATCATTTGATGGGCAACCTATCAATTTGAGTAAGCATAGAATATGCTAGTACCCCTAAGATTAGGTTTCTGCCCTGTGTGGCACGTACAGTGTATTAAAAGCTACCAATTGTCAAGTCCCTTGCGGCAAACTAACGCATCTTAAAATATCGGCATCTTGTTAAATCGTGTTTTGACGGGATGGGGATCAGCTTGGGGCTGTGATGATCGAACTATCTTTATGGAAGGTAACATCAATTACGGGCTGGAGAATTTCACAAGGAACACAGCACGGGCCATATTGTCCCCATTCTATCTTGGCATCTCTATAGTAAAAAGGAGGATAATTAGTATAAAACAGTGGCATTCTCTTATAATGAGAGTCTTTAAGAGCATTGCCTTTCACTACTCCAAGTCTACCAGCCTATCCTGAAAGCTATTAGCTACTTTTACCCTTCTTCCTTTATAAAGCAGATTTTTCAAGAAACCGCTCAAAATGCGTGTCGAAGTCCTGACTACTCTTCTTACCGCCCTGCCCTCCGCCCTCGCCTGGCAGATTACCGTCTACCGGGAGGAAGACTGTTCAGATAATGGAGGTGCCTTTGACTACGTAAGTTCTTTTCTCTTCGGCCTATGGCTTTTCCTAGGATATCTTGGGATACTAACAAATAAATGATAGTATACCTTTGAGGGTCAAGGCATGATGGACTATTGTTGGGGACTCAAGGAGAGTAGTTTCCCTAATGGCGCCGTCTGTAGCTACTTTTCTGAGCGCGGCACTAGTGGACCTCATCCTTGTGATGGACAGATCGATATTGCCAAGGCTTTCAAGGTTGTTCGCGGCAAGGTTATGTTCTGGGAAAAATACGATAGCCACCCTGCCCAGCCTGATGATAGGCGATGCAGCGACCGCTTATTCGGCTTCCCGGACGCCGATAAAGAGGATAATAGCAACATCTTTCACGAGGAGGATTACCGATGCCGGAATGCTTACTACGGCACCGGGGGTATATCCCCGGTTAAGATAGAGCAGCCTATTCAGGGGTTTCGTGCTTGGGACTAGCTTTATAGCTACTCGGTGAAGCCCTATTCACTGCGCACGAAGCCTTCAAGAGACATCCAGCAGAACCCGAGCTTGTATAGGCATACAATAATAGGGCTAACCTAACAAGCGGACAACCACTTCCCTTCTCATCATTCGACTTTCGATTCTAAACTCTACATTTTCCACTGGTCTGTACCAAGACAAATCGGATCAAGACAAATAAGATACGTAGCATTTTCGAATATAACATCTCATAATATATAGACTCTGTAGCTGTCCTTATGAGTCTTATTCCTTAGACTGTGTTATATCTACATGGGTGCCGTTTCGTGTCTGGCTTAGATAATCCGCTGTTTTTATTAATAAGAAGAAAGAACCTTATAGCTGCCGGCTAGTACCGGGTGATATACTTAGGTAGTCTTCTTAGATAGTTTTTAAGTTAAGATATAGAGGTTAATCTACAGTAAAGTATATAAGTTTTAAACAGGGATAATAAGTAATTAGTGTAAGTTATACTAAATAATAACTTAAAGAGTCTAACAGTCTGGGGTTAGGGTTAGGTATAGATAAGGGTTAGAAAATAGGGTAGGTAAAGTCAGGCTAGAGAATAGCCTAACTAATAGGCCGGTAGTAGTTTAGCCTAAATTACTAACCTTAGAAAACGGCACGGGTTAATAGGGGTGTAGGGAAACCCTATTAAGTAGGTTAGGGTTAATAATAGGGGGGGTAAATTACTAACCTTAAATTACTAACTATATAAATAGTTAATTATAGACTTTTAATTAACCTTAAGTCTTTACTTTTATTTTTAAGGTAAACTAGGATAGGGAATAAAAAAATAGAAAAAGTAAAGTAAGAAAAAAGAAATAAGAAAAAAAGGAAGAGGCTAGGATAGTCTACCTATCTATTTATTTATTTATTTATTTATATTACCTCTCTCTCTTTTTTTTTATTTATCTTAATTTAAAAAGGCTATAACTAATTAGCTTAACTTACCTAATTATATAAATAACCTAACTAATTAATTATTATTAGTTTTTTTAAGTTATAGTTATAACAGCCTAGTAATACTTACTAGACTTATTACCTAGAAATACTAATAGTAATACCTAGGTAATAAGGAGAAGAAAAGAAAGGTTAGGAAAAGAAAAGGGTAAAAAAAGGTAGCTTTTTTATAATAAAAAATATTAATTACTAATTTATACCTTTTATAGCTATATAATTTACTTTTATAACCTAAAAGGCTATTTAAAGGATTATTACCTAAATCTTAGCTATTAAGTCTATAATAATCTTATCTATTATTATAAAGGCTTATTATTAATATTATTAAAAAAGGGATTAAAGGAAAATTAACTAGCCTAGTATAGCTTATTTAACCTAGTTAAGCTTATTAAGGGTCTTCTTATCTACCGGGGTTTTATATATATCTAGCCAGGCTATAAGTACCTTACGTTAAGCTAGAAGTACCTATATATATATCTTAATAATAAGTATAATACTAAGGTAGCCTTAAGGAAGACCTAGGTAGACCTCTAGGTTATTATATATTTATAGACTTTCTTTACTGGTTTAAAGAGGGTAATTTATTATTTTTATATTTATAAAATAAGAAAAGGGGAAGGAAAGAAAGAGGAAAGGGAAGGAAATAAAAAGAAAAGGAGAAAAAGAAAAAAAGTAATAATAATTACCTAGCTAGAAAACTAAATAATAATTATCTATATTACTAAAGGATAGTTACTATAATAAAAGGAATAAAAAAAGATATAAAAGGTTATAAATAAAGGTATTTTAAGGTATAAAATAATTAACTAGTTAAAGTAAACTAGCTAGTTAGCTTACTTTACCGGTAAGAACTTAATAGATATTTAGGCCTATAATAAAATACCTAGCTAAGGTAATAAAGATAATAATAAGGTACTGTAATATATAAATAAAGTTCTAGATTAACTTTTCTTTAATTATTATATTAATAGACTAAAAAGTATACCCTTAATAACCTAATTATTACTAACTAGCCTATACCTTTATAATATTTATAGCTAACTATTCAGGCCGTTATAAGAAAAGATTAGTATAAACCGGTACCTAGTCTATATAAAATAATTTCTATATTATTACCTTAATATATTATTATTAAAAAAAAAGGTATTTCTAATTAATTATAGCTTTTATTTTATATTAATATAAAGGGCTAGCCTTAAGATATTCTAGGCCTATTTATAAAGGGATATATTAAAGTTAAAGTTAGAAAGGAAGGTTAAAGGGGGTAGGCTATTATATAGTTATTACCGCTACTGTAGTTATAATAATAGCCTTAATAGTAAGAATAGTTTATAAAAGTAAATACTATAGGTATTAATAGGCTTTTAAATATAATAACTCTTTAAAGACCCTAGGAACTATTAAGAGGCGATTAGCTAGATATCGTTCACTAAAATGGATAATTTTGCTTAAAACTTAGACTTGTATTAAGTAACGTTAAATCGAGCTGCTTATTGGCCTAAAATAACCCTAACCCTATACTTAGGGTTAGCTAGTATTGACTTAAGGTTACTATATTATAGATAAAAGGGGATTTTAATTAATAGAGAAATTTAATAAAATTACTTTTCTCTTTACTATCTATTACAGGAATTAAAGAGGCAATATTAAGCAGTAATAAAGGATATTATATAGCTTAATCAGGACTATTAGATACTAGTCTGCCGGCTCTATTAAGTAGCTATTTAACCCGGTAGTAATATTAAGTTACATTTCCGACGGCAGTATTAACTTAAGGGCCAAGTACTTAAGGACATTAAAGACTACTATAGTATACTTAAACTAGCTGACCTGAAGCTTACTATAATACCTAAAGATAGTAGTCAGGCAATTAATTAGCTTACTATCTTATATAGATATAGCTATAATACGTATTACTATCTTATTACTATAAAAAATAATATTATCTACCACTAAAGAGAGGCAGGGCATAGGGTAAAAAAGGAGCGATAGACTGAGGTGTTACTATAAACATAAATAGAAGGAAAGCATATATATTACTAGATCGTTTAAGATAATAATAATAGTAACGGCCTGTTTAATATAGTTAATATAGCTAATACTATAAGTTAAAGCGTTATAGATAAGCTTATTACTTTAAGTTAGGCTTAATTAGAAAAGGAAAATACTACGTAACTATAGAAGGGCAATATAAAGGAAGAGCTTAACCGTAACTTACTGTAGGTTAAAAGACTAGGCTAGGTATGACACTTTAGCTCCTAGGACTTAATTAATATTTATAACGTAGCCTAGTGGCTATAGGTAAGGACAGTAATAAGTAGATTAGCTAGGAGGTAGGAAGATAAGGAAGTAGTCTATAAGTGATTATTACTTAGCCGGCTTAGACAGAGCTTTAATTACGAGGTAGAATATTACTATTAGCGACTTAATAGCATGCCGACCGAGATATTATAGTAATTTAATAGCATCTTATCTATAACCCTAAATGGTATGCTATTTAGCTATAAAGGTAAGGAAGAATTAATAAGCCAGTATAAGTCTATTAATTACTATTACTTAAGTTTTTACTGAAAGGTATACCATATCGGGCGGAAGGAAGTATTTAAATACTAGGCTATTTACTTTACCGATAAGTAGTAAAGCTTACTAGATAATCTTATAGAAAAGCTTAAGGCCAATTAGGTTATTAATAAATATAATAGCGAATTCTATAGTAATAAGGAGATAAAAGGTAAGAAAAAAGATTAAGATAAAGATAAAGACAGAAACGGAGATGGAGATAAATATTAAGATAATAATAATAGTAATTATAAAGGTAAGTAAGACAGTAAAGGGATAACTAGCCCGCGGTAAGATACACTTAATCAAACTATATTCCGGTTTATTATAGCTTTAATTAAAACTTATATCGACAGAAATATATATATAAATTCATTACTATACTTCTATATAGCACTTAATATTAAATCACGCCTAATAGGCTATATTAAACCATATCTATATACCGGTCTGCTAGTTAGTATAATATAGTAGGCTTAGGTATTTTTTTTAAAGGCTATATTTAAGAACGAGCTACTAGATTAGGATAAGGTTAGGGTTAAGGCCATACTTATATTTAAAAAGCAGTATATATTATAGATATATATAGGCATTTATATTATTATAAATATAATTATTAGGTAGATAATATATAGAAAAGGGTATTAATAAAAAATAGGGGGGCAGCTATTAATATAATAGTCTAAGGGTAGAGAGGGCTTATTTTATATAGGTAAGTATATTAACGTTAAGGATTTTACTTATATACTACGTAATAAAGTTACCAAGGTAAAAAAGCTACTAAATAAGCTATTTAGGGGGTTTTAATAGCCGGTTAGTAAGAAAATTAATATAAGGCAAATCGTTAATAATATAATACAGCTTAGGGCAGGTTAGTTATTTATAAATAACCTAAAGAATAAGTAGCTAAAAGCCAGACCGGAAAAGGTAATATAGCTAATAGAAATATCAATATAGGATACTATAAAGGCTTAACTAAAGCGATAATACGTTAAGAGGTAGCTTTAAGATTTAAAGTTACTATAAAAGACGCTACTTATACTTATATATATATAAGGTAGGCTTTTAGAAAGGGGGCCTAAAATCATAACACTATGGCATTACAATTTATAATAGCTACTACGGAATATATTTATACTTAATAGGTAAGTTATAATTATAACTAACTAAGATAAAATAAAGGCAATCTATAATAACAGGCAAAAGGTAGTATAATTTATACCTAACCGGATTAGGCAGATAATTATAGTATATATTACATAGCTATTTCCGACGGAGAGGGTACTATAACGGGAGTATTAACTTACCAAGCTATATAAAAAGTAACTAAAGTATATATAAAGGGATGGCTACTTATCGGTATAGGAGACTAATCGGCTTAGCAGGCAGTTAGGCTGTATAATATAGGCTAGGACGGGGGTTAGATTAAGGGTAGGACAATACCGGGCAATCAT